CTTGCTTTGGGCTTAGTCAATTGCATTAAATCAGAGTTATGCCACGAATGCGAGTTTAAATGGATCGAATGGAGCTTATGCATAGGTTCTTGGGTAAACAGATTTTCATACCTGTTCCAGAGTCTTGAAATGGAGACCGAGTCGTTTGCAATGTTTGCAGAGCAGTAATATTACATTCGGTAAGCCAAAATAAATTCCAACTAAACGTGAATACTTGGCAATATGCGTTTTAGGTTTATTTGCTTTGTTTAGCACGCGGTTTTCCATTGCCGGCTGCCCTATCGATACTTGCATATCGATACACATATGGGCATCGATAGTGTAAGCTATGTAGGGTACTCTGTGACTGTTAGGGCTACTCTATCAACAGAGTATATGTAAATATAAATACTGGGACTTCTGTTCTGTTTTGTCTACAGAACCAAGAGGCGAAACTACTACAGTTCCAATATAAATGATTAGCAATTCCACATTTTAGCTTTAAGCCGTTATTCTGTGCTCTCTGAGGACACAATTCGTATGAATTTCGAGCAATGGAAAGAGAATGGCAAATGTGAAATCAATTTGAGGTAATTTCGCTAATCTTGCATAGCCGATGCCATCCATAAACTCTCTCCTTCTCTCTTCCTCTCTTTCTGTCTATTTCCCTATCAAGAGATATATTATGCAACCTTAGCCTACACCCAGAAATACATAATTCACGATTAGATCTGTCGCTCAGCGGCACAAAATTTCTATGCATTGTAATTTTCCGCATAATTTCGCCTCCTTTTTTTCTGTGGGTTGTCTTTGCCTTTGGCGAATATAAAGAATAACCCAACAAAAGACAGACACAGGCAAACAAAGCAAAACAAAACAAAAAACATTTTGCCACACGCTTCAGCGACAAAATGGTCAACAATCTTGGCTTAGTTTTGTCGGCCAGATGTCTATTGTTGTCGTTGCCGTTGCTGTTGTAATTACAATGGCCCATAGCCACTGCCACAGCTAGAGCCAAAGCTATAGCTATGGCTATGGATATGGCTGTTCTGGTTGTCGTGATTTATTGTGTGAACAGCAAGGTTTCTTTGATTCCCTCTCTGTGGCTTACTTTGATTTGCTTTTGTTCTCCCACCGCATTTGCATATTCTTTGGGGGCCTGAGGCTTCATTTGGCTGCGGGTGCCACTCGAAATTGGGCGTGACTGGGCGTGGGCCAGATATCATACGCATAGAAGCCATACTCAAAGCTCAATGAGTCGCCAAGTGCTTTGGGCACTCTGAGCCCTCTGAAGCCGCTAAGTGGATAGGAATTGGCTTCCACAAAATGGGGAGGGGAGGGTCAACGAACCCAAACCACCACCACCACTCCGACGCGACGGCACGAAGATATGCAATTCTCGAGTGGTTATTAAAGCAAATAACACTCGAGAGTGCGGTCCCCAATACTCACTGTTGTGCTGCCACCGTCAATCAAGAGTTGAATGGCTTTTGAAGTGGGGCTCCTCCATCTCCCTCCATCCTCCTGTGCTGCTTCTCCTCACGCCAACACACTCTGAAATGAATTCTTTTGCCGAATGATGCACTTCTCTGGCAGATCGATTAATGGCGAATGGCGGCTGAAATGCCTTGATGCGAGGACTACCTACTTATGCGAATATGACACTCACTCACTCTCCCAAAAAGCTGCTGACTGATTGGATTGCATTTATGGTGTGGTGTGGGAGGATACGATTCTGCTGTGGGCGCAACAACAAAAAATGATCACTAATGGGCCTGTTCTCAAATGATTTAAGTTATAAATATTTCCACAGTACTTTTAAGCACTGAGAGCGCAGTAACTGAAACTTGTACAGTTGAGAAGCCCGTTGAGCAGGCCTTCGAATCTCACTCTAACAGCCTTGTTTTTCCCACAACATTTTAAATAGCTGAACTGCAGTCAGTCCTTAAGTAAGTCCGCCATATGCGTATTAGCCAAGGAGCTTGCAAACTGGCCAACTCATTGTTATCCGCTGCGCATTCCCCCGCTTGCCGCCTGGCCGACTGGCCCATTCATTGCCCACTCATAAGACTTGACATTTTTATTAAAAACTCTGCTTCTTGGGACCGACAACCGACTGCAATCAGGCGATCAGCAATGCAATGTCCCGACTCACACAAAGGGCATATTTTATGCATGCCGCTCGTTAAGCGGCTGCTTCATCTTCTTCTTCTTCTGGCTCTCTCAGGCTTTCAGGCCTCCATTTCGTCGGGTTTGTTGTCGATGCCAAATTGGCAACAGTTTGTGTTTATGGCCAGAGGTTGGTTGCTGTTGCTGTTGCTTTTGGGCATCATTTCCTGCTTAAATGGAGAGGAGAGAGGGAGTCCCCATCCCCGTCTCCTGCTTGTATATATTTATAGAGCCTCTCTGATGAACCGTAATCTCAAGGATAACTGCATATTTTTATTACAGGTTTCCCCTACGCTTGCAGCCAGTAGCCAAGCTGAGCTGAGCTGGCCCATAATTTCCCAGTCACAAAAGGCCACAAAGGAAACGAATGACTTAGGGCACAAACTTGTTTGCTCTTCTTGGCATATCCGCGAATGGCAGACCATTTCGCATGTCTCTCGTATTCTATAGTATCATTTTTTTCGATCTCCTACCTTTAATATTTCGCTAACCAAAATGGGTTAATGGACAGCTTAACCTCCCTCCCCTCAAACGCTAATTTAACAGCAGAAAAGTGCCAAAAAAAAAAATACGTAAAGAAATATAAAAATAACCTCAGACCGCAAGCAAAAATGTACCTCTTTTTGGGGCGTAATTTTAGGTTTATAATTATGGGGCCGAAAAGCTTTAATGACTGCAAATTGAATGGAGTCGAGTCGAGGGGAAATATGCACATACATCGCAGATTTATTTTGCACTTTGCAATACGCGAAACGGAAATGCCGAAATGGTTAAAGCAAAAAAAAAAGAGAGAGAGAGAAGTCAAACAAATGGGTCAAGGATTTGAACAATTTGGCTACACTCGATTGGCTCTGGGTAGGGCATAGAGTTCAATTCGGTTCCGTTCCAGCCATCAAAGAATGAACACGACACAACAACACAACACACAACAAGACACACACACCTGGTGTACTGTACGCTTTGCTGCTTGGTTTCTTTTTTCAAAATATTTGCGCTTGTTATGTCACTGACTCTGGTACTCTCGGACAGAGGTTCAAGCCATCAGCCGTGCATGGCCCATACGTTCGTAAATATCGTAAATTTCTGCTTGTTCGCAGTGCCCACAACCCAGCGGGTGGCTGTCCCATTCATGTGGCCATGGTTTTGGGTATGGGTATGGCTATGGCCATACGTACTCTTACGATATCTACATCTTGTATTTGGGGTGTCTGAGTCAGTCGGGTCAGTTGGCGGCATGAATCACTGGCATATTATGCCGGGGTCAGAGCTGCATTTGATTGGTTATTAGTGGGTTAATTGAGTGATATTTTGCGGTGCGGGGCGAGCCGGGTCCAGTGCATCCGAAACTGTGGGAAACCCACAGAGGACCGAGAAACGTCAGAGCCATCGGAAATATATGAGTGGCAGTTAATGTGAGCTGGTTTTTCCATAGATCATATTTCTCGATCATCGCTTATGCAACCTTTTAAATATTTTTTAACATCTTTCCCCTCCCCCCCCTTGTGCTTGTGTTAATCACTCAATTTGCGGCGACTTTCGCCCCTTTGGCGAATGGCAACTGCATGGAACTCATAGCCAGACCGACCCACCTTCCAGCCACGCTTCCGCTTAATGTCAACACTTTCTTTTTGTGCCAAAAATGTTGAATTTTTGTCTGTGATTTATGCTACCGACTGGCCAAAATTGTCAAAAGAAATCCGCAATTTGCAGCGTGAGTTCTGCTCGAGTGCCCGGCACCCAAATGACCACCGACTCGGACCCCGCCACAGCTCGCTGGAGGTGGCGGCTGGTAGGCTGTTGGGGCTGTTGGCTGGCGGCGCGGCCAAGTGGGAAGCCGTAAAAGCAACGCCCAACTGGCTCGAGTGGCACAGTTGCAACAAGTTGGCGACGCGAAAGTTAAACGAAACAGATGCAGAAAAAACGTACAGACAACGAAAACGTTGTGGAAAAGCAGTTGCCACAGCAGAAAAGCAGAAAGGCAGTAAAACCCAAGAAATCCCAATTAAAAAGAAAAGCGAAAATGTGTATGGCAAATCGAGTACGAAGCGAGAAGCGAGAGAAACACGAAGGAGAAGAAGTAATTGCGTTCAATGCACTCCAATGGGGCGTGGCAACGACATCTACATTGGCAGTACGGTGCCAAGCGTTTCGCGCACTCTCTGCATGCACCAAAAGGTGGGCAAAATGTTGTACAAAGGGTACATTTGTCGCTGGGCGAAAAGCGGAAATCGTAGGCGGCGAAAATACCAAAAGAGACCTACAAACTATACCAGAAACGGAAAAACGGAACAAAGGCTGTGTTACGCTTGAGAGGGGGCAGTATGGCAACAGATATATTGTATATTGTAAGTATTTTAGATATTTTTACTTCCAAAAATAGCCCATCAGCCCAAAGAATGCAGACATTAAGTGACTCCCCAGATATTTTCAACATGATCCCACTCACCTGAACAGCCCACGCCCACTTGTCAGCCCCGGACCAACCTCAACTTTGATCGAAAGAATGCAGTGGAAATTGCCGAAATTTACATATAAAGCTCACTTTTATCAATGCAGTCTCCTCTCCGCTCCGCCTCATTCCATTGGAACAGAACACACCCCGAAAGAGCAACAAAAGAAATACCAATGCAAAATAAATGCCTTTGCCCCGCCGCGGCCGTTTGTGGGGCAATGCTGCAGAAAATAATTCAAAAAGTCAAGCAAAAATGTCAACCATTTTTGCCGGAAGAGTGCGGCGAAGGGGGGTTTCAATTTTGGTTTACAGCTCATTGACATTTGGCCAAAGCAAAGTATCTGCACAATCTCAATGGTTCACCTTTTTGTTTTGGTCTGGCTAGAATAAGATATTGGATACGACAGTGAACATTGAGAGGCATACGGCTAATGCGGGTTCGTGGTCTTTAAAACGATCGTTAGCCCGTTTGGCCTTGAATATGCTCAAAAAGTATCAGATGTCATATGCAACAATGAACATATTTATTGGAAATGTGTTGATAGTACACTTTCATGATAGGTAATAGACTTGATAAGGTTTTTAAACTGAAAATACACTTAATACACTTAATAAACTTGTTTCAATTAAAGTTTCCTTGATAGCTATTTGTTAATAATTTGATAAGATTTTACGTCCAACGTAATGTACTAACTTTTAACAAATTAATGTTAATATTCATAATAGAAGCTCTCTCCATCTCTCTTCGAGAGAGCATAACAAATTATGTGTGAAAGTCTCTTCACACACAAAAATTTTAACTCTGATAAGATAAGAAAAATATGAAACAAAAAAAAATTAATTCAAAAGTGTTGGCCCTGAACTTCTTGGCGTTTGTGGCTTTTGTTGATGTTCCCATCTGGTTCGTTAGAGTTAAAGTTTACCTAAAAAGATAAAAAACAACGAAAAATACATGAGAAAACACACAAATTTTTGTTTTATTTTAGAGCCGATAAACTAATTTGAATGCTGCACTAAAAATGAAAATCAGAGCACACATAAAAGTGAATGAAAACAAAGGCGAATTTAATTATTTTAACTGGCGTGAAATTAACACAAAGGCAGCCGGAGAAGACAGCCCGCGGCGTCAGGCGTTCTGAGGGCGTGGCGTATACCCATATAAAACCAACAAAATAACCAGATGTTAACAAAGCAGAGGTACCCGTTGGCAGAGGATGCACTTGGCATGGGCGAATGGAAATGGAAATTAAATGAGTTTGGGGGCCAGAGAAACTCAATAAACTTTTACTAGATCAAGCCACCAAGGGCACTAACAACGTTAAAGCTTGATAATACAGGTCTGATAATAAAGCTCCCACTGGCGGAACAAATTGTTAATTGAGTAGAAACAGATTCATAGACTGATATGTAAGTCCAAGTGCCTCCATTAGGTCTTCACAGCTCTCACATACAAATATTTCCAGCAACCACATGTTAAACAAACCATATAAATCCAAACAATCAATCACCTTTTGTAATGAAGCCAAACGATGTGTAAACCGATATATCGCCATCAGGTTAATCATCGCCCAGACAGGTTGGGCAATCTTGGCCCCATCTCCAGCAGCTAGCAGCTTTTGTTGTCTCCCTCCCTCTCCCACAACGTACACACAAATGCAAGGCAATTGCAACAATAGCAACAACAAACAGCAGCCGCACTAACCACATATAATTGCTGTTCCAATAACCTCTAACCCGAAGGCACAAAGCAGACAAGCCACACACAACACAACACACAAGACAAGAGATAACAACGAGAAATACAAATTGTGACTCGTGCCACAACAAAGCGGACACTGGACAAATAATCAAATATATTAAACTGTCAAACCAAATAATAACCCAAGACAGTCACACCCACACACACACACACAATGGCAGGGACATGGAAAGGCAGAAAGAGGCAGCTGTAAATTTGCACAAGTGAGTGCAAGCGAGACACAGATAACAGAAAAGGCAAAGGAGGAACACAACACAAATATTTACAGTAAACTAAACCCAAGAGAGGTACACCCAGAGAATAAAAGAGAGAGAGGAGAGAGGGATCAGCTGAACGTAATTGCTGTTGTTGCTCTGCCTACGCGACCTGAAAATTGTTGCTGCTGCTGCTGCCACACAAATAACCTCAAATCGTTGCTGTTTTTGGTAATAAACGAAGCGTTAAACAAATTGCATTACAACAAAAACCACAACATAGAAAACAAATTTTTGGCTTCTTTCCGATTTGTTGGCTACCATATGCAAATCGTCATAAATGAGGCTGCAGTAGGAGTAGTTGTTGTTGTTGCTGCTGCCTTGGGCGTAATTACATCCACAGCCAAAAATGGTCAAACGAGCGAGAAAATTATCACATTGCAGCCCACTGTGTGTTGTTGTAATGGCAGCCACCAAAACACTGAAATTAAATGCAAATTTTTGGCTAATACAAAACAAAATTCATACACACTCACACACACAGCCATACGAAAGGTTTCATAATCAGGAAATTTACCATTTTTCGGTGTCTTCAGGCGGAGGAAATTAAGATTGTTGCTGCCGAAGATTTGACATTTGATATGCAATTTGAATAATTTTGGTAAGGCAATTAATAAAGCTACCTCAAAATGAAAATGTTTTGCAGATCTAATTTCCCTTTTCCTATCTCCCCAGCCGCACCAGCCACAACACTTCACTCCCCGCAAGTGCTGTATGTATGGCAAAACTAGTTCCAACATCAGAAACTACAGAAAATGCCACGGACAGCGAGCTTAATTCAAACACAGACATAAATCAATGAACGCCAAAGTCGAAGGCAGCCCAGAAAACAGAAATCAAGGAAGGTAGAAGCGAATAAATTGCACAGCGATGGCTGCGAGTGCCAGCCCGCCGTAGACTTAATATTATAGACATAATTGATTACACTTTGCACTAGAATTCAATCAGGCAACAACTGTATGAATATGAACGCAGTAATTCTCTGGGGTAAACTAAGGGTAAACACACTTTGTATCGATGAATGAGAAGCTATTCTTAGGTTTAAGTAAATAAGATGAGATTTAATTAAGATCGTACTGATCTTTCACTTTATGCTGCCTTTTTGGGATTACCCCAACTATAGTTGACGAATTTAAATGTTTTTAAATTCAAATTAGGGCCTGACCTTTGCTCTCAACATTTTAAATTAATTTAATAAAACTTTAAATTAGCTGTAAGCTATTTAAGCAGCCATTAAATGAGTTACAGGGTCTAGCCAAAGTCATTTAATTAGCCATAAAAACGCAGATATTTATGTGCATGTCAAATCTGAGTGCGGTCCCTAAGCAAGTAATGCAGAAAAAAGAGTTCGCTTATGATATGTGCGATGCAATCCAAACAAATTGTGTAAACTGCTGAAATATGCAATCAGCAAGCAGCAGGCAGCTTACAAATGACATTGAAGTGGCGCAAGCCACAGCCAAATGGACACATTAGCCAGATCATGCCACAGGCGGGCTAGTCCAGTCAACATGTGCTGCCCCGCCGAGGTGTGTCTCCCTCGCGCCATGTGTGCATGTCACTTGGGTGCTTTGGCTTGGGTTGGGTTGGGTCTAGTCGGGGCCTGATTGAAGGTTACAGAGCAATGTGATACAGCCATTAAACCACACATCACAGAGAGCAGTACGAACATATCTCTCCGCTGTATTAAGCACATCAATACAAGATCACTATTCTGCGTCTCTGACTTCTTTCTGCGACTCTGCCGCCAGGTTGAATGAACCATGGAGCGTCTTAAACGCCCACGGTGTGCGAGGGAGTTATTGGCTTGTTCTAGCCAAACGAACATGCCATGGAATAGGAGCCCAAGCCATAAGAGCTGCGGTCCGCCAGTTGCTAAGCCGAAAGGTTCAAAGCGAAGGCGTCGTCGCCATCGTCGTTGGAAGCAGCTGTCAACAGATGCGACAGATAAGCCAAATGGAAACCAAAAACCCCAAGCCGAAGAGTCTCATAATTTTCGCAACTTGATCTTGAGCACGAAATCTACAATTGTAGAAACAGAAGAGTGAGTGTACACACGTGTAAATTATGAGAGTTCATCCCATTACCCAGCATGCTGTATCCCTTGGTTAAGAAGCTGGCGTAAATCTTCTATGGCACACAGGTCATAAATCTGCTAAGTAACATGTTCTATGTGTACAACAATTTGTCATGTGGCCACAGCCTTAGCATTATCAATGATTTATGAGGAAGAAAATACAGCTACAGGTGGCATGGTCCATGGTCCATGCAGAATCCAATAAGTATTGTATGTGGCCAGATAGGAAAACGTTTCGTTTCCAACAAGTTGTATCGGAGTTAGACCGGATGGAGATGCTTCGTTTTCGCTTGCGTTTTTTTGTTTTTGTTTTCCGATGGCATTTATCTTGACCCGAAGGCAAAGTAAAGTTTTCATGGCTCATGGCTCAAATATTGCGAGCGTCGAACTGTAAAGCTATGAAGAGAAGCTAGCGCTGAACGGAAGTATGCGTTTAAGGTTATGGGCACAGGGCCAGGCTACACTACATCCACTATATCCACACGCAAACACAAACTCACCAGGTCGTCATTGCGCCGTTGAACAGACTGGAAATATTGAACTATTTCATTTGGATATAACTCTCTTATTTCCTGAAGTTGGACCGCATCAGGCTCATCGCAGCCCATCCACTTAACGACCAGATACAGATCATCTCCCATTCGAAAGCTGTGTATAACTCTCTCCAGCTTTAAGCCAGCAGGCTCTTCCTCATCCCATATCCTCTCTGGCGTGTTCTGTTATGGGGAAAGTGTAATCAGTCTCAAATGGAATTAATTGCTTGAAAGGAATGAAAGCAAACCGTCACTCGAAAACCTAATGGAAGAGTTCTTGGTTTCAGTTTGATGTCCTTTCAAATAATCAAATAATAGCTTTCTTACACAATCCTCAGCATCCTCCAGCGAGTAATTGGCGCGAGTTTTTTCGGTGTTCGTTGATAGCTTTTTCCCTGAGTCTTTCCTATGCTTCTTTGCAGCCTCCAGAATGTCGCCGAATTTTATTTTTTGCTTATTGGTAGGGAGCACTGGTTGAAGTTGGGATCGGCTTTGCTTGGTAGGTATAACTGGTTGGGGTGGGCTTTGCTTGGTAGGGAGAACTGGTTGGGATTGGGGTTGGGTTGGTTGTGCAGACGCGAAGCTGGAAGAGGTGGATGACGAGAAAGACGCCGATGACGAGCACGACGCGGAAGAGGATGCAGATGACACCAACAACTGCCTACGACTTTTTGGTTGGTTCAATAACGGTGGTGTTATTGATTCAAAGGCTGGCGATGGCTCGTCGTCACTGGAATCACTCAGTCGGAGACATTTCTTTTTCCAATCATTTCTTAGCTTCTGCTTTGGCTCTTGCCCTGGCTGTGGCTTTACCGGTGTGCTGCATCCATTATTCTGCACTTCAATACCCTGAGAAGCATTCAATTTCATATGTTCCTTCTCATCGACCGAGCGCTCCAAATTCCTAAGGTATACATCGTTCTCATACTTGGCCAGAAGATGGATGCATTTGCCAAGGTTCTGCATTGGCTCCCAGGTGCTACACTCTGCTTCAAAGCCCTCCCATTTGACAAAAAACTGGGTTTCTCCTTCATAAAAACGCTTTCCTTTGATTTCCTCAACAATGTATTCCCGATCAACTAAAGTGGCTTTGGATTTGGGCGATTTTGAATTCGTCGTTTTCTTTTTTATAGTTTTCATTTTTACGGATCGGATTGAATATTTCCACAAACTGTAGACAATCAGCTGCCAGCTGGTCCGAAAACTATCAGTGCTGCCAACTTGGGTTATTTTCTTGCGCGCAAGTTATTAATTGATTGAATTGATATTTATTAAATTAAACAATGCAAATAATGCACTATTTAGGAAATATTTCACTCGGCGGAACATTATATAAAGTAAAGCAAACAGCCCAACCGATCTGCTGTTGCACCTGTTTGTGCCCTGGTTGCCGCACTAAACTCGTTTACTCGCTCCTTTTTGGAGTGCGCCCCACAGCAAATGTGCATCAAAGCTGAGCGGAAATAACTGTGCTGTGTGTAAATGCGAATGTATGTATGTATTTTAATTGGCCATCGGGAAAATGTGCAACTTTTCTCTTTCGGCTCGTGTACATTTCATGCCACAGAAATTGAAATGGAGCGGTGTGTGTGTGTTTTCACTGGAATAATGCTCAGTTGGACAACAATGTCATTGGCAAGTTTCTCATCATTATGTTATGGCATGCAGCAAATGCCAATTTGCATAGATAGTATGTATGTAAAGTAGCAATTATTTATTTCCAGAGGCTCTGCGGACGGGGCCGGGTCGCCAAAATGCTGTCTGGCCAGTCGAGAAAGAAACTTCAGGTACTGTGACAAAAAGAGTTTAGTGTTTGTTAAGTCGGTGTCGGCGAGTCGGCCAACCTGTTACCGCTACAGTTATGATTTTGAGCTCAAAACTTGTGCCACAACTTTACCCATGTGCACATTTCTTTTTCATTTCACTTTCTTCACACACACATACACACAGGCTTATACATACTCGCGCAAGTACATGTGGTTTTGGTAGAGGTGGATAAGACTTCGATGTTTGTACGTAAAACATCGATGAAACATTATTGTCCAATAACTTACAAACTAACCTACTAAAAAATAGTATTTTTAAATCATAGAAAAAGTCAGTTAAAACTGTCTTCTATTAGCTTTCTTTCTTTTACAAAGAATAATAATAGAAACTGAAAAAACATCGATGCATCGATAGTTACATTGTTGTTTCACCCACCTCTACAAACGATTTTTTCTTAATTCGATCAAGTTAACAGCTCGATTGCTGGAAAGAAAAGAGGGGGCAGATGCAGGGGCAGAAAACAAAAGTGAAATTGACAACAAGGGCAACATGGAAAGGGCTGTGCTTTCGGCGCGAGATCATTCAAAGTCAGGTGGCGGCTTCACTTTCGTTTTCATCTCAACCTATTACAAAATAACCAATACCAATTCACATGCACATGCGAGTGTGAGTAACGCGTACTTGTATTTAGTATTTACTGTTTGATTTGCATAGTGGAACGCTGGGCTGGAGCTGGAAGAAACTTGTTTATCATTCTGCTTTTGTTGTTTTTAGTGTTTTTGGCTTTAACACGCGCGACAAAAATGTTTCTGCATTTAAAAATGTGACTAGTAGATTTCCATAAGTTGTATTTCTTGATTTCTGCCCAATATATGCTACATATGAATGTATTTACGTATGTATGTATGTTCGAGGTGTGCGGTGTGATCATCGCTTCATTAGCAAGTTAATTTTATTAACGATGCTTTTGTTGTTTTGAGACCCAAACAAAATTTGGTCTCGGCTTTTGAATTCGTTGTGCAGCAGAAAGGCTGTACATACATACATGGTATATTATATCAATGCCTTATGTAACAGATTAAAGTTTAATGTGTTTGCTGATTAATAAAAATAAAGCCGCCATGCGGTTTCTTATTTTGTATAAACACTATATACATATGTATGTATGTACATATGTATGGATGAAGACGAATATGAGACACCTGCAACGCTTTATCCAATTACTCTCAAACTGTGGTGGTTCTTTCATCAGAACAACACTCAGAATGTTTACTGTCCTGTTTTACGCCGAAACAACAGCAAATCTGGGTTAAGAACTCTTTTTCTGAATACGATTCCCACTCAATGTTAAACAGTTAACCCAATATTTACCCTGCTTTCGGGGCGACAAAATGTTTATTGACATTTCACTGACATTTTAATGCTTGTGTACAAAATGAACAGAGTCATCCCAAAGCAGCAGCCGTGGCATACCGCAAAGAGCCATAAAAAGGTTGCCAAAAAAGGCCAAGCCATCAAAATTGCAAACCCCCTTGGGGGTAAGAAGTCGAAATCAACTGCAGGTGCAACCAAATTTGCTGTTGACGGTTGATTAAATGCATACCCGTATTTGTTTAAACGCAAGTCAAACTGCAAATTTATTCACAGTTTCCTTAACTTTTTTTTGATTTCTGCCAGAACTGAACATTCACAAAGACAACTGAGGGAAAAAGGAGCGAAAAAGCCACCTGCGAACAGGTGTAGGAAACCCCCAGCAATCAATCCACCGGGTGAAAGGTAGACTCCCTGCTATCGACATATTGTGGTGTATCTATTTATCGTTTAAATTATCCCAAAATTTTGTCTTGACATTTTCTGTTTTATTCGCAGATTTCTACTAAAAAACCAACAGATTCGAAGACAACTAAAAGCGGGAGCTTCATGGCAGAGATAATGTTGACAATCTGTAGATCTCGGCGACTTTTTTGTTAGCTGCACGGAAGTCTGGTACGTGTTTTTATTTTTATTTGGGCTTTATTACTAAGCGCATCCGTTTCGTTTCTTTTTGTTTTCGTGACAATTCACAACAGTTTAAGTTTAATTTTGAGTTTTTAATTTTGAACACGCATTTATTGTGGCTGTTCTTTTAATCAGAAGAGACCTTCGGGAAGTTCCGGCTTGTAAGAGACGGCACGAAAGAAATCTCACGGCTCGAAAATGCCGTCGACGCCATCGAGATAAATTAGCATGGGGTGAATCAGCCGGAGTTTGGGTATCTTTTTCGGTCTTTTTCTGCTGCTCTTAATGAAAACACAAAATATGAGCACAGATAACATGACAACGACATCAGCAGCAGCAGCAACAATAGCATCAGATTCCAATGAATATGACTTAAATATATGTATATTAAAGCAGGGCTTAGATAGTTAGATACCCTTACAGATTTATGGGTTTATGTGCCAGTTTTATATAAAGTATATTTGGATCAAATAGTAAATTATAGTGATGAGCTGCAGGCGGCTACGGATAGCCGTAATACCCTGTGCAAGGGTATTTATAAAAAGCCATATGTAAAACCCACTCACCTTGTGCGCTGACACTGCAGAAGACGAGGCAGAGGCATAGCCAGATGATGGTGCCGCCGGGGAAGTAGTAGAAGAAGCTGTGGCAGAGGGGCGCCGACGCTGACAACGTCGGTCGCTTCACTTTGCCAGACATGGTTGTTTCTTCCAACTCAAAAATGTATCCAAAATGTTGTTGCTTTATTTGTAATTTGCAAATATTTTGGTTGTTGTTACTTTTTGTTCAACTTTTTTATAAGCGCTTTTGTAAATTATCGTTAAATTATCTGTTGTTCGGTATTTGCATTTTGTTATTGTATATTTTTTAATTGATGGCTCCAAAGGCGAATTTAGTCAAGAGCGAGAAATTGTTTTTGGTAGGCTGTCGGACGGGTTTTCTGGAATCAATTCGCGAGCGTTGTGTTTTGGGGGGTTTAACCGTTAAGTTATAATTAATAATGAATGTGATTTGTTTGTGGATCTTAATGAAAGGGTTCAAGGCTGCTTTGCTTCGTCTACTCTGTACATAACTAGAATTGTGTGTGAGTAGGCTAAGTTCTGCACATATATGGCGGGGCCTAATGATGCTCCAATGTCAATGGACTCGTTCAAATACTAGATATTGTAAATGGTATGGGAAATTTAATTGGTCGCAATTATGAAATACTGAAGGAAAGATTCTCTAGATTCCGAAGTTATTGCTTTGGGAAAGATTCAGCTGAGAGAAAGAACTTTGGAAGAGAAAAGACTTCTTTTGAGTTTGAGTGAATTAACATTCGATTCGGATACCTCTTTGATTAATTTCTACTTATCCAAATTAGCCATTCTTTTTTTTTTAATTTATTCTCCATCTTCAAATAGATTTAAGATTGGTGTACTTTTTAATGGAATTTATTTTGCGTTGCTTTTGGCACCGTTTCTTTTTCTTTCTTTTTTGTTGTTGTTTTGTATTCACTCTTTCAGCAGCACGCGAACTTGCAAAATAATCCCAATAAATTTTCACTTGTTGCTCTCGAGCACTCTGTCAAAAAAATAATGGCAGCATTCACCTTGAATCTGTCTTTGCTATATAAACACGAGCCACATAATATATGTATCTTTGCTGGAGTTGGAGGTTCGTTTTGTTTTGTTTTTTTTGTGTTTGTTTGTTGGTTAGCTTGCAATTATTTATGTGATTTTTCGTTTCGTTTCTTTGATTTGTTTGTTTGTGCGGCTGTCACTGGTATTTTTCTCTTCTGCTGTTTGGCCTTTTACCTCTAGAAACTATCGCCTTTTATCAGCCAATGACCTTGGCTTGGCTAATTATACAAATATTAATAACTTTTAATTAACGTGAGGGGCTTCTTTGCTCCATGCACAATTCTTATGCATTTTATGGCAGTTTCTACTTAATGTCGGAGGCCAGCATTATCGTACATTTAACACGAGAATCTCAATGCTATAACTACACATGTATGTTTGTGTGTATGTAGATGGATGGGTATTCCTATGGCTGTGGGTTGGTGAAACGAGTGCAGTGCACCCCCGGCACAGTGGGGCCACACAAGCGATAATCCATGCAAACTTTGTAAGCTATCAAAGCAAAGTGAAAATTTTCCACTACAGAAAAGGCGAGAGAGAGGGATCACCACTGGTTGGTGGTGGGGGCGGAGACGGAGACGCGGTCACTGTTTTATGACGCCCGAAACAACAACGGTAATGCAAAATTACGCGCTTTGCATACGTAAAAAAACAAACGAAAATCCCGTAACGTAATCGACGAACGAACCCGACGCACTTGCTGCGATCAGCGGCAGAGAGAGAGAGAGAGATAGAGCGACTGAGAGAGGGGAGGGAGAGGCACTTACAAATCACCGACTTGACGATATCGTTTTTTGGTGGCAATCGAACGACATTCACTTGGCCAAAACCAAAAAAGCAACCGGCGGCAGCAACCAAACTGTTTCGAATCAAACTGAAGAATGACTTGGTGGAAGCCGCACCAAAAGCCAGCCAAAGCCAGCAGAGCAAGAGCAGAGTGGCTAAAACACGTTTAAGCCAAGAAAAGTGCGGAGAGCGTGAGCGAGTACCACCAAGAGCCAGAGAGGGTAAACGTGAGCGCGTGGCAGTTACAGCTGTCGCGTCAATTTAGCCAAGAGGCTCCTGCTCCAAAGTTGAACACTTCACTCTTGCATTGCAGTGAAGCTCCAACTATCCTGTCCCACTTTATATTTCAGTTGTTTGAAATGATTTCTTATGAGTCCACTGCAAAAAGGAAAAAGCAAACTAATTATGAAAAAAATTAACAAACTATTAAGTTTCAATCAAGAAATGTAAGTTTAATTTTAATTTTGAAAATGAACTTGTGAACTTTCTCGTTTTGGTGCCATCTGCTGTGTAGAGAGTAATGCCGAGGGTTCGTGTCTTTGCTTCAAACTTTGTAAAATGTACATGACCATGCATGTAGAATGTAGTTACCATGTAGCAGAAATGTCGAATCATTCATTAAATTTTTTTTAGTTTAAATTAAACTGTTTTTTTAAAATAATGCAATGAAAATAAACGCAAAGCCTTTGAAGGAATTTTTTAAAGTATTTACTTGCTGTGCAGATTAAAATTATAAAGTTTGATGAAACTTTGTCTAGTTCTCAATTAATCTAACGCCACAGCTCGTCAACTGTGTTTGGTAGCGCATATTGGGCGGGGCGGCAGTTCAATTAGCCTAATTTCGCCCTTTCATGCATGCATATGCCCCTGTCCAAATTAGCCGGACAAAATCTCGGTTAAAGCAGATAAATTACAGAGCCAAAGAGCCACGAGATAAGAGTACGCGTAGAAGTGCGCCCTGATTGACCATAGATAGATGGATGGATGGTCTGCGAGGAAGGGCAATGGGCCATGCGGATGCGGATGCAGTTGCAGAAAAGTGGGGGAATACCTTAGGGGCGATTGCTGGGACCCTAGCTGCGTATGCGTGATATAAGCGCAACGTTCAGCAGGAAATATGCAAATGATGTGATGTCACAACGCCAACTTCGATGCGCCACTATGTAAGCGCCTCGAACTGGAATACGAAATAGCTGCATTGTCCACCTGTAGCCCAAAGCAATGCAGTAGTGGGTGTCAATGTCCAATGGCTGCTCAGGAAAGTGCGCTGCTGTCTATTCCGTGCCGACTGTTATTTCTGCCTTCTAGAAAACTCGAGCTCTTCCGTTTTGCTATTTTTTAATCTATTCGCTGCTGCAAGCATCTGCCACTGACAAGGCATCTTTTTCGCGCAATTTCACAATTGCCAAAGCAAAAGAAATGAGACAGAAATAAAAAAGAAACCTGCTCATGACATAATCCTGTCAGACTTCTATCTAGAAATATCCAAAAACTCCTTTATTTGAGTGCTGCTGGGGCCCATGGAATGCAAAGGAATGAGTGGATTATTTACGCACAATATTTTATGGTTGCCTTTGGCCTCATTCCATCCACATTTCACTCGTGTTCTTTTTTGGCACAGGAACGCTGGCATTTTACCCACTGACATACTGAAGCCACACAGTGAAGCCCTCAAGTGCAAAGCGCATTGGGTACTTCTTCCTGTGGAGAGCGAACCAGAGTTGAGTTTTCTTTTTGGCTTTCCGAACATTAGCTATTACCTTTATGATGCGTTTTAAGTCTACGTACAGCCAGATTTGATTGACCTTTTATGAAAGGGTTTATAAAGACCCAGGACCCAGGCCCTCAATTGGTAGATTTTTTTCTTTATTTATGTCTCTGCTATATGTTACTCCAACATTAATCTTCATGGTCAGCTTTAGCTTATGTTTTAAAACAATTAATTAATCAATGAGAGAGAGCTAAGGCAACTCTACTTTTTCCTAGGCCATGCCACCCATCAATCGTTTAGGCATTCATTTTTGTCTTTTTCATACAGATAAATATTTGAATTGCTATTGTAATACATAAGGCACTAAGTGAACCGATTTCTATTGTTCCCGGGATTCATGCATATTTGACCTGCCCATAAAACGTGATGCCGTCCGAAGCGCACATGTGGCGCACACAAATTCAAATGTCATAACTCAAGTGCTTGAGGAACGGTTGGAGAGCCAGAAAGAATAGACAGAACCCAGAGGAGGGCACAAACACGTACTAAGCACACAATTCAGACAGCGATTTGTCATTATTTTTGCATGCAACCGACCGGAAACGAAAACGAAAACTTAGCCGCACTCGGGGCTCAAGTTCTTTGATTGCAAGTAAAACTTGGATGTTGACGTACAACTTTGTGGGCAGCTGTGTCGAGGACCAAAGCAATTCTGACTTTTCATCGTTGCAGCTGTTGTGGCCCTATCACCAGCCCTATGCCGCTTCCTGTGCCCCGCTGATAAATGAACGACCAATGATTAGGCAGGGGATGGGCAGGGTGACCCATCAAAATTCGCCGCGTTTTTGTCGTTCTATTTTGACAACAATGTCAAGACCTATCTGCAACTTTCAGAGGAAATCCCTGGGATATGCATCCTATCCTAGCGCAGACTTCCCCATGCGGATGCTCTTTAATGGGATAATCTGTAAAGTTTCGAGCTCTATGACTCAATAGCGGACAACAAATTTATTCCTTGGTATTGCTTGCAAGAAAGTATCCACGAATGGCATCGATTGGCAGCTCTAGCTCCTATATTCGGTTGCTTATTTTGGGGCCAATTGAATAGATAGATATACAGTATTGATCACAACGAATTCGATTTATTTTGATTTAAGCCAACTTTGTTGGCTGTTGTTCCTTCAATTCTAGTGGGCATAAATCCCATGCCAATCGAGAATTTTCATCAGCTTCCAGTGATGGAATTGCTCCACTGACTGGAGCTAATTTGATTAAAAAGGGTTTGTGCCCCCCATTCTGACTGCCCTTCTGGCCCTTTATCCCGCACAACAGCAAACAAATAAAATCAGCGAATCGGAAAAAAAGATTTATTCTATCAGGACTCCAAAAGTTTCGCCATTTGGACGCCTTTCGCTATTGGGATAAAAAAAAAAAGTTGTGCCAAGTTCTGACCAATGGAGAGATGAAACCAAAAATTTCATTTGAAAGGGAAAATTAATTAAACAAGTGTCTGCCACTTTTGAGATCATTTCCTGTGGGTAGATCCAAAAATAATAATTTACTCGAATAAGTACTGGTTAAATAATACAAAAAACTGAATTTAGAATTAAAGTTTACGCAGAAATCTTTCACATTTGCAAGGCCATAAAATTGTGTCGTATCGTGAAGAGATATTTAAGGCACTTGACCTTTGGCGAAATAATAAAGAAGAAAGCTTACAAATTTTTGTGGCATCTTTATAGAAATTCCTTTGTCTGTAGGCAAATGCATAAATCGACTCGCCAATGGGACAATTCGAGCGAATGTCCTTTTTTTTTTTGCTGTTTGCTCAAGTGCCGTGGGGCAAGGCCAGTGCCTCATGCATGCTGTATGCTGGATGCTGGTTGAGCGGGATGAGTGCCACTCAGCTGGTGATGCGGGTTCAAAATCAAATCCAAACTAACACGCACCACTTATTTCCTTTCCTCTTTTTTGTATGCTCTCTAAAGTTGATGTATTCTTTGGGCGGAATCAGCGCCTTCACTTTGAGTGGGGCATTGTGAATGTGTGGGATTGAATGGAACCTGGTGACTTTACATATTTAATTGCGTAGTGGTCTACTCTGCCTTTTGATGGCATTTTTTGGGGCTTTAATTAGATGTCACACAAGGCGTATGCTTGATGTCACTCAACTGGCAGGTGCTGCTCCCTTTACCCTTACCCGCTTGGCTAATGATGAAGCCAGCTTCATATGGTGTCAGATATCGGAGGTTTTCCCTGGTTCCCCAGCAATTAGTCGTTGAGAAAGTCGTTGCTCCCCACCCTCGCATCTCTAAGCTCTAGTATTACACGCTGCCACTGAATGTGGGGCCGGCTCTTGTGGCTCTTGTGGCTTGTGGCGTTGTGGCCAACCGCCAGCTGTGATTGCTCCCGAAAGGGGCTTAAAGTCAAAAACAAGTCGATGTGGATGGAGAACCACTGCATGGCCTGCCACTAGACCATTGGGTATCAAGTTGTAAATGCCTAAAATATATTCGCAGAGCCAGATTCGGCCGGGCGGAGAAGTTTAAGTCAGATGAGACGACGGGGTCGAGTGGCCGATAATATACGAGTGGCGTTGTTCTTGGCAGGGATTAGGAGGTGGGTAGGAGGTCCCTGGCACGGTTGTATAATTTTAGCTAAATATAAATCAGCAGGTGGTGATTTTTGGCTACTGCTTCGCTTGCAGGGTGATAAAACAGGAACCGTAAAATTGTGCGGCATACGTTTAGGAAATATCTAAGCAGGATACCATGGCGGGGAAAATGTTTAATGCTAAATAATTTTTAAGGTCAAACTTGATTAGCTTTGTGCTTAGGTTTTTAGTATTTTAAAGCTTTTTAAGTCGTTGTCCCTGAAGGGATCGATCCTTTGCTAGCAACAATTTGCCACAGCTTTAAAGCCCCAATAGTGATTGTGCTTAGCATATTGGCATAAGAATATTTCCCATTACTCTGATCCAATTTGGGCATTTAAAATGCATAGCCAGCTGTCAGAGGCATCAAACCAGAAGGCGGTTCTCGTGTCCCAGACGATGCCGTCACCCACACAGTCAGGCGACAAACCGCCTACACAAGAAAGTAACAAGCGAGGGCTGCCGCTGGAGGCCGAGACATTTGATACACTTGTGGAAATATCTTTACAATGGCAGCTACATGAAATATTAATCTCGTCAGAAGTACATGACTATATCGACTTGGCTGTTGATGCTGATAAATGTAGAATATGCAGACTGACTTATTGGGTCGGAAAGACCTTCCACTCTCTGCCCTGCAAATGTGTATATGTATATGTATAGTGAAAACGAGAATACCCTTTGTAAAGGTATACAATTTACTCAAATTAGTCTGACTCACACACAGAGATTAAAAACGTGTGAGTGCGAGAAACAAAAGTGCCCTCCGGCCTATTGAGTGCCAATTTTTATGCGCCTAATGCGTGCGTGTGTGTGTGTGTGTGTGTGTGCATGTGTGCAGATTAGTCCTACTCAAAGCAATTTACGATTAGGCCACGACTCTTCGTCACGCCGTCTCCACGAATCATTGACTTCACCCTACCACACACTGCCCTCCCCTTTATCCTCGCACCACAAAATTGGAATGTTGTTAAGCTGCTGTGCTTTGCACCTTGAGGACTGTGCTTACATTTGTGTCTTTGTGTGCGTCTCAAATCGTTTTATTTATTTACCACGCCAACATTTCTCCATTAACCTCACCACCCTACGTTCTGCTCTACCCTCTCCTCCACATATGCACATACATACATATATATATATGTTTTATATGGCTTTAGCTAGGCATTATTATTGTTATTGCTTTTCATGTGTTTTTGTGTCTGTGTTTGTCTTTGCCTTTGCCTTTTCCTTTGTTTTTCTTAGTGTGCGTGTGTTCCGGGGTTGTTACATTTCTCATTATGGCCCCCAGTCTCACCTCTCTCCTCTCACTCCCATTCTCACTCTCTCCCTCAGCCCCAGCACCTTGTACGTGTTTGAATTTGTTTTTGTGGTTTTCAAGTGTCGCTACTAAAATTAATATTAACGATCGTTTAACTTAATTCACTTTCTTACGGCTACTTAATTGGCTGAACAAATAAAGTAAGCATAATCGAAGCGGATGAACCATTAAAGTTCGAGTAATCAAATTAAATACGGTTTCGGCTTTCGGTTTCCAAAGACAGAACTTTATGCCCCTTTTGCTTCTGTCTCTTCACTTAATCCTTATTCTAGTCATTCTGTTTTTAAGCACTCAGTGGATCGTTCTATCTAAAAGGCTTTCTAATAACTGTGAAAACCAAAGCAATCAAATTAATTGCTGTTTAATCTTTAGTTGATTCACTTTGAATTGCATTGCAATTTCTGCATACTAATTATGCCAAAAGTCCAACGTTTCACACCACAACCTCATGAATCATCCAACCGAATGTCCACTGAAGTCGTTGCCACTTCAACGGGCAGGGTTTTTGCTAATTAGACCAAAAATCAACGGTTATTTTGGACAAATAAATTTTCCGCCAGGCAAAATATAATAAAATTATCAAAATAATCGCATGAAGACCAAAAATAAACTTGATATTTGAGCCCACAAAAACGCGGCGCGCCTGAAAAAGACACAAAATGAAAGCTTAGCTGATGGGGATGATGGCTGGAGAAGGGCCTGCCCTAGGAACTGCAGAGGGAACGACAAACACTTTGGACAGTTAATAAAGCCGGGATAAGCACTCCTCGCCTTGACTTGATGACAACTTGACGTGGCCGCTCCGCCGAGTGGCATCATGCCCCATGCCCCATACCCCATACCCCATGATGGTTTATTAAAAGTGAGCAGCGAAAAAACGAAGAGAGAAATGTAACAACAAATATAAGACATTTATTTATATACATAGTACATATCTGTGGTTGGTTGCCATGGCAGAGATAAGACAAGAGACCTCTCATAATGGCCGGATGATGGGCAAGGACATGCAACGCAATCGCAGAACAGACACAGGCATAACCTTATCACGTAGCTGACAGATCAACGCACTCCCGACGCGTTCGACATTTTCATGGGTTAATTTAATTTCTGCATCTGTCTCGATGTATCCAAAACACCACCCACCCATCCGGCAAACAGCGCCGCGGCGTAAATGTGCGTCCGAGTTAAGCTTATTGATTTGATGTCACATTTCATTGGCCCTTAGGGGCCCAAAGAACTCCACAGAAGTCCCGGAAATTGATTCAGGAAACGTGAATGATTTTCAGAGGTGGATTTGTGGCTATTTATAGATGATGTCCAATGTTTGAATTTGCTGAACTTAAAGAGAGAAATGTAATAAATACAGTAAAGTTCCAGCTATTTTCCACCATATGTAGCTATGTAGATTGTAGAACGATGTAAAATCCTTAATCTGAATCTTTCTGCTTGAATCAACCTCTTTTGACTGAAACCCGAGTAACAGCCGACTTTTTGACATATTCCCAGAACTTTTTCCCATCCCAGATCCAATCGGTTTTTAATAGAAATGGCAGAGAGGCAAACGAATAAAAACCCGAGCAACGAACTTTGAGAAGGCCCAGCACTTTGTGGGGTCTGTTGTGATGCGAACTCTAGATTATGGCGACTCCACCTTTTGTGCTGGCGGCCAAACCAATTAATCTGCAGGCCTGTCCCATGCAGAACCGAAAAAAAAACCCCCACAGAGTTTCCCTTTTCTCTTTTTAGGTCGCGACCGGCCTGCTATACTTTGCGTTTATATGTATGACAAAAAGTTTTCGCATAAGGGGTGCGGTGCAGTGCTTAAAGTTGTCTACAAGCCGCTACCCAGCAGTTCCAAAAGATGGTCTCAGTAATTTAATTTCCCATAAATTGTCATGGCTTTTACATGGCAGAAACATCTTGTTGCGGTTCTAGTTATACCCACGCATCGCCTTTCAAGTGACAGCCGAGTGGGCCGGGTGGGCTGCCAGTGACAGAGGGAAAATAAAACATAAAAACTATTTCAACGCACAATTTACATTTATTGTTCAACTATTTTCTGGCACATACAAATATATATTTACAAAGTCACTGTGATTAGCTATAAATGGAACATCTAACATGGCGTATTACTATATAGAATTATAAAATAAAATTACAGACACATTTTAAAATATGTATGTCTCCGTGAAATGGTTTCGCTTAAAGCCGTGCACACGGCTGCAATACTTTAGTTTGGAACAGACACAGTTTACGTTTCGGGGCTCAACCCTATGACTAGACACATAGAAAACACATGCATACATCTACATATGTATAAACGTTGGTGTTTGGGTGGGAGGTATGTACAATTCGAGAAAGTTACCAACTTTGTTTTAGTGCAGGTTTTACCTAAAAGAGAGCCTATATTTTAATGGGAGAAGAGATGGGGAACTTCGGGCATCCCTGAAAAGTGTGCTATAAAAAACTAAAGAGAATTTAAAGCGAAATTAATCTCAGCTAAAATAAATATATATTTTTTCATTTATTGGTTAGCTTATTTTGTTCATCTGCTAATCGGATGGATGATTCAGATACTGCCTGACTTCCTGTAAACTCCCTTAAAACTAGCATTCGTGTCTGCACTGTGCTGCGGTTTCAATTCAATAGCGACTGCTGCTGCCTTGGTGGCTTTGTCCGCTGTGAATAGTCGTTCAGCGGCGAAAATTCATAGCCCGGCGTCACCTCGTTGTGAGTGGCGAGGTCTACGGATAAAATTGGGGCGCCATTGTGGCTCTGGGCCCCATTCGGCAGCGTCGTTATCGTTGTCTCCTGCAGCCGAGAACTGTCAAAGGGAGGGGAAAATTACTGATTTTTGGGGCGTTTTGTGGGGGGGTCAAAGGACATGTACGGACTCACCTGCGGATGGTGCTCTGATAGCAGGAATGCCGTGACTGATAGCGCTTCGAAGCGGTGCTGGTCAACGAGGTGTCCCGGTGCATGCAGAAGGTGTCGTTCGCTTGGTTCCGCTTCTTGCGATGTCCGTTCGCACCGCGACAGAACAGATATCTGCAGGAGATGCCCCAATGAGAATGCAATAGAGTCGCCACACAAACGGAACGTATTCTACTTTTCAGCGAGAGTGTGTCTCTGTCTGTGTGTGTGTTGGTCTGTCAGTGTGTGTGTGTGTGCGAGTTTTCGTGGAAGTAAATGCATAAAAAACTAAAGAAATCTGATGGCAATCGGGTTTGGTCAATGGTTATGTTGATTACATTGGAAACAAATGTTGAAAAACATAAAAAAATATGTACATATGTAGGTGCCAGGATTATCCCTATAAAAAAGGTACTTTGAGAGAGATGAAACTTCACCCAACTGTCTGTAGCTTTATCAATGGATAAAAATAATAATATCGAAGGTTAAGAGTCAAGGAAGTTCAATAATGTTTAGGTCTTTGGAACAAGCATGAAAAGATAAGGATAAAGAGTTCTTCGAATGAAAAAATAAATAAGTAATAATGTCTTCCATCAAAAGCTAAACATTTTCCATTGAAGTTGAAATGAAAATCAAAGCGATATAACAAACCTATCCAATGATTTGAAACGAACTGAAAACGAATTCATACAGATGCAGCAAACCAGAAACTAAACCATAAATAAAATAAAAAAAAAAAACAGATTCAAACTCGAGTCAAGTGTCATCCGCATGATAGAACACGAGTATTAATATGTGTTTCCAATTGTAGTTGTGGGCAATCAAAAGCAAAGTTTCAAGTATCGTTTGGTTCTGTGGGTGGACTTGGTTGGAGTTTGCGTTTTGTTTTTAGTTTTAAGAGATACAAATTGCAGTTGGCTTACGCTTACAGTTACGTTACTGGTTTACCGGTTAACAGTTTTCTATTGGTTTGTTATCGTAATCGTTACCAGGCTATTGATAATCGTTTAGGCATGCTGTCATGCTGCTGGTTGTGGTGGAGTGATGTGAATGAACAAGTACCTATTGAAATGCTTGCGAAAGGCGCCGCTGACAAAGTAGAGGGCCACCGGGTTGGCACAGCTGTTGGCGAATGACATGCAGTAGGCGGCGATGCGCAGGACATGCCAGAATGCATTGTAATCCTCCTGGGCAGTTGGCCTGCAAGTAAATATACATACACACACGTGAGCATCAAGAGCATCGACTCGTAATGGAGATATCAGCGTTGAAATTGATTGTCCCGCACCCACCGCCACCGCCACTGTCGATGCGAACAAGTGTCGAACAAATGGCAACAACATTACTCATCCGCAGGTCCCGCCAGCACCACACACACACGTCCCTGTGCCCCGGCCGGTCTGCTGGCAGGTTCCTTTTTATCCGCATGACAAATTGACTCTTCCATCCATGCATTCATGAGCAGCTCCGCACAGATCCCTTTCACAGTTCATAAAAGCACTCACCAGTAGTAGAACCAGAGGAAAAATACGTGGTAGGGCAAAAAGCAAATTCCAAAGATGACAACAAATGCCAGCACTGTCACAGCGACTTTGCGACGGGCTCGAACCTGCAAGAAAAAGAATGGGTAAACGTCGTTATGTTCTCTTCTTTTCTGTTCTGTTCGTTTCTGTTAAACGTAAAGCAGCAGTCGAGATTCCATCAAATTCGTGTGGCCATAATCTACATCGCCAAAGACTCTCCCTTTGGGAGTAATAACATGGATTGGGATTTCAAAACTATTCTCTTCAGAATATTTCGCGCTGTTTGCTATGGCCCGAAAGTGTGTGGAAAACGAATACGAATTTGTCTGTCTGTATATATACCTCCATGGCATTCATCTCTTATTCGTTGAGTTAAACGAAAAGAAAAAATTATTTGTCCCTGGTTAAGTTCGTATAAATATTTAATTCCACTTAAGTGGAGTAAGTGGAAAAGTTTCTTGCCAATTTTTTGTCGGTAAAAAAGTTACATACGTGTGTACATATATAACTATTTATTTCTGATAAATTTATTGTTGAAATTTATTTATTTAGAAATTTAAGGGTTTAATCTGTGCCAAGTAAATTGTCGAGGGGGCGACGGAACATTTTGCCACCATGCGATTCTATGTGATTCCAAAAACTTATATCTACTCACCTGTCTGACAGCTCCCTGAATTTCGCCGGGAACACTCGCAGTGTACATCAGATGCAGCGCAATGAGCACATAGAAAATTGCTATTATCACCAACGGAATGGCATAGTAGACTAGGAAGTGCAACAAGACCATTGTCTTGGCATAGTTTGTGCCCCAAGCATCCGGATAGGGATAGCAGATGACAATCGACTTTTCCTGGCTAATGCTAAGATGCTGCAAGAGTTGCAAAAGTGAAATTAATTTTACGAGTTGCGGATTATTAAGGCAAAACGTGCCTTGAGATTGCTTCCGATAAGGGCTGGGAGACCGCATAAAATGGCCAAGAGCCAAATGGAAACCGCTATGGCCAAGGTCATGCGTGTGGCACGTCGTCCGCCTCCTGAAAGGAGACGTACAAAATATTGTATAAGTGAGTAGCACATTATATCCGTCTTTCTGTTTTATTATATATCTTACCATGAGCATGAAACTTTCGCAATGGATCCACAATGGCAAAGTAGCGATCACCGGAGAGGGCTGTCAGTGTGAATACCGAAACACCAATCGATACATCCTTCATGAACTCCGACAGACTGCACAAGAAGCTGCCGTAGGGCCAGTATTCAACGGTGTAGATGGTGGATGCCAATGGCACTGTGGTTATGATGACCAAAAGATCCGCCAGGGCCAGCGAAAGTATATAGCTGGAAGAGACAATTTATGTATGTTTAAAATGTAATGTCGTGCCAAGGCGGCTCCCCCAATAGATTTATGTTTTACTTCTTGAGATAAGCAGGGCTGACTTTGCAAGGGACATTTTTGGCTTCCAGCACGTGCCCCTTCAAGTGTGATACAAATTCTGCGCATCGTTGATTTATGCGAGCGAAGTTTTAGGCAAATTTTTGCGAGACAGTTGTCGCTGACTTGGGCCCAGTACAATGACCGATTAAATTGATTTATAAGCCTAAAGCTAAAGCTTTATTAAGTGGAGACAGCAGTACAGTTCCAAAATGAGTTTCTCTCGCCCTTAAAGTGCGAATGGACTGCTTGAACAAGCAGTAGCGAAGGGTGTCATATGCCTACCACTCTCTTTTACAGCATAGATAGAGAGAGAGAGGGAGCAAGCGAGACTCGACAGTTGAGCGCAGTTATCTTTTACCATTCCCCCGCAGAGGGTACGGCACACTTAAACTCTCGTCTCCTACAGTGGCAGAAAATAAATTGCTCATAGTGGCAATTCGGTCCGTGATCTCATATAGTAATTTCGCTTTTATCCAACCTCTCCGCTTACCATAAATAAGCTGCATGTGGCACTTTGTTTGCCACGTTCTGCTGCCGGAAATGCACCACCAAATTACATTTTTCAGTAGCTCCGAGCTCCCAAAGCCGATAAGGGTCTGCTTCGTTCTGCTCCGACTCTGTTTTGGTATTTAAAGTCCCCCGTGTTGGTTTCGTTTGGCTTGGAAAGGTCTGTCGCCTGACTACGAAATGCAATTTCAGCGTAATTTGATCAGTTGACATTTCCTTTAGCTTTTGGCTGAACTGAAGAGTGCCAGACAGCTGGTATTTTGTGCCCAGGGTTGTGCATGTCTTTGGCTTATGTCAAATACGTTTTTCCATCATCTCATTGACTTCCTCATACGATGATTAGTTTGTTGTAAATTCACAAGGTCAATTGTATGGGAGTGTGTGTGCTTGAGTTAGTGTTAGTGTTACATCTCAAGTGGTGGCTCTCTCAGAAGTACAGTGCCTGCGCTCTCATGAGTATCTCCACCAACAAGGTGGAATATTTTAATTGGCCACGCCACAGCTGCCTAAGCTGTTCAAAGTGGGAAATAAATATTAAATTTAAAGTCTTTTTCTCTGAAAATATGCTTAGTTACTTTGCTCTTTAGCATAATCCCATTGCCTGTTCTTTCATTCTTTTTTTCTAAACAAGCTGAGCGACAGCACTGTAACTTCGGTTGCTCTTCATTTGTCTCTTACTTTCCATCTCCTACACTGCCCTCCACATCATCCGCATAGTAACCAGCTGGCACTTTTCTGTGTTGTGATACATCCCACTACTACATACATATATTCATATGTCAACATTCTGAGCTACACGACTGTGCTTAAACAGTTACTTATCTTCGTCTGCGCTTTAAGACTGCTTATCTCTCTCGCTCTGCCACTCTCCTACACTAGCCTCACCCACATAGTCTCCAGCTGCCGCTTACACTGGTCTCCCCCAAAACGAGGGGCCTAGGCGTAAGGGCACACTAACTTGATTTATGACACACAATTTATGAAGTACAAAAATCCCCCTCACACACACACACACACACACCACACACATCACAGACATGACTAATTAGTTTCCTGTGGAGGGAGGAGGCGAATGCTTCAACAGCTGCCAATCGATTCCGTTTGTGTAGGGACAATTTTAAGTAAAGTCTGGCAGGAGGCGGTAACAGCATTATCATTATCATCACTGCCTGTCCTCCTAGCACAGCCCACCACTTAATTAACTTATGGGAAGCCCCGTTGAGGTTGGCGTATGTGGCCCCAGAGGCTGGTGGATAACTTTCGGGGGGAAACTCGTGACATTCGCTCTTTTGCATGCATAATTTGGCGCACACTTTGTTCCATTGCGCAACATACTCGTATAATTAAATTCAATTTAAGTTTGCCATAAATCAAAAACTTATTTCCCCACAATCTCAGTGGACGTAAGTGGACTCGACTGCTTGATGTCCTGCAATCATACAAAAATCTAATTCCAGCCTATGCAAATATCTCTTTAGCTCGCTTCAAGAGCTTCGTAGGTTAAGGTGTTTAGTCAATGAAAATACCCTGCAAATGGGAGGATATATGGTCGCTTAATCCTCCATTTGAAGGGAGGGTAATCTTTTGCTGTCCCTGGACTCACGTGTTTGGAACATTCCGCATTTGCCGCACACTTAGGAACACCACAATAAGTGTCCCATTGCCCAGGACGCCGACCACAAAGATCAGGGCAAACAGGATGGGCACAATGTAGGTCTCCGGCCGCCTACCGTAGGGCACATAGGGAGTCTCGGTCACCGGCACGCCGCTGCCATTGCCAAGGCCTTCGACGAGTGGCGGCATCCCAGTGGCCGTTGCCACGGCCAGCTCCCAGAGAGCTTGAGTGACGTTTAGCGGAGTCGACCCCGACCCCCCAATGTCAATGTCATGAGTCCTGTGCTTGTCCGTGCTCATGCCCGAGTCCATCTCGATGGCGATGCTGCTAATGACGTTGACCAAGTTGGCTATCATTGGGGAACCTGGGTACATCCTCCCGCTGTAAACTGCTGACTCCGTACGATTCTGGTCCGTTCAATGTTGTTACTCGCTCGACAGCAAAAACCGGATTTGTTTAAGCATAAAAGATTAATTGCTCGTTGCTAGTTGCTGCATGTTGCACAGATCTCTGCATTCGATGCGATGCTTGTATTTCTGCAAACAAAAGAAAAAATGTATTTGTACCATAAAAATTATTCAATTTGTTTTTGTTTTTGTTGTTGATTATTCGACTATATGGCATTCGGTTCTGAATTTTAGACCCATTGTTTAATGGTTAAATATTGTGAGTATTTACCAAGCGATTGAACACAGTTTGATTTTAGTTTGGGATCTGCTAGAAAGGTTTTAAAAAAAGAAACTAAAATATGAACTAAACTGTAGAAAATTGATTCCGAATCTATGGTAATGTTGGGTCACTTAAAAGAGGATAACTACATGGTAGACACAGTTTCACTTTTACTTATGTCCTTGGACATACATACATATATAAAGCGCTCAGCTCTGATATGTTTTCCTTTTCCCTTAGCTTACTAATTTGGCATTCCCTTTTGTGGACCAAAATCATTCTTATGTAAGCTTAAATCTCCAATTAAAGCCCAGAGCAAAGAGGAGAAGCAACTGGGAGAAACTGGCAAAAGGGCAAAGCTTTAAGTTACAGATTTATGGACTTGACGGGGTGGCTCGCGCGTCTTCTGCCACTCCGAGGATGCATATCCTGTCATTACATTTCCAGCCATTAACCACACACACACACAGCACACACACAGACGCCCACATACAGTGACTCATAAAACGTAACTGACGCCCCAGAAAACTTCAATGACTCCACCAGAAGCAGCAGGTCCTGGACCCGCATCCGGCCACAAGATCAAGCGAGTAAGGAAACTCTGCGTAATTGAAATCTGTGCCCTTCTCTTGGCCGACTGTTCATTCTGTCATTTCTTTGCACTAAAAATATGAATGGTCTGCCATTTCCTGCGCCCAAGCAGGTGTTTTTCCCTCTAACCCTACCTCCCCTACACTACCTACCCTTTTTTGTGCACTTCCATTGTCAAAGTGCACAGAGCCGTCCCGTACCATTGAAAGTGTTATGGAAAAGCTGTAAAAAACAGATGCCTTAGAGAGATCCGTAGGAATGCGTTTTGTTGTTTTGCATAAACCAGAAGCAGCCACAAAGTGACACCAGTCCATCAGATATGCAAAGTACTCTTAGTTTGATTCCTAGGAAAGTGAAAGTGCGTGAGAAAAGTGTCCCCTTTTGTGGCAATTGTGGCATGAGATGTTTTGTTTTGTGTGGATAGTTCAACTATTCCATTTAGTTTCAATTAAACTCCATTAAGATCCTTTTACACAGCTAATTGTGGAGAATTTTGGAGGATGACAAAACTTTACCGTAGCCATGAATATCCCCATGCCCACCTTTAGGGTAAGCAGGCGCAGGCAAAGTTGTCAGTTTTCCACGAAATAGTGCTAGTATGTAAGTAGTTGATGAACTTCTGCAATAAGTTTTGGGCGCCATTGGTGCCTGCTGCTCCATGTGGCAATTCAATGATAAAAATTGATTTTTAATGAATTTATGACAACAATTAACTCGTGGCTAATTGGATGTCACATAAAAGAGGGCCATAACCATACCCTGCCAGTGTGTCATGTCATTATTAATGGCAAATAATATTAAATCGAGCCGCCATTGTGTGTGAGTGTGTGTGTCGGACTCTGAATGGACCAAAGAACTGCCCAAGCGGCAAAAATTTAATTTTTAGTATTTATGTCATGGATTTTTCGATCGGATAGTTTCGATCCAGTAAATCCCATTACCGAGAGCAGAGAGCATCTTTAACACTGTTGTGTACTCCTTTCATTTTCAAATTAATTATTTGTATGGCTTTGCCCCATGCCAACAAATTGTGGCAGTATGAAATCAAGTGCTTTGTGTTGACCTTCTCTGGCTGCCAATTGCGAATGTACATATTGTATATATGTATGTATGTGTGTGTGTATGTACCAGTAGCGGGCTTTTGTAACGACTAAAATGGCCAAAATGTAAATGAAGTTTCAGAACAAAGGAGAATTAATTAAGTGATTCCAAGTGCTGTGCCGATAGAAGTTGCGCCCTGACATGCTCACATTTCCAAGTTTCAAACCCCAAACTGTCTGAAATGTCAACAACTTTCGTACCGTTTGTGCACTCTTCTGTTTGCCGCTTGGCCCGTAACTAATTTGTTAACAGAATTATGGCAGGGCTGGCTGGAGTGCAGCGCTATCCCCCTATAGTGACAGAGTCGGGGTCGTCTCTGTTCATTTACACTTGTATTACAATTAGCTAATTGAATTTTTGACATTGTCGGGTCCTTGTGATTAATTATTCCATTTTAAGTCCATCGAATATGAATTGTGTCTGTCTGTCTGTCGGATGGCGTAAATACTATCAAAATTTATTCATATTTCAACGAAAATGTAGCTATTTTTGGTTTCTCTGCCTGCCATTAGGTTGACAAATAAACCTGTTAGCCCATATCAATAACTGGCTTACAACCAAACCAAAAACAAAAAAAACATAAACCCAAAAAAAGAAGCAAAAAAAGAGAAAAACTGTTGTGATTTATGACAGAGGAGATGGGCCTGCAGAGGGTCCGCTTATCTGGTGACCATCTGGATGTCAAATATCACTGGACTGGAAACGAATGTGCTCGCCCGCTGGGATACCCTTTAGCGAGGACAATGGATTGGGTAGAGATATAAAGGATGCACCTAAAATCAGTCAGAAATAAGAAAAATAGAGGTTAATATTAATAGATTATTGATAGAACCCCAAAGTGCAGCATTTTCCACTCCGGGATACCTTTTGGTCTGTGGTCAGTACGTAGAACGAATCAATCGGTAGTTGTGATATTTGTACATAGCTGCTGGTACTCCCATTTGATAAATCAATGCAATTTATCAGTTGTTCAGCTGGGGGACACAACGCCACTTAAAATCCGCTGCCCCCCGCTGTCTAGGGGCAGTACTTTTATCTTCACTTTCGGCAAACAGTAGCCACACGTGTCGGGGCAGAACAAAAAACAGAACAGAAATCTTATCTATCAGTCGTTTTGGGACTTAGTGCGTCTCATAATAAATGCAGTTAAGTCGCCTGCAAATGTACGGGAAATTGTCGTGGGTGGCACCCCAAAAGAATGTATTATTATTTTTGGAAATAAATAACGCGGCATCCAACGCACAACGGGTAGGGTCGTGTGCCCTGCCCCCTTACCATTTCCCACTGTGCGGAGTGTATAAGAATTTTTCATGAAATATGCTTTACCTACACAACAGAACAGCCAACAGAACATACCAAAACGGAGGGAGGGACCGGGATGACTGGGGGACAGGCTTTGGCAAAAGATTTGCGAGGGCCATTTGTTTTGCCGCATGTAATTGAATACGCGGCAAGCGCCAGGTTGTATGCTACAAAAAAATGTTTTTTTTACTTTTATTTATTTACTAAAAAATAATGAAAGAACAATACAAATACGATTATCATTTTTCAGGAAAACAAAAACTGTGGGTATTATTGTGAAAAGCTTTCACGAAATTGGTATTCGTTTGTCATTTCAATAATCCAATGAATATTAATACATATTTCATTTCATTTAACGCTTTGAACGCCTACTGCAACCGCTGATTTGTTGTCTCTCAGCTTAAAGACAAATCCAATGGAATCCCAATGCCCCCCTCTCCTGTTTAAAAATGCCAGACAAACGACTGTGTTGATGGGAAATAGTACCCAAAGTATGGGAAGGATGTTCGAGCATAAACCAGCCACTAAGGAGAGGAACGAGCCATAAAAAATCAAATTTAAGTTCCGCTCAAACCATTAAAATACATTGTCGTAGTTATATTTAATTTTATCCGTTTAACAACGCCTCCGCATTTTCTTTCTTTTTTCCAGTCTATTTGCTGGTATTTTTCTGAGCTTTTCCTTCGCTTTGCTTGTTCGCACTTAATGTGGTGGTAGGGGCAGGGAGGGTAGGGTGGCCTAGAGGAAGAATTAAACGATGATTTGGGTCGGAGGAACAAGGGCTAACAATTTTGATTGTCATTATCTAGATAAATTATCGCCCCAAAGCAATCTTTTTATGAAATTCTTTCGGCTGTAGGCCTACAACGAAACAGCAACTAAAATCGATTGTCAAAGCAAATTGCTTTGAGCCTATCAGTAGAGCAGGGCCCGGACAGGACACACAAGGAATGCAATAAAATTGGGGGAGGGATAAACACCCGATGGGGAAAAATGCTATGACCCTGCTCCATCAATGCGGCAAAACTTTAAATTACATATACATAACCGTACCCGTAGCCTGCATGGTCCTTTAATAGCCATGCAGGAAAATTGTACGAGTCCTGGCATCGGAATTAGTTGGCGTTCTGGTCCCTCGTTTGGGCTCAATTAAAGTGCATTTGTGTGTCAGAATAGTTAGCGTAGTTAGCGTAGTTAGTTTCCCCACAAAACCATAGCAATTTTCTGAAAACTTTCTGCCACACATACTGGTGCTCGTGTTCCTATGCATAAGTAGGAGTGTGAACAAAATAACTTTTGCATGGCATGGCATGGCATATTATTTTCTACCATGCAACAGTTTCCAGAAAAATAAAGCGAGCATAAATGATTTAATAAAATTGTTTTGTCATTTTTAATATATATCTTAGCAACCTCCTCGCTCTTTTCTGACGACCGTTATTTCATTTCCGTTTATTTGATTTCATTCGTAGTGAGTTCTGGTGAGTTCAGCAATCCAGTCTTTAAACTTGCAGCAGCTTATTTAATTGCACGCCAAAAAGTGCCGATTTTTCATCTCGTTTTGGTTGTTCTTCTTTTCTGTTGGTGGGTCATATAAATGAAGTGCCCCGACACTTGATTTATATACTCGAGTAATGGTTCTCTGCTGGACAAAAGCAATTCGATTGCTGTTGCGGGTGACAATTTGAAAGACACAAAAAATAAAAGAAACAATGCAAGCAAAACGGAACTTAAAATGGTTTGACCATTAAGACAGATTGATACCCTATATGCTATTCAAGAATTGGGGATTAATCAGTGTGGCAGCTCCCCAAATTAAATTAGTGTCATAAATCCATAGATTTTCTTAGAATTGCGTTAAACCAGTGCTCGCCACGGCACTACAATACAAGATACAATGATCCGTGTTGCCTGCTGTATGCACACACAATCGGACTGCAGAACATTTGATTGGCTCTGCCTTAAACAAACACGATTTTGATCGTTGCTAAGTTTAAGTTAATTTCCCTAGAGGCAACAAAAAAACCTCCTATGTACCTCCTATTCGTGCAGTTGGAGAACGTACCCCAAAACATGCCACGAATTTCTGTTTTCCACTTCCTTTACACGATTTTCTTTAAATTTTTCACATGCGGATAATTTTGGTATTGCTCTGTCACTTCTTACTTTGAGGCTCATTAATTTAAATTTCCCTTTTGACGCGCTTTTTATTTTGCAGCCTGTTTTTTGTCGTGTGTTCAGTATGTTTGCCAAGATGAAACAGAAAAGAACTTAAATGCCAGCCATTTGCATAATTCAGAAGCATTCGCCTCGATGCTCTTAATTTCATCTACGCCTCCTCCTCCTCCTCGTCTGTGTTTTGGCCGTGGTTTGTTGACACATTTCTCGAATCAGCATCATCAGTCGGCTCGTCTCGTCTCGGCTCGGCCGTTGAGCCGCTTCATCAGTCAGGCAACAGTTTGCGCGCCCCCCTGCCCCTGCCCGACGCCGACGCCTCGACACATAAATTTGTTAGATGGCCGCACTTCTGCCTCACTTCCATCTCCATCCCATCCCATCCCATTCCAGAGGCCTGTGGACATCAGCACATATATCATTTTCATTTTGTAATTTGTCTCCCACCCCACCCACACCCACCAGCTTTAGCTTTGGCCCCGTCACGGGCCATTTTATGCACAATGGCCCCCAGTTAATTGGTTGGGTGCTGCTCTGCTCCTGGTGCTGGTTCGGGTATCGGGAACGGGGGTGGGGCTGCTGTCGACTTGTATTAAATTACATGACAGCTGACATGAGGTGCTAACGGTGCGGAGTCGATGCCCCTCGGCGAGCTCATTAAATGTGTGAAAAGTGAGGGGAGGAAGAACAGCTCGACTGTCCGTTAGGAATTAAGCGGTGGACTTCCCGGAAGTCTATGGAATTTTAATCATTCCTCCTCTGATTCAGATGCAGCCAAGATTATCTCCGGCGCGATTAAAGAAATAAAACTTAATCATTTAAGTAATTTACAAACTTTTGCTCCAATTTCAATTATGAGTTACCATTCCAGAACTTTAACCTTGTTCTCAAACTCAAATTAAAGGATTATTTGAAGCTTTAGGAGATTATGTTCGCCGAACACTACCAATCAAACTTTTGCCGCGAAACCCAATTTGGGTGGAAACACCAAGCGATAAATTAGAATGCGCTGAGAGCCAAGCCGAGCCAAGTAGCGGCAGACTTCTCTCGTCAGCTAATACTCTTAGCATTTCCCTGACATTTCAATTAATTTCGATGGCGAAACGCTTATCATAAAGCGTTTTGCCAAAGGCCAAAGTGGAATATTCGCAACGTCTGATTCACTTACGAGTTATTTAATTAATGAGATGGAATTCACGGCAGAGCCAGTTCAACAGAACGGTGGTAATTCATAAGCGAAGGACAAAAAACAGGAGGATAAAATTCTCCCATTTAAAATTCAAGCTTTTTGCGCGTGGCCAACCCTGCGGTTTCGTGTTACGCAGAACCTAATAATGCTAATTGCATATTGGCCAAACCTGGCCTGGCCTGGCCTGGTCTGCCCTGTAAATCATAGTATACTTCTACGAGTGAAGTCTGAGAAGAAAGCAACCAAGTCGACCAACTGCAGCAGTTATATCTGCCGCATCATTGATGATGAGTTTTCTGCAAACGTCATTTACCGCAGGGCAAAATAATACTTTTAGTTCTCTCCACTGGCACGTGCAACTCATTCTCGCACAGAGGCTTTAATATCAATCTCTATGAAAACAATAAAAGAGGAAGCGGAAGCTGAAGGAGAGTTCGGAGAGTCCGACTTCGGGATACCGCCTACTGGGATTCTTTTGATACTTTTCTATAGCACTTGAATGTTTGTAAAGTTACAGTTTAAATTGGTAGAGAGGGAAAGTATTATTGCTATTACGTCGTACGTTTAATACAAATATCTTAGAACAAGAAAACGTAATCCTTCCTGCCCGTAATACCCATTTGTAAGCGGTTATAATAAATATATGTATATAAATGAATGAATATTATTTTTGTTCCTCTTTTGAACTTTCTCAATTAATTCATTTGCCATTTGCAGAAACAAAGCAATATTGCTGCCGTAAGATAAATACTTAAAATCAAAGTTGGACAACAATGGCCAGCAAATATCGTCCCATTGTCCTGTCCCTTGCTTTGGACAGGTCCTGCCAAAGTCAACTAAGTCGAGAAAAGTGGAAAAGTACAAACCGAGTGAAAGACAAAAGAACCGAACAGACCAGAGACACTTGACAAGTTACGCATCATTACTTGGGTGTTTTGTGGTGATTGGTTTTTGTATGATCTCTCCCGTCAAGTGGGGGGATAAGACCCCCGGACATTCGTCCCTTCCAGAAATGAATTCCACACTTGAAGTGTCAGGCAAACAGAATTATTTGACGACGTGTTTTGTTTGGTTAAATGAAACTAACACCTAACACACACGAACATGATGGTCCAAACAACCATCTGAAACTAAAAGAGAGAAATAATGGCACATACCTAGAATACTCATTAAAGGAGAGTCGGGAACTCTCTTACATTTCAATTAAAGTTTCAGTTTAGTTGAACATCAACCTTCTGTTCTGTTCCCTTGATTAACATCTGAAAACTGTTCGTTGTTTTCCTATTAATTAGCTGCACTTGTTTGGTACTAGACTTTCAGCTCCGACTGTGAGGCGCGCACATCCCACATCTGTGGCTGTGTGCAGCAGCCAGCACACGCGCGACCCGACTCCACGAATGTGGATTATAAAAATTTATGACTCATAGAAATTAAACGACTGTCATTCGTATATATTAGCGTGGCCAAATTAGTTTGTCTTAGCAGCTGTAATGCGGCCCAGAATATATAGCAATAGAGATAGAGAGAGAAAGTGTGTGGGTGTGGCGATATTACACGGCCAAGGATTGCTCTATATCGGACTCCTATTGACTGCAAATTACCCAAGCAAAATCGAGCATATTTTTTTTTTTTGCATAAACTAGGCCAAAAGGCTCTTCCCAAAGATGCATATCAAATCATTGTGTGTCGGAGGGGGTGGCATTGCCAAACATAAATCAGTGGCAACCTAAATACATAAATATCGTGCAATAAACATGTTTTAGGGGTGAACTTTTTATGGCACTGAATCCACACCACAAAAGGTAGCCAGGGCTGTTGCTCCTTATCTCTGCGAGGATTTATTCACTCGAATGTTTGTCCCCACCCTTTCATTAAATGTATTCCTGTTTATTTCAGGCATTTACCATTACATTATACTATATGTAAATATGTATAAACTTTGTCTTTAATTGAACTTTTCGCTGATAGGGGCGCTAAAGCAATTGAACGAATTTATTGCTGTGATTTTACGATTCTCATTTGCTTTTGCAAAATTAGCCAAGCAAAATATGTTGGCAAAGGTAAATTTGTTAGTTATTATAGTCATCCAAAAGATAACAAAATTCACGAAACAGAGAGCTATATATAAGCTATATGTATGTGCAGATGGGTTGGATTTTTGATCAATTTGCCTGGTTTGCAGGCTTTTTGTTTATATTCGTTATATTGTTTTGCTGTCGCGTCCGTTAATTGTAAACAAATTTTAACTCGACGGACTAGTGGATGGATGGATGGATCGTGTCATGAAGCACGCCCTCGTTTATATTACGCTAGAGCATGGTATTAGACAATATTATTCTTCGTTGGGCGCCATAAACCATTGCGATTCCACCATGATCTTGTAGCTTTTGTAAATGGTCATTGCCTCTGGCCCTGAGACCGTGCTGCCAAAGGCTAATAAATGGCACGCGCCATGCCACCCATGCACTTCACTTGCATTTTAGTGTTCCATTTTCCCTACGCCTTAGCCCCGTCCCTGCCACCGTGCATATGTCTCTCTTATTTCTCTGTGCATTTTCAAGTGGCCGGAGCTTGTGTTGTTTCGGTTTACCCTTTTTTCTTTTCATTAACTTGGGAGTTCTCCACTGGGTTGTGTTCGCTTGTGGTCTGGTTGGCAGCATGAAAAGGGTGTTACCGAGTCCCAAAATAAAACAGAAGCACAAGATTCTGGCTTCCGACACTGTGGTTTGACTCAAACATTAATGGCCTTGGGGGTCTTAGAGGGAGATAAAAAATAGTTTCCACCGAAATGTTTATGGCAGTTGCCAGGACTCCGAGTCCACTTTTTCATACGAAAACTATGCGATATCCCATCGAAAAAAGAAAAATTGCTCAAAGATGCAAATTTCTACGGATAGGATAGTTTTCAAATGTCAGCCCACGATTTATAGAGCCAGATCAGAAAACAACGCAAAGCGGAAACGGAATAAACACATGCCGCGGCGAACCGGAAAGAGAAACAGAAAAAATAGAGACACGAGTGTCCGTTCCGTTCCTGTCGATTTCAATGCGAATTCATATAACTGTTTTTCCATACGAACGACTGCAGTTTAGGTGCAGTCATGGTTGGGAGGGGGGAACAAATGGATTTGATTATTTCATGCCATCTTACAGTTTCCTGTTTCAGTATCGGTATTTCCCATTCAAAGTGAGTGATAAGCAATAAGAGAGTGTCAGAAACGCGACAAGTGATTACATGAGCGGAATTAACTGATCAATTTATAATTTAACCATTTCCGACACTGCGATACACTTACCTCAATTTTCAAATATTATATTTTAATGTTTACATCTGCGTAAAAGTGTTTTCCGTGTTTTTGGCAGACACACACGCGCGAAACATGATGGCACTCGCAGACAGGATACGGAAGAGCGTAATGTTAAGTGGGGAAACACGAGCACGTTCAGCACTTTGGCCAAATTTTGTTTACAGCGCCACAAATGGGCGGACGGACAAACAAACACGGTGGAAGAATTCAATAAATTTAGTCAATTCTTTTTAGCACTTGAATCGAATCAACCGGATATTGGCCTCAACGCCTGTGTATCGCAAACACACATTTCAATTAAGTATATTTTCCGCACATATTGGCTTCGCTTTTAAACTGTCCGAGCAGAGGGAACGCATGCGACTTGTTGGCGCGCGCGAAAGCGTTTGGCTGGCTGCTGCGTGTTGGGGCCAATACACTTAAGCGCATACAAAATGATCCGAAGATTGAATGGGCGCCAAATTAGCAGTGGAGTTTCTGGAACTGGAACTTGTTTGGTTCTGAAATGCCGGTAGTACGAAATACGCATGCGCTGCAACATGATGCAAGCCATAATGTTGCTATAATTTGGCACCCCTGGCCAGTTTAAAATTTTAATCTAAATATCTTTAAACATCCACAAACACAACGTTTTTTTCGTATTTCTTCTTCTCGCCATATTTTTCAATAGACTTTGTTTTGATAGAAACGACACTTTATCTTATCGATAGCAGCTACCTCAGAGATGAGCGTTATAGTGTTATGACATTAGACTTTGCCACTTTTGGCTGCGTAGAGAGATAGCATGAGAGACAAAATGCAAGATTAGTGTTCGTAGCCGTCTCTGGACACGTCTACTACTACTACTAAAATTATGTTTTCCAGCACACACAGCCACCAAGCCAGCAAAATTGTATCTATATATATATTGTATATATACTTTCTCGCTCTGACTGCAGGCATTTCCCATAAGGCTATCTCTATTTTTGCAGCGAGTCAGTTAGCAAAGTCTAATGTCATAGCACCATTAGAGATAGATCGATACTATCATGATAGTCAGCAAAACATCGATACTATCGATAGTGCCCTCGATGGTTTCACCCCTCTATATCGCAGTCTAGCACATTTTCTACAATTTAAGTACAAAAGTGAATCCTGTAATTATTATATAACAAGATGAACAACCTGAGGATAGCCACTTTACGATTCGCCAGCCTGGCCACCAAGGCTACTGGATCCCTGGGAAAACGCGACTTTACTCGGAGTCTGTGGCACATGACAAAGAAGCCGGTGGCGAATAATGATCATGTAACCGTCTTGAATGTCCATAAACCCAGCATTAGTTGCACCTGTGGCTGCAACGTGCACACCAAAGGTATGTTTTCATTGAAGAAAAGCGGAAAATGAGTGAAACATGCAGCAGGTTACATAACCTCAAATGCGAGATGATGAATTGGGAAACAAAACATAATAAAACGTTGTCTACCCATTCCATAGCTGAAAAGGAGCTGGTGGAGTGCCTCGCCGAGGAGATCGTGGCCGAGCGCAAAGTGCAGAAGGGCAAGACTGTTTCCAGCACCCTGGATGGATTCAATGTGAAGATTGTGGGTGGCGAAGTGGAGCTAATCAAGGAGACTGACAAGGAGAAGATAGTGGTTAGCTTCAATGTGAACCATTCGGTCGACTCCGAGGAGGAGCCTGAGATCAATCCCAATGCGGACAAGCCGGAGCTGGGGGAAATGAGAAGCAAGCCCCAATTTGAGGTCGATGTCATTAAGAGTGGGACCACGCTCTCATTCACGTGTTCCTACCTTCAGGGCGAGGCCCAGGAGGGAGAGTACAGTACGTACACGAAATTGAGTATAATTTGAATCTGTAATTGATTGGCCTTCGTTTGCAGATGACGTGTTCTCCATTGACGAAATGTCCATCTATGAGGGCGAATGGAACGATAAAGTCTATGCCGTGGCCGGCGATGTTTTGGACGGCTATTTGTACGATTTGCTGTTGAACTACCTGGAAGAGAAGGGTATAAGCCAAGAGTTCGCAGAAAAGCTGTCTGACCTGGCCACTGCCCATGAACACACCTCTTATATAGGATTGCTGGAGAGGCTCTCCAAATTCACGGCGGGTGGCAAGTAAATGCCTGTATTGCATTTTCCCCCGCCTAATCGTAAAGCAGAAAGTTGTGTAGATTTACATATAAGTTCCATCGTCTGCTGCAGCAGTTCGTGACTAAACACATTTTGTATCATGCGCGTTTGTAGTCGTATTGCGGCAGTTGTCCTAGTTGATAAGTTCAAACCATTTATTCATATTTAATGTCGTGCGGGCAAAGCTCTTGCCAAACTTTGCCACTCGTGGCAATTGCTTAATGTTCGACTTCATAAAATACAGCAAGAGTATATAGTTTAGTTTTCAATTAATTGTTTATTTTTGCAATGATATTTTTTATTTTCACGGTTGTTGGTTATGCGTAGGGATTGGATGGACGTGATCTGGGCTCCGAGTCCCATGGCCTGTGGCCTCCAAGCTCCTCGTGGTTCTTGCAGGCTGCGCAGATGACCAGAGCTAGCATCACGAGTATTGGCAGCAGCTTCATCTTGAATGTTGCACAGGGAAAGATTGATTGTGTCGCTGAAGCTGTGGGGGCCGCTCTTTATATGATTCGATGAGGGTGTTATCAGCACAAAGTTCTTTACCCAATGGGAAGTACTCAGCATGTTCGTCCAAGTCAATCATACTCTGGGATTCACAATGGACCCATTTATCAGATAAGACGGGCTATGAAAGGTGCATTGCGAAGTGTTTGCAGTATATGTATATGTATGTACAACACTTTAATTCATGCATAAATGTAACGACTGTAGTTGGCCTATACTTTTGAGCTTAATTTTTAGCTAATATTTGCTACATAATTTAATCAATATTCAATTTTTGGGCTATTTCTTCTGATACGCACGGCTTGTCCTTGCACCTGGCCGAGACCTAGGCCGACCCCCTGCGATTGCGTGGGCGCTGTTGGCCAAGGCTTTGCCCTTCAAGGCTGATTGCAGAATCAAATCCGTAGCCAGGCTGTTGTACTAGTGTCGTTGGTCAACTCTTGCTCTGTTTCCCGCTGGAGCTGCCGGTTTTCTCGTACTCCGAATTCGTCGTGTACTCCGTGTCGATTTCCCGCAACTCTATCTTCTGCTCCCGCATGGCGCGCTAAAGGGCAAAGGTCAGGATAATCATTAATGCGTTATGTTATCAGGTGATGAAATAATACCCACTACCCCACCTTCACACAATCCTGATAGACCCGGAAAATCGGCGCGCATGCTGATTCATCTGTGTGGCCCTTCAGAAACCGCTCCGAGAACCAACTGTTGAAGCAAGCGTCGTACTGCTTCTTCAGCTCATTGCAGTCCTCACCAATGCTGTTCATTTTGAAATTTTAACTTATAATTTATAGATGTTAAATAATATTGCCGAAAAAAATGTGCAGGGTGTCTGCGGTCACACTAGACTCTACACATATGTGTGTGTTTGTGTTTAGGGATGGGACAGAACTACACATCGATATCTGCAAACAATCGCTATCGGAACAGTTTAGTCACTAACCATACAGTATATATACTGTATGTTTAGTGGTTTAGTTTAATTTTAAAATACGTTTTCTAATCAAATATTTCTTTATTTTTCCACGATTTATTAAAAACACACTTCGTTTCGTTCTTTCTTTTTATGGTTTTTAAGTTTTCCGTTACAGGCTGGTACAAAATGCTATTATCAATTATGGTTCTTTAACTAATGAGCGCTCAAACAAATTCATTTGGGACTTGGCAAACAACAGAGGCAATGATGGCGGATGAAATCAGACCTCCGACTCAGTCGGGAAACTGAATCGGAGGCCTGACTGCAGCTAACACCAAGAGTTGTCCATGACCATTCCATTTTAATAGTTTTGAAGTGTTACAAATTTGTTCTGTTCTGTTCGCCGTTGGTTTCGAAGCAATCAAAAGCAATTGCCTACTGATTATGAGGATGACTTGGTTGGCGTCTACTCCTCGTCGATGGTTTGGACTTGCTGTTGCTGCTGCTGTTGTTGGTTCTTGTGATGTCCACGCTGGTTGCGGTTGCGCTGATTGCGATTGTCACGTCGCTGGCCGCCCCAGTTGCCGCCCTGGTTATTCTGGTTGCGGTTGTAGCCGCGGTCCCCACGGTTGCCCATGTTGCCGCGCTGGAAGAAGTTGCCCTGCTTCATATCGAATACCTTCTCGTTGACGTCCACCAGGTTGGTCACCTTGTCGACAAACTGCATGGCCAGGGCCTGGAGGCGAGACGGCTCTGAGCGGTGCATGACCACAGTTTCCGAGGGATCGTCGAGGCTGGCCATCAGCTCCTCGTTGATGATCATCTTGCTGATGATCGAGTGGACCTTCGGCACGGGCAGCTCGTACATCTGAGCCAGGGATGGTATGCTTATGGAAGTGTAGACATTGGAGTAGGTGAACAGATAGGTGCGCAGCGACTCCTCCTTGATGAACTTGACAAGCATCTCACGCACGCGATCCGACTCGTAGAACAGATCCCACACCTTGGTGTTCATTTTCTTGTTGACAATGAAGTTGGCGCAGGCCTGCCAGTTGCCGCAGCGCATCGCCTTGGCGGCGGCCACAACGTGCTCCCTCATGGATTCGGGGGGACCCACCAGGGACTGACGCTCCGAGGAACGCAACTGCTGGTAGAACGTCTTGCTGATCATGCGGCGGCGGGCATCGAACTCGTGCGCAGCAATGTATGGAATCTCCAGCAGCATGGCGGACACCAGATAGACACACTCGAGCAGCTCCAGATTGATGTGCATGTGGAATGGCATCTGGCGCTGTTTCTCAATTTTCTCCTGCTCGGCGGAGCGTTCGTGCTGTCGCTGGGGCAGCAGGCCCTGAGCCAGCAGCTCCTTGGGCTTGCCGGTGACCATCAAGTCCACCAGACAGTGATGGGCATCCTTGACGTTCTCCTGACGGAAGGCACACAGACCCAAATTGGCCATCATGCGGTTGTACAGGATACGTGTGGCGGGATCAGCGGCATCGATGTTGTCCTGCAGATGAGACATGAGGACCAAGTCGCGGGCCTGGAACCAGTTGTCGTGCATGGCATGGTGATAGATGTGCGCCAGGATAGCTCGTGTTCTGATGCGATCGGTGTCGTCCTTGGCATAAATAAACTTGCACAGTTTATCCATCACGTCCACCGAGGTGGCTGTGGTGGCCGGCACCTCGCCACGCTTCTTCTTCAGCACCTCCGGATCGAATTTGTAGTACAGGTGCTCGATCTTCCTCAAGTAGATCCTGCAGCGTTCGTTGGGGTTGCCGCACTGCTCGAAGTACTGAAGGACCAACTCAATCGTCTTCACCACGTTCATCTCGTCCTTCAAGCGGGACACATAGTCGTTTGAATGGGGATCGCACTCTTTCAGCAGCTTGGTGAACTCGTCATCCAGACGCTCCACGGCGGCCAGTGGGCAGCCGCGGATATAGAACGGAGCCGCGGTGTATTCCTCGTGCTCCTCTGCGACGCTCTCGCTGATGCTGATGTCGGAGTTGGCCAGTAGCAGCTTCATCATGCTCTGCATTACTTCCAGCAGCAGGGCCCAGTGCTCCATCTTCATGGGCTCGGAAATCTTTTGGTTGTAATCAAAAATGGCAGAGATAATGTTAAAGTGGATCTTCACCGAGACGGGCACGCCCAGATTATGCTGATCGGAGATGTCCCTCAGCTCGAAGAGCAGATCGATTTGGAGGCGACGATCAGTGCGCTTCTTGCCACGTGCAGACATAATCTCCACTAGTTTAGCCAGAACCAAGGGAATATCGATCTCGGCGTCCTTTTCGAACATCTTGGGCTTCTCCACGACATGACCCTTGACAACCGTCTCCCATCCCTCGCCATCTTCATCGTCCTCGGCACGTTTGCGGATCTTCAGCTTCTGCTCCTTGCGCTTATCCTTCCGCTTCTCCTCATCACCTATCTTGTCTTCTCCCCCCTTATCGGTGGATCTTTTCAGGAAACGCTCACGCATATTCTGGTACTGGTTCTCGTCCTCGGAAGACTCGGTTTCACTCTCCGAATCGGAGTCCCAATCAATGGAATCGTCCGAATCCTCATCGTCGGCGGGTACCACCTTGGATGGGGCAGATTTGGCGAGCTTGGGAGCGGCTACCGACAGCTCCTTCTTGAATCCCGCATCGCTGTCATCAGCAGCATCACCGGCGTCGCTCACATGGGCCTCTTCGTCTTCAGCTTCACTCTCCTGGTCGGGTGCTTCGCGGAAGCGCGACAAATCCTCCTCAAAGTCCTTGATGTACTTGCGCACTTTTTGGCGCAAAGTGCCCAGAGACTTGGTGTTGTTCTTGGACAGATTCCTTCGGCCCTCGCGGTCCTCCCAGATCTCGTTGATGAAATCCTCCAGTTCCGCCAAGCAGCGAATGTAGAAACGCGGCGTAATGCCATTTTCCTCCTTCGAGATGACGGGCAGCGCCTTTGTGTAGGCGCGCGTCAGATCCTCGAAGCTGCTCAAGGTATTGGGTATATCCTTGATCTTCTTGTGGTTGCGGATGGTCTTGATGATACTGGTCAAATTCTCGTACCGCTTCTCCTTGGTCGAGCGAACCACGCGCTTGACTTCCTCCTCATCGTCGCTGAATTGCTATGGGGGTGAGGGTAGTGTGGCATGATTAACATTTTGCCACAATTTGCTTCCTCTTATACTTACAAAGGCGGAGGCTTTGTTGAAGTTTGGCGCTTGGACCTCCTCCTCACTGGACTCGGATTCCGAGTCGGAACCGTTGGCAAAGAAACGTGACATGTTGTTTAGTTTCTACTCGAGCCGTTTGTCTGCACTGCACCTGGAATGACAATATTTAAATATCACAGCCACATAATTTCGTACGATGTTGAGGTTATGTACAAGCGGCCAACATGGCGTTTTGCAAAAATTGCACGCCGCAAATTTAGCAGGGCGACGTTTAAGCCTATGTAAAACTGAAATTCAATTCACTGCCGGCACACTTTTCGCTCGGCTTGTAACTATTTAGCATTGCCAGAACGCACATTAAATGGGATAAACTTACTATTTTTTACAGCAAAAATTTCGAAAAGACAAAACAGTGTGACTGCGGATTTATCGACAAAATATACCGCCTGACCCTCAACATATACCGAAATATACCTTGTCATTATCAAAATATACCGTAAATATACTGACGGACACGACAAGATATTCCTCGATTTTGATATTCGGTTTAATATTAATGTCGGCTCCCACTGTACAGGGTGAGGTCCTTATGAGGCCCTTCTAAAAGGTTTGGCCATTTTAATACTGGGGCCATACCTTGCCATGACCCAGTCGAAAGAGAGCACTCAAAACGCTCTCCCGACTCATTTTTGTGCTGAAAGTTCTAAATATCGATAGTTGGAACGATGGTTGGCGGTAACCTCTCATTTTGAACGACCATCTATGGTTTTGCAGCACTACTGTCCGGAAATCATTTTCCACGATTTTGATATTCGACTTAATATTACCGGCTAGCTAGGACTTTAACAACTGAAAATACCATTTTATTAGATAGATGAATACATTTTCTACAATCTGGTTTATTTTAACATGGTACGTGGTAACTACACGGCAAATACACATTTGCTACATATCAACGTAGAAAAAAGTGACTGCAAAGCTGCGAAGCTTTCACGTTGTCAAATTGAAAAGAGTAAACAAAAACAAAACCTTTTGTTTAGTTATTGCGTGCCTATTGAAATTTAAGGGTGACGGGTTTGGTATTAAAGCAGAATCGAATCTTCCGACGGGACCATACCTACAAGTACTGTCACAGCTTGGAGACGAACATGGCAGGGAAAATTAAAGACACAAATACAGGTAATGCAAACGCGTTGCCACAAATTTGTCATCTTATATTGATGACTAATAAATATTCTTCTTCTTACAGCCGACGAAGAAATTGATAATCATTTGAGATGTATTTTCTATATTAAGCCCAAGCCAGATCCAACAAAATGTAATCCATTTGTAGTCGAATTTTTTGGCGTTTTGAGCCTGTCTGATCTGCAAGCGCCCGAGCGGAAGCTGTGGTATATGTACTATTGTAAGCAGTCGGATATCAACCAGACTGTGGATCAGATTCACCAGAAATATGGAAAAAAAAATATGTATGAAATATTTCGGAAGCCGGTATTCAGTGGCCCTGCCTTGCGCGCCAGTGTCAAGAAGCACTTTGGGGAACTGAAGTGGTTTACCAAGGGAAATCTGCTAGAAGCACCGCCAAAGAGTCATTTCAATGACGAGCGTATTTGTAAATCCGTAACGGATCTCTACAACATTGAGCAGCAAAGACTTTATAACTATGTAATGGTGAAAAATCAGTGGTACTCGATGTACAACCGTTAGGTCCTGTTTGGTAAATCTCTGTGATTTTAGATAAGTTATGTATTTAATTTGTACAAGTAATGTTATGATTATAACTAAATATTACTATAATAAGTCGTCTCTTTTGTTTAATTGTACAGGCAACATAGAGTTCAATTGTACCTCCTCCAGCATGGGATTCTGTGAAATTAGGTTTTCGATCTGGCCTTATTTGACGAAGATATAGCGCCCCGAACTTTGGAAAATAATTAAGAAACTGGTTTTATTCCGTACGCTATATCTTGGCCGATCTGGGAGTGGCATGTTCTTTTCCTGATTGTAATCAATGCAATGACATTTCCATATAATTGAACATACAACTTACACAAATATAATCTATTCCTGTACTGTTTTAGTAACAGGTATAAAAATATATTTTCAGAATTCCCTAGAATTAATTCGTAGCGTTTGAAAAAATGACGACTTTATTAAATTTTCGAATTGCTTATCGGGCGTACACAACAATATACAAAGTACAAGAAATACACAATAATAAAAATCTTAAAAATTCCCATCGTGGAATTCCGTTCATCTTGTGATCTGATCTTCCAATCGGAAGACCCTGTCCTACAGGTATGTATATTATCATGCATGCAATCAGACTCTATCATTGTTTTTAACCAAAAAGGCATCGCATTTCATCATTATAAAATTTCAATAAAATCTATCACAATATGAGAATTTTTCCTTTACGATTATGTTACTTTTTTTGTAGGTTTTCAAAATATTTTATGTGAAGCTTTGTTCATGTTTTCCGTTAATGGATTACTTATGCTTAGATTCTTTAGACACTAGGCATAGACATGCATATAAAAATATATATATTATTTATACGAAAATTGGATTTTACACATTATAAAATAGAATTGCCATTGTACATTGTTTCATGTAAAATCTTCAGTGGGACGGACAACAGCTTAAAACGTAGACATACTAAAAATATTAAAATGCTGATTTGTACTGGCAAAGTTTTCGTTGCCAGACTCTTTATATTTAAAGCCTATAATCGACACGATTGTACGTTACTTATAAGGCTTGCTGTTTCATCAGATTATATTTTATTGTTTTTTTTTTTAATCTTTTTTTTATACTTTTGTGCGTATTTGCATCATCATAATGATGATGATGGGGGCTGCGGACTCAGTTCATATCAAACAGCCTCATAGAAGTTTTGTTCGTAGCTTAACCTAGTTCGTACTATAAAAAATACATTTCTATTTTCAATTCCTTATTGAGCTTATGTTAGATACAATTTTTACGCTTTTGTTAGCCACAAGGCATTGACCTTCCCGGTCTATGTCGTTCGCATTCGCATGTTAGTTCTCCACAAAACACAATTATACAGAAAAAAAATAAACATTCAGTCTAACAAAATACTTGCAGAATATTCGTTTGAATTTCGAGAAATTATTCGAGCTGCAGGTCGGGATTCTCTGGGGGTCTCTCTCGGCCACACGCTGTTTGGGTACTATGATATGTGTGTGTAGATTTGTACAGCTCTAATATTTGCACTTACAGAATATACATATAGAATACACATAAGGGGCCCGACATGTCTGGGCTGCGAATCTTGTTTAGCCCGGGGCGCAAGCATTCCAGATTGGACAGAAAAAGTCGGCGTGAAGGGAATGAGGATTGCTTGGCCCCGGGCTGAGGCAGCCCGCGAATTATGTTGTCAATAAATTTAACTAAATTTTGCCAGATAACCTTAGCTTAAACAATTAATACATACAATTAAATTATATTAGAGGCTAACATATAAGAAAATTGGTGCAACAGCTTCTGCGCCCTACTCTTGAGACGCGTTTCAAACGCATCCCCGAAGCTGTTGTCTGTTCCGTTCGAGGGATGTGGTGGGGGGTGGGCTACTACTCGTACAACTAACAGCAACATAAACAACGAAAATATGTTATAGAATATATAGAAATTCGACTAATTTAGCAGAGAGCTGCTTCTGCTGCAGCTGCTACTACATTAAATCCACATTAAATGTAAGTGCGTTTCACTTTCGTTAGCGTGGACGTCTTGCAGGGCAGCTCCTTTTCCAAATGTTCTGTGGAGTTCTTGCACTCATGACTGCGATCCTTTTCAAGATCCAAATTGGGCGTTTTCTGTGTGGTGACATAGGGATTGCTGCCCATCAGCAGATTGATATCCTTGCCGGTGTTCTGGTTTTTAAATTGTCTGCAAACAGGGCAAGTGTTAAAAGAGCTTTCGCAGCCAAAGAGAGATCTGGCACTTACATAGGCTTGCCAAAGTGATTGTGGTGGCTGTCGTCCATTTGACTATCCATGCGGTTCTTCGCCTTGACACACGCAATGCCCACGCATCCACCCACAAAGAATGTGATAAAAACGACAAACATAAGAACCATGGTGCCCGGACTGGACGCTTGCTTGATTTCATCCACGCTGGCAATCGATTTCTGTGGATCTATTGGGGGAATAAACATAAATGTGTTAGATCAAGCTTCGCCCATAAAATAGCGGGAAACCTACCGTTCAGATTAATCATATCCTCCTCGGGGTCCATTGAGGTAAGCGTAATCTTGTTCATTCCAAAGTCATCGCCACCGGTTGGCTGCTGTTCCAAGCTGGGCTGGCTGCCCGCCGAGGCGCCAACATTGGAATACAGCAGCTTCTGCTCCTCCGTTGGTGCTGGAGCTATGGTAACGAAGCTGACAGTTTCAGCGCCTGGGCCATCACGAGGCATATTGGGGCAGAGGGAGGCAGCCGCTTTCTTGGTGGTGTTCAGACTCTGCAGGTACGTCTTTGTTCCAAACTTGTGCTGACTGGTGGCGAGATTCTTGCACTCGTGTGTCTGCAGATCCCAGGCGCAAATGGGATCCTGGAGGCTCAGGCAGCCGACGCAGTCGACAATGAGCGTGCAATGATGCAGGGGCACACTGACGAGGCTACCGTCGCTAACCACAACCAGGGCGTTCTTCTTGGAGGAGATCACAAGCTCCCGTATGGGCGTTCCCAATGGCAGCACTTGCATTTCCGATATGACGACTGTCTTCAGGCGATCCACAGTAGAGTTCGGGTGCGTGTTCAGAATGTTTATGAACTTGGTCACCTTGCCATCGTCCGTGCCACTGTAGATCACATCGTAGTGGGCGCCGTTGAGGGCCTTGATCTGAGGATCCACTGCAATGGCCGTGAGGCGGTGGTGGAGATTCACCTTGGTCAGCAAAGGACGACTGTGCACTGCCGGCACAGCCTTCTCCATCAGAGGATGATTCTTGACAAAGTTCACAGCAATGCTGGTGAGGGTGCGCGAGTCTTCCACACACTGGCCGGGACGCGGCTTGGGCACCGCCTCCCTCTCCACAGGCAGCCAATGAGACTGTGAATCCTTCTGCGACTTGAAATCCCCATCGAAGGCCGCCAGTATATCGTCCACGTTAAAGGCACACACCGCCGAGCCCGGAATGGCATTCACCGAGGTGGTGAATACGGCATATACAAGGGAATCCGCTCCCCGCTCCACAATCGGACTAATGGCCTCTGTAGATGAGAAATAAAGGGATTGAAAATGGACTGCTGCCATTGAAAGTGATTGTTCCACTTACGGATTTCATCAAAGTAGAAGGGAAAGTCCCCGGGCACCGAGCAGTTGAGGCGAGCCTTCAGGAACGAGGTCCAGCTCTTGCCATGGTTGTAGGGTCCTCCCCGATCATTCTTGCAGACGCGCGCCACCCGCGAATAGACGGCCTTGCCAAAGTTCATGAACTCCATCGACAGTTCGCGGAAGAAGAACAACACAAAGCCCTTCCGCTCGATGGTGCCGACAAAGTCGGGCTGATTGAGCTGCTTCTGATCGTACTGCTCTGTGCGTATGTTCTCGCGATAGACGAGAGGATCTCCGCCGGAGAAGTCCGCCACCGTGGCACTGTACAACTGGTCATCGGCAAAGGCATACGTGCTGTTGTGGGCCGGACTGTAGGGGCACAAGCCTTGGGCCTCCACATCCCTGGTGATCTCGTAGTGCATGCCAATACTGTGCCCAGAGGCGGGAGCATCCTCGGCGGCAGTCTCAGTCTGGGCATAGTGACGGCAGCGCGGCTTATACGAATTGGTGCCACAGAGCAGCACCTGGCCATCGGCTCGCTTTGCAAAGACACGCAAGTAATTATGGCAGTCCCATTCGTGCTTGCCCTTCAGGGCGCACAGCTCCCTGTCCGCATCCGTGCTGTACCATTCCAATCGGCTGATTTCCTTCAGTCCATGCAGGCTGACATTATAGATGACGTCCCTGCAAAGGCGAAACAACAATTGAATTAGTACAAAAATGTCTGGAATTAATTCGCTTATGGCGTGTGCGTGTGCCCGGACTGCTAATTGGAAGACGCAGCTATGAAGAGAGGCCAAAATGAGGCAGCCTCACACACTCACCACCGACATAGTCATAAATTTCAAGGTTCTTTTTGTGCTAATAATTAGAACTCGTATACAATTATATAATTTTGTGCGCTTGTTTGGCTAATTATTGCGGCCTCTGCCTCTGACGAGGCATCTGTTTGCTGCTTCTACTGCTTTATGGCCCCACTGAGTCTGGCAGAGTGGCAGAAAATACTCGTACTCGTATGAAAGATAGTTCAAATTTGTTGCTCCGTTTAGCAGTTGGTGTTCAGATGATCAGCGGATAAATGTTGTATATGCAAATTATGGAATTTAATTCACACTCGCAGACAGACCTTATTGTATGAATTTAATTATATATTTCTTGCCATAAATATCTGGGCAGGCAGCGTGATAAAATGCGGTTCGTCTGTCGGCGGCCCATCGGGATCGCGCAGCGTACATGATGAATGTAATTGCATGAGTAAAACCAAAACAAGTTGCACGGCCGTATCGCAGTTGGGGTCTGGGGTCTGAGTTCTGTTCCAGGCCAGATATCTGGTGGTTCCAGGAAATTGTGCATGATAAATTCTACATTTGCACTTGACGCTAAATAAAAACCAAACACTAAACAGCTAACACAGATGGGAATGGGAGTGGCAGAGGCGTTGGTTTTTTTTTTTTTTCAATGGCGCATTTATTATTCCGCGAATTGAACTTTGCTTTTATTTCGCTTTATAAATATTCGAGGCTGCCTCGTGCCAGGTAGGAGGAATTATAAGTTTGTATTGCTTGCCAGCGCACGAATGTCTATCATGTTAAGGGAATAAAAATGTACTCACTTGGCACCAACCAAAACACTTTCATCGTTGTGATCCAAGATCTTGAAATAGTCCGTCGAGTTGCCAATAAAATGGGCCAAGACTTTATCTTGTTCTGCAAAAGAAATAAATAAAGAAAGAAGCACGATCAGATTGGCTGTTAAATGTGATTTCAGCAGAGATGAAAGGTTAACGATAAAGGCCTTAATTATATGTTTATATGGTTAAATCAAATGTGTTTATTTAACAGAACTGAAACTCGTGTCGCCCCCCAGATGCCACATAATTTCTTTAGAAAAGTTTTTTGTTGCACCGCTCTTCGGCTTTTCGGACTTTTGCTTCAGAGGAAACGCTCATTTGTTGCAAGCATTGCGAAAAATTAAGCACGATAAGCAGCTTGGAAAATCACAGAGCAGAGCAGAGCCATTGCTCGAGGCAAGGCAGCTGCTTGTCATTGATAAACGGCCAGCACCAGCAACAAGAGCAGAAGCGCAAAACAAATACAGCAAAGAGCCGCCAACAAATGACACAAATAAACAAATAATTATTAGATTGGGGATTAGGGTATCTGGCATACACATACTTGTTTGCAAATCGGGTCGCACATCGGGCATCCAGGCGGCGACAACCGTCAGGCCGAAGCAGCAGATGATGAGCCGTAGCCCAGTGCCAGTGCCAGGGCGGCTGCTGCTGCTGTGTCCAGTAATTAGCATTGTTGTTGACGACGACGACGACGAACGCTGAAGGTCTCTTCAAGCTGATGCTGAAGCTGTAGCTTAAGCCAAAGGCTGATGTCTATCGCCCTCTTTTGAGCTCAATTGGATGTCTGCACTGATCGCACTTGAGCAAGCAACTACTCGTACTACAGCGCCTAGGTTCGGCTCGATTGCTGTCGCTATTCTGATGATTCAGCAGCGTCTTGTGCCGGCCACTCGCTCGAAGCTTGGTCTGGGGTGGTGGTGGTGGTGCTGCTGCTGTTGTTGTTGCTGGTACTGCTGGAGTGGTGCCAATGGGGCTGGCACGGCAAAACTGGCCGCCTGGCTGGGGCCTGGCCTCGCTGACTGGTTTTAATCACTGTCGTTTCTCATTCTGATGTCTGCCATTGTCGCTGATAGTTGCTGCTGTGATTGCTGTTGTAGTTGTTGCTGTTGCTGCAGCTGCTGCTGCTGGCATGGCTTGTAATTTGCAACAAGTACTCTCCTCGTGTGCTGTGTTGTCCGCTGCTGTCCAATGACAACGACGACACAATAATTTACACCAAGCAACAACGTCGCTGTTGTTGGTTTTATTTTAATGCAATTAGCTGGCGACGCAAAAGGAAAACGAAAAATCTGCAATGGAGATGGAGATGGAAAGAAAGTGTGTTAGAAATAATTGGAATACTTGGCCACAAGACTTCATCAGCGAAGAGTGCAACCGGAACGGATGGTAGGGGCAGAAGATTGGCAGAGATCTGCGCAGAAACTAATCTGATTTATGTATTTGTTTGTTTGAAATATTTAATCAAATAAAACTAAATGTTAATAATACATTCAATATTTCTCTTCGAGAAATGATCATTAATTAGCATTAATCTTAATGAATTAAATGTACTTAAATAATGTAAATACATAATTGAGCCGCAGATTAAATTATTTACTTTTTTTTGGTAGCTCTGCTGGAGCATATCTTTGGGTAATTTAAGTATTTTTAACGTGATTCATTTTTTAACACATTTAAGTGGTGTGGATTAGACTTGAACTTAATCTGAAACTAATATATTAGAGCCATATTCTCTTTTATGGGTATTTTAAAAGCATTAATTTTAGATACTTCGATCTATGGCTTTGGAAAACCATAGAAAAATGTTCAAATTTACGGTGGCTATAACTCTACAGCCATAAATGGGTTAATTCCATTTTTGATTTCACTATTTTGTTTGGTTCCATTTCATTACCGTATCAGATAATTATATATCCTCTTATATAACGATTATAGTAACAAAAAAAACTTGTTTCGTCTTTTATTGTTTTCGTCGGCTACTTGTGAATTCTGCACACTTTCTTTTTGCTGTTTTTCCCTTATTTTTATTGCAGATTCGACCACGAAACGAACTGCGAACCGCGCGTGGGATGAACTGGGCAAACACTGAACACGAAAATGCAAACAGCAAACTATGAAAGCCGCCGCCACACACACTTTCAGAGCCATTAGCCGCGTAGCAGTTTGAGCAGCACTGCTCTGCTTGTAGGTACAAACTATGTACGAATCGAAATAGTATGTGTGTATGTATATCGTGTCTGCTGTTTGCTGTATCCTGGCTCCTGGCTGTCGTGTCATGCTCTTTTCCTATGACTCACAAGCAAGGAAAACCTTTTGGGTTTTGTGGGGAATCACGTTCTGTATTTTCCGCCAATTTCCCTTCTAATCAGCGCTCACCGGCGTTACAATGATATTTACAGGACGTGCCACGTACATTCCCCCCTGGCTCTTCCTTCCCCTGTGACGAACAGCGAACATCCAAGGGATAGAGATAGGTGTGTTTTTCTCATTCACACACACACGTAATTTCCATTTTAATTTCCACATGTGTGTCTTCAGGTTATCTTTTCACATAAAGATGAACACGAACGAATGTTATAGTTTCTCACGCACCCATCGGCGGCGTCGGTTACAGTTGGACAACTTTTACCTGACAGATCGTCGATAAATTGCTTTATTGGCCAATTGAAGGTCGACACCACCACCACCACCGACAGCAGCAGCAGCAGCAGCAAGCAACTACTTGTTGTTTCGTGTCTCGGTAAATGGATGGACGGGACAGAAGTATTCGTCTTCTCCGGTGGTTGTTGGTATCGTCTTTCCCAAGCGAAGGCTTTTCACGGCTCAGCCACCGCCACTCCACCACTCAGTCAGTCAGTCACAGGTCAAGTGACCCGCCGCGACTCTTGGCCCATCTCTTGGGCCGTCGCTTAATGTGTTCGAATTATGGGGGTTGCGCCGTTGCCTCGCATCGTTGGCCTTTAGAACACGTACAAACACACCATAAAAGTGCATGATAAATATTATAAATTACATTTGAATACCCTCTTGAGCTGGTCAATTTATCATTCGCCTGTGATGCTTTTTGTGGCTAAGTGAGGGAAGAGAAATCAACGACATGTTGGTGGCCTAAAGCGAATGGGGACGGTGCGGCCACGAGAGTGTACTCTCGCCAGCTAGGGGACATTTTACATAGATAAACCAAGCAAGAAACACTATAATCGGTATGCTGAAACTTTAACTAATACTTGTCCGTTTTCTGCCCCTGCAGATGTCACCTATACGAAGTGGTAGCTCAATTCGGGTCCATATTGAGAAGAATATACAGCTATGATTATCTTCAGCGAAACTTGCTATATAACTATGATGGCACTATGGCAGTTCCGCGCTATACACGGCCTTCAGTCAATCGGTGAGACTTGTTTGTACAGAGAAGCTCGGCTAATCAGTTATAGACCTACTTTAGAGAGTCCGATTTCACACACTCTTTATAAGGGTATATCTGATGATACTTGAGCTTAATTACAAGGGTATCCCAGCTGCGGTTTAGTCAAAAATGGTCATATTTTCGTAGTTTATCATATATTTTTTGGTTTTAGTAGGGGGGCTCTCATATTTCATAAGCCGCATTCGGTTCAATGCCAGGAAGTCCGTTCCGCTTCTGCCGGCCCATAAAAATACAAATACAAATACAATTATGGCCCAACTGGTCGTCTGGCAGTCTGGCATTAATTACTGGAACTCGAATTCGAGATCGGGTTACGTGTGTGAGTATATACAAGTATTACTATATATGTGTGTGCCTAAGCTAAATTTCCTCCCAGGTCTCTTTCCATCGACTGATAAGCAGCAGTTTGAATAGACGATGGTTAGGGCAGAGATAACAGCTTCTTCCATCAAGATAATGGTGAAAAGTGTGTCACGTCTGACATTTGTTTGTGATGATTCTCTTCATGCCCGTCTGGGCTACTACTATCTCTTCCCGGAGTGCCGTCTGCGTGTGTGGGAAAGAACGTGTGGAAAGTACGAGACTGTAGATAGCTCTCCCGATCAGCAAACTACAATACAAAAAACTAACTATGAAACTGCCTTTTTACAGAATAAGATGTACTCGTACGTGATCAATGGGAAATTGATTTTCGCGTGTAATTATTAGATATGGCATACAGATACACTGTACAGCCATCGCCCGCCCACAGCAGACAAACGTGAGCTCCACACTGGCGGCAGTCAAGAAACAAGCAACCAGTTTCGGTCTAGTAGCAAGCAAGTCGCAGTCGTCCGTGGGCGTTTTCATTAAGACGAAACAAGTGGCAACAGGTGGACTCGAGTGGACTCAAGTGGTTGTTGCCTTATGGAGTCAAGATGGCTGGCTGTAGCTTTTGGACGCTGGTCGCTGATGTAATGCATAATGCATACAGAATACAATCAATTGTGGAATTACTTTACTTGAATTTAATATTTATACTGCTGTTGTTTTTTTTCTTATCAGTGCGTTGGTTCATTGCACTGGCTTTTCCTCGATTTCCACATATAAAAATATGAGTACATAAAGAACTATCGAGGCAAGGCGAGGCCAGGCGAGGCGTATTATCACCGGACTTCCGATGTATTCCAAAACATTGAGAGATGAATCATGAGGTGGAAAACCAGTTTGTTGGACAAATGCGATCCAATGGGGCAGCTATATATAGTAGTTGTAGATGATTCAGCTTAAACTTTACACATGATAGCATTTGGAGTACAAAAACACGGGCGTTAAACGAGCGTAACGAATATGGCGCGACAAGTTTTTCATTCACAAAACATCGAGCAAACGAACAATCAATATCGATGGAACGTGGGAGCGGAGCGGAGCTCAAGTTTACAAGTTTCCAGTGGTGTCACAATTCTTCTTTGCATTCACTTCCCTCCTCTCCTAATCAAACAGCAAACAATTTGGACAGCTTGCACTGTGGGGTTAAGTGGGACGCGTTCCACTTCCACTTTCGGGTTTGACACTTGACTTGCAACGCACTTGGACAGGGGGGGAGAGAGTGGGGAACGATGGAGACTGGGTGCTGCGGCTGCTGCTTTACCGTTGGTCTGGCCACCTTTTTACAGTTTTACGGTTTGTCAATGTGTGGCGCGGCGCACTATAAATTGATTATGCTGTTAATTTATTAGATTTTTTTGGACATCAAACTCGTTTTACAGTTCTTGGCTTAGACACACACAAGCACTGGCACAGACACCAAACACACACTTTGCCATAATTGCTGGCTGCCTGGCCACCGCCTCGAAGCAAAGCACAGAACAGCGCTTCGAAAAACAAGTCCAATTCACCTGTAGCTATAAGAGCGTAGCATAGCGTCGCGTCACTTCTTGGCCAAGCGAGTGGAGCGAGTCGAGCAAGCCACCGACTTTACCACTTTACCACTTTGGTTGCTGCTGTTTACAGCATTTACACACACACACGCTCACGAAACAGCATACAAATACACGCACACCACTACGATTTATTTTCTTGTATTACTTGTTTTTTATGCTTGCTTCAGCTTCAGCTTCATGTTGGGGTTTTGTTTATATGTGTATGCGTTGTTGTTGCATGCGCATAAATTATTGAGAGGAGGAAAAAACACACGTCTGTACACAATAAAAACCTGTTTGTTGCTTTTATATGCCTCAGCGTCTCTCTATGGGTGTGTACGAACGGCACAGGACGGGACGCTGTGCGGGGGTTGGGATTTGGTTTGATTTGTAGATCGCCTACTTTAAACACTTCCCAGCCATCCTTACACTAAATTTGCACCTTTTTTTCACTACACGCATTTGGCAGGCATTTGTGTGGCCATTTAACTCACCAAAATTCATAAAAACATTTAAATAAATGGTCAAATTAAGCGAAAACACGGAACACGAAAAAATGTATACACTTCACACTCCGACGGCCATTTTATTTTGCCATCGCCTATCGATAAGCGGAGACTGCCACTCGTTATTTTGTAGCTGTATTTGGCAGCCCGCAGAAACTACGAATTGCACGAGTCTGGCAACACTATAATATAGCGCCACTGAGCCAATGTTGCCAATGTAATAACAGCATGTTTCCAACAACTTAACATGTTGCCTAAGGACATGCAACATGCTGCTGGAAAAAAATTTCTAATGTTATTTTTGTAATTTCATGTATATGCTTACAGAAAACGTAATAATCCCTATTGCCCTGTAAACATTTTAACAAACAGTTAGAACTTTCATGTTATATAACATTTATTCTGCAACAAATCTGAATACCTTGGGAAAATGGATATTATGGATTTGAGAAATTGTTTGTAATATCAGGCTCCAATTAATGTATTAACTAATCAGTCTAAGTTTAAAAGATATTAACAAAATTTTGCAGCTCACGGGTACAAATAATAGGTATCACAACCGGGATAATTTATAAAATATATTTATTTATTATATATTTATAAAACTCACACAGCATATGCATTAATAGGTAAAAAACTTGTCAATCTAGGAAAAAAATAATTATTAATGTTTCAATGGAGCTTGGAAAAACAAATTTAACATTAATAAAAGGAAATACGGTATACAAAAGTACATACGCATTGAATAAACTTGGTTGACCAGCAACAATGACGTCACATTTAGTCAACATTTACGCTTTGAACCTTTTTATGCCAGCAATGCAATTAAAAGGACTTCTGGACTAGCCAATCTTGTAGAAAATTGATGTATCTATCGGATAAAATGATTTGTTTAGGGCTGAGAGGGCAAACTAGCTAGTAATATTAAACTGAATATCAAAATCATGGAATACGATTTCAGTCAATAAAATAAAACGTTAACCCATGTTCGACTAAGGGGGTATTTAATATTTCCACTAAATTTATGTAACTTTAACACATATTACGCATTACAGGTGAAAGATTTCGGTGGTCATTTTTGTTTTGTAAGTAAAGAGGAGGATGGAGCTACAAGGAGCCTTTACAAACAGTATTATTTTCCGCGGCTTAACAAAGGGTGCTCAACTTATTAAATAAATGGGTCATAAGTGGTTTAAGTCTCGTTTGATCGCCGGATTTTGGCCGATGGTATTTTTTATCGTTATCGTCACGGTCACGCTGGTGCACAAGTGCAATAAAAAAATAAATAACATGAATAAAATCAAGTAAAAATAGAGTGCAATACAAAACAACAACAAGGACGACCAGTGCAATTCGAAATGGGTTCAAAGTGAGTGAATTCATTTAATTTTGAAGACAAATCCAAAGTTTTACCTGCGTGGGTGTATCTGTGTGTGGGTGGCGGCTTTTGTGTGTATGCGGTGGCATTTCTGTGTTTTGTTTGTTTTGAGCTGCCGCCTACACACCCACGCCCCGGCATGCGCATTCTTATAAATGCCGAACGGATGAAGCCCCAACAAGCGCCGAGAAAACTAATCGATATTGATAAGATACGGATGCGGGTAAAATGTGTATTGAATGTCAAGGGCTCAAATTACCATATTCCCACACACCCCACCCACCCACACAAAATGAATGCACTTTATATGTATGTACATATAATTCCTCAGTCATCTATCTCTGCTCGGAGCACTAGCAGTTGAAAAGATTCTCTTTTGGCTGTCACACGTCCAAACAGGTATGAAATATGTGGGGAATTCCCTTTGAGAAACGTTTAAATCTACCATGACTCAAGTCAAAGCTTTTTGGCGGACTACTCGTACTAATATGATGTTGCAAATTGATTTGAATAAAGTGAATTGTCATATCGAAGGCTAGCAAATGGTCGTAATTGGTTTTTTTTTCGATTCACTCGATTGATTGTAATCTTATTGAACAAATTGTAACCCCTAATAGCATGGGAAAGAGGCGATGCCTTGACGACTCTACCTTTTTGCAGGTGGGCAAGTGTGTGATGTGATTTTTCTCTATCGCCATTCAAAATCAAAACTTGTTTCCCTGTTAATTATACCGGCTGCTACTTTTGGCTTAAAGATGAGTTTGGGGTCGGCGGCGAGACAGTTTTCAGTCGACCATAGATAGGCCATCATGTCTCTGTCTCGTAGATTATGCGCAGTGAGTAAGGCCAAATGAGTCGGCAAGATCTGCTTCGAGCTGACTCAAATCTTTTGCCTAGCTCCTTGTGATTCTCTTCTTGCACCTGGCCGCATCGGCGCCTCCAACACTCGTGCCACAAATTCGCACTAACGGCTTCCAGCTGGAGCCTCTCGAGAACACATACTTCCTCAGGTACAGCTAATTGATCGACAATTGGACAACCGGGCGATTGATTCACTAGTTTTTCCCGGTTTTCATAGCATCCAGCACCCGGACGGGACTATTCGCCAGGAATCTGTGAAGGAGATTGCTCCGGGGCAGCTGCAAGTAGAGGGTGTGATCAATCAGCCATTCTTAGAGCAGGGCACTTCGCTGGTGGTCACCTACCAGGCGGGACCCAACGGCTACGTGGCCAAATATACTTATGGCAAGGGCCCGCCCACACCGCCGCCCCAGCTGCCGCAATTCCTCAGTCCCCTTGCCTTGAAATCAACGGCTGGCTAGTTACGAGCTGAATCTGTACATAATAAGCCAAACACCTACAAATAAAACCCCTCCAGAAACAGATTCGTTTATTGGTTTCGTTTCAAAATAAAACATCATTTGATAGACGGATTATGGTCGCAATCCAGTTTGGATCTTCCGTTGCTTAGTATTAGTGATTGGCCTTAGTTAGCACGTTAGAGCCAGTTTTTTGTTAAAGTATGTGATGTTCCAAGCTTGGGCTCGGCAGTTTCAAGCCAACAGCCACGGGCTAAGCATCATCAACGAAATGTCTGCAACGCTGCTCAGCACGGTGAGCCATTCACACAGTCGCTACATACTTGAAGATCTCCCCTAATCACTCGTTTAGCTGCTAGTGATTTTAGTTATTTTGAATGGGGCAAATGCTGCAAATGCAGCGCTCGTGCCGCGCATCCACTCTGAATATTTCCAGCTCGATCCGCAGGATAACAAATACACCCTGAGGTAGATAATCGAAATAAAGAACACCAGAGACTGCACTCAACGAGACTTCTATTCTCATAGGCTATATTATCCGGATGAGACGTATCGTGAGGAGACCGTGGAAGAGATTGCCCCGGGTGTGCTTCAGGTCAAGGGCTCGTTGAGTCAGACGTTTGCCGATCGAGGCATCGACTTGGAGGTCCTCTATGAGGCTGGGCCCAATGGCTATGTGGCCAAGTACAGATATGGGACGGCCACGGACTCGCCTCTTCCCCTGGGGCTGCCTGCTAGCGTTCTCAAATCCACTGCCGGATAAAAACTGTTTGAAATAAAAGTGCTCAGAATAAACGAATCAAAAATAACTTTGTTGCTCTCAAACTATTCCAGCCCGCAGCTGCTGCTGAAGGTTCTCTCATCTGCCAGTCACTGAAAACCTCTCTCTCGCTCTTTTTCCACCATCTACTATTTCTGCTCCCACCTCTAGCCCCCACCGTAACCAGTAAGCGATACATTTGGCATTAAAATGGTCGCGTGATCGATTCATATGCATATGTATGCAGTTTACACACCTCCTCCAACCCTACACAACCGCAGCGATAGTAAATTTATAAACAAGCTGACGCTTTCACCTCAGTTCTCAGTGCGGTTGGTGCCATTCCACCTTTAGGTACACTTCCAGCCGCAGCTCCGCTCCTCTACGAGCGTGAGCAGAATGGTGAGCATTCATTCAGCTCTCCCATATCAGATATCACCGACCGACCGACCGACCCGACCAGGCCAGACAGTTGGCATTCTGTCGCGGTATTGGCTTGTTGACTTATCAATCGGCAGGCAGCAGGCAGGCAGCAGCGACGACGCAGACGCAGATAAGCTGCCACGATGCAGCGCTAGTCTTGTCTCGGAATTGCCGAAATACTCGTAGATTGCTGTCATCGCAGCAACAATGTTTAAAGAATGGCGAAGGCACAGGCAGAGCCGCAGCCACAAGCGCTGGCGGTACCACCAGCAGCCACAGCAGCGGCTGTCCGATAGGTGCCACAGTGACTCCTAAACTGTGGATTCAACCTAACGATTCGTTTCGTTCGTTATCTTCCACAGGGAAACAATGATTGTGTTTGTGTACGACACGGAGTGCATGAAGGACGAGGCGGATGATCCGATTAAGGCGGTGCTGTACTTCCATCCCAGCTGGGTCTCCGACTACCAGAAGGTGGCCCTCTGCGGACAGTTGATGGGAACCACGTACTTCCTCAAGGACTGCTTCTTCAAGCCCCGCGTTCTGGCCCTGCAGAATGGAAAGTTTGTGCTCAAGGAATTCGGACGCTTCACCCTGGTGAGTAGACACAAACAAAAAAAACAAAAAATAGCAGCCACAATGGATTCTAACTCTCTTTCCCTTTCAGGCCGTCGGAACGGATCGGAATATTAGTGATGAGAACCTGGAACATCGCGCGGAACTGCTGAGCTCTCTGCTCAAGTTCTTTCATCGTGACCTGCAGACGCTGTACGACCAGTACGCCCTGCCCCCAGCCCTGAACACCAGGAATCTGTGCGACAAGCTGTACCAGATCTTCGAGACATATTTACCCATGATGCACCGCAACGGAGACACATTCCAGAACGTTCCTCGACTCCGTATGCCCAAGGTGAGTGCATAACGTGCACGCTGCATCTATTTCTACATACTTTGGGTATTCCAGACCGCCAGTCACATCTTCCTGGAGGCCATACAGGTGCTGCAGAGCTGCCAGGAGACAAAGGGCATTCTGGGCGGAGTCATTCTCTATCACAACAAGTAAGTGTCCCGAGTGGAAGACCGCCTGTTTTCTGATTGCTAATGGCATCCGTGTTTCCTCTCCTCCGTAGGGTGGTGGCCTCGCAGTTGAGCGACGTGGTGACCAAGAAACTGGTCCTGACCGATCCTCGCCACATCCGCAACGCGGCAGAGCAGCTTACAACGCAACAGTTCCATGTTCCCTTTGGCGTGCAGATGATGGTGGTGTATTTGGAGCAGAAGCAGTACCGACAGATGGCTGCCGATGCACAGCGCGCCCAGAACCTGCTGATGATTACGTCGCAGACACAGACCGGTCTGCCCTTTCAGAGTGCCAAGCGGAAGCTCAAGAGGGACAAGTCGCTGATCTTTACACACATTCCGGAGGACGAGCAGGCTCCGGTGGACCCTTTGGCGACAATGCCGGCAGCCCGACCCAAGTCGATGCGGCCCACGTTCCTGCCACTGCGGCACAAGAACATGCACAGCAGGGAGCTGCCCGAGACCGGCACAGGGGCGATCAACTTTGACGAGACCGACTCGTATCCCGAGTTCATTGGACGCACTAGTGTATGCAACACACCCATGACGGAGAACAAGGTATTGCCGGTGGCCAGCGTGATGTCCATCTGCGCCAATCCCGAGGAGCTGCCAATCGTCGATGATGGCCACCACATCAATGACAAGGCGGAGTCGCGGCGGCAGTCCCTGAAATCGGATGTGGAAAAGTTCTTCTCGAACTTTATTATCAATCCGAGCAAGCAGTTCACGCGCCGCAAGTCCTCCGCCGACCTGCAAGACGCCCTGCGAGCCATCTCCAAGAAGATACGCAGCTTCACACCAAACTTCAGGACGGATGTCAACCGCAATGGGAGCGCCAACGGCAGTGGCAGCGGCAGTGCCAGTGACGACCTGTCTTCCCCCTCGCCCGACTACTCCGAGTACGATGAGAATAGCAGTGCCCGGACCATCAACGACCCCACATACCCGGTGTTTATCGCCAATGGCAAGCAGATCTCGCGCAACCTGTTCCAGCAGTTTCTCGATCAGTATTACAAGCTGTGGGGCGTCGCCAGTGCGCAGGCCCACCAGGATGCCGAGCTGGCCGCTCTTGTGGCCGAGTTCCAGGAGTTCAACAAGGAAGTCCATAAGCTGGACGAGCACATGCGTCAGCAGGCTCTGGCTGAAGGTTCGGATGATCCGAATCTCAACCTTTCAACGCGTCAAGTGGTCAAGTCCCCAATGGAAAAGAGCGCCATGAGTCTCCCTCTCAAGCCAGCGGGAGATTTGTGCGGCGGAGAGCCAGCTGTAGCTGCTCCCCTTCAGCGAGGCGCCGGACGGAGTGGAGCTGGTGGCGTACCCTTGACTCCCCTCATGGCGAAACTGTCGGTGCTGGCCCTCAGCGATTCGCCTTCCATCGAGATCCTGACTCCACTGACCAGCAGCATGGTCTTTCCAAGTCGCAGTTTCGTCAAGTGTGAGGACGCAGTGGACGCCTTTGCGGCACTGTCCATTGTTCCAGTGAATCCAGCTCCTAGCCTGGCGAATGGCATGCAGCGTACGGAACTGTATACCTGTGGTCAGAAGAACATGACGTTGCTGCTGCTCATGGAGGAGGGGACCTCGCAGAAGCAGGAAGTGGTGCAGAAGATGGTGAGTGAACCTACTAGATTAAGTACTAAATATTCTAATTGAAGGAACTCTATCCTTTTGTTTAGTTTGACATTTGCGTGGCGAAATTTCCCCACATGGAATCTCAATTGAGTCAAACACTCAATGCCAATCTGGAGGGCGATATGCTCGATTACAGCAACTACAGCTTCATGTGCGTGGATGCCAAGTGGGATGTTTTGGAGCGCAGTGGACCGTGGAATTCGTTGGAGCTGAAAATTCTCGAGAGCATGCATACCGCAGATATCGATGGGAAGCACGGTGGGCTGACGGACTTGATTTTACGGTGAGTGGATCATGATGAATGCTATGCAAAGAACACATTTCCATTTGCCTTTCATAAATTTTGCAGATCCCAAGATTCCGTTTACTATCGCCACAAGTGCGGACGGACAGAGTTCTACTACAAGGAGCCGACCCACCGAATCAATGGCATACCACCGCCCTCGGACCCAGTAAGCAACATACAGAATCGCGCCAAGGCGCAACTGGAGCGTGACCACTCCTACATGTTATTCTAGGAGGTTGGGTTGAGATAATAAGATAACCAACCAATACAATATGGATTAATATTGAATACTCGCATGCTTAATCAACAAAAAAAAAAAACAAAAATTGTTAATTGGGGCTGATGCCTGCTTCGGCCCCCACAAAATGCCAACATTATGCCATCCGCTGTTACTTACTTTGCCATCCCTAAATGTCCCTGGCCGTCCTTTGGGTAGCCGTAGCCTCTTGAATTGTGCTTGGAGAACCGAGAATTATCTACCATCTCCTGTCCATATCATAAAGTGAACAATTTTAATCAAAACGTTTTACTTTTTATATGAAATTTACAAGCAAAAAAAAACATGTCTTTGAACGATTTTAAAGCAAAGGTTGTCCCTTTGATCACCACTTGACACATTTTTCGATGCACAATTCAAGGGGCTTGGCAACAGACTCGTGCGAGATTTTGTGCAGCTTCCAGCCAGCGAATTCATTTGCATATGTTTCCTCGTTTTGACTTGAATGTAAAGTACAAAAATGTTTTAAGCTTTGTTTGCAATGTCCAGCACTGTTGTTTAATTTATAAGCGCGCCTCGCCAACCATATGATTATTTCCATTATTTATTTAGTTCTTAGAGAGAGAAGTGTAGTGTCTCGATTGCACTGGTTCTGTAGCCAAAGAATGTAGATTATATTTCGAATGTAAATATGCAGGGGGAATGTGTAGATTCATTTAGATTCAATTATTTGTAGCCCAAACTCTAACTCTAACCAGAATCGGTTATATCCAATTAGTAGTGTCCTAATAACTAATCTTAGCTTAGCTGTTTCTCTTACGTGTATTATTATCAAAAGAAGAGTTTAAGCGCTTTGTGCCAATTGAAATGCAAATCGAATGACTTGAATAACTGTCGAATGTGAGTGGGAGCGTGAGCGTGAATGTGAATGTTAACAGTGAATGTAAAAGCAGGGAATGTGCAATACTATGGAAGCAGGACAACTATTTTGTGAGTTTTGCATTGATTTTAGCTTAAATATACATTACAATATATATATACCAAAAAGAGGATTATTTATATATGCATACATACATACACATATATACAATATATAAACTCCCATATTGATAATCGAATCTACAAAATAAAAACCACGCAAACCGTTGTTTGAGAAAATACTTTGGATCTTTGAGGTTCCATTTTTTAAGTGTCTGTAACTATAACTATGACTGAAGCTCCTATCTTTATCTGTATATATATATATATATATGTATCTATAGTATTTAAGACTATGCTATGGCATCTTCATGACTATCCAAGGAACACGGTTATAATACTTGTAGTGATAATAGTCGTAGGCAAGCTTGCCCAGGATGAGGAGAATGAGGCTGGCCAGGACGCCGTTCAGCCAGTCGATGGGATGGATCTGCGCCCCACTCTCCGCACTCACGTTGCACATGTCCTGGCGGGTGAGGGTCAGCACCTTGGCCAGCCGCAGCTCGTCGCCCTTCATGTAGGTGCACGTCACATTCCAGGCATCCCTCACAATGTCCCTGTACTCGTTCATCAGCTCGCGTAGCCGCATACCGAACTTGCAGGTGCAGTGCCAGGGATTCTTGCTGAGCAGCAGCAGATTGGCGTTCTCATTGTCGTTGAGGGCATTGTCGAGGGCATAGACATGCAGCTTCCTCAGGTTGTTGCCACGCAGATTGAAGAGGCGAAAGTTCTGCAGCCAGAATGTGTTCTCCAGGTCGTCCACATTGGAGATGCGGTTGTTCTCCAGATGCACATCCACCACATGCCGGTAGTGGGGATTGTCCCGTAGCGGATTGATGTCGCTGATCTGCAAACGGAGCAGAGAAGAGAGGTGATGAAACATGGCCATATGGCCATTCAGACACAATCTTTTAAGCCCTACCAGGTTATCGTTGATGGTCAGCGTGGTTGTGTTCGCCGGCAGATAAGCGGGCAGGCTGTGGAACTGCATGTGCGAGCAGTTGACCGTGTATAGCGGAATGTGTGTTTTGGGCAGGATGTGGTGCATCAGGCAGGTGCAATTCCTGAGATCCGGATGCGATTGGCACTCCTTCTTTAGCTCCTAATCAACAGGAATCAGCAGAAATCAGCTTAGAGCCAAGTTACTGTGGAGAGAGTCGCAAATGCTCACCAATTTGTAGTGCATCACGAGCAGCATCTGGCGCTCCTTGTACTTGCGATCGGTACAGAGGAGCTCATCCCGGTCCACCACGAGACGCCCCTTCTCGGGCTGCAGCAGCATCCATTTGAAATTTCGCGTGCAGTTCCACGGATTACCGGCCAGGTAGAGCTGCTCAAAGGAGCGGGGCAGCAGCAGGGGGCCATCCAGCTGGATGAGCTGGTTCCAGCGCAGATCCAGGACCTTCAGAGTGTGCACTCGCTTGAAGGTGCGCGCAGAAATATACGAGAGATTCGTCCACGAGATGTTGATGCTCTGCAGAAAGGCCATTTCGGGAAAGTCGAAGGTGAACTCCGTAAAGCCGCTGTACTCGATGGTGAGGGCGCGCAGTCGCGGCAACTTCTGCAGCTCGCCCAGGAACTTGGAGGCGTCCTGGGGCCAGCCGCACAGCAGCATTTGCTGTGCCGGCAGCGGCTTTCCGTACTTTCTGCAGCCAAACAGAGTCAATGGGAGAGTGAATATCTCAATGGGTTACCATCTCATACTCACGCCAATGCCCCCAGGTTGTTCATGCCGCCGTAGCACTTTAGGAATCCGTTGCGGGTCAGTCTGGAGCAGTTGCCGCCGGCTGCCTCTGGCACTGAAGTCCAGTTGAAGCAGCTCTGACTGTAGCCGGCGGGCATCCGCATGGTCGTGCTTGGGATGGCCTCAATCGCTGTCATCTTCGTTGGCGTCGGCGTCGGTGTCTCGTTGCTGTCAGCAGCAGTGACGTGGCCGAGTCTGAAAAACCGAGTAATTGGTAAGTAAATAATTTGGTACATCAGTCTGATCCCCCCTCTACCGATAGATAAATATGTATTTGGGCTATTTTTGGCTCAGTCAGCCCTCTAACTGGTGATAATTCCGTCGCACTGCGGACCTGGCGCGACTCTAGTTTAGGACTTGATAAGCAGACGCCAGGTAAGTCTTGATTGCTTTCGGAAAACACAGCCTCAGATAGAGACTACGTACACATATAATCAGACCCGTTACTACTAGTAATATGTTATATCGTATTCGTGGAGGTTTTGTCTAACAGGCCGAAGAGGAAGTTCATAAATAGTCGCATTCCCTATAATTCTGCATAGTTTATTCCCAACATGGACTCAGAGAAAGATTATACAGCCACAATATTTATGAAGAAACATTCCCATATATTGATCCCCAAAATTGAATTTCTGATCGAGTTTGGATTACTTTAAACTGCTTCAAACCGACAGATTTTGGTCCCCTTTTTAGTATATTTTCCTATATCTAGAGTTCAGGCTGGACCGTGGCACTACTCTCGAGTACAAGTATATCTGCGTAGTATGGAAATTGTTTGCTCTGTCTATATGTGGCCGTTCTATTAGCGAGCAGAGAGCCAAAGTATATCACATGATGCTCACTTAGCACGTACAGAGGTGGTAGATTGCTGTGTGACAACGTTTCCGAGAGCTGTCAATGTTTACCAGGAATTATTTTGGAGAGATATAATCTTGAAACTGGATAAAGTCGTTGCTCTTCGAAATATATGTACAACAAAAATGCTGAACAATTGAAAGGTTTATAGTCTTAAGTTCCAGTTACAGATACCATCATACACCACATTCAAAAATAATACCCACATTTATACAGATACAGAAAATTCATATATCAATCGACTTTTATATCCCGTCGGTTTTTTTTTTTTTGCTATATTATACATGTGTCTAACCCACAATTAGCAACTATTTGTAGCACTCGTTCGCCTTCGAGGTGTTAAAATGAACAATACACAATGTGAAACATAAGAATAGCATCCAACAATATTTACTTTATAAGTAGTCGTCTGAAGTTTGGTAGCAGCTTTGTTTGCATTCAAATTCAAGTGGTAAAAATTTGTGAGCCAAAAATATTTGACTATGTTGGGTATTTAATCATACAATACTCGTTCCACAATATCTACTATATGTGTGGTGATGCCTAGGCACAATCGGCAGTCTTTCTCTCTGAATAAAAATTATCATTAATTAACATTGGCAAATTCGAAAAGTACACAAAATGCCAAAAGGCCCAGACCTGAATTCAATATTTTTCAGCTATTTTTGAAACGAAATTTATCTTTATTTATTCGTCGAAGTTTCACCAACTTCTTTATGGCAGACCATGGCGGATGATTAATAACGATTCGACTGAGGCGCAGCAATGTCCAATATCAATTGAAAAGTTTCCCTTGCTGCATTCTTTCCATTGAATTGAGCTCTGCCGTCACAACAAGTGGCGGCATGCCATTTCATTTAGACAATCAAATCGGTTTGGTTCGGTTTGGCAAGAGGCAGAGGAATAAAAGATGCAGTTTATTGCCCATGGGATAAGTTGTTTATAGCAATGGGGGGAGGCAGCACTAAGTACAAAAAACTATGAGATATTCCACCAAAGGGAATGAAACTCCTGGGCCATCTTCAATATTTATTGTGGCACAATCGATATGTGCACCAACAAAAAGTAATCTATTATGTATTTGTTTTTTTGTTTTCATACACACATCCATACAAAACTTCTTGCTAGCTTACGTACACTTGAAACAAGTCTGTCAATTCAACAATGAAAATAAATCTGAATAAATCTACTTATGTATCCGTCACGACAGTGGCTGTCAATTGCCTTTGATTCGTTTTGAGATTGACAAAACAAAATAGCCAAGGGACGCAAATTAGATCGGGAAAAGAGTGGGGCGAGAATGCCCACCGAAATCTTTTCCTATCCCCTATTCCAGATCTAATAGCATTTTTGTGTTGTATGAATTTGATAAATAAAATAAAAATAAACGCCTTGTGATAAGAATTTCGAAATAGAATACAACGAAATATCACATTTCCCTTCCGTGAAGGTAAGAAGTTCTGACTTCGTTGTGTGGGGTGGATAGATAAGTAAACGAGGAATACTCGCAGCACTCGGCGTGGCTTTGAATGCTGAGGAAGTTGCTACCAATGAAATTTATGGCCTTTAATTATGTCTCTGGAATAATAAATCTGGCCATATAAAAGTGTCAACAGAGATGACAAGAAGTTCTACAAAAATACAAAAGATCTAGGGGGTACGGTACTGTTTGTATTTTATATTTTAGTTGACTTTGTACCAGTTCGACTTTATATTAACCATAAAATCCAATCAGCACGGATCCAATAAAGTGCGCTGCGCTCTGATTTGGTTTCCACGATAAGTCATTTTGCATTGAATGGGCCGTATGAGCAGTAAACCATGGACAATAACCCACATATGGAGCGGCCCAGAATAGTTTTTAGTGTGCTTATTAATAAATAAGCTAGACAGAGACGAGTTAAGGCACAGAGTGCTGTAAACACTTGATAAGAGCCACGCATTTGCTTACATGACACTAAATTGCGCATACGCAGTGTATACCTTTACCTCATCGAGACCATCATAAGCAGCGACAGGGTGCTGCTCACAGCCCACTTTTCGTACATACACCCACGGATGGTGTTTCGGCGTGCCATTGATCTCTTTCAATACAGGAACTATATTTTAGGATATTGTTTATGCAAATTTCGATATTTTCACTCGGAATATTCCATTGTCTCAATTGTTTGTAGTTTATAGCAATTTGTTGAAATTTTAAAGCACATAATTAAATATTGTTTTAATTTCGCTTCGCAGGCATACCGTTCCGCTGTTTAATCGCCACTCAATCCGCGGGTGTCTCTAGTGGCCCTAGTGGTATGTTCTTTGCTGTGTGGTGGTGGTGTGCTGCTCTTCGCGCGCTTGATGTTTAAATGAGGCGCGATTGCGAATCGCTGGTGATTTTGTTGGTTCTTCCTCTTGCGCCACATTACTCTTTGACGCCAGAGATCTCCAGCCCCAAAACAGCTGACCGCCACAGAGAGGAGAGTGATAGAGCGCGAGCGCAAGTGAGAGTGAGAGATCCATTGCGTGGGGGCTCGTTTGGAGCTCGGAACAGCTGTTTCGGTTCGGGGTGACGTTGATTTACGATCAGTGTCAGTGTCAGAGTCGGTGTCATGTTCTGTTTGGATCGGATTAGATTATATGGATTTATTGTTTCTGCAACATGTTGACTGGAATCATCTTGACGAATCCACTACCTGGTTCAAGACTCTCGCCGGCTTTGGCATACAAATTGCCTGCAATTTGGTCACCCATTCGCCGACAGGCCGATTTGGCTCATCAAATGGCTAATGTGAAAAATAAAAGTAATTAATAATCATATAATAATCACGAGTAGCAATGCAATCGGTGTTCGTTGTTCGTGTAACATCATCTTTATTAATGTTTCATACATTTGTACATCAAAATATGGACCGCACTTTGATCAAAGCTAAACTAGGGAATATATAGTTAACAAAAACCGTTCATTAGACACAAATATAGTGCTCAGTATGTGTATAAGATATATTTGTAGGTGCGGCTAACATCTGCTTGGCCTAGTGCTGAACTCGCTAGGTGATTAACAATCGATTATGTTGTCTTTGGGTTTGGACTTTCGAGTTTTGTGCTCGTCTTCTTTTCTCTTTTTTGGACCAGTGAAATGCAATGATAATATATATTTATGCATATATATATATATACATATATGTAAATATATATTCACATATGTTTGTAGGTACATATGTATGTATGCATGTCTCTTATACAGGTACACGCTCGCTGCCACTCGTCTGTTTTGTTTGTCTACACTAAATTTTGGTATAACATTCACAAAAGCTGAAATCTCTTGACATTCCCTTAATTAATATCCTATGTGGGCGTATTACGCCCATTGCTGCCACTACCATTGGGGGTTGTGGCATCGCCAGCTGCCTGCACCTTCTCGTTGGTCTCGGCTTGCTTCTGGCGCTCATAGTCACGCACATTCTCCAGGGTCATGCCGTGCCATTCGTCCAGCCAGGCAAATGCCTGGCGATGTCCAAGCAGGAGTATGTCGCGTATGCCCCGCTGTATAAAGTCCTCAACCTTTGTCTGCAGGCCCCAGACCTCGAAGCTGGCATGGACCACCTTGTAGGAGCACATGATGGGCTTGTCCGTCTCCCGCCATCCCTCAACCAGCGGCCCGCGACCTATAGGACGAAACAAGCGTCACTATATATGGGCATTTGCTACTAACTGGCTAATATATGCACTTGTTTTTTTAGATTTGAAAAACTTGGGATCTTCCTCGCGCTTGTAGTGTTTGGCGCTGAATTCATCGAAAGCGATGTCCAGATGCTCCACAGAGCGCACCTTCAGCTCCTCCTCAGTAAGATCCAGACACTGTCAAATACTTTTGTTATAGCTAAAGAGTACTGCTTCGGAACCTGGGTAAATTCTCACGTTTTCTGTGGTGCCACTGTTGTCCTCATACTTGGTCTTGATCAGGACATGCAACTTGGGTATGAAGGAGCACTGCGAAGGGAGGGATAGATAATTGGTCAGCGGAGGACATCCAAGCATAAACGTTGTCTTATTACCGTATATTCTACATGGGGAGGGTTCCAGGCATTACCAATTACAGTTCCAAAATAGCACATGAAATTTTAATGAGAAAAATGAAATCAATAATCCAATCTAAATATGTTTCAAGCGTGTCTAATGTCTATAATTAGCGATAAAGCGATTTATAAATAAGCCGCAGCAAGGCAGCAGTATAAATCGAATGGCAATTATAGACTTACAAATTGATCCGCGTACTTATAAGGCCATAAATAAGTGTATGTGTACCATGCATAAAATACAAAGGTTATCGTGAACATTGATTTCCTTGCTAGATAGATACAGAAATCTGTAATGCTTTGTCTAATAAATTTTATAAACGTTTCACGAAGTCAATGAACCAATGAAGTGCACAGAGGCTAGGAGCGAATTCGGGGAAATACATATATAGTTTCTGAAGTGCATTGTGGACACATGTGTAATCTGATTTTATCAGAACAAAGCGGAAGAATGCGATGGGAATTGTGGCATTTGTTAACAATTTGCCAAACGCTGATTGGAAACGAGTCGTCTGTTCTGGCCACCATGAAAATGATATCGGCTGCCATAATGCCTAGCACGATGACGTATTGGTGGCATGACAAGTGTGCGTACGAGTTTATGGGGGGCTTTATCGGTAGACATATACCCCCCACTACACACCCTGCCCAGATGTAACCGAATTGCTTTAGCCCAACGCATGATGTTCTAAGAACGACTAGGAAAGAATTCGGCGGTTGCCATATGGCTACAGCAGAAATAGTAATTGAATGCTAATGATAAACACAAGGTACTTGTGCTGCGGCCTCCCCGGGGGAACAGGGAAAAGACCCGTAGTGTCGCCTTGAAAACAGACACCACGTGGATGCGCACGCCCAGTCCAAGGTGGGCTGCTGTCCACCCACTCACCTGTTAGCGTGTATGGATAGTAGTTCCAGGACTTCTCTATCACATAGAAAACGCGCGGGCAGATTGCTTGCACCCAGTAAGGCAGTCGACTGTTTTGGGGGGCGAATCTTTGATTAGCCGCCAAAAAACTATGCAAAAATTGATCCGCTTACCTGGACAAGTGGATGTGTTTCTCTGTGTACTGGCCCTTGCCGTGGACGGCATCTTCGCAGGGTCTGTTCTCCACCACCTCGACACCTTCACCCTCCTCGGATTGCTCCAGACTATGGCGTGCTATCATATAGAGCTGACCAATCTTGTACTATGAAATTATGAAATAAAATCAGAACTTTGATTCCTGTCACTGGCGGGAAATGATGGATGGGCTCACCTCCTCCACGGTTAGCGGCATGCAGACGCGATATTCCTTCGTCAACACCATGTCCAAGCGTTTAAAGACGACGCTTCACAGAAAATTCCAATTCAACGTTACGCAAAATCACCGCCACACACAACTCGCCAGCCCGACAACAACAAATGTAATTAGGGATGTTAAATATATACGTAAAATATGGATATATATCGATAGATATATGTTTGTTGATAGTAATTTTTTTGGACTGGAAATTATCAAGTGGTTCCAAATCAAAGTCAGAACATTTCCCAAAACGCAAATACACAATATTTTCCGGTTTTTTTTCGTCTTTAAATCAGACATAGCAGCGACTTTTTATTTAGTCGATGCACAGGGTAGTAATCGATATTTTTGTGCGATAAATGGCAATCTAATTCGAAAAATATACTGTTATTTCCTATTTCCTACATGCAAATAATTTTATTTTATTAGAGCATCTTAAAAATTACGTTATACAAAGGAATAAATGACTACAAGAGATAATGGACCTTGTTATGATTACACGCCGATGTAAAACTCATGTAGATATATATGTAGGTGCCTCCGTGACAATGTTATCGCTGTTTTGTAGTAAAATTAATTTATTTTTGTGTAGTTTTTGTGTGGTCCACGTTATGGTTGCATTGCATGTTATTCCAAAGAAAATATCGGCTCTAGTTTTGTTACGTCAAATTTCGTTTATAATAATCGTCTGTGAAAAAATCGCACCAACTTATCGTATCAGAAATAAAAATATTGTGTCTATCGATATAATGTCAACAATCGTAATCGGTAGGTCACGTGTCGTTCTATTTCTTTTTTTCCGCCGCCATGGTGAGCTCGCTGTTGTCCGTACATACTAATTATTTAAACAAAATGGTAAGTTGTAGTAAAAGATAAAGTGTAGGTTTATGTGGTTTCCATTCCATGATGTTTTTCCTATACCGCCCCAGTCTGAACAGACGTGTTGATTGGTTTTCCATTCTGACTACAAATGCCGATGAGCATATTTCAACAAATTTGATGGAAATAAAATTAAATGTTATATCTTTCGTTTCATTTACAGAAGGCCATGCGGTAGCTTGCATTGTCTGTAGTTTGATAATGATTACAATGTAATTCAAGCGTATTTGGAGATTTCAACCGGGGTGGTGCTGAGCTGACCCCACGTGTTGCCGGAGCAATAGTAAGGTTAGTTTCGATCGGAAATAATTGTGAAGTTTTGGTTTCTATGATGCTAAACATATACCGCCCCAGTCGGAAGAATAATGTCGATTGGATTTTTTACTGATGCTTAATTAGTTTTGCTTACTTAGAAATACGCACATGGATTCGTTTTAACCTCATTCTGTTTGTTTTCAGCAGTACCTACTATACTCTCGCACCAGCAATCCAAAGACTGCCTCCCTGGCTAGCTACCCATGATCAAAGGTGAATAAAAACTTTCATTGCACAAAATCCGATGTACTTTCTATGATGAACAACCAATAGACAAGCATATAACCGAATATTTATGTTGATTTTCAAAGGACTGACTCTAGAAAGTACTTCGAGTGCTTAAAAATGTTTGAATATCTGATCAAAACCGTCTCTTTTTTCAGGTAGCAAAGCATGGAAAAATTCTTGGAAAGGCAAAAGGAGTTGAATGGTAAGCATCAGTATATCTGTAGGTACCCCTTTAGATAATGATGAACACCTTATTAAAGCCAAACAGTTATCCCTGTCATAAGATTAATTGATGATGCATTAAGCTGATCTTTCGACATATCCTAGCTAGTATTTCTATAAAATGCATAAGTACTAACTCAAAATTCTCTTCCTTACAGATTCCTCTTGCATTACCGAATTGACGCAACAAAAAACTTGCCAAAGATTTAAGGTACGTTTTAAGCACGTGGCATCCGTCAGTTATTCTGTTTATGATGAACACTTTATTTAAGCCAAACAGTTATCCCTGTCATAAGAATAATTGATGATGCATTAAGCTGACCCAGCCGCTTCATACAATACTCTATATAGATGCGTGAATATCTATTGATAATGCATTTTCTATTTTTGCAGGTTTCTTGGAACCAATGAAGTCTGAGATGTCCTGAGAAAACTAGGTGGGTTTCGATGTTCAGAATTATTTTGTTATATTGATCATGATGTTTTTGAATACCGCCCCAGTCGGAGAAATGATGTCGATTGGTTTTATTTGCTGATACACTAAAATATTCATACAGTGTATGCTATTTCATTAGAAGCTAGAGTATTAACTTTAATTATATTTTATCTTACAGAAACCTCGACTACTCCTTCGGTTTGAAGTCCATCTCATGATATTCTACAGAGGTGTGTATATATAGCATATTTAGAACCTTTTGCCATATACCTGCTCTGATGACAAACCTATAGACAAGCATATAACTGAATTTATGTGTGTTGCAACATTTATAAGACTGAACCCCTTACATTTACCAAACTAATGGCTACAGCTACATTTTAAGTATATTAATCAGTAATATGTTTATTTATTTTAGCAAATACTCTTCGTTGGGGCAGTAGCAAATTGGGACCAGGTCGATTGCGATTTAAGGTTAGTAAATATTGATATGTGGGTCACTAAATAGAGGAAATTTATATGATGAGCACTTTTTAAAGCCAAACAGTTATCCCTGTCATAAAAACACTTGATGATATACTAAACTGACAAAACAATTTTCACTTAGATAAGATCATTGTGGAATATGTAAATAATATTGATTTATTTCATTTTAGATTATAAATATCCTGAAGCCGTAATATACTGCAATAAAAAACGCCATGTTGAATGCGAAGGTAAGTTTATCCGCTTTTATTTTTGATTTAGTGAAAATTAGGGCACACTCATGATGTTCTTAGATACCGCCCCAGTCGGAGAAATGATGTCGATTGGTTTAGTTTACTGATAGTTCCAATATACAGCATTATATATGTAAAATATTGACTAGAACGTGTATTAATACTATTCTCTTTTAACTTACAGGTTTAATTTCGGAAATATCTGAAGACGTTGATATCCACACTGCCAATTTATAAAAGAATTACTATAAGGTGAGTTTTCGATTTTTATGCAGGGACATATAGAATAGGGCAGTCTCATGATGTTTTTAGATACCGCCCCAGTCGGAGAAATGATGTCGATTGGTTTAGTTTACTGATAGTTCTTATATCAAGCATTATATATGTTAAATATTTACTAGAATGTGTACTTATACTATTCTCTTTTCATTTACAGGCTTAAGTTTGGTAATATCTACAGTTCCTTGCTATACACTGAGGAAGCCAATTGTTAAGTGGATGTATTTTGAGGTGAGTTTTCCATTTTCGATTGTTGTGCAGGGACATATAGAATAGGGCACTCTTATGATGTTTTTGGATACCGCCCCAGTCGGAGAAATGATGTCGATTGGTTTATTTAGCTGATAATTTCAATCTAGTACCTATCAAATGTTTCAACGTGTTCTTCAATACGTATTTACACTATGGTTTTTTATATTTCCAGATTGAACAGTTGATAGATGGATGGTGGGGTAGCCTTGGTGTGAGCTGCTGTTAGTGGTAAGTATTATTTAATTTGTTAAACCTCCGCCGAGTCTATTTCATGACGAATACCTTGACAAGCATATACCTGAATGTTTATGTCGAATATACACTTGACTGATCCATCCACATCCGCACTCCCCTCTGTGTGATTCATTCGCAAGCAGTAACTGATTCGCATCTTATCCATTTATTGCAGCCAATGACAGAATTCTGGAGAAGATCGAATGACTAAAAACTGCCACAATTATTCTATGAATGTTATCTCTAATGGATGAATAAAAAAACAAAAGTTGTACTTGTAATATAACGTGATATATTTTATTTTGCATATTATGTATATGTATATTATGTATTCAATCGCTTCAGTGGTCAAAGGAGATACATACTTTTAATGCTACAAAAATTGCTTCCGTCTTTCAATTCAATTCGATTCGACCCAATCGTGTGGGCTACATATAAGAATATTCCATTTGTAAATGTTGACCTTTATATAAGTGGTACATTTGCGTACAGTACACTACAGTATATACTTTTTTTGTATTCAATATTCATACATATATGTAAATATATATGCGTACGTTGTTACATATGTAGGGTATATATATGCTTGGGTTGGGACTTATGTATTTGTAAATATATATATTCGTGTATGTACGTACGAGTATTCAGAAGGGATACGATACACGCTCAAAAAACTCAACAAAGCAAATCAATTTCCCAGCCACTTGGCCTGCCTGCACTCGATACAAACTCGACTCGACTTCCGCTTCTGCTGGTCAAACGCCAATGGAAACTTTTGATTGAACGCACAACTAGTAGTAGTATATGATGGTTAGGACCTGGGGGAGGAGGCTGGTACTGTTCTACTATAGATGGCATAGATGATCGCCTTAGTTTAGATATAAAATATGTTTCACTACCAGACAACATTTATAAAGAGTTTATACTTCTGCTTTTGCTTTTGACTCGCTAAATCATTCGAAACTATATCAAACTACGAGTATGTATGCTCCCTATGTTGGGAGATGGATTTAACTCCGTTCTGTTCGAACCAATGGGAAATACAAATGTAATACATTTTTTAGCATCAATGACGATTTACAGAGAGAGAGGTAAATGAGTGAGAAATGTCAATTCCAAATGGAAGTTCCAAGGATATATTGTACTACTACAATGGGAAGAGAGTCTCAATCAAATGTCTTTCGGGTAGCGTAGCTTTCTGTAACATTTCTCTTTGTTTTATTCGTATTCATAGGTATTCATAGGTGTTTTCAAAAAACAATAAGGAATCAACAATATTCATAAAATGTATCATTATAGAATATATGGTAAAATGTAAATCTAAAAACTACACATATATAATAATATCCGTATAAATGTATGGGGTAGGGGGGCGGGTGTTGGGATATACATACACGCATACGAGTATCTAGGTATGTTTCTTTGCATTTGGTTTTTTTTTTTTTGTGGGTATGAAATAAATAAGAATCGCATGCAGGTGAATAGATGTGGATCAATTAAGGGCTTCGGCTAGTGGCCGATGTGCTTCTTGATCAGGGCCTGCAACAGCCGTACCTTGGCCTTCTTCTCCTTGTACTGGGCATAGGTCTCCGTCTCGAGGGACCTTCGGTCCTGCTTCAGCATCTTGCGGCCGTTCTGCTCCTCGAACAGTGACTCGTACTCGCGTATGGTGGCCTTCAGCATGGCCTTCTCGTCGCGCACGCGCTCCAGCTGCTCCCACAGCTGGTCCAGGCTCAGTGCAGAGATGTTCTCGCTGGCCGCTCTCTCCGCCGCGGAAGACTCCATAGATCCTGCCACCGCCGGACCCGTAGTGGTGGTGGTCGACTCATCGGAGGAAGCGTTCTGTGTGAGGGTATTTGGCGCCATCGAGTCGCTGGGGGAGTTGGTGGTCTCGGTGCTGTTGTTGGATGAATACTGCAGCGGTGTGGAGGTCGCCTCGAAGACCATAGCCTCGTGCTCCAGGATCGTGGGCAGCTCCGGCACCCCAGTCCCAGGTCCGAACATCACAGTGCGGGCAACCATACGCTTCAGCTGACGGTAGCGATCGTAAAGGGGTCGGGCTGCATCTCGCTCCTCCTTGGAGATGGGATGGCCGTAGAGATTCTCAAAATACAGCAGACCATGCTGGACAGCGGTCTTCTCCTGCACCAGTTGATCGGCGGTCAGTTCCTCCAGCTGCTGGGATCGGTGGCTATTGGTGCGCTTCTCGTTGAGATTCTGCAATAGAGAACGAATCGAAGGCGTTAGCGGGTGAGTACGGTGCAAAAATGATCAATGGATCAATGAAATCAACATGAAAATGACAACTCAATGCCACGGAAGCCCCCCACAAAAACACACGCACACACAATACTGATAAAAGCCCCAAAGCACCACGTAAACAAGACAATCTATCAGCGCCACTGCATGGGGCATTATTTCATTGGGTCTCATGACAAACAGCCAAGAAACCCGCGCGAGAAGCCAAAGAGCCCAAAACAGAAATAGAAATAAGTGTAGAATATTCGTAAACAGTCGCAAAAACAGAGAAAACATTACATTATATGTACAACATGTCTGCCCTGCCCTGTCTGTGCGGAAAGGCACTTTTGTGGCTGCTCTAACCATTATAGCCATATTCCCTCGCCTCCCCTTTGCCACAGTACATCCAATCATTCTTGGCACAAACTCAATTTCGAGCGGATTCCTTTCGGGCCTCTATGACAAATGTATCATTAATTTGTCAATCGAGAAAGAAGTGGAGAAGAAGGAGGCCTGTCCTACCCAAATGCCATAAACACATGAACACACTCGGCTATTGGATCTAAAATAGATTCTCATAAAACACTTATATAAAAGAAGCCTCCCAAATTGGACAGATATACTACAAAAACATTTGTAGGGGTTCTAGAAGCCCCACCCTCCTCCTGTTGATGTGCTTTTAAATACTCAACTCTATAATATATTGAACAGACTTTTTTTCCATATATTACATTAGTTGTTCTCTCATAAAAACCGTTGATTTAAAAGAATTAAGACCTATGTTGATGTGTATATTCTGCCAAATAATTCTTTCTACCAACCTACCATCCAGTATAAACTTAAAAACAGTTTCAAATAATATATAAAATGAATTTCCCAACTCTTATGAGTATACATACGAAATTGTGGCTATAATTAAAATAATGGTAGATCCACAATAAATATATATGTACATATGTAATATACTAGATTGATTTCTTTCATGATTTTGAAATTCAAACTTTTCGCATGCCAAAGTACTTTCGATCCCAATTAAAAACCGCATTTAAAATCACTTTTGACAGGGCATTAAGCACTTCGATCAACCGCCGAAATTTGTTTGTTTTCCCACCAGACAAAATTTGTTTTTGGGCGGAAAATTGTTCCATTTTGTTTTGTTTTTGTTTTCCGAGTGCCGCCGTGCCGCTGCGACAATGGGGCAAGATCAAAGTTATTGCCAAATGGCTAAACATGTCACTGGCTGCTGTGGCGGTGGGGGGGTGGCCGTCGAGGCAATCTAGATACAATACTCGTGGATCTGTGGCTCTCTGACGTCTGTTCCACTTGTTAATTGCGATCAAAAATCTGTGTCTGTCTCGTGACAAGAGTGCGCGAATGAGATGGGGATGGTAGATGGAGGATGATCTCAGAGAGAGAGAGAGAGCGAGAGAGATAGTGATCTGTACCTGTTCGATTTCAGCGAGAGTGGCCTTCATGCGCTCCAGCTTCTTGGCCACCTCCTGGCACCCAGAGCCACCGGCTCCGGCACCGCCACCGACTCCCAGCTTGAGGCCAAGGGCAGCGATGGGATCAGTCTTGAGCTCATGCCGCTCCTTGCGCAGCTTGCTCAGCTCGGCCAGGACGTTCTTCATGTACTTGTCGTTAAGGCGCTCCGCCTGCGAGGGCCGGTAGCCGAGCCGCTGCTCCAGGGCATCCTCCAGCTGGACGAGCTTCTTCTTGAACACGGTCACCCGTCGGCTGATAGCCTTGAGACGCTCCTCGGGCGTCTGGAAGGCCACCATCATCGCGGGCAGCACCTGCTGCATCACGTCACGGGTGCGTATATTCTCCAGCGAACTGAAGGCGCGCACCGCGTCCATCGGCTCCAGGCAGTCCATGTCCTCGCAGCCATGCAGCTGCACGCTGGTCGCTTGCTTTGGTAGCGCCTGCGGATAGGGCATCACCTTGGCCAGCTGGGCGGCCGCGTCAATGTTGCCGCCGACGTGGGGCCGGGAGTGGGCATAACGTCGGCTTAGCACGGGGGCGGGCTCGTCCCCACGCTCCCATGGCAGGGATTCCTGGGCCGAGGTGAGGTCCGGATTCTGCTGCTGTTGGCGCTGCGGCGGCTTGGCCTTTACGGGTGTGGGCGTAGTGTCGTCACTGCCCGCCGAGGAGCTCGTTGTCGGTGTGGGCGAGATGCTGGAGCTCCTCTTCGCCGGCTGCTGCTGCTGCTGGTGTTGCTGCTGCAGCTGTTGTTGCTGGTGGAAGTCGATCAGGTTGTTGTCGTTGTGATCGGAAGCGGAGGAAGACGAGTTGGACAGCTGTTGCTGCTGCTGCTTCCTGCTGCTGATGAAACCGCGACGCTCGTACTTCAGTGCGGACAGATCGTACTTATAGGTACTCTGCTCGTCCCGCCTGGAGGGCAGGTACTTGCCACCGACTCCTCCGCTGCCGCTGCCCTTCTTGGTGACGCCGGACTTGCGGCCTGGAGGCAGACGCGACTTACAGAAGCGCTCACTGCTCCTTCGGCGCTCGTGCTCGCACTCGCTGTCGTCGCTGGCCTCCCGCTGCTGGCGGGCCGGACTGGTCTCCGAGCGCGGACGCTCCTTCGAGCCCTGGACCTCACTTGAGAGATTGGCCAGCGAGGAGTTATTCTCGCCGCCCTCCAACTCCTGAGACTGGGACTGGGACTGCTGTTCGCGCTCAAACTCCAGACAGTAGTTGGCGTAGCTGGCAGTGCGCTCAAAGTCCTCCGAGGAGACGCGTCGAATGACCTCGCATTGGGCCTCCAGCAGGTGCGCTGCCGCTGTCTTGGGGTCTTGCGGTGCGTGGCCCTGAGCTGGATCCGTGAGCAGCTCCTCGCTGTTGCTGCGCTGCAGCTTGCGGTCCTGTCCAAAGACGGAGCTGCTGTCGAGACGCTCCTTGCGTTTGCGCGATGACTTCTGCCATTCCAGAGGATTGATGATCTCCGGGAGATATGTGGAGCTGAACTTTGGCTGTGGGTCGGCGCTGTTCAGATGGTTCTTGGCGTCCGCCGCCAAGGAAGCCTTGGTCCTCTCCGGACTTTGCTGCTGGCGGACGACGACTGTTGCCTCATGGCACTGTGTGGGGGCCGCGGATGAAGCGGAGGCTGACGATGATGAAGATGAGGCTGTGGCTGCACTGCCGCACGAGGCGGTCGACGATGATGAACCGGTGAGACGACTCAGGTCGTCTTCGTTCAGCCCAGTTGTGGGATGGCGCATGCCGCACTGCAAAGGCGAGAGAGAGATAGGCAAATGGTTAGGGAAATTCATAAATAAGGTAAATAATTGAACAATGTTTCTCAGATGTCATCTTATCCGATACCCCGTTCCCGCGTTCGCCATGAAGTGGGTTAATAAAGGTCTGGCTCTACGTGTCGTATGAGTAATATTTTGTTAAAACATTTACTTTGTGCCCCGACACGACCCATCGTCCACTACTGCCCCCCGAACCTCCTCGAACGGACTCGGGAACAGGGGACTAGTTGGGGTTCGTCAGTTGAAGAAAATCTCTCTAGTTTTCAGTCTCCGATGCCTGTTATATAAGTCACACGCGATGCCCCATAAATAATTCATAGACTTTGGTCGGAAAAAGTCAGGCTTCCATTTGTTACCCAAAGAAAAAATCTGTTTCAGTTGTGTAATCATGTGATGAAATACATTTGATGAATAAATTGGATCAAAATTAAATGCACAATTTAAAATATTTCAATTTGATATTCAATCATTTTATGAAAATGGTTTACGAACACTAAAAAATATTTATTTTTAACATTTGACTTGTGAGTGCATTTCTAGCAAAGGGAATCTCAAAGTGTTATAAATAAAATTATATTGTATGTATGTATATTTACCAGAAAATATGTAATAATTCGGGGCGTCATATTGTTATGGATTATAAATAATTATAAATGTAGGTTGGATTGGCTAATCTCTATGGGAATCAGTCTAGCGGTAGATTGGGGATTATCACAAGAATTATTGCACTCGAGGCGCCTCGATTACGTTCAATCACTTGATTTGAATATACTTTTGTCGGTACGAGTATAATCTCATAAATGTAATAAAAATGTCCACGCTGGAATCTCGCCCAATAAATTTCAATTGAAATTAATTGAGTGTTTCCTTTCCAGGTTTTCTTTTCCTATTTTTTTTTTTTTGGCAAAACACAGTATTGTTGTCTCCTTTTTGTTTAAAACAGTCTACATGTCTCTAGATCTTGTGATTGTTTTTACAAGTTTTCTTTCTGTTTTTCACAAATATTAATTTTTTTCCTTTTTGGCTTTAGGCGCTTAACGCTGCCTCTGCCGACAGCACGGTGGAGGAGAAGAAGGAGAGAACCGTTGCCGTTGCGTTCTCTGGGCGCACCGAATTACTATTAAATTGATTTCAGCCCCGACCTCGGGAATTATATGCGAAAATCTCGAGAGCTGAGCAGCGGCAGAGCGCCAGTAGCAGCAGTGGCAGAGCGATAACTTGGGAGAACGGGCAGGAGAGAGAGCGCCTGCGCATGGTCAATGTTATTGTCGATCGCTGCAGCGTCTGCTGTGGGGGTGAGCAGGGAGAGAGAGAGAGAGAAGGTGCGAAAATTAAATGCAAACAGAGCAGAATTTGTGCAAACAAGATATATTAATGCAAGGTGGGGCTTTCTTATATAGCTTTCTTACGGTAGTCGCCTTCTTGCAGTGCTGCAGAGCAAATGAAAAGTACAGCTAGAGAGAGGAAACTCGAGAGAGCGGTAAATCCTCTCACCTTGTATTAAATAAACCTTTTGTCTACTTTTCTTATCAGTACTCTCTTCCGCTGCAGACACTATACAGAGACAGACAATAGAGGGCGTCTCTGTGTGTGTTTGTGTGTTTGTTTGAGAGTTTAAAAATAAATCTGGCACTTGTGGTGCACGAAATTAGCAGGAGCTCCACACTTTATGGCCATATTAATGAAATGAATTAATTTATTCACTTGTTTACTCCCCCGTGTGCACCGACAGAACAAACAGACGATACCGATGTAGCTTAAGATATCGATTGATCGAACGGTATTTTTGGCACACGCAAAAGCCCTACGTATAGGTAACGGCACATCATAAACAAAACAAAAACCAAAATAAAATTGTCAGCGGGGTGGGATGTACATATTTACAAGTAAATACACAAAAAAATAAATACTTGCTCAAGAATAAATTTCAAGTGCAATGTCACGCCAGATCAATGCAGCAGCAGAGCAGAGGCAAAAGCAGAGCTGCAGCAGAACAGCGCAAAAAATGCTGGCCTCTCTCTGTCTGCCTGTGAAAACAACTGAGTCATTTCTCCTCTCTCTCTCTGTCTGTCTTCTAGGCTAACCGAATTTCAGACGGAGAGGGAGCATCTCCGCCCGGAGTCTGTGCGTGTGTCAATCAACTCTTTCGTCAGCCAGAACGAGATCAAATAATTGAAGCCCTCGCGCCCTCTCGTGACGTCAATGGAGAGCGTCATCGAAAGCTTACAGCAAGGCAAACATCGGCTTGGAAGGACTCCCACCCTTCCCCTCCGTCTCTGTGGACTGGGCGGCGCGTGCAAGGCATTTCCAATTGGAATTAGTTCTTATCAAATTAATTAGACAACGGAAAGGGGGATTTGTTGGGGGGATTTTCAGCTGCAGACAGCGACAGGTGAAAGCGCCAGTCCACCGTCTAATGACACCGCAATGGATAATGAATGGGAATTCAGTCGATTTCTGTAGACTTAACGGTAACAAATTCCAGTGTGATAGCTGTAAGAATGACTATAACAATTTGTTCTTCTTTAATTTATAAAAATATATGGACTTAAACATGTTGATGAAATATTTTTAAAGAATTTATCCTCTTAATGAAGATATGTACATGATGAAATTATATGTTTAAAATCTTTGGTTTATCAGGCAACTTTTCTACGGAAAAATTAATACAATAAATATTCCCACATAATGTCTGGTTTTTTTCTGTCCAAAATATAAATATCCAAATATATCTATACATGCAGATAATATTGATTCCAAATTATGACGTAGATAGGTAGGGCGCGTGGGCGGTTATTCGAACGCCATATATCACGCATTAACAAAATCTGAGAAAGACATATGTACATATCTGACGATATCATTGTGCCTCCCTTTGGCATTCCATTGTTTATGCAATAAAAGTTCACAATAATTATTTACAGAGAAGCCGCCACATGGAAGTGCATGACTCAGTACGACAAAAGATCATATCGGATAAGAATCGAGAATAATGGGGCACGTAAACCACTGAAGCCAGCGAGTGAGCAACAAAACCGCATTAGCCACTTGGCCCAATCATCTGGACAATTGGTGACGGACACCAGCTGCAGAATAAAGTGTCACAGAAATATGTTTTTATTTTGAGATAATGATATCTTATACTCGTAGGTGGAGTTGTACTATAGACCATGTTTCCACACAAAAATCAACGGGGAATAATCGATAAGAAGCTGTCGTCATGAAGTATTTATGGACACAACCATAGAGGAAGGAACAATCGTATTTGGAACTGATGATAGCCAACACTTATTGAATTGAGAGAGAGCTATCAAATAGGTTCCCATATCGTGTATAATCAATCAACTTTAATCAAATGAAATTTGGTTTAACATTTAGAATGGAATCAACTAGATATGCAAAGTTAATCCTACATCCTCTGGGTTCCAAATTCCGCTACCAAATTCCATTCCAAAAGCTAAGGTCGCAAAATTGACACAATAAACGGCCACGCGCTGAAGCCAAAAATGTTTACATGCAAAAACGGAACGAAAACAAAGTCAGGGGCACAATGGCACGGGATTTATGGGGCTTTTGTCGAGTGTGGGGTTGACTGCTTAACAACAGTCCACGCAGTCCATGGGACGCCTCCGTGTCTCACGGAGATGCTAAAAATGGACAAGATTTCTCGCAATAGCTGAGAGGTGAGATTTGCGCGTTTTAACAAGCCCGTGCGAAAACGGCATTCATCGGCATTTGGAAGCCGGAGAACGGTGGCAGTACACGTGGGTGGCGGGGGTGCTATTAAACGTCGTACAAATATTAAAAGTCATTTTCACCGGCTACAAGTACGAGTATTATGTTGATAAGAGTGGCGAGTTCTCTCCTCTCGGCACTACCTGGTAACATCCATAACAGCCACAGACCGCCCAGCGCCGCCCTGGTCCGGCTTGAACCGGTAGAAAACCGGTGACTGCACCACAAGATACAGCCCAAAATATCTCTCTCTCTCTCTCTTTCTCCCTCGAGATCCGCCCGAATCCACATTACGCTCCTATTATTCTATGGCTCTCCATATCAGAGTGGGTCGGAGTGGGTAAACAGTTTCAGTTTTTCTACCTATATTGTATCAACAATTTTGATATGACGATAGCTTTTAGGAGGGTCTCGTCTCTCGCAATGAGCCTCTCTATAAAAACGACTAGCTCTAGCCGTAGCCATGTTGACATTTCATCAATTTGAGTGCCCCAGGGGCTTGGGAATTTGGTAACCGAGCAGTTGATAGAGCAATAATGACTACGAGTATTTTCAGCTACCTACTTAGCTATAGGTAGGCTCCCATTAATGGAAATATTAATTTTCCCTATATTTTGTCTGGGAAAGTGCTTTATTATATGTATACTGGGGATATTTTTAGTGTTACTTCTTTTGGCTTATGAATATTGTGGCGTATATAGCGAAGATGTCTTTCTTAGGACTGAGCAATGGATCGAAACTGCTTTAAGTGTGTGTGGATCTCAAAGAACATATTTTGTTTTACGATTAATGCTTGTTCTGGCATCATTTTTTTCGTTTCAATTCATATAATTTTCTAGATTCCCGAATTAACGAACCCATTGAAAATGCTGAAATGGAGAATGGAACTTCCCAATGAGAAACCAACGAATAGCACGTATCGACATATCTCTAATGGATATACCAGTACATTTATGTGCTATTTATAAAATCATAACTGAACCGACAATTAATCACCCCGATAAGATACGGGGAGACGCGGAGAACGATCAACGATAACTGATACTGATAGGATAGTGTGTACAATTTATGTACTTCCTCGGGAATTTCGACCGTCTCGAGTGCTTGTTCCTCAGTCTAGGTATTCTTTCTATTTTAGGCAATCATCGGAAAATCAATGAAATCAAGAAACAATTTCAGTATTCTTCCACCGCAAATCGCATCAATCACTGTGCTATCGACTAAACAAGTGACTATCTGGCTAATGGTTCCCATCGCTCTCTCGACCTTCCCTTACCCTACACCCACCCGGCCTGCCGTCCCCTACTCATACCCGTCAATCTGTCGGTTAATGCCAGTTACGTGTTGCGAGCTCCTGCTTTTGCTGCAGTTTGAGGATTGCGCAACGGTAAAGGGAACCACTCATAGAACGAATCAACGTTAGGCGGAACCACTCACAGAACGACACAAAGACACAGTTCAGGGGTCAGGAAGAGAGCTACAACTGTCATTTCCAGTGTGGAAATGTCAGGTTGGCAGGGGAATATTACGCGAAATGCAAATGCGAACACACACAAAAGAAAAGTGTAATGAAGCGTATCGTCAAAAACAAACGTAGAAGAAAATGCAAAAGACAGCGCAAACGAAGGTAGGCGAAGCAGAATGATAAGGGAGAGAGAGGGGCATAATTTGCTCAGCCAAAATCTAATAAAAATTTGCATACAAACCGGAATTTGTATACCCTTAACTACCAAAACGTTTACTAATCTTTCCCTTTCAAGTTGCCATTTTAAGCTGGATCCTAATAAATGTATAGAAGGAACGGCTTATATTTAAAAAAGAAGATATACACAACTCTTAAAATAAATCCTCTTTATGTGCTTTGCCCTTCTTCTGTCTAAAAATGAATAGACTTTTTATAGAAAATGTATGCAAGTTGAATCACCAATGGGGGAGATGGCAAATATTAACAAAAAACCCAACAAACAAGAGGCTAGGAATGGCATAAAAAGGGGGACAAATAGAACAAAAATATATTCGCGGTCGGTCTTCAGAAAAAATAAAACCGTTCATAAATGTATGGAATGGGAGGGCATGGGAAAAGGAAATGCAATCAGAGCTATACTCGTACATACATACATACGTACAAAATGTATGACAAGGCAAAGTACAACCCGCTCTTTCAGCTCTCTCTTTCGCTCTGCCATTTGTCTCCCGCGGGATTCAGTTTTTGTGACGTAATTCGTAATTACTGTTTGTTACTTTTGTTGTTTGTTGCTGTCGTTGTTGTTGTTTCTTTTCAATCAATTTACAAATTCCTTCGTTTTGCTCACTTTTCAACCAGTCCAATTATTTTTCGTTCGCTTTTCGTTAAAATCAATCAATTTCAATTTATTTAAAAAAAAAAATCCAAAACAACAACAACAAAAGATGGGAATTTCTTTTTCCAGTTTCGTGAACTTTACCCGTCGCATACTCTTACATATTATAATATAAATAAAGGAGGATTTATGTATGTACATTTGTATGTATATATGGGCACGATATTTGCCATAATTTACGATCCATGCGAAATTTGAACAGGTTTTTGTGCCATTTAAATGTTTCTTTCTTTTACTTTTTTTGTTTCACTTTTAATTTAAAACACTTAAATTTTGAAGCATTTTCCTTCGAATTGAAATTCTTCCTCGAGTTATGGTAGTCCCGCGCTCTGCTCGGCGTGTGTCAGATGACAAACCAACCCAACCTAGAACACATGACTGGAGAGACTCGAGAATCGTGCCACACTCGTGACCAACCCAACTAAATGAACGAGATGCATCGTCATCTACAGAAAGTTATAGTACAATGGAATTAATAGAATGAAGGCTAAAGAGATCTGTAACATACATTAACCATTACTGGGAATGATCTCTGTTTTTGAGCAGGTCAAAAAGACCATTGGCTTACAATGGTAAACTTAGATAAAAAGTCCCTATTTGTATCCTATACTCATCCCTCCTTATCCATAATATTCCAATTCCAATCAATAGCTATTGACGTTCCCGACGAGTCCAACGCTAATCCCCCGCTAATTATATTCTCATGGTGAAATTCGCCTCGCTTTGCGGTCTTTGCAAACACAGTGATCTCTGAAAATAACCGCAAACTGTTCAGTAGAGCAGGCCGCGTCGTGAGAAATACAAATTTAAATAGACCTATAAATAACCCAAACACAATTGATCGGTTACACATTGAACTTTTTGATGGCGCTCTATAAATAGAGATTTTTTCACGCAATTTAGCAGATGATTTTGTCTGCTAATACGTTTACTTGATTTGTTAATTGACTTTGCAGACGCAATAATCGTATTGTGCATCCCCAAAGAGACACCACGGGAGGGTCCCTCCACGCCACGCCATTCTATTCCCATTTCTATTCCCAGGCAACAACCTTAATTGACATTACACTCAATTATTTATGCAAACACAACTAAATCTAGATCCCTATAGCATTGGCTGACAAAATAGTTTGTTTTTTGGGTCAACACTCTCACGTCACGGAATATGACATGACGATTGGAATTATCCCTGACAGAGGAAGATGGCTAATGGGCAGTGGGTAGGAGTAGGAGGAGGAGGGGGTGCGCCTGAAAGCAGGTAACACATTTCTAGTCACAACAATCTAGGAAAATACAAATGAAACGTATGCGAGTGGGAGGAAGAGGATTCACTGTGGCTCTCTAATCTATGACTCAAACAGTGAACGAAGAAGAGCAACAAATATGCACAAATAAGTTGGAAAAAGGCAATAAACAAAGCGCACAACAGAAACAGAACAGAAATAAATCGATTTAGTCGGGGGAATGGAAATCAGACCAGGAATGCCAGTTTAATAGAAAAATCAGTGGCAAATGTTAACAAGATAACGGTTTTTGTTTGTCATAGACAAATATCACATACATACACACAATAAACTTAAGGTATTAATAGAGCGTATTGTTCACACAATAATTGCAGAATTCATTGTAATAATCGGTTAGATAACTTATAATTATAAAAATATGTATGGTGGAAATGGGGAGAGTTCTGCCCACAGCCAGACAGCTCTGCCAGATGGGGGTTTCTTTCCAGAGATTACTGGATGTCTGAAAATATGCAATGGTTGCCAGTGCCTGAAGTGATCCGATTACGTTGGAAACTTTTGCCATTGCCCTGGCAAAATGTGCTAATTTAGTTGCTTTATGGTAGCGTAATTAGATCGTAAACATCTATGCAAATATTTCTCTAGCAATCAGCCATAATTACGGCGGACAGGTGTGAAGTATATAAATAAAGACGTCCGATGGAGAGAGCTGAATGTTTGGTTTGTTCTCTCCTGAGAAATATTGTTTATGTGAAAATATAATTTGAGCGCAGTGGAAGTTCAAGTATTATTTCAATTTATATAAAAATGTAATTCTACGTGTAGAACTATCGGAAAGCGGTGTGTTTTTTTTCGTGTAAGTGGAGATATTTACCCAAGTGTAAACATACTGAAGTGCCATGCACTACTTTAATGATAACAATGCTATATGAAGCCGGCTATGAATCGGTATGAAATCTAAGTAGAAAAAAACTACTCCACCCTATATTGTAATATAATCTTACTTAGTTCCAATAATAATACTTACAATGCAAGCCTTAACGGACTTCCAAAGATTTCTCGCAAAGTCTTCAATCTTGCTGGTTTTTCCCCGTACGTTCGCCAGCTGCACGACGTTTTCTTTTAGAGCGTGAGGGAGTGTGGCAAGGAGGAGGAGAGGGCGTAACCCAAAAGACCGATGAATAAAGTTTCCGGGAAATCGATGCACGCACAAAATCGGTTGGTCCGCCTGACCTGACACCTGTTGGCGATGGCACATGCAGCGGTGCAGGGAGAGATTTCCACAAATCGGTTGGAATCGGATATAGGCCGGATTTATAGGGAACCGTTATGTCGTGCCGGTAGACAGTCACATTGCCGATGATCCCAAAAAATGGAGGCGAGAGCAGGTGGCAAGCGTTGGTGCCGCGTTATTATCTATTGTCCGTCTTGTATTGTATCCCGGTTATCCTCTCCAACAAGGATTACTGTTAACTTTGGTATTGTTGATTTTTGCCGTTCAAGCTGTTGTTGTTGGTCCAAGACTATCTAGTCTCTCTGTATCTCTCTCTCAGCCTGTCTGTCTGTCAGAGTCTCTTCTTCGCGCATCCACGCCAACAAATCCGATATTTATTCGCTCTTGAGTTTGATTTTTTTCTTGACCTTATAACGACGGTTGCGCTGATCTATGACAAACTCATATCGCGATCTCTGCACATTTTCGGTATCCAAATCACAACAGCTCAGACCAAGCAGGCGCAGGACTCCTAGCGAATACGTTGTGACTGAATTATAGGGCCTGGATCGGTGCGAAATCGGTTTCCGCTGCAACAGCTGCGGTTCGGGCGTGAGAGTGGGCGTATGGCGTAGTATGGCGGGTCTGGCTGCCTCTGGATGATGATGCACTACCGGACGAATGAACGGTTGGGTGTTGTATGCAACGCTATATTTCTCTCCGACCGGGCTTTTCAAAGTTTGGGGCGTGAATGAGCAGGCGGCGCGCACCTGACGAGCTATTTGTATCGAGAGATGACGTTATCCTGCGATCGATCGCACTCACTCTCTTCGTGTTTGCAACTGCACTTTCTCTCTTCGGCGTTCTTTCTAGCTGTTTCTCTCCCCCCTTGGGTGGTGGTGGTGGTGCACTCTCTCAATATTTGGCTTCCCTCTCGCTCTGGCTGACTACGGCTGCTTCAAAAAGTGTGTGGACACGAGACGATATCTAAGCATGTGTCTCTGGGGTTCTTGGCTGCCGCCGCCGACGCTACCGCTGCCGCTCCTCTGCCGTTTGCTGCTCGCTGTTCTCCTTCCTCCCGCTCTTCTTCTCCGTCTGTCTAAATGTTCGTTTCCCTTTCCCTCTGGCACTCGGCTTGCAACGGTCGCCGTCGTAGTTGCTGCTCGCACTTTTGCCTGACTCTGCAATTGGCCAATTATGTAAAACGTGGCTAAGAGTCGGAATTAGGCAGCTTCGAAAAATGCACGAATAGGTGTGTGTGTGTTTGTGTGTACTTGTGTTGTAGTTGCGTTTGCTTTGATTAGCCTTTGACTTTGCTTTTGCGTTTGATTTTTGCACGGCTCTCAGCTCACGGTTGTAATTGTTTTCGGCGCGAGGTCATCGACGCGCGCGTATTATAAAAAATCGATATTCCGCACTGCAATAGACAATACAATCCAATCGTTTGTTGATTTGGCCTGAACTTGTTTCTTGAGTCCGCTTTTGGGTTGGATAATTCGTTGTCACTCTTCACTTCGCTGCGAAGGGGCAACAAAACGCAACGAAATAAAAACAGAGGAAACTTCTCATACGGCGACTATGAAAATCGGGCTGAAAACTTTCCGCTCACTTGGTGGCACGTTGTGGACGCGATGAGATGAATTTTTTGAGTGTCGGCGGCACACACAACCAAAGCGGCGAAAGAGTTTGAATGTGTTTCGTGTGCGTGCGTGTGTGCTTAGCTTCCCTCTCGCTCTGGCGTCTGCTTTTTGCACTGCACTCTCTCTCCCTCTCTCGAATGCTACGCTCTCTCTTTCGTTTGTCTCTCTTTGGTTTTGCGCAAACTCTTTGATTGCGTGGGTGTTTTCCTTTAGAATTTCTCTGGGGAGGAGGAGAATCTATTGTATTAATTATCTAATTCGTTTCTCGTTAATTAATAAAATGCAGATGTGTGTGGACACCCTTTCCTCGGTGTCACAGTGGGATAGTTGAAAAATGGGTGTGTGTGAGACAGAAGCTGTGAGTGTGTGCGCTCGCGCTCTTTTCGTTTGGCTCTCTTCAGCTGTTGATGACGCGATGACGTTGCAAATGAAACGCATCCCAAAGAGCTCCTCGTTTCGTCTCGCTATCTCTTTCGCTCGCACTCCTTTCATATGCTCGAGATTAGATACTCTTCTTGCTCATTTTTTCTTTGCTCTCAATTATGATTCATTTTAATGCGTTCATTTGCGGTGGCATTTACATACATTTTCATATTTCGCTTATCCATTTTTGAAAAGCCTGCAAAGGGAGAGAATAAGAGAAAATTAGTTGAGAGATCTAATTAAATGGTGTCCAATCAGTGCTCTTTCAATTCCAGCGAAGAGCATTGATTGCACATGGCCAAATGCAACAACAATCGCAAGCTAAGAAATTAGGTCCAATTGAAGGCAATTTACAGTTGGCAGCCCCGACAAAAGGGAGAGCCACACCACCCTCTAAAGTGCGCCCATCAATTGAGGCTTGAATATTTCATCCCCCCAAATGAACCCCAGCGAACTTTCTAGAAATCCCACTAATTCCATTATACCATTCTCAAGCAACGTTGCACATTTTAAAGTGCGAGTGGGGGTGGTGGGGTGATGGTCAGATACCGTTGTGGTTCTGGGAATCTGTGGCCAAACAAACACACGCACACACACACAGCCGTGTACACACAAAAAGTGCCCAGATTTGCATCTAAATTGATGTGGCACTCGGACTCGGCCAGCGGCCATAAATAAAATTTGATTATGCAAATGGAAAACAAGATGAAGTATACGCCGTATCCGCAGCAATGGATACCCTTTCGTATATTTAAGCAGAATTTTAATCAGCCAGTGAAAAAAACAGTTCAAATTATAGACTGCTCACTTTTTATGGAACATCAGGATATCATGATTGTTCTTGAGATACTTAATGGGTTCGTTTCCAAATGCTTCTCCAATATCTATTATAGCCTCTGAAAAGAGTATTTGTTTACTCAAAATCTGTGGACTTGCACAAATGCCTATACATATCCAGAATGTGATGGGAACTAGAGGCGATATACTAGAGGGAAATAACAACACCGAACATTAAAGGAAACAACAAATTAACTTGATAGCCACATAAAAAAGGAAAATTTCTACCAAAGCGTGTAACCTTGAAGGAAAGAACTCATTTAACCTAATCCGAAGCCACAGCTTAAGCTACATATGTACATATATTATGCACCAAAGTTCTATATAATGTCATATATAATTCTCAATTGATTGATGTTCGATGAGGATGATGATGATTTCTGGCACTTAACCTTAGCTCCCACAGATGGATATATTGCGTGCTCGTGCTCGTCAATCCTAAATGAAAACAAAATAAACAAGCGAAATTCTTTCAAATTTCTTTAAAGGCAATTGTATACATATTACGTACATATGTACATATATTTTTTTTTTCTTTTTTTTTTTTCTTTTTTTGCCGGGGGGGCCCCCCCCCCCCCCCCCCCCCCCCCCCCCCCCCCCCGGCCCCCCCCCCCCCCGCCTGGCCTTCCCCCCCCTTCCCCCTTTTTTTTTTTTTTTTTTTTTTTTTTTTTTTTTTTTTTTTTTTTTTTTTTTTTACGTATACGTATGTATACCTATTAAAATGTCTTTGAAGGCGCAGACAAAAAGCAAAAATAGCAGAAAAGCTTTTTTTGTGTGGGAAAAAAAGCAAAATAAATACAAAATCTAATAAAAGAGAAACGGAAGGCGTACAAATTATAAACAATCAAATGAGAAAAACATGTCTGCTTCTGTTCCTGTGTTTCAGACCGGAAGTGGCGCCAAGAGAAGGTCCCCTAAGGGTCCTGGGTCCTGGCTCCTGCAACACCTGCCTGTGCCCATTTTATATAAGCATTGACCCAGTCTTCTGATGTAATGAATGAGCGGGTATCGCCAGATCTAGACAATTCACCCCCGAAAATGTTGCTGCAGATGCAAGTGCAGTGGCGTGCCACACATTGGGGCACACTCGGTATTTACCTAATTTTGGCTGCTTTTTTCTGGGACTTCTGCCACACACTGACACATCAACAAAGACTTTGCCACTGACGCGGGGAAAATAGTACTCTGACTATGACGCGCTGCGGATAGAACAGAACAGAATGCGACCACGCCGAACGAGAAACCAACCTCAACTGAGTGGAGCAATGCCGCCGAGTGGGGCACGTGCTCGAGGCGGCGTACGACGGTACGGCCGTAGTGGAACCATCAGAGCGAGAGAGAAAGCCAAGAGAGAGTGAGATTGTTACTGAATGGAATGCAGCCGAGGCAGGATCCCACGAACCCTCGTTTCGCTTCGGTTTTTGTCGCTCTCTGAACTCTGGTGCTGGGCTGGCGCTGGGCAAGGACGGGGCTGCAGTTTGAGGCGTCATAGTCTCCACCCCAAATCAGCCCACTCTCCATCGCTTCCCCAAAGCCGTAATTAAATATCACACATACGTGGGGATTAACGATTACGCCCAGGTCCATGTCCATAGGATGCGACGCTCGTACCCGGACTTTGGACACATTTTACGCCAAAGTGCCTCTGCTCTCGGCAAAGCCCCTCATAATATATGCATGTCCTTGAACACAAACTTATTTCGCATCCTCCTACGCCTTCTCCTTCCTGTGCGTTTGCTCTTTTTACGGGCTGCGTGGGGTGTAGATACATATGCACATATGTAGGTGTCTTTAGACAATGTTGCATGTTAGAGAGGGCTATTGAGAGACTCAAACATTTTCGCTTAATCATACGCTTATTACATTTGAGTATATGCATCCGATAATCCCCATTCCACATAAATCATTTGAAAATGTAGATTTGGACATTTGCCAAATTCTGTACATTTTTAGCCAAATCAAAATATACATATGCACATAGAACTGTGGATATCTGTGCGGATCTCTGTACAAAAATATTGTTTACTTGTCTCCTCATCTTTGCACACGTCTTCCATCTGCCCTACCCGTCCACTGCAGTTTTCTCAACCTCTTTTCCACCCATTTGTTACGGCTTTCGTTTGCTCACAATTCGCGGCGCTCTGTGCATTTTCAGCCATCAAATTTCCGCCGCATTTCGCCAAAATGCATTACACAATGTTTTTGGGTCTGAGCCATCGAAATGGAAATAATGTGATAGGAAATCACATTACGAAATGAAAATGGAAAATTCCTGATGGCAATTCCAAGACCAAAAAGTGGAAATAGTTCTTCAAAATTCTTGAAATTGTCAAAGTGTTTTACATGAAACATTGTTGTAAAAGTTTTTTATCCGTTCATGAAATGGAAGCGTCACTGGGTGGGGAAATTGCAACGTAGTGTTCAAGGCCACCAGAAAATGATTTATTCATACATATACATATGTACATACATGTGTATGAAAGAGTTCAGTGATTTGGGGAACCCATAATAGGGGATATTTGTATACCCTTTTCTATTTGGTAATATTCAGATCTCTGATTGTTTTTTTTAAGCCTACATTCTACGGGGGGAAGGTGTCCCTAGGACATAACTGAATCTCGCTAAATCGGTGGAATGTTATTTTGGGAACCTGTGAAAAGTGCGTACGCACGTACCCATAAATAGATGACCCACATACTCGTGTGTAGGTAGCTTCTGCTCCGGGTTCCATTGCTGGCCCTCTGCTCCTGCCCTGCCCTGCCCTGCCTTGCCCTCCTTCTGCTGCTTTTTTCGGACAACAGATGTCGGAGCAACAATTACGTAGACATAGCACGTCCCAGGTCATCCTGATGGATCATCTCCAGCCCACATCTATCTGCATCGTATGTTTTCGTGAATGGCATCCAAGGGTTGGGCTATGCGCAGGCCCCATTCCATCGATTGGACAGGCTCTCGCCGTTAGGGCTTGGGATAGGGCATGGGAGTGAGTGGTTCCGCGATGAGGCTGTGAAATCAACTGCGTAGTAGCCAAAAGTCAACAACAACGTCTGATATACTCGTATGTACATACATATGTACATATGTATATAACGATTTGGGGGGTGTGGCACCTGCTGCTGCTGCTGTTGCCTCAGCCTCTGAGGTGTCGAATGCCGTTGGGATGGGATATTGGATAATTCGAGCGAATTTAACACGCAATTTCGTCACACTGGGAAATGCTCGTGGCATGGGGTGGGGTTTGGTGCGGTTTTTCCCAGAGTGTAGGTCAGTTTGCACACTTTCGCTCTCTCTCTCTCTCTCTCTCTCCCTCCCTCTTGCTGTCTCTCTTTAATCGAAAATTGCATGCGAAAGCGGTTATCCTTGGCACAAAAATAGTCCATTGCCCGCACTTTTGACAGTTCAAATTTTGCACTGCTGTCAAGGATAACAAGGATGCGAGTGACGTATGCAATTCGGGCGATTTGGGCAGGGATAGAAAAACCTTGAAATGGGTGGCGTAGCGTGGCCTTTGACAAGTCTGTCAGACTGGTTAGACTGCTAGACTTGCCAGAATCTGGTCAACAGGCTCAGTCAACCAACCAATACTCGCCACAATCAAACAAACGTTTCCAAATCTGGGAAAAATATCAAGTTTTAAATTTTTGTTAAAGTTGTTCCCTTTGTGCATTTTATTTCGTCGAAGAGCAGGCCGACTGGGCGCAATGATACTTATACGGGGCAAGTACGAGACCGCCCAGCTGGGTGCTGCGATTATGGGCTACGTGACTCTGTTCCTGTGCGGCTGCAATGTGATAAGCTTCCATTATGTGCCTGATCTTCCCACCGTCCTGTTCCTGTACGCTTTGGTGCTGCTGTCCCACCACTTGCGCGTGGTGTTCTTGAAGCCAGTGCAGAATACCTGGCAGTTCCTCCTGGAGCTTGGCGGAGCCTACATCATCAGCCAGTTTGCCATGCTGGTCATATGGGAGTCGTTCTACACAATGCTGGACCTCTGCCGGATTTCGCTCGAGTCCACAAGATATTTCCAACAAATCTTCCACTTCTCACCGGAATTGTTCTTCCATCTCCGACACGACCCCATTTACTTGTTCAAGTTGATCGTCGCCTTTTTTATGGCCTTTAAGATGACCCGTTTAACCAAAGCAGATGAATATTCCAATCCCCGCCTGCGAACTATGAGCTACTATGAGGACCAAAATATGATACAGTTTTTCCAGAATGCTATCAAGAAGAAGAAGACGCAGCCCAATCGTTCCAAGGCCACGTCGCGTGCTAATCCCCGATCAAGAAACGCCACTCCAGCCAACAGGGGTAGGAATCGGAGACGTTAGAACTGAACCGGAGCACACACACACTCATCCACACATACACATATTTCACCTGAAGACTCGTCCATTGCACCCGACTACACTACAGCAAGTCAAGGTGCCCTTTGAATGCCACTTTTAAAATATTAACATGGATGAGCGAGCAATTGATACAAGAAAGATTTCAAGTTTGGCGGCAAAATTGAGTTCACGGTATACTAAAGGTATAAAACGGTATATTTAATAAATTTCATCAATCTTTTATACATAATTTTTAAAGTTAGGCTTGTCCATATATATCCATATGTCCATATATATATGTTTCAAAATGAGCGGTTGCTACCGCCCAATCGTACCAAATATCGATATTTTGTTCGTGCAGCGCACGTGCGTCAGTATATTTACGGTATATTACGAAAATGAGAAGGTATATTTGGGTATATTTTTGAGGGTCAGACGGTATATTTTGTCGATAAATCCGCGGTCACACTGCATACGGGAACAAAAAGGATACATTTATTTGCATTTAAAATTTGAATTTGTTTGAACCTTATTATCCAATGAAAAAGAGTTCTGAAAACTAGCCAATCCTCAAAAAAATTTATTGAGGAATTGGATAAAATGATTTGTTGAGGGCTGAGAGGGCCAAATAGCTAGTCGTTCCATCTTTTGTTTCACCATCGAATGGTTTAAGTCATCGATATATCGACATTTCCATCAAACACTTCTACAATTATTTAAAAGAAGTAATACAAACTAAATTTTCCTCATAGACGAATACTCGTCCATCAAAAAAATGGCCTTTCTATGCCCTGTGCGCATGCGGCGCGATAAGAAGAAAGGTGAGCCAAACAAACAAACGAGTAATTACGAAAATGAAAGACTTGAACTACAAACTTGTTTCTTTTTATGCAGCAACAAGTGCGAGCATTGAGAGAGATCTGCCTGCAGTGGGCGGCCTCGGCATGGGACGTATAACTGGCTCCTCCAGCATTGAGACTCTGGTGCGGGTGGGCATTGAGAAGGAACATGGACTCAGGTATGGCCGATTTTGGATTTTCGTAGTTTGTTAGAATCCCATTATCATCCCAACCCTCCCACTCCACTGCAGCCCAGACTCCAAAATGGTTGTACTGCACGATTTTACGCCCTGCGTGGATGACGAACTGGAGGTGAAGCGGGGCCAGCTGGTGAACATTCTTTACAGGGAGAACGATTGGGTTTATGTGATCGGTCAGGATTCACGGCAGGAGGGCTTCATACCGTTCTCCTATTGCGCCCCATGCAACACCCAGCTGGCCGAATTGGCCGTGAAGAAGAAACTGCCGCGGGAACACTGCCCGGAGCAGCCGATCGATGAGAATATGCCGCTCCTTGGCGCAGAAAACAAACTGGAGGTTCTCTGCGATGAGCCGATTCCTGCAGCCAACCCTAGTGGTTCAACCAACAACATTGAGAACAGTTTACACGTCGAGCCAGAGTGCACGCCGTTCATCAAGGAGCCATCCGGTCGATGCATTGTCCTGTACACCTTCATAGCCCGCGATGAGAACGATTTGTCGGTGGAGCGGGGGGAATTTGTGACCGTCTTGAACCGCGAGGATCCTGACTGGTTTTGGATCATGCGCAGCGATGGTCAAGAGGGATTCGTGCCTGCCGGCTTCATCTATCCCGCCGACAGTGTGCGTGTCCTGCAGCAGCAGAAAACGCCGCTCAACGAGAACAACATACAGCACCATGCCACCCTTGAATGCCATGGAATCCATTCTGCAACAGGGCCAGCAGCAACCGCAACAGCAGCAACCACAACAACAACAGCAGCAGCAACTGGGTTTGGGCACGGATGATCTGCGCTATCATGGAACAGAGCTGGTTATGCTCTACGACTATAAGGCCCAAGCACCCGACGATCTCTACCTGTCTGTGCGCCGCGGCGATTGGATATATGCCGATCTTAACAACCAGACGGTAGACGGTTGGCTGTGGGCCTATGCGCCCAAGACGAGAAAATACGGATTCATTCCAAAGGCCTACGCCCGCCCGCCCGCCATGACCAGTCTTTGAGCGCTGGAACCAGTTAGGTTAGTTGAGTAAATAGTGCCTTAGATATATTTTTTGATGTGAGCGTAAATATAAGATATTACATCAGTAATTATAAATTGCCCATAAATAGCACCTAAAACTAGATGTGAGCCTTGTAGCGCCTCGATATGCACTTGGTTTTGGATATGGATGTGTTCCACGAGTGGTGCGCGGTGGGTGGGCAGATTTATGCTCAGCATAATATTGTACCCACGCGCACGTTGAACTGGGTCCCTCATTGCTTTCGCTGACCTATTTCAAGGCCAGACTGTCATTGGCCGAGGAGCAGTGCGAGCAGTTCAGGTTGACGTTTCTGCAAATAGAAATGTAGGGGAATTTCAGCTCATTTATGGGATTCCCAGTTCTTTGTTCAAACTCACTTTAATGCCGCCTCCCTGAGCTGCTCCTTCTCGCTCATCTCCTCCCGAAGTTTCTGCTGCAAACTGAGTATGAGATCGTTTTTATTCTGTATCTGCATCTTCAGGTGAGTGATGGTCTCCTCCTGCGCCTCGAATATTGCCTGTAGCAGAGAGCAGAATGCGATAAAGTGGATATGAAGGATTAATACTCTCGACATACCCGACACTCCTCCATGGATTCCGAATACGAGGGCGGCTCGTCCAGGCAGAAGAACTCCCTCACCAGTTTGCACCTACGCAACTCTTCCTTGGCCATCACGGAATTGACAAATATTTGGAGGCCCTGCACTCGGTTGTCCAGGAAGACGGCATTGAAATTGTCCCCGAAGAGCTTCTTGCGTGGCAGCATCAGCGACACTTTGGGGTAAGCCTGCTTAAGCTTGCCATTCAGACGGACAAAGTCCGTGTAGCGGCGCATAACCAGCCAGCAGTCATTCGATTCCGGGTTCTCTACGCGCAGTTTGTAGACCGTGAAACGGGCACGCTCCTCCATCACCTCGTAGCCAATTATTGGCACGCGCAGCACTGCATTGGGATCAACAAGTGCCGCCGAGCCCGAAGATTGGCTTGCAAACATGGAGCCATTGCTTCGCGGGTAGCCCCCGCCACTGGTCTGACTGTATCCCAGGCTGCACTCGCTCATGCGTCGCGGGGCTCTGCCCGGCTCCAAGTCGCTCGGATGACCTCCCACGCTGCTGCTGCCATAGGAGGACTGTGTGAGGTCGCGATGCGAACGCGCTCCGCCCATCATCGTTGTCCTATTTTCAGACCGCTGCTGCGGCTCGTAGTTGTGCGAGCTGATTCTCTGCAGGCACACTTCCGACTTTGCGTTGGCCGCCGTCAGCGGAACATCAGAGTTGCCAGCCAATGCTACTGTATCCACATCACTCTCAGACTTGCTGCGCAACAGGCTGCTGTTGCTAGAATTGACGCAGTGCCTTAGGTCGGGGCACGACTGGGTGGCGCGGCCCAGCAGCTTACTTTTGAGTTTTTGAGTATCTAAATTGCTGCCCGAACTTGACGATTTGGGCGCTAATGAACGCTGCTTCGGTGACGTTATTGCTGTGCTGGCCTTCTTGAAAAGAGTTCTCCCAGTGTTATTATTGTTGTTGGTGGTGTAGTTGTTGCTGCCACAGTTGCCCGATTCTCGTTTTCTGAGAGCACGCAGGGACATTGCTTTGTCTATTAGAATATCCTTATTGCCTGGCCTCTGCAGCTTTTGCAGCTACATGTCTTTTATTTATTTTATTTTTTTGCAAAAAAAATCGTTCCTTTTGTGTTTGTAATAGAGGTGTCAAACCATCGAGGGAACTATCGATCGTATCGATATTTTACTGCTAGCCTCTACTATGGACGGTTTTGCGACTATCATGATAGTATCGAGCTACAGTCGTTGCGCTTTTGATATGTTTGGATTGACTGCTATAAAATACGAAGACAAATTTGTAAACAAATCGACAGGTGGCATCTAATTTTTAAAATGAACAAGATCCTAAAAGATTTCAATGGATTTTTAATAATTATTTGAGCCCGATATTATTACGATAGTATCGATTGTTTTTTCAAAAGATTCAAAGTTGATTTCTTAGGGTCGATAAATCCGCGTTCACATGGTGCTAAACTGTTGTTTACAATTTTTAAAACGACTGTAACAAGTAAAAAATGTCTTTGCAGCTCACCGAAAGCGACGCGATAGTTCAACGAATTGTTAGCTTAAGCGTGGCCGAAAATGTGGAGGAAATCACAGGCTTGCTGAAGACCCTGCGTCTTCTGCTCACCAAAAGCAGCGCCGCGCAAGAGTCTGTGGCTAAGAATGCAGAGTTTTCTGGTTTTATAAAAGCCATGGCTTTCAATCCCCAGATGCGCACCGAGCAGAGCACAATCCACACACTCACGCTGCAGGTTCTGGCCAATACTGTGGTGAACAACGGACCCGCCCAAGCACTCATCTGGACAAAGCATGGCACGCAGATCGCCGATCAGGCCTGTGCCGCTCCCTTGGGAAGCTCGAACAACGTGCTGCTAATGGTCATGTACAACATTTACCTTAATGGCTGCGGCCAGATCAGCAATGAGCTGGCTCTCCAGACTTGCCTCCGCCTGTGGCAGGCCATCAACGAGGCACAGTGCACCCTAAACTTTGAGTACTTGCACTTCTTTCTGGAGAACTTCATGGTGTCGAATGGGCGGGTCGGTGTGGGGTGCTATCAGCGACTGAGCACCGAGGAGCGCATAGCCTTTCTGGATTATGTGGCGCACTATCTGCGCGAGAACAGTCCGAACGGGAAGCTGGCCCCATTCCTGCTGCAGCACTTTGCCAAGGAGTTTCGTCTGAAGTCCGACTGCATTCTGAGGGAAACGTTCAAGCTGCGCCACGAGCTGCATCCCCGGGAAGTACACACGCTGCTGCGCATCATAGCCAGTGTCAGCGGCTCCGAAGAATATGCCAACTTCTATGCGGAAGATCAGTCACTGTTCATCAATGTCAGCAGCTTGCTGCGATGTGTGGTTGCGGCAGGCAAGGAGGCTGACGGTGGCGGGTTAGACAAGCCAATGACCAAGCTGGAAGAGGTGGCCCTCACCTCCGGCGTGGATGCAGAGTACGAAAAGAAGGTTTCCTACGAGCTGAAGACGCTTCTGGTGCGCTGCTCGGCCAATTTGTTGTACGAGAACAAGGCGAACAAGGGCTACTGCATTGATACACAGCTGCTGCCCACTCTGCTCGAGTGCACGGTGATGGATGCCCGCAATCCTTGTGAGACATCCGACGATTCTTTCAGCCCCCACCTCCTAACGTTTCATTCTTTTCGTTTAGTAATGCGCGAGTGGAGCATTCTGGCCATACGAAATGCCTGTATCAATTGTCCAGATGCTCAGCATATTGTCGCCGGCCTGACCATGCAGGGCTCGGCCCCCAATGACCTCCTCAGCGAACTCAATCTGGATATGGGCGCCCTGCGCATCACGGACAGACGCCAATAGCCAAATACCAGCACGCAACTCACAGAAACATACACACGCACAAAGACAGACAGACCGGACCATTGCGAAGCGAGGCACGACCACTGGCTGGCCAACAAGTGGTTAGCTGTCTTTCGCACGACGTCATCCGCCCGGCAGCCGCCCTCCCCGTGCGCTGAACGATGCGCTAATGGTATGCCAAAAGATCTAACAACATTCATAAACTCGTTGTCACCGTTTAATGGCATCGCAGGGCGCGTGCGGGGAATCGGGAACGGGCATTCGAGCGAGCAACCACGAGCGTTTCTACAGCCAGAGCGGATATAAAAATAGCTGCCCATGTACCATGCTCAGTGCATGATTAAAAAAGAGATGCCTAAATTCATCAATTTCTAAATTTATGCACACATTGCTACACTCAGATGAGATGAGTTTGGTTTATGGGCCAATTAGGAAACGATGACGTCGCCGAGCGATTCCTTTGGCGACTTCTGCAGGTGGCAGCATGGGTTGCGGTGTGTGCGATGGCCCCCCATTCTCATTACCATGCGTAAATCTGTATATGTGGAACACGCGAACACGGCCAACGCCAACGCCATGAGTTTATGTTTATGTTGCTCTGCAGGGCCAAGAAACAATGGAGGGAACAGCAACCCCACACTCACTCTGACTGGCAGCCTTTTTTTCAGCTCGCTCAGTAGCCGAAACTACGACTACGACGACACCAACCACTGGCAGTGGCAGTGGCAGCAGCGGTGGTCCGGTCCCTCCTCCCAGCAGTCAGTCAGTCTGTGCTCTGCTTTGGCCAGCAGCAGACGGGAGTCAACGACGGAATCGCCGCGATCGCCTGGTGCTCAACCCAGACTAACGTTAACCGTTCGCGCTCTTTGATTGTTCTGAGTTTTTCGACGGAATTTGTTCGGTTTTTGTGTAGTATATTTATTTATTTCTGTTGTTATCGCATGCTTCGTCTCGGTTTTTAGTTGAGGAATTAGCAAAATTTTATTTTAGACATTAAGACGCTTGCGCCTGGGCAGGGGAGTGCGGAGCAGCGGGTGCGATCCTCGTAAAATCAAATCAACACAACAAAAATCAAATACAATCGCTGCCAGAGCAGAACCCATAAAACTCGTCCATAAACAATTGACTTGGAGCGGAGATCATTGTTGCAGCGTTGCAGCCTTAATGGTACGAGTATAAACAATGCAGATATATCTCGGATATAACACGGATCGGATCACTCTTATATAACGATAAATCACGGGGAATGACAGCCGAAATCGGAGCGATTAAATCGTTGTGACAGTGATGCAAGGCTGTGTAGGGGGCATTAGCATGGGCATTGGCATTATTTATGCGAGACATTAATTAGATATACTAAAAATTTGAATTTTGCTCAAAGGAAAGCAAAGAATTCGACGTGTTACGATGGACAGCGTGGCATGGCGTGGCATGGCACATACCAAAAATACAATGGCAGACAACAACTAAAAACAAAATCACAAAATAAATAAATAGTCGGCCGACAAATTCATTTATCCTCTGTCTCCGATCCCCAGGAGCAGGTGTGTGTGTTTAAAAAAAAATATATATAGAATTTCTCCCTGTCAAAAATGTCAATATACGCGCCCAAAAATGACAATGAGATGTGAATAAACGACATTTCAACCATATTGTCAGTCAGGAATTTAAATATACTATATACATACCTATATACATATGTACATGTATATCTGAATATGTGATATTTGCCTGGCCCATAGATATAGAAAGAAGACACAGCTTGATAACTGTACATATCGGCTAAAAATAACGGCATGTTCAAGACGAATTTGTTTAAAACAAAAGGAAAACCAAAACGAACGCATCGAATGCGTAAACTAAAATTTGTGCCGTGCAAAATATAAATAAAAAAAATAAAAAATAACCTGAACATCCTCGTAATTATATACTCTTGAATATCGTTCATTAAACGTTCATTGATCTGCGAAATCAGCTGAGTTCCTAATCACCCATGAATGAGTGTAATATACCAATTCAATTTGGTTAAATTACGAGTGTTTCCGTATCGAGTCGTCTGATTCCCATATGACCATGTGCCAAGTTTCATCCAAATGACTGAAAATCAAAATTTTTTAGGGGTTACAAACATCTGGCCAACTTGTGAATACCCTCTGGTTAGTGTATAAAAAACCAAAGCAACTCAAAAAAAGTAGCACAAGAGTTTGTAACAGAATCGTTTCTCTTCCCTAAAATGACGCACTTGATCCGCCGCAGTCGAATCGTGACGCAAATGCAACAACTCCCTTCCCCACCACTCCACTCCACTCCAACTCTGCCCTGCCCAGTGCAGTGGCAAGTGCAATCTGCAACGGCTGCACGCGTCCAAGAATAGATCACGGAAGTGGAGAATTTGGAGAAGCGAAACAAAACCTCCCCTAGAAGTAGATTTTGGAATTTATGCTTACCTGGCGACGCCCCCGCCATCAGCATCGATTAGAATGAGATCCCCTTTGGGTTTTCCCGAGAATTGAAGATGACAGTCGTGTTGGCTAGGGGGCCCCATTTATTGTTTCCAAACAAAGACGGAATAGAGTAAAAATAATATATTTAGTTGTCAGACCAGAACCAAGTGGAATAACGGCACTTGTGCACGCACTCCCCAGCACCCGCACAGTGCCCCTCAGCCAGTCACTTCACCAGCACAACGCCCGCCGCCGCCCACTCTCATGTCGCCGCACCTAATTTTCGCAAAATATTTTTGCATAGACGCGCAACAATTTTGAAAAAAGAATTCAAATACTTTTGAATATTTTGTCATTTATTTTGCCTCACACCAGGAGGGTTGTGGGGGGTGTGTCTGTGTGAGTGCTTTAGACGTCTCATCCACTAATTTGCTTAATTTCTGTCAGGACTCAAAGCCAAAACTGAAAGAAAAACTTTTTTCGAATGGGGAATTTTTGGTTGCCACAGCAACATGTAAAACAAATAAATAAATACGAATAAATTCTCCAAAACAGCATAATTAACGTTCGTTCAAGTTCTCTCGGCCTACACCACACACCAGACCACCGATGTGAATGCTCTGCGCCTCCATATACATACATACATGTGGATGTATGTATAAATATATTTAGTAAAAATATAAAAATATTGTTTAAATTAGAGAGATCTGAGATGGGTATGGGGATGCTATGCCAAAGGAAACACCTGCTCAAGAGTGACGTCGGTGATGTCCCACACATGTGCCGCACATTTCGAGTGACTTCATTTGCCTAAAAGGCCAGTGGGCAGGGGTCAGGGGCCAGAGCAGGATGAAAGTCAGTTAAGTTGCTAAAACAAGCCAATTCAACCCACCCATTTTTACTCCACAGGAACGTACCCTGTTCCATGTGCGTGTGGATTACCCGTTGCCATCCTCCAGAGAGCGACAAACAGTCCCAGTTGTCGGGGCCATAACAAAGGGAGCGTGAGCGTGTGTGGTGTCTGAATCAGCCACAAAATGAAGCGCGACGTGTCCACATCGACAATTGGTCGGGACGAGGCCCGCCGTCCACTGATGGAGGCCTACATGTTTCAGCGTCGTCTACTGCTTGGTTGCAGTCTGCTGATGGTCATCTCCCTGCTAATCTGGATTCTGGCCATATCAACGGACCACTGGATCATCATATCCGGCGGAACAGGTGCGTACAAGTACAAGTACTGGCAGTGATTCTGTCATTGTCATGCTTCAAAGCCACCTTCTCCTCTCTTTAGGCATCTTCATACCGGAGTCCAGACGCTTCTTCATGTCCTCGCACTCGGGACTGTGGCGGCATTGCCGCAACACAATCGTGCCCAATGCCCTGAGCAATGCGCAGGTTGTCCGGAACTTCAGCTCGATGTCCTACACGTCCCAGATTAACATCAACGATGCCAAGCGCAATCTCTCCCACATGGAGTTCATCAAGAGCTTTGCCCAGGAAAAACTGAACGACTCGGACAGCTTCACGGAGTCGGCACGTCGTCGCATGTTCGCCCATTGGGCACGGGGCGAAGAGGAGGAGTTTCAGACGTTTCGCAACGCCTTCCGCAAGCTGGTCATGTCCACAGAGGAGAGCCAGCGCCAGTTCAATGCAACAGCCGTTAAGCCCATACCGATCGATCCCTTGGACGTCAATGGCATCAAAATGCGGCAGACGTTCGGCTCCGCCCTGCAGCGTGTCAAGTACAACAACACGTGGTCCTACTATGTGATCCCGGAGGTGGCCCAAGAGGCCATATTCCGCAACTGGACGGACTACCCGCTGGTGGTGCGACTCCTGGCCACCTACATTCGCGACATCAACATACCCGCCTTTGTGCTAAACGATGAGCGTGTGATCCTGATCCTGGTGCCGCCGCTGCCGCCGAGACGGGGCGGACATACAGCCTTTTACAGTTACATACCGAATCGTAAGTGGAATCTGCATATTGCGGGATGTCCATCGACTAATAACCAAACCAAATCAAATCGTTTCTCGCACAGAGCGCTGCAAATATATCGACATGTTCCCCAACTCCAACACCCTGCGCAATGAGCCCGGCTTCGACGACGAGCTGATGGGTAGGTTCCCGCCCCCAACTGCGATCAGTGACAGTTAGTAATTGGCAGTGGGTTGGTATTCTCTTTCAGACTATATCCGAACGCAGGCATCGTTTGCCTGCATTACACTATTCGTCATGAGCCTGGGCGCAATCTTCTCCTTCTACACGTTCATGAATCCTCGGTACATGTTCAAGCGACTGGCCGGCGGCATTCACCTGGTGGCTGCCTCCACAGCCTTGGTAGTTCTCCAGGTTCTGTTCTCATCCATTGACTACACAAAGGACCACCTGTTTTATGCATATCCGGATGGTGCGGAGTTAACGTGAGTATCGCCGGCGCGTTAGGTTTTCTTTTCGCTAAGACGCCAACTCCTTCATTGCAGCTATGGATATGGCGTCTTTTTGGCCTGGTTCACGTTTGTGGATAACATTTTCTGCGGTCTTATGTTCCTGTGGTACTCTGGCAAGAAGAAGGGCGCCAAAGCACCCAATGACGAGGTGGCCATGGCAGACGAGCCGACTATAATGGGCAGATAATAGAAGAATGCCGAAGATGACGATGGGCATTGTTTGCTGATGCCCTTCTTGCGACCAAAGACCAAAGCAACCAGCGTATGTTTGGTTTGCTTTTCATTTAAATTTTGTTATTTGTTGTTTTCTTAATAGATGTATTTAAACTGTTCGCTTTATTACGTTAAGAATGCAATAAAGAAGTTATTGGATTTCAGTCGGTGCAAGCCGCCATGATTTAAATTTAAATACAACCCTGAACTGTAATAGCTATCGGCTGGTTCGCTGTGGAATTTCTAGTCGGGAACGGAACTGGTTCATTGTCATCGAATCGGGCCGCAGATGTAAACAAACGCATGTGCTAAAGAAACTTTTTTAATTAAACCTTTTTTGCAATAATTCGACTATAATAGGGACTATGGAAACTGGAGATCAGCTTATAGCAGATGTGTTTACTACACGTGCGAAGGAGCTTTCGGCAGAAGAAAAGCAAAAGCTAGAAGAGCAAAACAAACGGCTTGTGCCTGAATTCAGAGCCAACAAACTGGAAGTGGAGGCACAGCGACACTGGGACATATTTTACAAGCGCAATGAAACCCGCTTTTTCAAGGATCGCCACTGGACGACACGCGAGTTCCAAGAGCTACTCGACCAGAGCGACATCCGAGAAGCAGAACAGAGACGCACGCTTTTAGAGGTTGGCTGCGGCGTGGGCAATCTGGTGTTTCCACTGCTGGAAGAACAGTGCAGGGAGGAGGGCAACAAAGAGTCTGTGCCCTGTGGAAGATTCTACTTTTATGCCTGCGACTTCTCACCCCGAGCCGTGGATTTTGTTCGAGCCAATCCCCTGTACGATGCCAGCAATATTACGGCCTTTCAGTGCGACATAACCACGCAACAGGTGCATGAGCACATACCTGCTGGCAGCCTGGATGTGTGCACCATGATCTTTGTGCTGTCTGCCATTCACCCGCACAAGTTCGAAGCTGTGGTGCAGAATCTGTGGCGGCTTCTTAAGCCGGGTGGATTGGTTCTGTTCAGGGACTACGGGCTGTACGACATGGCCCAGCTGCGCTTCAAGCCAGGCAACAAAATCGCAGAGAATCTGTACGTGCGTCAGGATGGCACCCGAAGCTACTACTTTGCCGAGCAGGAGGTGGCTCACCTGTTCACGAGGAGCGGCTTTGAGATTCTAACCAATGCGTACGTACATCGGCGAACTCTGAATATCAAGGAGGGCGTCGATGTGCCGCGCATCTTTCTACAGGGAAAGTTCAGGAAAAAAGTACTGTGACGCACACTGTTACGTATATAGTTTTCAATTTTATTTTAAATCAATAACATGGTTCAAGTCAACGTTCAATAAATATTTGTATGCATGTACATATGTATATAGTAGTATCTATTAGTTTACATATGCTATCGTATGTTAGGGACAAAGTAGAATAGATACCTGCTAAATTCAATTGCAGTTGTTCGCCCGACCCCATTTCTCTCTGGCTGCAAATGCAGTAGATATCGAATACTAGAATTGTTTGCTTACCTAAATCAAATGAAATGCATTGAAATGTATACATTCTGCTCATCATCATCATCATCATCGTTATCATCATACTGCTGTGGAAGAACTTCCACTCTCATTAAAGTACTAATGGGGCTTTCGCATTCAACGATATCTACTGCATGGCGAGTGGCTCTGCGCTGCGCTGCTCTGCTCCGAGTGTATAATTCTTGTATAATTGTTGTGACGTATTTGAAACACTTAGACTAGCCAAATTAACCGACAAATTACATGCATATATGTACATGATTCCATAAGTAGTAATGTAGATTTTACCAACAATTATGTTTAGAATACATATAAGTATACGAACAACTGAGAGAACCCATCAGATTTTAACAAATTCAAAAGATTCTTAAGTATTGCGTTACATTCAGATTTACAGTTCATCCGCGCCCGGGTTACGTTCGGCTAATACCCAGCAGTAAATTGCGAATATACATATATAATAATGATAGTAAATATATATACTTGATACTTGGATTTGGCTAATTGGCTGTGGGATACTATTCCACCAGGCCATGCTCCGCCAGCTTGCCACCGTTGCTATTGCTGTGGCCCAGGGGCGCCAGTTCGATGCTGGAATCGAAGCTTTTGGTCAGCATGTCGCTGCTGGTGACCGAGTTGGTGTTGCTGTTTATCGAGGGCAGGGCTCCGCTGCCTGCCACGGCGCCGATGCCATCGTTGAGGTCGCTGTCAATACTGAAGCTGTTGCTGCCGTTCTCATTGATCAGCGAGAGCGTCTGCATCGGCAGCATGTCGGAGGGGGGTTGCTGCTCCGCATTTGAATTCGAATTCAAGTCCGATTGGAGCTGCAGCAGCGAGTTGCGTTGCGTGTGCTTGTCGAACTTTCGTTGCGGTGGTTTCGGCGGTTCCTTGTCCTTCTCCTTATCCTTGGATTTCTTGAAGCCCGCGATTAAGGCCTTGTGCGCCTGGGCCTTGATCCCTTCCATGCTCGGTCGCATGATAGAAGTACGAGTGCCCGAGCTCTCCTTGGTCGACGGCGACTCCTTGGCCCCCGGCTCCGCTTCCTCCGTGACGCTGGCCAGCTGCTGTGGATTTTGCTGCATGGTGAGGTCCTGCACCTGTATGGGTATGTCATCGGGCAGCTTTTTCGTGCGGAATGATGCGTTCGTGATCATGGACTTAGAAACAGATGTCGTCACCGTATTGGTAGCTGGTGTCAGGGCTACGCTCAGTCCCATCGGCCCGTCGTTGGGCTGCCCTGACGGGTTCGCATGCAGGGAATTGCGCACGGCGCTGGTCACCAGAATGAGCTCCGTGTACATTTCATAGGTGGCACGGTTGTGTATATCGTCTAGTGTCTGTATGGCTATCGTACCATAGCCATTGAACATGGCAAAGTAGATGGCGTGCACCAATTCAATCAGGAAGGACGATGACAGTGGAATGCGCGGAGAAGATGGTTTTGGAAAAGTGGCCCCCGTCGCTGGATCAGATCTGCAATGCATTGGATTACAATTAAAGCCCATTGATAGCGATTGAGGAGGACAATGAATTGGGTGCGGTGCTCACCCATAGCTCATGCGATGACCATGCCCGGATTTGGTGGTGAATCCCTGGTTGACCAACTGCGAAGTCACTCGGCATAGATGTAGCAACGAAGACTTTTGCGTCTGACTGACGTGCTGGTTGTAGCAAAAGAGCAATGTCGTCAGGATCCGCATGCGATTCTGAGCATTTACTGTCTCGATTCGCTGATGTGGTCCCCACTTGAGCTCGCGGTTGCAGTTCTCCTCCCAGCGCCGCAGATCGGTCAACGGAAGATTCTTCATTTCGTGGTACACAGACGTCTGGGCTAGGATGGGCATGCGGAAGACGACCACCTTCTGGCCGCCATCGTCGGTGGATACCTCACCGTTATAAATGCAAATCAGCAGCGTCTCCACTCCGCGAGACGCCTTCTTATCGCCCGCCGAAACGGCATGCAGGTACGTGTAGATTAGCACAGGAATGAATTGCAACGGAAACTTGTGTAGCGTCACCTCGGGCGACCTATAGAAGGACAACAGTTGCTGGCAAATGTCGTGAACCATTTCCTCGTTGCGCTGCCTCTCATTGAATATGGTGAAGATGGCCTCGGCGATTTCCGGGTCTGTCTCATGTTCCACAACAAACGCCTCCGACTCGGCTGGCTGCCCTCGAGTCCGCTGATAGTCCTCCAGCCAGTCTCTCACCAATTCGGCCATTGCCCGCAGCGACCTGAAATTGTCGCAGTCACATTCACAATGTCATGTCACCAATGGAGACCTGCAGAGTCCGAATATGAACCTTGGTCTCACCTTGACCTCAACGATACACGTAATGGTAGCCGTGCAATTAAAGCTATCAATGTGGATTATAAAACACCTATCGCCGCGAATTATGTATTAACAGTGTTTTGCTTAATTAATTTATCGCCCCCGCTGCACGGCCAAGAAATAAATACCATTTCAGTTTCGAGAAATACCATTTAAATACCATACCATAAGAAAACCAGGGCAGTCCGGCGATCAATCGAAACTTAACCCACTTAACACCCCTCTCTTTAAAAAGTTGAGCACCTTTTGTTAAACCTCGCAAAATAATACTGTTTGTAAAGGTTCTTTGTAGCTTCAGCCTCCTCTTTACTTACAAAACAAAAATGACAACCGACATCTTCCATCTGTAATGCGTAGAATACATTAAAGTTACATAAATTTCGTTGAAATATTAAATACCCCCCTGGTCGACAATGGGATAATGTTCTATTTTATTGATTGAAATCGTGTTCCACGATTTTGACATTCAGTTTAATATTACTAGATAGTTTGAACCCTCAACACTGCGCATATAACTTTATCCAATAGGTGAATCAATTTTCTACAAGACTAGCTTTGATTTGTAATCTGATATAATCTGGACGCACTGCAGCGACAGAGAACCGTTAGAATCATACTTTGGAAGTATAATTTGGCTGGCCTAAGTTAGCTGTGGTTGTTGGAAAACATTTTGCTATATTGGTCTTAAAGTGTAATGGGAGAGATAATTTTTTAATACATTTGATTCGAAACGAAACTGACATTACTTCATCAACTTTCTGACGATATCAACTGGGAAGGGAAACACATAGGACAATGTTTTGTCATTGCAGATTGTGTTGAGCGTTTGCAGATAACGCAATTGCAGAGCAATGGGATTTGTTTCCATTATATCGGCAGCTTCCTTTAGCGCTTTGACAGCGTCTCTCTCTCCAAAAGCAGCCGCTACCTTGGCCTTTGCCTCCCGCAGCGCCTCCTGTTCGACAGCCAGAGCTCGCCGCAGCTGGTCGGGCAGAATAATCTCCTTACTGAGAAGAGACATTTCAGTCCACAACAGAGGAATTACTTGGCCTGGTCGAGCTACTTACACTTCCACCCGCTCGACACGCACTCCCCAGGGTTCGGTGCAATCATCAAGGATGGCTTCAATTCTCTTGGACAGCGTCTCCTTGGACATTAGGAGGTCCAGAAGCATGTGGGTGCCGGCCACATTTCGAAGCGTGGCCTTGGCCATCAATTCAACGGCTCCTCTATGATCGAAGACCTGCAGAACTGCATCAATGGGCTGCTTGATGCTGTAGTAGACAACTGCATCGACTTTGATCGTCACCATATCTTTGGTGAGAATCTCCTGGGGCGATACGTCAAAGGATGTGGTGCGCAGGTCCACTTTAATGTACGCATCAATGCACGGGAATGTGAAAACCAGTCCTGGACCACGCGGTCCGCCAGGGAGGAGGCGACCTAAGCGCAAAATAACCGCTCGCTGGTATTCCTGCAGGATCACGAGACACATGAACACCGAAATGGGGAAAGTTATCACCATCAATATGACCGAGAGTAGATAAAAAATTCTCTCCAAGAGATTAGGGGGAATATTTTCGGCTGTCAATGAAGAAGAGTGACTCAATCGAATGGCAGCGATGAGACCAAAGTGAACTCACTTGTCGGCACATTGCGCTCAGTCGCCACGGCACTAAGATACGGTGCTCTCATGAATGGCTGCACGAAATTCAGATCAATAAGACTTTCAGGCGAACGTGGCAACTCCGAGCCCGAGAGTCCATTCTTTGACTCCTCCGGATGCTTGCTCATTACAAAGAATTTTACACAGTAAAAAGAAAACTAAGCGATGAAAAACAATCTACTTGAAACAGTCTCTCAATATTTACTTGAGAGGATTTCCAAAGGCAATAGACCGTAGAATTGAGGTTGAATATGTTACATGTATAATTGGCTAGAATACAGCATTCATTTAAGGTTCGCTAGCTGGGCTGACGTGATACATCTTGAGCAACCTCCACGCGACTGCGGGGACGCCAAAGGTCTAGCAGTCGGACTATAAAATGGGCCACTACGAAAAAGACCAGAAACCAGGAGCCATGCTGATACACTGCGTACACCAGCTCGCTAGTGGTGAAGGCTTGCTCCTGGAGCACTCGATCGTAGACCCTAACTGTCCGACGAGCAACATCCTCCCAGTTGTAGAGAGTCTCCACCAGGTCATTGCACTTGTACGGGCAGAGCACAGGCTCTATTTGGCTACTTTCATCGGCAGGAATGGAGGAACACGTTTGGGACCAGCTAACCGGATCACGAGTTGAGGGATTTTGTTTTCGTTGTCGTCGCTTTCCCCGTCCATCAGTCTCAGAAGGAATGTTTCCATTAGAGGCAGGAGTTTGTGTCATACTAGATACACTTTTTTTATGTCTATCTATGGCTACTAAAATGGCAGAGTGGATGGCATCAATATCCGGCTCTGCCAGCAGTATTAAGCTTTTTGGAAGCACCTCGGGAATGCCACCAACGCTGGTGGACACAACCTGGAGACCGCAAGAGGCGGCCTCCACTATGGCCATACAGTATGCCTCCGTTAGCGAGGTATTCACAAATATATGGCCGCGTACGAGAACATCACGTACTTTGACGTGATCCACAGCGCCCACCATTTCTACTCGATCCTGCATATTGGTCTTTTCGCGTATCTCCTCCAGCAAATCTCTTTTTGGTCCATCACCAACGATAATGAAGTTAACATTATGTGTGTTCTTAAAGCGAGGAATCACACCGGCAAGCAGATCGATGCCCTTGCGGTAGACAAGCCGGGAAGCCACCACAATGTTGACTACGGAAAAATTATTAGAATCCTGAATTATTTGATTCAGTGCGTCCACTCACTTGTGTCGTCGCTGGGTCGTTGCCTGATATCTGGAGTGAATAAGGCGGTGTCTACAGCATTTGGTATCACGGAAACCCGATGTTTGGCCATACGTGCTCGCAGCACCGTGTTCTCCTTGCCAATGTGCGACACACAGATGGCATGATTCACCATGCTCAAATTCACCTCCAGAAGATTGTTGGTGAGTGCGGCCGATAAGTCAGCAAAGCCAAAAAGGCTGTGATCCGTAAATACCGTCTGAAATTGACAGAAGATTAGTCATTTGTCCACTAAATATTGTTAGATTGTACTACTTTTAGACCAAGCAGAGAGCCCACCATCAGAGCTTCATGGGCTAAGGCACTGAAGGCCGAGTGGCCATGCACGACCTCCACACGTTCCCGCAGGAGGACGGCCCGCAACATGGGTAAGTTGCAGACGGCAGTTGGCAGGATGCACTGACTGTAGCAGACTTTAATGGGAAGATAATAAACCTTGAGACCGTGCGTGAGATAGCGGATACCACTGCAATCTCCATAGGCATGGGTCAGCACAACGATCTGAGAATTGTGTTGAAGATTAGTCCACATTTGTATGTACATTATCTGGCTTCCGCTTACCTTGTGACCCAGGCTAAGCAACATTTGTGACAGATTGTATACATGCTCCTCGACCCCGCCGATGCTCGGATAGAAGAAGTCCGACACCATGCAGATGCGCATCTTTCACACTTGACGAGTTCTAGCTCACATGCAGGGGACATCACACATAAAACAAATTAAAATGCAATAAATAAAAACGAACGCACAGCCCAGTGCGGCTCTGCCTGCAGTTTCTAGTGCTGTCAAATTCGCAATGACAGTGCTGGAAAACGTATTTCTGTTGCGTACTTGCAGCAGCTCCCATTAGTGAGCGGGGGGAGGAGTAAAAGAAAAGTTGTTTTCTGGAGTTTCTACATGGCTGCAATATGCAGAACTCCAAGGCCAAAATGGACGAATTTAAGTCGAAATTCATGGACATGCTGCACAAACAGGTAACAAACAGTCCCACGGGCAACAGTGCACACTTGGTACTTTGGTTTTCGCTCACAATGAAACTACTTACGCACACAGACGAATCGACAAATGAAAATTCCTGCCATGGGCTTCTCGGACTACTTCATCCAAACGGTAACAACCGATGCCTCACCCAATGATGAAGTGGATACCACCGACGAAGCCTCGGCCGGAGCATCGAACGCACAAAGATCGGATCAGGAAATCCTAGAGAGCATTGAAGAATGCTACTATAGCCCTGACAGCAACCCGCAGCTGTATGAACTCAAGGTAAACTAGATGATGAACTGGCGCATGAATCGAAGACTCACTTCTCACTTTGCCACCTCCCGCAGAAAGTTCTTAGCGACGGCATCGACAACGAGCTTATCGAGGTCACCATTGCACAATTGCGCACACAACAAAAGGTATTGACCAAGCAGGTGCTGCAGAACATATTGGAGCAGCGCAATGCTTGCAGCAGTGAGTTTTCCGCCATCAATGACACGCAAAAGAAGCTTGAGGAGTCGCTCTGGACGTGTCAGAAGGCGAGGTCCTATTTGAACTTCGCTCGCACAAACCTTACCACGACCAGCTTGGAGATACTCGCCAGTTACCGCAAGCGGGAGGTTCTCAAAGAGGTCTTGGACACTCTATTGGCCATAAGGAAACTGGTACCACTGCACTTATCCTATAAATCAATTCAATTATACAGTTTCAATCTTTTCCAGCGCACAACTGACGTGGAGCTGCAAAAACTGCTAGCAGACCATAACTACAGCGCTGCGATTGCTCTCCTGCTCCAATGCAAAAGCTCCGCAGAGGCCTACATGCAATATAATTGCGTGCAGTCGCTCTACAAGAAGCTGCAGGAGACCATGTTGCTTATGGAATATCAACTGGACACGGTGCTGAATGAGATGGTGCTGAACTTTGATACGCGCAAGTATGCCAAGCTGCAGGAGGCCTACAAGTTGGCAAACAAATCGCTGATGGCGATGGATCAGCTGCACATCAACTATATTTCGGCCATTCATTCCTCGGTCAATGCTGTGCTTCGTGGCTACAGCGATCCCAATCAGGACGATCAGATCAAGCTACTCTTTGAACAGTTGTGCGAGCAACTAAACTCTGAAAAGCTTATACCCTGCCTGATAAGCTTGTGCAAAACGTTCTGGACCATTTTGGCCTCCTACTATCAGGTTGTGATGTGGCACAACAACTACAAGCTGTATGGCCACGAGGAGGCTGAATCTCCCGATGTCTACATCCAGCAAAAGCTAAAAAAGGGCCAGTCACGACTCTGGAACGATATACTGACCAAAGTGTGCCTATTCCTGCAGAGCGCCAAGCTGACTGCGCTTAAATACGACCAGTTCATCCAAGTGATGTCCATTGTACAGCGTCTGAAGAAAGTGGGAGTGGAGTTCTGTGGCGAGCAGTCGGAAAAACTGATTGAGATCATGCAGCAGCAAAGTGAGGAGTTCTTCAGGCGGTATCACATTTGCTGTGTGGAAGAGATTTGCTTGTTCTTGGACAACGAATCCTGGACGCCAGTAGACTCGTTTGCGCACATCCTTCAACTGCCTGTAAGGCTGTAACTGCAATACCCTTCGAATTTTCCATAGATTACTAATATTGTTGTCATTATAGGAATTCCGTTCGGTCCGTCACACGCTGCGTCGTCACAAGTCGCCGACAACAGCGCTGTTGGCCTCCTCGAACAATTCCCCGATCAGCAACAATAATTGCGACGAGCTGGTCTCCGTACACTCACAGGATGGTGGCAGCTCCATCTATGGTTCCTATGGCTACTTTTTGCGCTTCTCCGAGAAAAGTTCGCCCTTTGACGGCGGCCTAGATGCGGCTATGCTTGAGGAGGATATTCTGTCTGGCATTGTGGACGAGGCCTCCTGCTACTTCAGCGAGGAGAGCGACGACGAGCAGAAGAGTTTGCAGAGCAAAGAGTTTGACGATGCTAGCAAGTAAGTGGCAACCCTCATCACCCCCATACCACTATCTCAAAGTAATCGTTTGATCAGCCAACTGCTAGTGAACAATACGGCCTTGAATGTGCTGCGCTGCCTTGGACGCTACCTGCAAATGTGCAAACTGCTGCATTGCATCTCTCCCAAGATTGTGTCCTGCATGCTGGAGCTTATTGACTTTTACGTGTATGCAGTTCACGAGATCTTTGGCAAGGACGCGGTAAGTGAGAGCCTCAAAAATCGAAGAATTTAATCATAAAGAAATACTCTTTCATAAACAGCTGGTGGCCACGGATAAAATGTATACACCACGGCTGGAGCGACGCTTGCTCTCTGTGGAGGCGAATGTTCTGCCACAGATCAAGCTGTGGCCGCTTAACTTTTCCTCTCTGGTATGGTTTGGTCTGCGTGTGATCTGCACTTGAGGGTCAATCCAATAATCATTCTCTTTTTAGGCCAACAACGAGCTGGCCAATCCAGACACTCTCTACGGCCTGCCGCAGCGCATTGTGGCTGTGGAGGCTGGACGCAGTATGTTCCAGCAATTCCACATTCTCCAGCACTACCTTAATCACCTTTTACCCGTTTCCGAGCGTCCCCTGCTGTTGGCTATCTGGAGTATAGTGAATACATGTTGGATCTGGCGAAACCAGTTTACACCTGCGTCACCTCGCGCGTCATTGATCTGTCGGCCATACTGGCGCAAATGGCCAAGGTCAAGTGGGATGTGAATCATGTGATACACCAGCATAGCAGCTATAGTGATGTGCTGAATCGGGTATGTGGTAAAGGGCATCGCATTGCAAGCAATCTCCTCTAACATTCATTCATTTGCAGAACATTCAGAGCTTTGCCATGTGCCTGGAGGAGACGGCCAAAGAGGTGGCTGTTCCTAACAAGCACGTTTGGAATTCCATGGCCCATGTGGCCACACACCTGCTCGTGGAAGGGTAAGCTGTGGACAACAAGACTAAACACATCGTAAAACCCTTGACCCAAAATCTTCCCATTTAGCTTTTCTAATGTGAAGAAATGCTCGGCCGGAGGGCGGGCACTGATGCAATTGGATTTCGCCAACTTTATGTCATTCCTTGAGCTTATCTCGAATCAAAAGTATCCCCAGCACCGCTCGTATGTGGATGTGTTCATCAAAACGTATTACTTCTCGCCGGAACAATTCGAGCAGTGGATCGAGCAACAACGACATGAGGACGACTACTCCGCCAAGCAGTTGACAAATCTGATACAGTGCATCTGTGCCAGTGACAAGCGCACAAGGCAAAGGCTGTTGCAGTTGCTGGACGGTCCAGCAATGCCCAATGGGGGAACGCCGACGACAACGCCGCAAAAGAATAACTCCAGCTCTGGCTCGAATCTGAGCAGTGTTATCTGAGACCCCATGATAATTTTCATATATATATATATTTATTTTGTTATTTTGTTTGCAAACCGATTTGGTTCAGCCCAACCCAACCGAACCAAACCCTTTGTTAGTAGAGCAATCTCGTGACATTCTTTCAATGTATTTAACATTCCGTTTAGTGCAAATTAACATTGTGTTAAGGCTTACATACATACTTTAGTTACTTAGGCGATCTCCATGATGTACTTCGTTTCGAATTCTAAATCTATTTGAATCTCTATCCTATCTCAACGCAATTCGCTCTCTATTCGCACTCAGATGCAACACAATTGGCGATTGGTTATTCATTAACCGTGACTTAAGTACCTAGAGAAAGCATATATACATATATATATAATATATACAGAATCACACGTCGCATTATTAAGATGCATGAACAGCTATTTATTAATATCCTAATTACCTAATTGTAATATTTATTTGCAGAAGGCAACGGACAAATAATTGTAATAGAGCGCCGCTCAATCAATAGAAATCGATTTGATTCGCGCGCTTACCGAACTAACTAACATCCAAAAATACACAAACACAAACACGAATACTAAATAGTTGTAACGTAACCAACCAACCACTAACAAAGATAACATATTTTGAGATATGCATATTACAATGAAAACTTCAATTGCCTTATCTTCTCGGGGGCGTGAATCGCACGCATTACGCACGCACCTTCTCCTTGGCCAAGGAACGCCCCCCGTCTGCATGGGACATTCAGCATATAAATATATTCGGTCATCGTTGTGCGCTTCACACTAACCATACGCCATGTGGACTGTCCTGAGCATTTTGCTATTTCTTTGGGCTATCGCCACAGTCTGGGGATCCACTGTGGACTTCATCAGGAGCGTGGCCAGGGAGTCTTCGCTGACGGTGCTGATAATCCGCTATGACTACTGCCCAGACGCCTGGCTGCCTGAACTCTTCGCATCAAGTTCCATCCCAGTGGTGCTGCAGGCGGCCAGCAGTGCTCAGCCGCGGCCAGAGGAGTTTTCCCCTGCACTGCACGTTGTGTGCCTGCCCGGAGATGGACTGTACGTGGAGGAGGTGGTGCAAGCTTTTGCCACAGCGTTGGAGGACAGACGCAGTGAGAAATGTCTACTTTATCTATCGAATAGATCGGCCAATTCCGATGCAATGAACCTGGTGCTGCGACGCTGCTACGAACTGAAAATGCTGAACGTCGTCGGACTGATGGCAGCCGATGAGCGGAGCTTCTACTACCGCTACCTTCCGTATCCCGAGTTCAGGGTAGAGCGGCGTTCGCTACAGTCGTCGCCCATCTTCGAGCCTAACTTCCCCAACATGCATGGAGAGCCGCTGATTGTAATGCCAGACCAATGGCATCCACGCTCGGTCGTCTATGTGGACAGACGCACGGGGAAAAAGGTTCTGGCTGGATCTGTTGGCCGATTTGTCCGCACCTTGGTCTGGAAACTGAACGCCACCCTGCAGTATGCCCAGGCTGTCACCCCGGGTCGCTTTCTCAATGCGAATGCCCTGCGAGAACTTGTCAAGCGGTCGCCCATCGATCTGCCGGCCAGCATGTCCCTGATTAGCGAGGTGAAGCAAATGCCTCACATTAGCTATCCCTTTGAGTTGACCCACATGTGCCTGATGATTCCCGTGGCAAACGAGATTCCTGTGCGGGACATCTACCGGCTCCTGAGCAGCGCCGAAAACGTATGCATTGCTCTGGCCATCGTGTATGCCTATGGCCTAGTGCTCACCTGCCAAAGACGTCTGCATGAGCGGGAAGTGTACTTTGTGGACTTCCTGCTGAACGACAGAGCTCTGCGCGGAGTCCTGGGGCAGTCCTTCAAGCTGACTAACCAAGAGAGTGGCTCCTCGAGCAAGTGGATCTGCCTTTTGCTGGGCATTGTCGGCCTCAACATCAGCTGCATCTTCGGAGCGGCCCTGGAAACGATGCTAGCCCATCCGCCGAGGCAATTCCAGCCCCGCAGCATCGCTGATGTCAGGCGTGCCCGCCTGCCCCTGGTCGCCATCGAGGAAGATCTGGATTCTGTCGCGGATCTTCAGTTACCCGTTCTGACCGTCAATGCCAGCGAGTACAACCGGCTGCGGGATGACGCGAACACCAGCTACGTCTACCTGGCCTCGCGCCTACACTGGACACAGTTCGAGAACCAGCAAAAGTACTTTTCGCGAGAGCTTTTCATCTACTCCAAGGACGCCTGCCTGATGTCGCTGGCTCTGCTGACCTTCGAGCTGCCCAAGAACTCCTGGTTTGCGGCGCCCATCAGCAAACTCATTCTGGAGGCGAGAGCCAACGGCATCTATCAGTATTGGGTGGGGATGCATCACTACGACATGTCTGTGGCCGGTGTCGCCAGCCTGCGGGATCTCAGCTTGGACCAGACACCTCGTGAGGCTCATCAAACAGGCAGTGCCCTGCGACTCATTGATCTGCAATGGATTTGGCTGGCATATGGACTTCTGACTCTGATTTCCATCCTGCTGTTCATCCTCGAGATCGGCTGGCAGCGAACCGCACTTCAAAGTAGTTGCAAACCCTTTTGTTCGGAATAAGTTTATTGTTGAATGGTCGCAAGGAAGGTGGACAAGTTGAAAGTGAAATTGAATTGGTCTATGGGGCTTGTGGGTTAATGGAGTGGAGTGGAACGCAGGTGGTCAAGTCCAATTCCGTTCGTTCGTTGGCGCGTTGGGACTGCGTCTAGGCCACATTGGTATGCTCGTCACGGTGGAAGATCTTCACGTCGAAGAACTTGAAGTTCTGCACATCGAAGTAGTAGTCGTGCTTCACCGGACGGTTGAAGGGGAAGCCGAAGGGCAGGGCATCTACATAGCGGGAGCCGTGACCGATGCCGCAGCTGATGATGGGGTCGTAGCCGGTGTGCTGGGGCACGGCAGGCTGATGGAAGGGATAGACCATATAGAAGAACTGGAAGACCTGGCCACCCTTCTTGCCCTTGGGCAGCATCATGCGGTTGGGTACACCGCAGTGGGCCTCGGACTGATCCAGCTTGAACTTGTAGTCGCTGGTGGAGGCATCCATCAGCTTCTGGTAGAGCTCCAGATAGGTGGTGCGATCGTTGACCCAGATGAAGAAGTCGTTGCTGCTGCGCTTGATGTGGGTGACGCCGGCCTCCAGTTGCACCTTGAAGTGATCCAGTTCGAAGAAGTTCTGGTAATTGTTCTCCAGTGGGATGATGAGACCGTGCTCGTCGTACTTGGGTCCAATGAACACCTTCACAATGGCATCCTGGGCCTTGTCGGAGCTGACGTCCAGGGTGAAGTCAAAGGGCTTGTGGTTCAGGCGATGCTGGCGCGCCTTAATCACATAGCTCACACCGTTGTAGTGCGAGTTGCGGCCGTAGGAGTACAGATTGTCGTGGCTTTCCTTAACATTCACCGGTGGCTCAACATTCACGGCGTTGCTGATGTCGGCATCGAAATACTCGAAAAAGGTGGTCAGACTCTCGGACATGTGAACGGCATCGATGGAGACGCCCTCGAATCCGTAGTCCTGCTTCTTGTACTCGGGGAAGGTCTCCATTAGGTGCCAGTAGTGTCCGACCAGGTTCTTGTACACTTCGTAGAACAGAGGGTCGCGCAGCGACGTCTCGTAGTGCATGAAGCGGCCGGGGAAGCTCTCGAAGTGCTTGCCGACTTGGTGACCTTCGTTCACGATGAAACGGTAAGCCTTGTCCAGGCTGCCGAAGAACTTCTTGTCAATGCTGTCCACATTGCCCTGAATCATATTTCCCAGCTGGTTGATCACCTCGCCATCGAATTTCTCGTTCTTGTGGATCCAGTCCATCACACGCTGGGTGTAAGTTTCCACCTCCTGGACGTGCTCGATGTTGTGCTCATGGTAGAAGCTGTGATGGTTGTCGCGATGCCAGTCGGGAACGCCATTGTAGCTGCGGAGGGCGCTGTGGTAGCCGGAGGCGACCGGTGCGTACATGTTGAAGGTGGGCACCTCGCCCACATCGTTGGAGAGACGCTCCAGATACCAGCGGGCGAGTAGCTGCCAGTGGGTGTAGAGGTAGAGCTCTCCGCGACGGTCCTGGTTCAGCACATGCTGCTCCGAGCCCTTGGTCCAGAAGGGATAGTCGAGGTTGTAGTGGTAGTAGAAGCTGTTGAAGCCCACATCCTCCAGGAAGTACGCCATTTCGTGGTCATAGTTGAGACTGCCGTAATGATTCGAGTAGTTCGACTTGAGCACCACATTGAAGATGTTGTCCATCTTCTTCACGTGGTGGAAGCCGTGCATCTTGTAGTGCTCGGCCATCTCCAGGGTCTGGCCGTCGAAGTAGCTCCAGGGATGGATCTCGTAGTGGGCTGGCAGGATGATGCCCTGCATGTCTTCGCGGGCAACGGTGACAACGGTGATGGCGTACACAAACAGCTGCTTGTTCACGTGTTGGCGGGCCCAGAAGACGGCGTGCTGGAAGGTTTCCCAGTTCTTGGCAAAGTAGAAGAGGCGCACCAGACCGCGGGCGTACTCCTCATGGCGCTCGTACATCACGGACCACAGCTGATCGTCGTGGAAGGGATGGTGCTGCCACAGCTCGAAGAAGTGCTCCAGCATCTCGGGGTGATTGTAGTCGCCCAAATGGTCCCATGGCTTGTACTCGGCGTAGCTGGCGGGGTATTCAGTGACGAACACATCGTCCTGGTAGATGTGCTGCATTATATTGAGCATAAACTTCTGCTTGGTCAAGAAGTCCTTTTCGGCCACCTTCGACTCAATGTGCTTGGCTTGGCCGCCAAGGGCCAGCAGTGCCACCGAAAGAACTGCGATCACCGTGAACGACTGCATCTTGCGGAATCATAACTCTGCTCCGTTTGCAGCCTGCATTTATACCCACCCAATCCCTAGCGTCGGCGATAGCGAGATCAATGGCCGGTCACTTGTATAGCCTTGAAATTGTGCGAGATCCGTTCGACCCCTCCAATTGCAACGGATCGAATTGAAGGTGATAAGGCTCGATTGAAGCTCTGGATCCGCATCGCCATCGGACTACCTTTTTTCAAACGGTGATCGGTGTTCAAGCGGCCGTCATTTCTTACAATCAGTTACATAAGCGGCTCAGGTTACATTGATGCCAGATCACCTGTTGATTGGACGTTACTAAGCTGGCAGGCACTTCACTTGATAAGATTACAGAGGGCTTTGTTGTTGCATCGTCAGGTCGAGCTGTGGTCAGGCGCATTATTATTATCAAGCGATGCTATAAATATTCCAAATTGGAAACATTGTTCTTAGAACGACAAGGGTAGGGAGCAAAGCCAAGAGCATTGCACCATCAGCAGAAACACATAGTCCAATTCCATAAGTGTCCAAATAATGCGCAACGGAGAATGGCTCTTCCTCGCGCGTTTATAAATATGGGCTCTTCCTCGCGCGTTTATAAATATGGGCATTTCTCTGACAAGGTCCACCGAGACTAAAAAATGCAATGTCATATAATTCTGTTGCGATGTTATAGTCTAAATTTAATGAACGACAACTAATTTCATTAACTTTGATGTGAAAACCTATTCAAATAAGCACAAGTTTCCTTTTTCTGTATTTTTTGGTTTTTGATTTTGTAGTCATGTTTTCTATTACTATTATCTCGTATAAAAAATGTGATTCTTGAGAAAAGTTATTCCACAAAATCTTTCCAACATATTTAACTATCTAAAAAAAATACAAGAAAAATATTTTTAGCTGTTATTTACATTTACATAAACAGAAAAATAGAATCATATTCGCTATATCAAACGCACAACCTGAACAGAAATTAGCACCAATATATTGGCCCAACCTATGACTAAAACCTGAATTTGAATCGATCGCCGCGAAGTGGTTCCATATATTTCCCGTGCAAATGGCTTGGTTTTTTCCAAAAATCTCGAAAAGAATTGTTGCCCAAAATCGACTTTAGCACTAGTTGTAGGGCTAGTCAAGAGGTGTGTCATTAAGGTAAAACAATTTTGAAAATCCGTCTTATTTTGACCTTTGTACCTCGCCTTTAGAGAAATGCCCATATGAACCATATATTGCAGATAGTTGGAACAATTGCTGCTTGGCGTGGTGTCTGAGATGAGTCATTTTTTAAACTATTTCTACACATTCGTATTCGATTTCAAATCAATAATAATAGTACAATAGAAAATACTCTTTATCATCATCGAGAATTTCAATTGGAGACATCTCAGCCAACTTGGAGACTTCAGATCATCAATTGCATATTGAAAGTCTTCAATTGCCTTTTCGTAGCGCCGCTGGCGCACTCAAGTCAGTGTAAACAGCCTATTCTTTTGTGATTTATGGAAAACTTTACCAAATATTCAAAAATTCGCGGGTCTGTAGAGCTGCAGCTGTTTCCGATTATTATTTTGTGCACAGCTGCGACCAGGGATGGAAACGGTATTGATAGTTGACTTTAATAATCGGACGTTATACCGATGATTATCATTTTTAAAAATTATTTAAAACGGAAACATTTGTCTACCGTAAATATACATATAATATTTATTAATTTAACATATTGACTTCTGTTTGCAAAAAAGGCTTGGCTACAAAGGCCTTTGGCTAAGACCATAAACATATAATTTGACCACTTTAATACAATTGAATGTGAATTGTTTTGCAATTGTCATTTAAAAGTTCACTGACTTGTTTATCGCACGCTCTCAACTTTGAAGTCTACACCTTTGCTTTGTAACTTTGTGAATAGTAGCAGCGTCAGCAGATGATTTGGTGACAAATTGGCGGCACACGGTGGGATAGGCTCGGGAATTTGTTTAATGTTTGATTAACAAGTCTACGCAGAATAACAGGCTGTCAAAATAAGCCGTCCAATCTCCAAATATGTACTCACATTGCAAATTAATTGCTTATGTTTGCTCTCGTCTGATTGTATCATATTTTTGTATGACTAGGCGTGAAATTCTTATACACTGCGCGAAAACAAGATCAATTTTCCATACTGAGTCTAATCTGATTCTAAATAACTTCTTAAACGGTTTAACTGCAGGCTGGGAGTACATTTACGCACACAAACACAATTCAGTTTGAATGCGCGGCATTGTTTAAACGGGACTTAATCGTTGTTTATACGAGCTTATAGTGTTGAGCAACGCTTTTAGAGTGACAAGCGCTTTTCCTTTTTCGTTTTTGGTAGATTTTATTCCGGTGAGCTGTTCGTAAAGCCGATTTATGGTGCATATATAGTAAAGTTTCCCTATTATTCAGGTGAATTTCGTAGGCTACAATGATGTCTGCAGATAACCAGACTGATGCAACGAGATTTCTGCTACCGGAAGGTGGTGATGCTGCCGCCAAGACGACGGAAATTAGTGAGCTCGCATCCGATGCAGCTACTGCTCCAACTACATCCACTGCTTCCGATCAGGGCGGTGAGAATGCCTTCAAGATGCCAATGCCGCCAGGCAATGCTGCCAAGAATAAACAACCCAACTACTTCCTCAAGGACGCGGTGCCTGGTCACAAGAGCAGCGTCGCATCGCTCAAGTTCAGCGCGGATGGCGACTATTTGGTGAGCGCATCCGCAGACTGCTTGCTCAAGTTGTGGGATGTGCGCACGCTCCAAAGCAATCAGACGCTGGCAGGGCACGCGAAGGGCATCAACCATGTGGTGTGCTCGCCGAATGGCAAGCTCCTTGGCAGTGGCAGCGACGACAAAACGGTGAAGCTGTGGGACCCGAATACTAATAGTTGCGTAAAGACCTTGCAGGGACATACAAACTATGTGTTCTGCTGCTGCTTCAATCCGCAGAGCAATCTCATTGCGACTGCCAGTTTCGACGGTTCGGTGCACCTGTGGGACCTCCGAACGGGCAGGATCCTCAAGGGATTGCGGGCTCATGGCGATCCCACCACATCTGTGGACTTTAATCGCAACGGCAGCCACTTCATAACGAGCAGCCACGACGGATTCGTGCGAATGTGGGAAACGGCCACCTTTCATCTCGTGAAGACGTTGATAACCGACGACGACAACCCCGTGGTGGGCCATGCAAAGTTCTCGCCCAATGGCAAATACATACTCACCTCCAACTTTGACAGCACCCACAAATTGTGGAATTACGAAAAGTCCAAGGTACTGCGCCGATATACAGGACACAAGAACGAGTCCTACTGCCTGAATGCCAACTTCTCCATTACGGCCGGGATGTGGATTGTGTCGGGCAGTGAGGACAAATCGCTGTGCATCTGGAACCTGCAGTCGAGTGAGCTGGTCCAGAAGATTGACACCAACGGCGACTTGGTTATCTGCACCGACTGTCATCCGAAGGAGAACATCATTGCCACTGGTTCGCTTGTGAAGCCCTTCACCGTCAAAGCATGGAAGAGCTGTGAATAAGCGCCTCTAAGCGCCTGGCCTGCAACGAGCTGAGTTCCTTAAACCAGCAAAAATCAAGCAAATAAACCGATTTAAATTGTCCCATAAGTGTTTGTTTGAAGGGGCGGCCCTGCCATTGAGCAGACTCCGCTGCTATCTCTCTGTAAACACTTGTTAACACGATAAGCCGGTACCTGCTCTGCTATTGTAAATCATATATGTATGGCCGGTATACACCGGCAGACAGAACCAACCACTTGCGATTGCTATCTCAGGCCAGACGGTTAGACCAGTTGACGAGCCAGGCCGAAGCTAATGGAGCGTCATTCAAGTCTCGAACGGCGTATAGAGCGGTCGCGTTTCGTTCCCAGTTATCGCTTAGCTTAGTCTTCGCTCTCTCTACCCACTTTCTCTCTCTCTCTCTCTCTTTCGCCCTGTCTCTGTGTTGCTGAGATCAAAACTACAAACTAATCCGCGATGAGGGCGGACGAGGGTGAGCAGCTGGTTCCAGGGGTTTCCCGGATGCATTTGCCTCAAGGCTACCCAGAGAGCTATTGTGCGGGGTCTGGTGGCGATCGCATGCATGGTTCAATAAAATCAATTGTGGCCAATCGAGCAAATACGTGCCAATTCATAAAATTGTATCGCGGAGGCTTATCAACTGTGGGGTAGTCCGACTGATAAGGCCACGGTGTGCTACCAGTGCTACCAGGGAGACTCAATCGCTTGATTGCTATCTCCGTGGGGGGGTTATCTCAATGTACCGATGAATGTGTAGTGGAAACTAATCGAAAATTCGTTTGCTAACCTGCAGATCATCTGTACAGGGAGCAGCTGCCAAGCGTGAGCACTCTGCTCAGGGACAGCGGACGCAAGCTGTGTCGCCCGTCGACCATCACCAACAAGTTTCCCATATTGCAATGGCTGCCCCGCTACCGGATGGAGTACGTGATGCAGGATTTCATAGCTGGCTTCACCGTGGGCCTCACCACCATACCGCAGGCCATTGCGTATGGTGTGGTGGCTGGCTTGGAGCCGCAGTACGGCCTCTACTCGGCATTCATGGGCTGCTTCACCTACATTGTGTTTGGCTCCTGCAAGGATGTCACAATCGGTAAGGGCATCGATCCCCTGTCCAAAGGACACTCATTTTAAACTTCCGTCCGCAGCCACAACTGCCATCATGGCTCTGATGGTCAACCAGTACGCCACCATCAGTCCGGACTACGCGGTGCTCGTCTGCTTCCTGGCCGGCTGCATCGTGCTCGTCCTGGGTCTGCTCAACATGGGAGTTCTGGTGCGCTTCATCTCGATCCCAGTCATCACGGGCTTCACCATGGCAGCGGCCATCACCATCGGCAGTGCTCAGATCAACAATTTAGTCGGCCTCAGCAGTAAGTGGGAATCCACTTTGGGCCGTGTCTTGGATGCACATTAAATCGGATTATTCTTAAACAAAAAATAGGTCCATCGAACGATTTGCTGCCGGCGTGGAAGAATTTCTTCACCCACTTGCCATCGATTAGGCTATGGGATGCCCTGCTGGGTGTGTCTTCCCTCATCTTCCTGCTGCTCATGAAGGTATGTATCCATCCCCATACTCCCGCAATATACATATATCCACAATAGTTAAGCAATGATCCTATCTTTGCATGTGGCACAGCTTGTGAAGGACATCAAGTGGGGCAATCGCATATTCTGGAAGTACCTGGCTCTATCGCGCAACGCCCTGGCCGTGATCTTTGGCACATTCCTGGCCTACATACTCAGTCGGGATGGCAACCAGCCCTTCCGCGTCACAGGCAACATCACAGCGGGTGTGCCACCCTTTCGCCTGCCGCCATTCAGCACCACCGTCGACGGGCAGTACGTGTCCTTTGGCGAGATGATCAGCACTGTGGGCGCTTCGCTGGGCTCCATACCGCTGATATCGATTCTGGAAATTGTGGCCATATCCAAGGCATTTTGTAAGTACATACTTGCCCACTCGGCCCTCTCCAATCTCCAATTTTAGGGAAAAAGAGAAATTTGTTTCCACAACAAATTCTCGCCATGTATACATACATACATATGGTATATGTATGGGAACTTGTTTTGTGCATTCTCTGACGTATGAATCATCCAAACGCTTCGCTGTGGTTTTTTGTTTGTGTGTGGATCGGTTGATAATATCTGTGCAGTCATATGCCATATCTCATTTATGTAATTGCATTCACAGCCAAGGGCAAAATAGTGGATGCATCGCAGGAGATGGTGGCCCTGGGCATGTGCAACATAATGGGCAGCTTCGTGCTGTCCATGCCGGTGACGGGCTCATTCACGCGCACGGCAGTCAACAATGCCAGTGGCGTGAAGACGCCTCTGGGAGGAGCCGTCACGGGTGCGCTCGTGCTCATGGCATTGGCCTTCCTCACACAAACCTTCTACTACATACCCAAGAGCACGCTGGCGTCCATCATCATAGCGGCCATGATATCGCTAATGGAGCTGCACAAGATTGCGGACATGTGGAAGTCGAAGAGTGAGTCGCGCTGTGGGGCCTCTGCTCAGAAGATTCCAATTCAATTTGTGTGTGTTCTTGCAGAGAAAGATCTGTTCCCGTTTGTGGTGACAATTATCACGTGCATGTTCTGGAGCCTGGAGTACGGCATTCTCTGCGGCATTGCCGCCAATCTGGTCTACATTCTCTACAGCAGTGCGCGTCCGCAGGTCTACGTGCGATTGGAGAAGGTATGCCCAAGAACGGCAGGAGGTTGATAGCCCGCCAATTCCTAACATATCCAACGTATCCTGCAGATAAATGGCCACGAGGTGAGCCTGGTGGATGTTAAGCAGAAGCTCGACTATGCCTCAGCTGAGTATCTGAAGGAGAAGGTGATTCGCTTCCTGAACCAACAGAACGGCCAAACGCGTCTGGTCGTGATCAAGGGCGAGGAGATCAACTCCATTGACTACACAGTCGCCATGGTAAGTGTTCATCCCACAAGCCATTTATTGTCCGGCTCTTCTAATCGAATCCCTTGCAGAACATTGTCTCACTGAAGGGCGATCTGGACGCCCTCGACTGTGGTCTGATCTGCTGGAAGTGGAACATTGCCTCCGCGGGCGTTGTTTGCCGTCTGAACAACGACACTCGCCCCATCTTCAAGTTTGATCTGACACTCGAGGAGCTGGTGGCCTCCCACTTCGAGAGTGGCTCCTCCAACTCAGCCTCGACTGTGACGATCGAAGCCTAGGAGCCCCCCTTCCAAGCTAAGACAGTATTTGCCTCAGAACAGACCTGTAATTACTTAATGTTGCAATAAGAAATAAGATGCACTGCACTCTACACTGGCTGGCGACAATGTGTCTGGCGGATCGGATCGGTAGATCGGTAGGAGAGGGCTATAGAATTACGTCTGTGGGCTTCGGAGAAGCCAGGGCCTGGGCTGGCCCCATGTCACAATAGTTGGGCATCAGAATTAATTGAGCCGTTGACCGCAAGGCTGCGCGCGACCTTTCTTCGAACCCTGGGCCGAGGAGAAATGTAATTTATGGCCACAGGCATCCACGGGCACTTCACATCTCACATCTCGAGTGCCTACACACGAATGGATGGAGTGGGAGAGGCAGGGAAAGTCCTTTCACCGGACAGAACGGACAGAAACCAAAGAGAGTTCTTGGAAGACAAAGGTTCAACTTTAATTACGAATTATGATGCGTCTGCCGTCGCCTGGTGGTAGTTACCGAGAACCCGTTGCCCGGTGGGATCGAATGGGCTGCGCAAGTGGCAGTCGGCACGGTATCTCCTGCCCAGAATCTCCACTTCGTATTGGCCGCCGCTCACGTAGTCGGTGTCAATGGTTTGTCCATCTGGTCGCTCGATGTAGGCCTGTCCCAGGGACTTGCCGAGTGCATAGGCGTACTCTGCCCGTCGCAGAATCCCCACCGGCTCCCCATTACGGTAGACTCCCTCCAGGCCCCAAATGGGAACACCCTGCTCCTGCAGCGTCAGATAGACGAGGCGCTTCCTCACACCCTCGGAACGCTGCCGCTCGATGGCTGCCTTGCCACGGTAGTCGCTGCCGGTCTTGCGGCAGGTGAAGGCCAGGCCGGCCTCCAGCGGAGTGTCGTCCGGACGCAGGTCGAAGCTCCACAGATGGTAGCCCTTCTCGCTGCTCAGGGAGTAGAGGGCACGGTAGCCAGCGTTGCGCAGACCACGAGATGCCCCGGCAGCCATCAGGGATTTGTAGACGGCGACACAATCGGCCTTGGGCACGTGCAGTTCGTAGCCCAGCTCTCCCACGAAGCTGACGCGGAGCAGACGGAGGCCGATGCCCTCGCACTTGGCCAGGCGCGTGCAGTTGGGGGGCAGCTGCTCGTCGGAGAGCTCACAGTCGAGCAGGGGCTGCAGGATCTGGCGACTGTTGGGCCCCTGAATCGATATGACGCCCATTTCAGCAGTTAGATCTTTGAGGCTGGCCTCAAATCCCTGCCTGCGAATCTCTTCCAGCAGTGTGCTGTACGTGTAGTAGGCCGATGCACCTCCGGCCACTATGTAGTACGCCTGCCCGCTAAACTTTGGATCGTAGATCTGACCCGAACCTGAAGCCAGTCGGGTTATGGTAACGTCCGCTTCCACGCCGCCGGTTGCATTCAGGGCGCAGCTGTAGACAGTTCTGCAATACACATATATAGAGAGTGATCCGCTGATCCCTGGGATCTTCAAGGCACTGACGACTCACTTGCTTGGGTCACGATTCGTGTTGGCGGAGAAGAGCCAGTCCGCCGCCTGTTGCGCCTGCGGACCCTCGAGCAGCAGCTTGGCGAAGTAGCTCATGTTGAACACCACCGCGTTGTTCCGGCAGGCCAACGCCTCCGACATGATCTGCAATCGATATTGAATGAGTGTGGGCACTCTCGGAGGCCAGGACTCTTGCGCTCACCAGATCATGATGCTCTGAGAATCGGCCGTAGTGGAGATCGCCCTCGAGGACCTGCTCGTAGACGCTGTCCCGATTCCGCGAGTGTCCGTAGCTGCCATACCAGTCGTACGGCTGAACTGCAGCTCTGTCTGCGCCCGAATCCAGGAAGTAGCCGGGCCGCTCCCAGCCCTGCTTCTCCTCCATGACGGCGTTGGCCAGCATCATTTGCTCGTGCAGCGGATCCCTCTGGAAGTCCCTCCCGGCCAGCGGCTGATCGTACTTGAACACCATGCTGTAGTTCTTCACGTAGCTCTCGTGCGACTTCTCCCGTATCCACTGGGTGGCGCGTCCCTGCTGGGGCGTGAAACGGCGCAGGTCGAAGCCGAACATGGGCAGATCCGGCTGGCCATTGAGGATCCAGAGGGCAGTCTGCTCGCCACAGCCGCCGCCGAACATCATGCCCGCCGAATTGAAGCCGCAGTTGTGGTACAGTCCGCTCAGGACGGGATCGGGTCCCATCAGTGGCTTGTGGTCGGGTGTGAAGGACTCAGGGCCGCAGACGGTGCTCTTCACCCCGTACTTGGCATAGCTGGGGCACAGCTTTTGGGCGCCCTCCACATGCGTCTCGAACACCGACCAGTCCAGCTCGTAGAGGCCAAAGTGAAAGTCCTTGGCCACCGGGTCCAGCAGGATGGGGTTGAGCTCGTAGCCACCCATGCAGATGGCATCGCCCTGGATGCGGAAGTACGTAGAGTAGTCGTGGTCCCGGATATTGGGCAGGCCACGCACTCCCGGTATCGATTCGGACACGATGTAGGCGTGCTTCATCGGCACCAGCGGCAGGTGGGAGCCGTGCTTGGCCACCAGATCCCGTCCCCAGACCCCTGTGGCATTCACCACCCTCTCCGTTCGTATATTGCCGTGGGGCGTCGCCACGCCCACTACCTTTTTGCCCCGTGATGTCTGCTCCACGAGAATGTCATCGACTCCGCAATTCTCGATCACCTGTCCGCCTTGATTGGTGGCCGCCTTCTTCAGGGCCGTGCACAGCATGGCCGGATCCATGACACCATCGCCTGGGGAGTAGAGGGCGCCGATGAAGGCAGTCGGATCAAGCAGTGGAAACAGCTTCTGTGTCTCCTCCGGGCCGAGGATCTGGTTCTCAATGCCCAGAGCAGATCCCACAGTGGCCAGGCGCCGGTACTCGTCCAGCCGCGTCTCGTTGTGGGCGATGAAGAGGCCTCCGTTCTGTATCCAGCCGGGATCCAGGCCCGTTTCCGTCTCCAGTTGCTGCAGCATTTGGCGCGAGTTGGCCAGCAGCTGGATGTCGACATCGTTGGGGCGCAGCCGCCAGAGAAGGCCGGCAGTGTGCCAGGTGGTGCCGGCTGTGAGCTGGGCACGCTCCAGGAGCACCGCCCTCACCCCACGCCGCGCAAGATGATACAGGGTATGACATCCTGCCGACCCGCCACCGATTACCACCACATCCGCCGATGCTGGCAGGGCACCAGTCGGTGCTGCTGCTCCTCTCTGCTGGCTGAGGGCTCGAGCCGCGCTGAGGCTGCGCAGGGCTCCTCTGCGGCTGACAATCTCCTTCCGGACGGATGTCTGATGCAAGATGCGATGGCGCCACATTTCAAGATGCTGCCTCGCGCGACGAATTCAGAATCTTAACTAAGCCCTAGGCCCCCGGATTTCGAGGCCAGCAAGGGGGCCGTGCCGCCCTGATAAGCTTTGTGGATGCGATGGGTGATGGGTTTGCTGAACCTTGGGGTCGCCATCCTCCTGATAAACTCCGATTCTATGACGTCCCACGTCGATAATGAGAGACACTGATCGCAAGGCAGGGCACAGATGTGGCTGGGGAAACTGTCCGCTCTCTCTGTGGCAACCGGAATCTTATCTCGGAAGTGTGCCAAATACTAGTTTCGGTCGTCCTAGGCCAAACAAACATTATAATCTTCACGATCCGAGAATAAGTACTATATAGAAGAGAGGTTTATGGTGGATCAATTGCTTGAGCTCTGACCTTACACAGGATGCATACTTACAAGCAGAGGAACTCCAGGATTACCGCACATTAAAGTGTACGTCTTAAGGGCTGTACCAGGTGGTTCCAGCTGGCTGCCACTGGGAGGGAGCTTGGCACGCTTCGCACTCGCTTATCGCAGTATCGAATCCTATCCTTCAGCGTGGGCTATGGATGGGTGTGAGAGCGCGTAAATAAACCAGCCAGCGGATAAACAACACCAACTGTATTCATTTTGTTTTTCCAAACCGAACCGAACCGAAACCAAAAGTAAAGCAAAACGAAACAAACCGAACCAATGTGGTGGCAGCTAGCAGCAGGAGGAGAGGGCCGAGATCGCACCATGTGTTGGTTCTTCCGCCAATTGCAGACGCTTCACGACAACGGGGGCACCGCCTACAAGTGCCATAAATAGATGCGCCGGAGAATGGAGAAGAGTGCTCAAAAAGGAGGATTCTCTCGTCAACCCGCCACAGAAGTGCTCTAATTGTGCCACAGATCGGACGTCGTTGATTTCTGTTCGTGTTTCGTTTTTTACTTTGATATTTATTATACGATCCCCTATACCATACGTACGATTTTGGTTGTCCGTGGATTTTATATCCACATTTTGAAGAGTGCTTTTCAGTGATCACCACCAGTGATCACATAATGCCACGCAAGAAGCGTTCCTCCAGCCCGCTGGATTTCTACGATGAGGACTTTGATGAGGATGCCAGCTCCCAAAGTAAGCAGAACGCAAGCCAGTGTCCCTGGGAAAGGCAGTTACGTTACAGTCATGTCACCACAGTGATAATCATACAATAAATTACCTCATTTAGGCTCCCAACCGCCTGTGCAACGGAATGCAGCGAATGCCCGGGAACGGATGCGTATGCGGGTCCTGTCAAGTGCGTACGGACGTCTGAAGACCAAATTGCCCAACATTCCGCCCGACACGAAGCTCTCAAAGTTGGACACGTTACGTTTGGCGACGCTCTACATTAAACAGCTAATTACGGCCGTCGAGACGGGCAGCCACAGCCACAGCCATAGCCACAGCAACAGCCACTCGAACAGCACCGGAATGGATGCCCTGGACACGAGTCACATGCCAGAGCCGTCACACGGTTGCGGCAGTGGTGGGGCCAATGTTGGAGGAAGCGTAAGCGGAGGCAATTTCCATTTCCACAATGGAGGACACAGCGGCATGGTAAGTGTCACTGCAATAGCAATCTCTCGCGATTGGATCCCAGTCTCTGCACAAGTTAAGTGATGTCAGTGGCACCACTTAACGCTGCATCCAGCATGCTTCCATGGATGCATCCACATGAATGGCATCGTATAAAATATAAATACTCACTTGCAGCTGGGCGCCGTCAATGCCATGCCTGACAGGTGTCATAAGGGATTCCGATCCCCGGTGATAGGTGTATAAAATAGCGTATAGCTGGAAGCGTTTTTAGGCCAATTAAGCAGGATGTAAAAACAGGCCAATGAGATCTTTAAAGTCATGGATTTCTCATGTATCTCTCTTATTTGAGAAGAGTTCATAATGAATATCCAGTTCAATTCCATATTATGGTGCTGCCCTAGGAAAGAGTTACAATTTGTTGTCCTATCTTGACGGATCCTCTGATAGTAGAAGCCGTCGGGAAAATTCATCCTATGTCCAACACACAATTAAGATTAGATTGGACCAGTGTAGAGCCCTGGTTTCCAACTTTAAATGGCCACAAGATGTGGCAATATTATGTATTTATGTACATATAGTTTCGTGTTTATTTGGGCAACATCTGCTCGAAGGCTGCAGTGCCGTGGAAGTATTTCTACACTCTGTAGTCTGAGGTGAGCCCCGGGCACAAGAAATATCCAAACCCGATCTCCTTCCCCTGTCCAGGCCAGTCAGTGCGGCGGCCCCCCACTAGAAGAACATTCAAATCACATTTTGTGATTTCAGTTTGCCTTGCTTTCCTGTAATCGGATACTTTTGTGAATTTCAAAAATATTAAATGTGAGTGACAGGCTGGCTCATGGAGACAGTCTGCGGACGGACGGGGGCGATAGACGGGCAACATTAGTTAGTCTTTGCTTTATTTTTAAAGATGCTCGACTTTGATGCGCCCAAAGTGAATGACATCCAAGGGAAAAGTGTCGCCAAGACCAGACCACAGCTAGGCAGAGAAGAGCAATTGTCTCATTTGGATAATTGTAATTAAAATTTGTCTGTCCCAGCAGATTGGAAACTTTAGATCTCGATGTTCCAACATTGTTCTCCAAAATGGCAGAGTGGCATGAGGTTTACACAATTTTTCCATCGAGATTCATGGCATACCGCTTGGCTACTTATCCAAATAGAAGCAATTGTTTACTCAATTGAATGCGTGAAAATATCAGCAAATATTTCCCCGTCTTGTGCCCATATGGCAGCAGAACCGCTCCGCTCCGTTCCAGTTCTCAGCCCCTTTTCCGTTCCAGCACCCTAATTTATCCCACACTCACGCACGCGCCGCTAAAAAGTTGACATGTGAATGCTGACGATCAGCAGCGTCTGCTGGGAATGTACGCAACGTAACGTAACCCATTGGCTTGGTTTCCCTGGCGTTATTTTGTGCTCGATCCCTTTTCCTACCATACCCGTGGCCCTTCCTATATGGCTGCAATTCGGTGTCGTCTGTCCGCAAGTGTTTGGCTGTGCTGTTTATGTTTTTATAGATTCGTTAATGAGGCTGTTATTGTTGATCTATGAAAACATTTCCAAGAGGAGCCACTAAAAACAATCAAAGTTGTATAAACAAACAAAGGCGCTGTCGCTGTCGGTTGTCGTCATATTGTTCCATTTATAGCTATGCGGTTTTCCTTTGCCCATATGATTTATGAAAACATCCACATCCACATTTCCTTTCAGAGCTGGCCCTTTGAGTTCCATCAGAGCAATCGCAGCCTGCCATTTGGCTCCTCCTCCTCCTCCCGCATGGACTGGCAGTCGCTGCAGGCACAGTCCTATCCGAAATCCGCACGCATCGAATTGGACGTTCCGGCCGATCTCAGTTATGCCCAGTTGCAGGATTCTCATGGCCACTGGTACCCTTCGGAGATGCATCAGATGGAGCTGACGGCCACCATCAATGGTTGTGCCTATGAGACGGCCACGGGCATGGGACAGCACCAACGCGGCATAGCTATCGCCAGCCATGCCCACAATGGCTTATAAAAATGCCTTTACATGAATTTATGAATGTTGTTCTCACCCAACTCAAGCCAAATGTAATTTACTAACTAATCGTAATTGTATTAAATCGTGATTTAATTATACTTTTACTTACAACATAATTAATAAGGACCAAGGATTTATATTTTATTTTAATAGCAAATATATGTCTTTAATCAACACTAAATTTTGGCGCCACTCTGACTTTTTCTTTGCTGCAGCCCTGGTAAGCAGCTGATTGCACCAACAAAGAGCATTTTAACAACAAAGCTGATGAAATTGCTGTGTTGCTCACCACGAAACTTGTATACTCTTAACGAAGCAAGGGCAGTCATTTTCACAGATAATACATGCATAATCAATTAGAAACCGAAATGATTGAACGCGATAAACGATTTAGCGGACAAATCAGAGAAAAATACTGCAGTAAAAGAGACTAACAGTAAAAGAGGCCAACGGGACGTCAAAGTTTTAATATGGCGATTTAAAGAGTATTTCCATCGTGTATAATTACGAATAAAATGTAGCACAACAACAATTGCAAGTGGATTTACTCACAATTATTTAAAAACACAATAAATTAAATGTATTCGCTCACATATATACGGCGCGAAGCGGTTAAAGTTCACGTTCGAGAGCTGGGAGATTAGATTTTAAATTCGCTTTAGAAGTGCAGCAAATCGGTATTAACGTTTGTCCACTCCACCAGTTACTAGTCCGGTAGCACTTGACAAGCACTTAAAAGTTGTTTCTTTAGTTAGTCAGTACGCGCTCTCCGACGAGGAAGGAAGCCTTTGTTGTCATACGCGAGTCCAAACCCGGGAATCGAGAACCAGTTTTACGTGTCGTCGCCCAATACGAAACCTGCATCGAAATGCCATCTAAAGAAGTGAATCCCGATCTGCTAAAGGAGCGCCAGACAGCTACCTTTGATCCCCATGAGTTTTCGGTCTTCTGGGCTGGTGGCGAGGAGAAATACAAAGAGAAGAAAAGCCTGGGTAAGCCTCAGCTCTGCACTTATAAAACAGATACTCTCGTATGTACATGTTTGCATACGTGTGTAATTACTCGTTTGTTTGTATGGGTGTGGTACCCAGTGGCATTGGCTGGAGAAACTTTAATAAAACATTAACCGACCGGTTACGGTTAATAGCAGTACTCTGAGCTCTAGCCGAGCTTGGGTCAATCCAAATCGCGTTGCACAATCGCCAGCGCCAGAAAAATTGTGCCAGAAGCATGACGGAGCAGAATTAAGTTCATTGAATGTCTAAAACTGATAATATAAATCCGGACTTGTACACTTTCTTATCAGCAATGCAATTGAGTGGTTTTTGTTTTCTCCCTGCGCCAAACCTTTTATCAAAGTCTTTGTTTTGATTAGCTGCTTCTGCGCCATTTCATTCATTAGTTTGTTGCACGCTTTTTCCAAGTTCATTAACTATGTATGTATATATTCCAAATAACGAACAGACCACTAAAACAGAATAGTAACCTTTAGGCCAAATTATCTCCAGCCAGAGCAGCTTCAGCAGCTACATATGTATGTAGACTCTGCGGGTGTTAATCTTTGCACCAATTTTGCACTTTGGCAGCTACTACTTGATAAATCAGAATAGCCGTGTACTTTGGATGTTTATAGCGTAGGAACATGTTTGGAGCTGCTCTTATTTAATCTGTTTATAGGGCCACTTGAAATAACTCTATTGTGAACCGCTGATAGGCTTATCTGGCAGATTTGGCTTAGGCCGAACAACAGTTGGTAACATCAGTCGATTGCTACCACTGATAAAGAATGAAATCCATTGCAATGTTATCATTAAGACATTTATTGATTTCTAATCCTTAAATAGAAAAAATGTTTCTCGAGGATCCGGCTCTGAAGGATGACCTACCAATCTCCTACATGTCGCACAAGGAGCTGTACGAGCACAGCCTACGCAAAGCGTGCATCATAGGGGAGAAGATACGAAAACTTCGCGCAGAAGGCGAGGATGGCGTCGATACCTACAAGTAAATAATCCATTAATGATCCCAGTTCATTGGATTTACATAGTTCTCTTGGATATATGCTAGTGCCCTTCTCGGTGGCTCTCTGGGCGCCGCCATATTAAAGGAGGGCAATCCTTTAACCCTGCACTATGTGATGTTTGTGCCCACCGTCATGGGTCAAGGCACCATGGACCAGCAGGTGGAGTGGCTGAGCAAGGCATGGGACTGTGAGATTATTGGCACCTATGCACAAACAGAGCTGGGACATGGAACCTTCTTGCGGGGCCTGGAGACTCGCGCTGATTACGATGCCAGAACCCAGGAGTTTGTCATAAATACGCCCAGCCTTAGTGCCTACAAATGGTGGCCAGGAGGCTGTAAGTAGACGACAACCATGCGATAAACGATTTCAAAATTCACAACAATCTCATTCGCAGTGGGTCATACGGCAAACCATGCTATTGTGGTGGCTCAGCTGTATACCAAGGGCGAGTTCCGTGGGCTTGCGCCGTTCATCGTCCAGCTAAGGCACTCGGACACTCACGAGCCTCTGCCTGGCATCGACATAGGAGATATTGGTACCAAACTGGGCATGAAGTCCGTGAACAATGGCTACCTGGGTCTCAAGAATGTCCGCGTTCCTCTGAACAACATGCTAATGAAGAATCAACAGGTTCTGCCCGACGGCACCTATGTGGCGCCCAAGAACAGCGTTCTCACCTACGGAACTATGGTATTAAAGGTTTAAATCTGATTTGAAGGTCTTGCTTTTACGTTTATAAAACATTTCCAGATGTTTGTTCGATGCGCTCTGATTCGCGACACCGCCCAGAGTCTGGCCAAGGCATCTACCATTGCCACAAGGTACTCGGCGGTGCGCCGACAGAGTCCCATCGATCCGAATCAGCCGGAGCCACAGATCATGGACCATACCACACAGCAGCTAAAGCTGTTCCCCCAAATAGCCAAGTCGATTGTATTCAAGACCGCCGGCGATGGCATTTGGAATATGTACAACGTCTTGTCGGGAGAGATCGAGCAGGGTAACCTGGATCGCCTGCCCGAGATGCATGCCCTGTCCTGCTGCCTGAAAGCCATCTGCAGTGCTGATGCCGCCGCTGGGGTGGAGACCTGCCGTCTGTCCTGTGGCGGACATGGCTACATGGACTGCTCCAACTTCCCGACCATATACGGCATGACGACAGCTGTCTGCACGTACGAGGGTGAAAACACAGTAATGTTGCTTCAGACTGCCCGATACCTGGTCAAGGTATATGGCCAGGCCTTGAACAGGGAGAAGCTGGTGCCAACAGTGGCCTACATCAACGACGCGCTGAGGGAAAGGCAGTTTGTTAATTTCGATGGTTCCCTGGAGTCCATTGTCAAGGCGTTCCAGTTTGTGGCCGCCAAGTAAGTTGAACCCCTAGGTCTGTTGTGGAATCTATCCCTTATTATTTTCCTCCGTGCAGCAAAATCCGAATCGCCTATGAGCAAATTGAGCAACGTCGTAGACAGGGTCACAGCACCGAAATGGCAGCTAACCTGAGCGGAACCTTTTTGACTGCAGCGGCAGACGTAAGTCCAGATCTCAATTATAGTTGAACTATTATACATAGAAACAATTTGATGTATACAGCTCCATGGACGCGCCTTCCTGGCCGAGTCAGCCTATACGGAACTGCTGGCCGTGTCGCGCCAGGTCTCGCCAGCGCTGGCTGATGTCCTGAAGGTTGTGCTAGAGCTGTACCTGGTCGATGCCTGTCTCAATCGCATTGGCGACTTCTTGCGCGTAAGATATTTAGCAGTTTCGAGCTCTAAATGTTCTAAATAACTTTCAATTGACTGCAGTTTATCGACCTTACGGACAAAGATGTCACAACTTTGGAGATTCGCCTGCAGAACTGCTTGAAGCAATTGCGTCCAAATGCCGTTGCCTTGGTGGATAGCTTCGATTTGCACGATCGCGTTCTGGACTCTGTACTGGGGGCGTACGATGGCAACGTTTACGAGCGCATATTCGAATCGACCAAAAAGAATCCACTCAACAAGGAGCCTGTGAACGAAGCGTTCCACAAGTACCTGAAGCCCTTCATGAAGGCACACCTCTAAATATTATTAAAGGGGGGAATTCTCCCCGCTATTGTTACTCGTGTAAATATCACTACTATTGTTGTGCAGTTGAAACTAGGCTGTAAAGTTATACTCGTACGAATAAATAAACCATTTTTAGGTACATATTCTACAAAAGCAGCTTGTGTGTGTCGTATAGCTTAACTTAATCGTTTTATTAGAAGTTACTATACTGACAGAGTTGAAAGTGGATAGATAGATGGTGGATAGAGGGTGCCCCATTTATTTACTTCATTCAATTATGAACGGACAATGTCTGGTTCCATTTGAGTTTATGACGACGCACTTGACGGGTTCTTTGAGTTGCGCAGTGCATATAGACGCCTCAGCAAACGGTTGCCAGTAAGGAATGTGAATATTGCGATGGGTATCAGCAGGCGCAGGGTCTGGAACATGTTCAGTTGCAGCCAGAAGACAAAGAACAGAAGCAGAATGCCGCCAAAGCCCACGTGAAAGCCGATTGTGCTCGGTGCCAGAGTAAAGTTGGAGACATTAACGCCCAACTTGCCCCAGAAGATGAACAGCAGCACCAAAGGGGTAATGCAGAGTCCAGTGAATATGTCCGACACAATACGTGGCGGCCGCTTGTCAGGCACACGGAATTGATGAACTATCTCTGGCCGGGGTCCCGAAGGGATTTTCGACTTGACTTCTGCAAAAGGAATAGGGACATTTTGTTAGATTACACCCTCACTATTTAAGGCAAGTGCACACATACCTCTATCCTCGTTGAATTTCAGTTGGATCTCAGCCACCAGCCACTCGAAGGAGTTGGAAAGCGAAGCATCGCCCACAGTCAGATATATGCTGTATGTGCCACTCTGGTAGTTGAAGTTTTTGCCATTGCTGCCAATGTCCATGTCGAATTTGTAGGCCTTGCTGCTATCCTGCTCCGCCACAAAGATAATCTCCTTGTCCGTTTGCTTGTTGTAGAGACGCACAAAGGCTTGGTGGACGGCGAGTGGCTTGTTGTTAGACTCCTCCACCAACACGGCCCTCAGCAGCAGCTTCTGGGTAGTATCCGCCGTCAGGGTCTCCTTCAGCTTGCTGGGATACGTCACGCTTTGCTTGCGCGTAGCAGCACTGGCATCCGATTCGGCAATGCCAACATCGAGAGACTGGACCTTGACGCGTCCGAGTACTTTGAATTGTACTGTCTGCGTGTACACGCCATCCGCACTCAGTTCGGCCTGATAGATGCCACGGACTGGCTTCAAGCTCGCCAAATCGGCCACATAGGTGGTCTTGTCTGAGGACTTGGAAGTTACTGAGATTTTCTCAGCCAGCACAGAGTTATCCTTCTTGTGGAACACCTTGGCAGTGATGATCTTCGGGGCAGGGGACAGTGGCTTGCCAAGTAAATCGACAACAGCAATATTCAGCGTGGGTGACTGGGCGTCCAACTGGCCGTTTCCGATCAGCTGCACACAGATGGGAGCAATCTTTTCGTCAGCACCAATGGACTTCAATGCCTCAATCAATACGTGGGCTCCCTTAGCGGACTGCACCGAGCGGCGACTCAGGAAATAGTTGGCAAACTTAACAGCCTGGGCGGCACTGACTGGTGCTGGCTTGTTGTAGGCCTTGGCAACGCCAAAGGCTCCGTTAATGATCAAAGACGTGATGCTCAATCCTCCCTCGAACTGAAGAAGTTTTCCGTCCACCTCATCAGCCTGGACGATAGCGTCTTCAACGCGATTCGCAATGAAGGCGGCACCGCTGCCCAGCTGAACAGCCACATTGAAGCCGTAGCCCAGACCAGTGAGTGTATCGTCCTTCTTAAGCAGCTCCTGGAGGCGCTTTACAATCTTGGCCTGAGTCGCCTCACTGACCTGCACTCCGAGGGCCTTGTGTGTGACTAAGCGATAGTAAATTTCTTGAGTGCTGGCCAGCTCGGAGTCCAATGAGCTGTAGACCTTCGAGAGCAGGGCTTCGTTTAGTTTCGCAGAGCAGCCGAGGTTCTTGCTAGCACCAATGAAATAGTAGTCCTTTTCGAAGCTCTGGAACCGAGGACAAAGGAGGTGATGATTTGGGGTTCAGTGAATATATGTGAAGTACTCACGTTCAGTTTGGATTCCTCATGCAGGGCCGCTATCTTCTTGCACAGCGGTTCCTTCTGGGTGGCATCGGTCAACTGAATGTTGAGGCTGGAGAAAAATATGGCTTGCAGATCACTGGAACCGAATCCATCCACAAAGACTTTTTGCAGGCGGGTGAGATCCTTTGGACCCAGATGGCTGTCCACGGTGCGTGTACTCCACGTTGGCGCACAGGCGCATAGTACGCAGAAGAGCGTCAGTCCTGCAACAGAACATGGCCATAAGAATTAAAATTACGAGGGGCAGCAAGAACAGAAAATGACATCGCCGGCAATCGCCTGCCTAACCACGAAAATCAGACAGAGACAGAACGACGACGTCGAAGCCGGCGTTTGCTATGCAAGTGGCTGAAACTCTCTGGCTCCGGGCGCAGATGCAGCGATCTCTACGCACCTAGTTTCAACATTTTCCTATATTGTGTTTTCGTTCAACAACTTTGCTTATATTCTATAAGGAAAACAAATTAAAATCGCTCAAAATAGCCAGCACCGCCTGTCTCCAGCTTCGATATTCACAGACACGTCAGCGGCAGAGCTGCAAAACCCTCGATGGTAGTATCGATACATGTAACTAAATATTGTCAAGTATCGATAGGAGTGCATTATTCTGGGGATTACTTGAATATAATTCCATTCCTTTTGAATTTTCACAATCTGATTTATATAAAAAAGGACTTTCCTTTCAATACCACAGAACTCCTTGTCATTAAATATCCTTTTACTGACATGTTTGTGGATGCCAGTGTGACCAAAGAAAAAGAACTATCGATAGTCAGAATATATGTAAGTTTATTTAAAACAATTTAATTTAACGACAAAACAAAGTGTTCTGCTCTTGAAAAACGGGATAATTCATCATTATCGTTTGTAAAGTGAGTAATAGTATCCAAGAATATCAGTTTGATGTGGTGTACAAAAGACATGATTATAATTATGAGATCGGCCTATGGTGCAAACTTTTCGGTGCACTCCTGAATGGGCCTTGTGATCAAATACTTCTTCTTGAATGTCTTTGTGGCATCGCCATCATGGTTCCATAGAGTTATGGCCGTCGTACAGTAAACCGGATACTTGCTGACCAGAGTCTCCTTTCTTTCTTCATTCTCCGGTGGTATATCCTTGCAGTATACATCGAAATACTCGGTGGTATTGACACCCAAGTCCGCAGTGGCCGACGCCTGACGATTGTACTCGTCAAAAAGTTCTTGCCACAGGAACTGCTCCATGCGGCTGGCCCGGGTGGCTGCAACCCAGGCGATATGCGGAATTAATCAAATCCCTGTAACATCCTTAGATCTTTAGATACTTACGCAGAACCTTGTTTATTTTGGGGGGTCCGTAACTGATCTGGGACTCGGTGAACTCAATGGGGCACGGCCCGCGAGAATTTGGAGGCTTCCTACCAGGTTCGGCCATTCTAATGGCTGCGCTGCTGTGTAATCGTAACTTTTTGTATTAAAACTAACGAGAATAATTTATTATGATGCTAGCAACAATGTGACAATGAAAATACTTATGGACTAGCCTACTTGTTCGACCAAACAACACCCGGCACCGGGCACCGGGCAACGACAGGTACTAGCGCCTAGGCAACTGATGGCTCCGTTTCCGAGGCTGGTGGCGCATCGTCTTCCACGATGAGGGAGACATCTCTCGGTCTGAGTATACAGTAGTAGACTATGAGCGTGGCCACGAACAGAATCCCGCTGTAGACTATCCACTCGGCGATGAAACCGAACCACCAGGACTCAAACTCCTCGTTGCCATACCAAATGGCTGTCGTTGTGATGTTCTCGACCAGCGTCAGCACCAAAAAGCCGCCATACCAGAGCCGGATGCTCTTGAAGCACACGCGAAACTCCAGCAGTACAAAGATATAGACGTATGCCAGCAGAAGATAGAACAGCGTGCGGTTCCAGCTGCCACGACAGCGTGTCTCAAGTGCCAGGCAAGCCAGCATCAGGGCATAGTGCACGCCCAAAACAATGAAAAAGGCTCGGGGATAGAAGACGCAGAACGTGGACAGAGCGAGCATCCGCATCGTGATGAAGGCAATCCAGCCGAAGAAGGCAACAGTGCGGCCTGCAAAGTCATCCTGCTGAATGCCGTTCACTATTTTCGTGGGCCGCGGGAAGTAGAAGTCGACGACATCCTTGGGCGTCAGCGGGGTGTCCTTTGGTGTCTGTGGTCCTGGTGATCGTGCCACCAGCGGACTACGCTCCTCATTCGGCTCCTCGTTAACCCGTCCAATGAGAAGCTTTGGCGGACGTGGTACATGCTCCTTGATGTACAGCTGCGCATTGATCAGCAGCATGTCCTTGAACGTTTCCAGCTGCGAGAGTGGTCTGGTGACGCGACGACTCCGCCGATGCTCGTTGTCCGACACGGTACGTCGCAGATCAGGAGCTGGAGGACCATCATCGGAAGACTTTAGCACGGGCAGCTCTGGCGGTGCTGTGGCCGGCGGCGGAGGTGGTGGCGGAGTTTCGGGCACTGTGTCCAGCACTTCAATGGTGTCCAGATCTCCGAGATGCTTCTGCCACAGCCGCAGCTGGGGCCTCGTCACCTGCATCTTGTCATCGTCGGTGGCGTTGTCTTTGGGTCCAGTGTGCAGCAAGGCCTTCGTCTCGAGCTGTTCCAAAGCGTCGTTGTCGACCTCATCGTGTCCCCGCACATGCACCACGTGCGTGGCCACACCTGGAGCCGCAGCCGGATCCGTCTGCTGGCGTGCATGAAAGTTGGCCATGATTCGCTCCGACTCCGGAAAGCTGGCGATTGTGCGCTCTGACTCACGTTTCTTGCGCTCGGCATCGCAGCACAGGCGCTCGTTCTGCTCCAGCTGGCAACGATGCGACTCCACCTGCTGGGGCGTGGCCCAGGGATAATGGCGGCCCACGCGCCGCTGGCTCTCAATCCGATGATAGCTGGTCGTTATGGCAGCCAAATCGATGGCCGAAAATACCAGGGATAATGCCTGTACGGCAGCTGCAATTAAAAGGGATTTACATGGATCGAATGTGGAGCAAGCATCCATACTTACAGGTCTCATAGTTGCGGAACAAATCCTGTTCAAGCATAAAGTATAGCTGTAGGATTATTTGAGGCGCTGCCTGGGCGTAGGCTTGGATCAGCAGATACAACTCCACGCTGGAGGTCTGCGTCGCCTTGGCCAAGCACTTCATGCGCTCCACATCGTCGTCGTCGTGGAAGAGTGCCTCGACGGCCCAAAATAAGCGCATTGTGAACCTTATCGGAAACAGTCAGCGTCAGCGTCAGCATGGCCTTGACCTACATATATACGGATAACCACCTACCTGTACACCACAAACAAGGGGAACAGCATTAGCCGCAGCAAACCAAGGCCAAGGGCAGCGCACTTGCTCTGGTCGGAGGAGATGGCGCTGCTGCGCTGCACCCGGGACGTGATCACCAGCAGGAATGTTAGGGCGGGCGGTATGAGCACCAGCACCAATGTGCCAGCCCCAAAGCCCGCCGCATGCTGTCTGAAATGCTGGTAGCTCAGGGCCAAGTCCGATGCAGTCTGAGCAATGTAAACCAGCAGGGCCAGACAGGTGGGCACTATATAGGAGACGTAGATGCGTGTGCGGCTCCGGATGGTGTAGCCGAGTATGTGTGGCGGTGGACTGGCTGCATGTCCCACCTCCATGGCAGAAATGTTGATGTCACCTACAGTGTGTGTGTGTGTGGAGTCCCCTTAGATTTAGGCGGAAGTTTCGCGTTCCTTACATCTGTAGCTGGCGAAATGCGTGCTGACACTGAGCGGGGGGCTATGAGTAACCGCCTCTCCCATCGCACTGCTTATCAGTGGGCTGGGTAGGGCTGTGGACCAAGATAAGATAATTTCAAACATTTGTGTGGTGAGAACTTGGCAGTTTGTTTACGTTCTCAGCCGGAATAGCTAGAGGGATTTCACATTCCAAATCAGACTAAAAGCAGACCACTTGATGCGTTCATTTAATTGCATTTATTTCTTTTCAATTTGAGGGATTATAAATAGAATACTCGTGTTTAGGTATGTTGTAGATTGCTGGACCGGACCTAGGAATCGTACCAGGTCTTCTTCATCCAGTTGGAAGGCTTGCACGGCTCGTCGAGCACCACAAAGGATCCCTGCTGATCCCTCTGGCTGCCATTGTGGTGTTTGGCCCGCCGACAGGCCGGGGCGGCGTACTTGGGATTGCCTTCGATGATCGATGATTTTTCGCGGCAATTGACCGCATTTTGCATCACGGATGATCGCCTGCCGTATCGGGCTGGTTTCTTCGAATCGTTGCCACCCACATCCTGAAAGTTGGAGGCTACAGCCGGAGGCTCCTTCACCAGACGTTGGCGCGAGGTCCTTCGCTTGTGTGAGACCTGCTGCGGCTGCGGTTGCCGCACTTCCAGCGAGGATTCCGAACTCTTGCGCAGGTTGCCAACGACATCGTATTCCCTAGGCCGCTCACGCAGCTGATAATTATACTGGGCCCGACGATACTCTGGTGTGGCGACCATCTCCGATGGCGGCACTGTGGTGCAGGTGGCCGTCTCGCCATCTGCCTGATATTGCTTGTCGGGGGAGGAGCCGATGCTGACGTTGGGATGGGCATTGTGGGCGCCAGAGTGTGGCAGCCGGAAGGAGGAGGCCGGCTTGTGTACAACCGGACGGGAGCGTGGAAAATCCAGGTAATTGTTGCGATACTCCGGATTAAATTCGATTTTGCCCCTCAGCCGTAGAAACGGTTCGCGGGCCTTGCCCCGCTCGGGCATTTCGGTGATTTGCGGGTCGCGGAAGCTCTCGTGGTACTCGGGAATCTCTCGGGTGAACTCGCCCCGAGGTCGCAGGTGATCGTCCGTCTTGAGTGATTTCTCTTTGGCCATGTGCTTGGGTGGGTCGATGAATTTGTCGCGATACTCTGCCACATCGGGAGCATGGCTCTGCCCGTACCCGTGCCCGTAGTCGTGGCCGGGCTGTCCTGGCCTGGGATCGCTTCCTCGCTCCGAGCCGGAAACGCGCAGGTTGTCATCCTTCTTGATGGGCGCACTCTTCGAGTAGTTGGCGTACATCTTGAAGCTGTCCTTGTACTCCGGCACGGCCACAAAGTCCCCTTGGATCTTGATGTTGCTCATCTGCGGTATGGAATGGGCCTTTTCCGGAAACTGCTGCACAAATTGTCGCTTGTACTCTGACGGCTCTGGCTGCTGGTCCACGGCCTGAGCCCGCATCTGCAGGTGACATCTCTGCTGCTCCTGGGCGGCCACGTCGCGCTTGAACTTGTCAGCGGCCAAGCTGTTGTACACGTGACCCCTGCTGGACGCTGCCTCGCCCTTATCGAGGAACACTTCACGCGGCAGTATCTTTGTGCCGGCATCCAGCATGGGCGCCATCAGGTAGGAGGAGTTCTTCATGCTGCTCTCGCCATCGGCGTCTCCGCCCAGCTGCAGGTTCTCCGGATTGCGAACGGGATAGCAACGGGAGCTGAAATATACCAATTAGTCTGGGGCCAACTTAATCTGTGCCACTCGCAATAGCGCTTACAATTTCAGATCTTCGGGGGTGTACCAGTGATATTTGTCCTGGTGCTCCGTCAGCATCAGCATTAATCCCTCCAGATGCAGCGATGTCGCGCGCCTCAGCAATGTCCTGGTCCTGGGTTGGCCGCCAATGCCGTGGCGGTGGTATTGCCGTGTGTACTCAGACTTAAGGGAGCCAAAGGGCACTACGGGCTCATCGCTATTGTAGAGACAGACGTTGCTCTGGGTGTGCAACTGAATGGGCTGGCGACGGCGGAAGTACTTTAGATCGTCTACGGCTATGTATTCGTGCGGATGCTTGATGGTGAACCGGCTGAGATCGCCCTGCTTCTGTCTGGCTGTAAGATCGGGCTCGGAGAAGGATCGGTTCCAGCCAAAATCGGCATCAAAGCTGCAAGTGGATAGAGAAAAAACTGGTCAGCAAGTCGGAATATGTCTGCGTACATCCGAATCGTCTTGTCTTTGGCTGAGAACTGAATGGAAAAAGTTCCTGCCATTCTTCATTGGCGTTGGCACCACAACCAAATAACAGACGGGGGCGAGTCCTTTAATAACGGGGGCACCTAATGCCTTCCCTCAGCTCTCAGCTCAGAGTCTAGCCAGTGAAGGCATTTCCATTTCCCATCACCCACAGCACCCATCAGCCATGCCATCAGCCATCCATGGCGTGCCATGGCTATGTTGCTAGGCACACAAAAACACACTCGTACGAAAGGCAAACTAAACTGAATACGGAAAATGCATGAGAAATTGCTGCAAATTGGAAAATTGTCTATTTGATTTGTCTGGAGCAGTCGGGTGCCAAAGATCCCCCTACCCTACCCGCAGCAGCAGCAACCGCACCCATGCCACCTTCTAATCGATGTCAATCAATAGCAGGTCTGTTGTTGTTATCCCTGACAACGCCCCCACACACACACTCTCGCACGATAATCCCAATCCGGAAATGGGTGTTTGTCGAGCCATTGTCAAGGACTCGGGGCATTAAAAATGCACGACAGGATGTCCCCCCATCGAATGGTGAACCCGCACAACATACGACCGAGGCGCCGGCTTGAGACTGGCGGCAAATGTAACCACAAGCACCTGTTGCCTTTGCAGTTCTTAATGCATATTCTTGGAATCTGAAAGCGTCGGCCTGGGTCGCTGTTCTTCTTTGAGGCTCTCGAGCGTGTGGAAATATGGCAGGCCAGGCTAATGGCTGTAATTGATGGCTGCCAAAAATATTTCATATTCTGTGCCTCCAATTCTGTTGCATGCTTGGCACTCGGAATGGTGAGGGAGTGCCTGCCGCCTGCCTGGGAGTGTGCGTGCCTGACTAGCAGGCCCAAACAGAAACGGAAACAGACAGAAGCATTAAAGGGCTGGGGAGGCGAGCAAATCATGTCGGCCTGGGTCTGACCCAATTCAGGCCGACGCTGGGCCCAAAGGCAGCGACTACTTAATGGAAAGGAGCGCCAGTCCTGCTTGAGGTTGCCGACTAATCTTGACAATGCCAAATGACCTTTGGCTATTTTTAATCGCACTGCCAGTGGCGGCAGCCCATTTAAATATGCTAATCAGAGTTGGCTAACTTTATGCCCCATCCCACGGTGGGGCAGGGGTTCGGTCCGACACACACATAATTACAGTTGCAGATTTATGACGTTTTAATTGCTGTTACAAATGCCAGTCACGCCACGGGGCGTATACGTAATGCAATAAACAAGAATGCAATGCACCATTATGCTAACCATCAACAAGACAGGGGCGCCAAGGTCAGTTCCCAGTCTCAGTCCAAGTCCATGCAAGCCGGACAGCGATATATCCTTTTAATATATCCCATAGCCCAGCCCACACCTGACCACGCTTCTGACTGTGCCCCAAGCACCAGCAGTAGCAGTAGCAGGGAGCTCTATACCCGGCATCTCCTTACCCGTCATTGCTTTTCCAGTCATAAGCTATCGCCATGGTTGGGGTCGGGGCTTCGGGGTATTGGACTCTACGGACTGCACTTTAATTGAACACATTAGTTGGGTTTGCACTTTAATGGAACAGTTTCAGGCACACTGCGGGGTCTGTCTGCACACCACGGACTCGACCAGTGGCAGACCACGGCCACGGCTGCTGCTGCTGCAGCCCTATCCATGCCGAACCCGAACCGAACCGCAAATGGCGCCATTCAAGCGCAGCTCGCCGAACCACAACTTGACCGCTCAGATCGTAAATCCCAACTGAAATGTGAAAATGTGCGCCAGCCACACCGACCAAGAAGTTAGCCCGTTTTTCGCACGCCAACTTCCAAAAGGGCTCCCTGCCCGGAGATGGGTGTGAATGGCATGGGCATGGCCCCTACTCCGTCTCCCCGCAGAACACCCAAGTCAGGCGCTTCTGCCACGGCGACTGACTTAAGGTGTCACTTTTGTTTTTCGCCTGGCACGCGGAATGCGACGAGCGTTGAATGGCACTGGGGGTTGGTGTGGGACTGGAGTGGGTCTCGACTAGTGCGAATAAAAGAACGGATTTCATGTTGAGCTATTTATACCTAACAAAAGCAAAGTATCTACAATCGCATAGCCTACAGACGACCTACTACAGTCCCCTGGCTAGGCAACCCATAAACATTATCTGGAAATATCAAATGAATAATTGCTTTTGAAATCCCAATCGAATCGAAAATCAATTTGAGTAGCGGGTATCTTGTAGTCTGAATACGCCACAGCAACACTTTCGGCATGTTGCATGTTGGGGGGCTTGACTCCAAGGGCCATTACATGCCATCGAGCAGTTTGTGGCTGTCTCCGCCCCGGAATTCGGTGGTACTCCCTCTAGCACTCTGCAGCTCTTCCAGCTGCCAGCTGCAGTTGACTTGAATATGAATTTTAGTTTTGATTTCGATTTCAATTCCTCGCTGCACCTGTCAGACGCGAGTGAGTCTCTTAACCCAGTTTTGGGCCATGTCAGAGCAGCTGTGACGCCTCGATAATGAAATCGTGTTTATGCCCTAAAGAGGCGCACATTTGCCTGATTTACTCGCGTCTTAACGATTTCATTTCGCGACGTGGTTTCCATCATGATAATAATTTCCTTTCCTTTTTGGCCAGGCACGCAACTTGGGCGCCAGCTACACCCACGTAACGTACATGGCTTTCAATTGTCATGAGCGGCTATGGCTTCCGGGGGCGCAGCACCGCCCGACGCGGATGCAGGTCAAGGCCGAATCAATTCAATTGCGGAATCGGAAAGGCAGCCGCCCCCAGAGTGCGCAATGAAGATTGGCTGTGGATTGTGGAGCTTTATTTTTCGTCTACATCTATGTTAATGTCATCTATCTATGTGTGTGTGTGTGTGCGTGTGTGTAGGGGTGTGAAGTCAGACCTTGGATAGGCCCTCCCAGCGATCGGGCACTGTGAGGAAGTAGCGATCCATGGCATCGATGAAGCGCTGCTTATAGCGCTCTGGCGATACCACCGTGGGATCTTTGCCCTTGCCGCCCAGCAGACCCGACTGCTTGATGATCGACTCTACTCGCTTGTCCAGTGTGAAGGTTCGAATGTAGTCTGGAAAGGAATAAATGTGAGCATACCATATAGCGGCCGTCGATTGCCCTTGAAGGCTCACCTATGATGCCGAGGACCAGCAGGCTGTTCTTCTTCTCCAGGCCCACCAGCAGCGAGTAGTCCATGACGCCATTTCTCTCCAGGAACGAGGAGTCCCGCTGAATGGCATCCCTTAGGACGGTTTTACTGTGCGACAACACGTACAAAGGCTTCGACCAGGACACTGCAAAGGGAAATCAGATGATGATCGGATCATATTTAGAGGGGCTGCCATGAGCGGCTACTCACTCTGGACCAGATTCTCGTCCAGCAGCACAATCTCGCCTTGTTGATTGGTCGGGTCCACCAGTCGATTTCGCTCAGAGCCTTTAAGATCAAATTTGTTGGAGATTTCACAGCCGTAGAACAGATTCTCCATGACCATCACAGAGCGTTCCACAAAGGAGCTGGCAAGAGAGGGGATTCCGAGTTCGGGATTAGTCGCTGGACATATTGAGTTGCAAGTTTGTGGAAAGTCTTACTCCTTCTTCTTTACGCTGACTTTGAACACGCCAAAGATCTTGGCCAGCAGCGTGGGCAGCTGCAGCTGCTGGCACTTGTCAATGTACTCAAAGTACTTCGGGGCAAAGGGCTCGAAGATGGTCATGTCCTTCGAGTTCATCTCCTTGAGCACGAAGCGATCATCTGCAGGAATCCAAATATAATGAAGAATATCATTTTGATTGCGGAATGGCGTAGAGAAACCTACCCAGCGTCTTGGAGAAACGCGATCCGGACTTGCCGCCGCGTGCCTCCCACTGCACACTGTTGCACAGACTGCGAGCCAGGGCGATGCGCGCCTCCTCCTCCATGGCCGTCGCATGCTCTTCCGAGGTTCGAGACAGAGGCTGGCCAACGCCGACGTCGCTGGGTTTGCGCACCAGTTCCATTTCGGAGCCCGTTCGACTTTGTGAGATTCTCAGCTCCTCGCGCATCTTGCTCTTCTCCAGCTTGCGGTACAGCGATCTGTCCAGCTTCGGCGGCTGCAGGCTCTTGGCTCGCATGCCATCGAACTCGCGAGCAAAGTAGATCTTGCAGTGGAACTGGCACCCGTTGTCGTTGAATGCCAGCGACACGTGTGGACTCGGTGACTGTGGCTGCGCCTTACTCCTCTCCTTTACCTTCTCCTCGGATTCACTGGTGGTGGCGGCAGCGGGAACCGCTCCTCCTGGTGCGGCACTGGTGTTGCTGGAGGTGCGCGACAGATTGGGGCTGCTTTCTTCGGCATCACTCAGGCCCTCTGGCAGCGGCACCTTCCTCTTAAGCTGCGGACTGGAGTGGCCAGCGGCTGGGGTCTCGCCGCCGCCGCTACTGAAGGCTTCGTCCAGGGCTCGCTGGTAGTCGGCCGAGGTCAGGCTGTAGGCGATCACAGAGCTGAGATCGCTCTCGCGCACGTGAATGGGAATAGAGCCCAGGGGGAGGGTGAGATGGTCTTGAGCGGGGAACGGCGACTGCAGGGGGTTGGCCTGATTGCTCGAGGGCAGCAGCTGTGTGAGGATGCTCCTGATGGACTTTTTGTCCGAGTGCACGCTCGCCGTAGAGGCCAGCAGCTGATCGATGGAGAACTTCTTGTCGACCACGGGTTGACTGCCGTTGGCCGACTCCGTGTCCTCCGACGGACACTCCAACGGGGGGTTGTTACTGCTGCTGCTGCTTCCGTCGTCCCCTGCAGTGTGTGGGACTTGCTCCGGCCGCAGCTCCTCGGTGCATATGGTGCCCGCATCGATGTGATGGAGGACGGCCTGCTTGGCGGACAGTTTCTGGGCCACCAGATCGATCTCCAGCAGCCGTGGTCCCCACAGCTCAATGGTCTCGGCCAGGGCGCGCCGTGCCATGGACAGGGCATCGTTGATGTCGTACGCATTGGCCCGGCGCTCCGTCAGCAGCGTGTGGACAATCTCGATCTTCTGCTTGAAAATAAACTGGTCGTGGGCGAGCGTCGTTTTCAGGTTCTGCACAAGCGGAGGGTTCTCGTCCTCGGTGGCCAGATCGGCGATGCGTTCGTGGATCCGCGTGTACACCTCGTGGCCGCGCACCGAAAAGGTCTTGATCTCCTCCTGCACCTGGCTGCCCAGGAAGGGCCTCGGCTGGTCCAGCTGCAGGGTCAGCGGCGGCAGGTCCGTCTCCCACACCTCGACGGGCGTGTACTGGAACTTGGCGCCCACTCCACGGAAGCTAAAGTGGTGCACGTAGTCGCGGTGGAGCGAGTGCTCGCAGGGATTGCTCTGGTCGGCATCTGTAGGCGGCCGACGCTTGTAGGCGTGCCCATGGAAGCGCATTTCCAGGTACTTGGCCAGGGAGAGGCACTTGGCCGAGTCCGAGAGTGGAACGGTGGGCGTAGTGGCGTTGCAGATGCTGCACCACGAGGTGAAGTAGATGCGCTTGGGGTCGGAGCGCGTCAGGTCCTCGGTGAGGTAGACGTGGACACAGCCCAGCGAGTGCACGTAGCGGCGCACATGGCCCAGCATGGGCAGGTTGCAGGAGGGGCACATCGAGTTGAACAGACAGCAGTAGCGCTGCAGGAACTGCTCCAGCATAATGTCGTACTGCCCGTAGAACTTCATGTCCAGCAGCATGGGCAGCTTGCAGAAGGAGGACACGCCCTTGGGGTTGTAGTGGAAGCTGCAGAAGAGCACGGACAACCGCTGATGGTTCTGCGGATCCAGTGCGTCCCTGTACAGCTGCTCCTCGCTCACCTTCTGCGGCCTCTGGATGAGCTCGGCCATCCTCTTCTTGGGCCTCAGCACTGTCGGCAAAAAAGCAACGAATTACGAATGATTTTGTTTATATATATATTGGACTTACTTGGGGCCTTGCCCTTGGGGAAGCGACCACCAAAGGATCGAAACTCTGCGAGTTTTGTCTGGATGTCGCGGTTGGTGGCGGGCGCCGTCAGTTTCATCTGCACAAACTCGTGGGCCGGCAGCAGCTGCAGCTGCTGTTCGTTTTCCTTGTTTCCCAGCTCCGATTTGACAGCGGCTTCAGTGTCGCCACAGCTCTCTGAACGCTCCTGCAGCGAGGGTCCTGCATTCGACCACTGCTTCGAGAAGTAGAGTTCGGGGGGAAAGAGTTTTCGCAGCCTACAGTTGCGCCCCGGCTCCGTCTCCAGGTAGGGTAGCGGAAAGGTGAGAAAGGGGCTAACCGAGAGCAGCGTGGAGCTGAGTGCAGTGCGGAATCGATTATCGTAGCGGGTCTCTACGGCCAGGGCCTCCACTACGGGCAGCACATCGCTGGGCGATGTGGACAAAGCGTCGGCCTCCGTCGATCGCAACGGATCTGTGAAATCAGACACATTCTCACTGACAATGGACGTGACTTTATCCTCCGACTTGCGCTCCGCAATGGTCTGGGGGGGGTAGGGGCAGCCGCTTGGACGATCCGGAACGGAGTTCTGCCTCCGCCTCAGTTTCGGTATTGGGACTCGCCTCCTTCGAATCGAATATCGAGGCCTTGGGGCTGAGCGGCTGCGCAAATTCGGTGAGCAGAAAGGACATCTCCAGGCGCCAGTTGTAGCGGGCAAAAAGCAGGGCCGATGCCACACGCTTGACGCGGGTGAGCTCCGAGTTGCTGCCACCACGCAGCAGACAGGTGTAGCCCCGGGGACTGGTGAGCTTCTCGAAAAACATGAGCGTCTTGCCGTTGTAGCTGCGGATGTAGAAGTCGTTGCAGTAGCCCAGCTTCGGCAAGGTGATGTTCGACTCGATGGAGCTGACGATGTCGCACTGGAGGGTGCGCGACAAACGCTCCATGACCGACAGTTTGACGTCCAGCACAAGAGTCACACCATAGGAGCGCAGCAGGTCCTGGGCAATGCCGGCCACGTTCTTGTGGACGAGCACCACGTTGGGGGAGAAGCTCATGATGCGGGCACAGACGTTGCGCAAATACTCCTTCTCCTGCAGAAGCACCGTCTCTATGGTGACGAACTTGCCCTCGATGCGCTCGTAGACGATGGGGCACTGCAGCAGCAGGATGCGCGGGAAGGGCACATGCGTGGCCATATCCTTGTGCGCCACATTCTTGGAGAAGGCCACGCCGTGCACAATGGTCGAGTCCTTGCGCCGGCCGCCAGGCACCTTCTTGAAGTTCACATAGTTGCGAATGTCCATCAGATCGTTGGTGCAGTACTCCGGCTTGAAGTGGTTGGCCGCCGTTGAGCAGAGCATCTGCAGCACCTTGTCCCACTCCTGGTCCAGGTGATGGGCACGCAGCAGCTGTGCCAACAGCTGCTCCTCGTGATCGCAGTAGGACTCGAGAAGCTTCGATGTGGCCGCTGTGAAGCACAGATCGTTCTCCAGCTCGATATCCTCGGCCGAGTGGAAGCTCAAGGAGACGTCCATCGACTTGGGTGGCTGCGGTTCCCCGTTGGGCGCCTCAAACTGGGGACTTATGGCCCGCGAATGGTCCGAGCTGCTGTTCTTAGCGAATTTGTAGTGCAGCGTCGCCTCGAACTCGGTCTGGTCGGGATCGGGAACGATCGGCTCGAGAAATCCGGCTGCCAGCATGGCATTCAGTATGGCCACCGCCTGCACCTCGTTGGCTGACTTGTTGTTGCTGTTGAGGAACTCGATCAGCACCTGGCCGCAGTTCTGGGCGGGCAGATCCCGCTGCATCTCCTCGTGCAATGTGATGAGAGAGTTCGACTGCTGCAGGATGTTCTTGCGGTCGTCAAACGAGAGCGTCGTGTGGTTGTGATGCGAGCTGAAGCGCTCCTCCTGGTAGCCCAGCGAGGTCTTCCGCGAAAGTGGCGCCTTCTGCTGCTGCGGCGTCGCATTGGTCGCGCTGCTGCCTTGAACCTCCAACTTGTTGCTGAGATGCTGCTGCAGCGCCTGCAGATCTTGCCCCATGTCCGAGCTGGAGGACTTTAGAAAGGTGAGCACTATCTTGGAGCAATAGTTGCACACCTTCAGGTCCCCGTCGCAGCGGATTATCATGCCTGGCACCACCTGGTTGCAGCACTTGGAGCAGAATATCTGGCCGCACAGGCGGCAGTGGTGCTTGCGTCGAAAGGTCGAAAACTTCTGGGCGCAGTCGTAGCACTCTTTGGCCTTCGAATCGGGCATCCAGAACCTCTGCAGCTCCGTGTCCTTGTAGTTGCGCAGATCCTGCAACAAATAAATATTAAATTATAATTGCAGCAGCGCTCGAATGCAGTCGTGCCCAGTCTCACTCACGTTATTGTTTTTTGTGGCCACAATGTTGCTGATGTGCTTTAGCACATTGGACACAGTGCGACCCTGATTCGCTTCGCTGCTCAGCGGCTGCACATCGACACGCTCATTGGCCTCGGACTCTTCGGCTGTGGTGCTCGAATTGCCAGTGCTTCGCGACTCGCTGTTTGGCCGCAAACTCAGCGTTGTCGGCGGCTGTGGCCGTCGCGAGCTAAGGCTGGACGACGAGCTGTCCTCCTCGACGATGTGTGTCTTGCTTTCGCTGTAGAACTGGGACTTTCCCACCTGTACGGCCTGAGGGCCAGGGCTGGGGCTGGTGCTGCTGCCACTGGATATGTCGTTGACGGTGTTGTAGCTCTGGTTGTAGGCATTCTGGATCTTGTTCACCACACGGCCGAACAGCGATTCTGGTTTGTCTTCAAAATTTCTCGCGAATTCCGTGAGTTTGGTAGGCGAATGCAGGTGCTGATGGTGGATGCTCGTGCTGGTGCTGCTGCTATTGTTGCTTGTGCTGTTGTTGTTGTTATTCATGCTGGTGGTGGGTGGGGTGTTTGTGTTGAATATAAAACTTGGGGGGCTAGAAAGGTGGGCGAGGAGGTGCTCGCCCGCGGACTGTTCGTCCTTTGTTAGATAGATGTAATATTAAGTTGATCGATCAGTGCCGCATCAGGTGCCAGCGAACCCAGCGCCAAATCAGTCCACTTTTGTTCCTGGAAGATACCAAACAGGGTGTCGTAAAGTGTTTGTCGAACCCAAAACCCAAAATTAACGTCGTTGCTCACCTGCTCGCTCAGAGTCAAATGTGAATCACCACCATCGGCCTCCGGATCGGGGAGCTTTTCGAGTGGCACTAGTATCTGATCGAATGGCAGAACTTCCATGCGCCAGGCATTGTCTACAATGTCCAACAGCAGATCATCGATCGGTGCCTGCAAATGGCCAAAAAGAGTCTTTACTGAAACGCCCTCTCAATGGGAATTAGGAAAACACACATCCTCCCATGCTATCCGATAGTATTTCCATGCAAATTACGTCACTTTGTTTTGCTATACCTAATTATCGCAATACTATAGCCCGATCGAGACACACGTATTGTTCGCGTATATAGATTTTTATCACAATGGCTTTTCCTGATAACCGAAGGTAGCGACTAATTAGTGCGAGGCGAGAATTTGGTTTGAGACACAACTCTCAGGCGTATGTCTCGCTTTTAAACAATGCCCTTGCCCAGGAACTAGCGGCCAATACTTCACCAAGAGGATCTACCCACTCACCTGGCTATCCATAACTTATGAAACAATTTAATCTAAGATTTGCCAGCGTTCAACTGTCTTAATTGTTTATTTAGCGAGTTTTTGTCAACAACAACAGCCTCTGCCAGCAGCGACGTCATATACAGTGTGACCGCAGAAAGAATATACTGAACTTAAAAAATATACCCAAATATACCGGAAATATACCGGAGGAAAATATTCGAACGAAAATTGAACATAATTTGTTGAGTTACGCGTTACTGCTAAATGTTTTTGGGGTGGTTAGTATAAGCATAAGTCCAACCACACGGGCTATATAATAAATTGGGTCCTTCAGAAGCTCATCATGTGGGTGCAAGTTTATCGCGTACATCATAATTTCGTACACCTTTGGGATCAGGGCCCTGCCCAGGTGCTCCAATCTCCTGCTGTGCACTGCATAGAGTTTTAAGGGATCCGATGAAATGGCGAAATGGCGCTCCATAATCAAATTCATGTTTCGAAGCTCACTGTCGTAAAGTTTTTGTTGCTTCTCGGACGCTGAGTTGTCCAACTTTGGCGCATTTTCCAACTTACTCTTCCAGTCGTCTACGTATACTTTCCATACAAATAGTCCGTAACATCCGTGAGCTTGTGTTTCGCGAGTCCCTTCTTGAAATGCTCTTTGTCCCATAGAATCGGGAACGCTTCGGAGGCTTCGGGCATGCCAGTCAAGTTTGCAGGACAGTGGTCAGACACTATTGCCACGAGGTTGTTTGAATATCCCTTTTTGATTACTTGTTTTACTACAAGGTGTAGAGCCGAGTTGATTTTCCTCGAACCTACGCGGGACTCCTGTGTAACTGGCACCTGTCAAAAGGCCAAAAATATATGACTATTGATGTATTACAAGAGCAGACCAGAGGCAAGGCAACTTACCGCACGAATGTATAAATAATGGAACATAGTGCCCTGCAAGTTGAATGCAGCTATTACAAGTACCTTCCATTTCGGTACGGGTAGAAAAGTCTGCAAATATCAATACATATATTAATTAAAATCAGCCAAACTGAGGGATATATGGGTACATACCATATGGGAAAGATGATACTCGTCTAATATTATTACAAATTTTTCATTTCGAAAATATGTGAGGCACGATACCAAATTGACCTTGCCGATTTTCACATCTGCTATGTGACTGGGGCTTTTAAGGTACTGGATCGCGTTCTTCAGATCGTTGGCGTTAAATTCCACTAGACTAAATGATTTGAAGAGGTAAAACATGGGACAAACGGGCCGGCGGTTTGTGTACTGGTCAGGTTTCTTCATCCGGCCAGGCTTTGCCGGTCGCAAAGGGCCCACAGCTTGTTGCTGGTCCTGGGATGACGCATTGCTGGTCGCAGCAGTGGCACTGGCTCCAGCTTTGCTCGTATCCATCTTGTCCTGTGCAGTGTAGTGCGTAGTCCTGGAAAGTCCTGTCAGTGGCTAGTCCTAGTAGCCGGTAGCCGGGTAGCGGGGTCTCGTAGCGTCGCGTAGCGTCGGTTTTGCAGTTTTTGCAGCCCTAGCTATGCTATCGATACGAACACAATACTATCGATTGTTGTACGTCTAGGTCCAGTTTATGTCCTTACCAATCCTTAGCAGGAGCTATAGTTATAGAAAGACTTCTATAGTTATAGCCATCGTGTTTTTCAGATCTCATGAGATACATCTCAATTAAAATTTATATAAATATAATTTATAAATTTATATCGATACTATCGTTTCGGCAACGATCCAGCCCAAGTTAAAGATCCGTTATGATATGTGTGTTTGTGTGAGTGTGGACGCGGCGCGCCAAAGCGCTTAAGCTAGCTTAAATGCTGAAACTAACTACGTACAGCAACTACGTAAAGTAACGTTAACTTAGTAACTATCTAGTAACAGTAGTAACCTAACCTGTAGTTAAGTGGAGCAACAGCCCGACATATGAGCATAGTTACGTGTGTGTGTGCGTCTGCGGACGCCCGCAAAATCGGCTTAAACTCTTTTACTTAAACTCGCTTAAACGATGTGACGTCGAGCAGTGGAGATGATTCGGATGAGTCCGACCACATTTCGCAACAGGACGCCGCATCATGCCCGTCCACAGTGACTACGGTTATAAACGTGTACGGCATCCTCCTAAACAGTGGAAATGCGGGCCAGGCGCTGCTAAAAAAGAGCGCCCCGGCTCCTGGGCACCCCCGCGGCGTCCCCGCGGGTTTCTCTTCCAGGACAGCAGGCCACATCGGCAGATACGGATGGCAAACCCCTTGCCAAGCGGGTACCCCCCGCGGCGCCCTCTAGTGAATCGCTCCAGACTGGCCATTGAGGCAGCAGCGACGCGCTATGGGGCGTCAGACTATGCGCCACATCCCACAGGGATAGTGTTGCGACGCGTGGGCTACTACACGATACCCTCGCTGGATGATCTCAAGTCCTACCTGGCCGAGGATGGGTCCTGTGTGGTGCCCAATTTCACCATTGGACGCGAGGGCTATGGCACTGTGTTCTTTGCCATGGAAATGGACGTGGCTGGACTGAATCTGGATGAGATTGGTAAGTGATTGGGGAGGAGCCAGGCCAGACAAGCATCATCCGCCAAGAACTATTCTCGCTCTCTCTCTGCAGTTTACTTCCGTAACAAGGGGATCATCATTTATCCTGACGATGAGAAGAGGCCGCCTATCAACCAAGGCCTGAATCGTGAGGCACAAGTCACCCTCGAGCAGGTATGGCCCGTGGACAAGACCCAGCCTGTGCCTGTTGTGAAGGATGCGCAGCGTCTGATCGAAATGAATTGGGAGGGACATCTGCGTTGCGCCTGCTATGCAAACGATACGCGCTTCGTCGAGTATCGCCCAGAGACCGGCAGTTGGGTGTTTTGTGTGAAGCACTTCTCCAAGTACGGCCTGGACGAGGACGATAACAAGATGACGCTCCATTCGTTGCGGCCCAGCGTGTATCCGAGGATATGCGGCACAAGGTTCCGCGGCCGGTTCCTCGGCCAGTGACACATCCGCGCGCACGCTCTTTCTTCGCGAATTCATTCCTTTGACAGAAAACTGCTTGGTATTTATGTCCCTTTTATACATGGTAACTACACATTTGCTACATATCAACGACTTTTATGTGGAGTATAAAGCAAACCAGGGCAGCATCATATAACGTAATAATTACCATATGACGTAATATTTCATTCTACTTACGTTTAGGTTCACTACCTGTGGTGGCTAGTGCCAGTTAGGTTGGCGGCTACTTGACTCTCCCCCGCGCCATGTCCCCTGTTCTGCTGCGTTTACGCGGTGAAGTCGTGGTTTGTTGGGTGTATGGGCTACGGGCTAGCATTACAAACGTTTTTCGCGGTTCTAGGGTGGTTCAACTGTTTATCGCGGGGTTAGTCGTTTGATCCCTTTTTCGGTATATGAAGGGGTGGTATAATTTGGTATATTTCTGAGAATCGGGCGGGTATATTTGATCAATAAATCCGCGGTCACACTGAATTGCAGTTTTTTCGCAATTTTAAATTAAATTTTAAATTTAATTAGAACGCTCACAAACAGTGGTAATTAACGTCATTCATTTAGCCTATTGTAAAATAGTGCACTGCTGCGATATATAGCCAAAACGGCGCTGTCCTTCTCTGGCCAAAGCAGCTGAAATTGTTTGATGCAAATTGCAGGAATACGAATACAGAAAAAAATAGGTGAAAAACTGCGTCCCACTGAAAGTGAAAGTGCAGCAGGAGAGAGAGACAGCGGATTGGCAGCCAGTGCAATATCTGGACCAAACAAGTCGCTAAAAAGCTGAAAAAAGGAGAACACCTTATTATTGTAGGGACTTAAAATCGTAAACGATACAGTTTTTACCGGTTCTGTTTACAAAAGCAAATTGGCTGTGAGCTTTGGGGCAACAATTTGATTTGGCGTTGAAATTCGCACGGTGGTTGTTTTTGCCCCGAGAGCTTGCCTCTGGGTGTGCAAATGTGTGCGAGGCGAGAGTGTTCGTGTGTTTGTGTGTGTGGGTTGCAAGTCAATATGAATGCGTTCATAAAAAGTGATTTCTGTGCGCTTTTTCCCCGAGGGTTGCTTGCCCTTCCGCCTTATCATGTGGTCCCCGCTTAATTGATTTTGATTGTTTCAGATAGCCAAGCTTCCCTGCATTGTTTTCCACCGCTCGCTCGCTCGCAGCCAGATTTCACCAAAGCTACGAACACGGGCATCATGACCGAAAAGTACGACGGCAATGGCGACTTCTCCCCGTACAATGATGACGACAACGAGTACAGTGGCAAGCCGCGCAAAAGTGCTCTCAGTGGAGGCGGCGGCGGCCCGGGCGGTGGGCCTGGTGCCCACAACGGTGACAGTTCCGCCCACGACCATGGCCATCATGGAGGCGATGGCAACGGTAGTGTGCAGATAAACGAGAAGGCCAACGAGTACATACGCGACTGCATGGCCGAAAGGAATCGCATGGACCGTAAATTTCCCATTGGCGAGAAGCTTTTGGATGGCGGTAAGTGACCGCCACTGGGAGACTGCAAAATTGATTGTCCAGCTAACACGGTTTGTTCCTCGCAGAGATTGAAAAAGTCCAGACAACGGGACGCATACCGTCGCGGGAGCAGAAGTACGCAGATATCTACCGGGAAAAGCCACTTCGCATATCACAGCGTGTCCTAGTGCCAATCAGAGAGCATCCAAAGTTCAATTTTGTTGGCAAACTTCTGGGACCCAAGGGCAACTCGCTGCGCCGCCTGCAGGAGGAGACGCTCTGCAAGATGACAGTTCTGGGCCGTAATTCTATGCGGGATCGCGTCAAGGAGGAGGAGCTGCGCAACTCAAAGGACCCAAAATATGCGCACCTCAACAGTGACCTGCACGTGGAGATATCAACGATAGCCCCCCCAGCAGAGGCATATGCACGGATCGCCTATGCCATGGCCGAGCTAAGGAAGTATCTGATACCCGACAGCAATGACATCATACGCCAGGAGCAGCTGCGAGAGCTAATGGACAGCACCAGCCTCAATGAGAACGACAACGCCAAGAGCGGCTACAAAAAGCCTCCCCACATGCCCAGTGGAAACAATCTGATGAGCGGAGGTTCCGGAGGTCCCGCTAACACTGCTGGCGGTCCCAAAAACACAGCGCATCATAGTTACAGGTAATTAAATATCCTTAAAAATATATTTTCACTTGCTAATTGTTTTGCAATCTATTTTAGGGGCTCACAGCAGTCGTCGTTCAGCAAAAATGTGCTCGCACCCAAGCAAAAGGTGATGTCCATACTGGAAAAGGCCAGAACGGCCATGGATGAGACATATGGGTGGGTCTCAGTACCTTTCTCTCACAGTTTCTCTGGAATGTTAATTAACCTGTTGCATTTCCTACAGCAGAGGCTATGACGATGGCATTGGCTATGATCCACATCAGTCGTACGACAGCTACTCCTATGGCTCACACGGCCACGGACCGCCAAACAGTATACTTGGCGGTGTGGGCAGCATCAATAGTGGCGGTGGGCGTGGTGGTGGTGGTGGGCACTACGATAACACAGATTATGAGCCGGAATACGGTCGAAGGGACTACTATCAGCATTCACCAAGCTATACAGGTGAGCTAGGTTAACGATTTCCACTGCGGAGAAACGCTATAATTGTGCTTCCATTTATAACAGGCGGTGGGGGTGGCGGCGTAGGCGGAGGCCATGGCTCTAGCGGCGGCGGCCCACAATCGAATGCAATTGGCAGCACTGGCCTCAGTTCCAATCACAATCGCAACCATGTTAACAGGTGAAACTTACTGGGCCATAGCAGTGCCGGCGGAGGTCGAGTGAGCGGCGCAACAAGTGCCACACATCCAGCATCAGCAAACCATAATCTGACGATGAAAGCCCCAACCACAAGCAGCCATAACCACAGCAAGAACTTTACGCCAAGCCACGGAACTGAGGGCCACAATGCGAAGAACAGTACTCCCAACTACTTTTACCACGCCAGTGGCAGCTCCAAGGTGAGCAAAACTCCATGATTAGACATGATGTTCATTAGAAATAGAGATCTATGCTTTCAGCCAAATCAGCAGCAACTTCATCAGTCGCAACCAAAATTCCCACCGCAGCTATCAGCCCACAACAACATGAGCAACCACAACCAAAAAAACACCAATAATTATAACAAAACCATGAACAGCAATAGCAACAACAACAATAATAATAATCATACCAGCAACAACTTTTCAATATCCTCCTATATTCGTACACTGAACCAAATGGATAATATGGTTGGCAAAAAGAGTGCCAATACCACCACAACCAATGCCAATGGCACAGCAACGCCAAATGTTGCTAACAGCAGCAAAACACACACATTAAACAGCAAAAACAACAACAAAAACACCACTACAAGTGCTACAGTGCCAGATATGCTATTAGTAAGGTATTTTGATTGAAAAGCAATTTTAAAGAACAAAAAAACATCACCAAAAGCAAACATTCAACAGAGAACGAACTCCTTCATCCTTGCACACAACAACCTGGGTCAATGCAAATAGATGCGTCAATGCGATGTGATTTTAGCTTTCTTAGATTATTTGTAATGATATAAACTCTTAGACTATGCCTAAAGCTATAATCATTGGTAAATCCAAGCATCTATTTGCATTGATCGACAACAAGAACATCTCTCTAAATACAATTAACATTCTCTTACAGACCTGCTTATCCTTCTTCGCTACATATTGGTACATTTCCGTACTTGCCAGTGCAGTTTTTCTGATTTCAACAATACAACAACTACATCAACATCAACAACTACATCACAAATACTTTGTACACTTAAATGCATAAGATGATATACGGGAAGGCGAGGGGAGAAATATTTACAAAATGGAAACATACAAAACATATACATACATCTATATATACTATACATATATATATATTTTTGCGTGCAAGGATTAACGTTCTATGAAGATGAGGCTGGATCTACAGATTGAAACTTACTTTTGCGTGGGCTACAAACGATAAAATTGTGTCAAAGATGGATATATACACACACACACACACATATATATATACATACATAAATATATATACATATATATATATTGTCCAATTTTTTATCTATATTTACAAGACATCTACAAGATAATGGAAAGATTACTTAGAGCTATACTCGATATGATATGACAGTTGAATCAATAATAAGGCGCGCGTCTCAGCTCAAAGTTGAGAGATAGTATAACAGACAAAGCAAAATTCAACTGACGAAGCAAGACAAAGCTATGTATAGGGGTCAGCCCTGGGGCTGAGGGTCCGGTAGGGTCGAGACAAAATCTATGAGATTAAATAACTAAATAAATATTAATATATACAATACATGAATATATGAAATAATTACAGAGGGCACATTTGAAATCATAATTTTATTTATATATGCATATATATTTGACGAATTAAAACTAACTATAAAGATACGGAAAAAGATAAAGAATATATATATATATATATATATATATACACACATACAAATTATAATATTTACATTATTAACTGAGATCGACTAGGCTTACGTTGAAGACACGAAGCAAGCAACAAGCAACAAACGATAAAATACCTAAACAAAGTTATGTAATCCTCGACATTTCAACATAAATTAAATATATCGAATATTAAAAGCAAATACAGATAACTAACGGAACACATGAATACACGTATAAATATGCAAACATGCAAGTTATTCAGAGATTGTGAATACAAGGTCCATATACGGACAATGCTGCAAATGATTACTTTATTAAAACCCAAGATACGACAACAATAACAGAGTAAAGAGAATACTTAAAGCCAAACAAACGTAAATCATAATGTAACGAATGAATACTCGATTAACTTACATTCATATGCGAAATTAAAGTTAAACAAACAACTAACTAATACGATACTATAACGATATTAAACTATGTATGTATGTACTTAACCCGCGACACGGGACAGGGCAAGCGACGGGGAATCTATCGATTATGATCATTCTGCCTAGAAGAAAATGAAATGGACAGCATTTGCCAGCCCTGTTCATGAAATGTACTAAATGAAATCAAATTTAATATAACTCTAAATATCAAGAATCCAAACAGTTGCGAAGCTCGAGTTTTTAGTTCTGGTGTTAAAACCCGATTTAATTGACGAAATAATGAGAATTTTGTATAGTGTTTAAGTAGAAACAACAAGCAAGAGCGTGTGCCAAATGTATGCAGGAAAGTGGGTCAGGTCAGATTGAATCGCATCGGAGTCACCCGAATGAAACATCAATAATTTCTATTATTTAATACTCTGTTTAATTAATCTTTGGATATCCGAGCGAACCAATTAAACTTGTACATTAGTACAATGACTTAACAAATCAAATCGAATAAAATTAAAAGAATATCTTGTCCAAAAAAAAAACTTAAGAAACATTTACTTACAACCATGTGAAACGTTAAATTGTTGAAAACAATTAAAAGCTAGTTTTTAAAACAATATCAGTAATAAATGAAATAGCAAAAAAAAAAAAAGGAAATGCAACCATTTATTACAAATAATTATTGTTGTTACAAATTATACACAAAAAAAAAATCTAAGAGAAAAGAAAAGTAAACAATTTCAATAATAATAATCGAATAAAAAACTTTCCCCGCCCTAACAACAACAATAAATATATATACACTATATACTTACAAAGAGAATTCAAAGAAATAATATATTGCGATTGAGATTGAGTTATTCTCATTAATTATTATATGTAAAATTAAATAACACAAATAATAAATAAATATATTTAAAATGTATGGAACATTAATAAATGCAAAGAAGTGTTTATATTTATGATCATATAGGGAGAGGATTCTAAGGTGCTCAAGAGGGATTAGCTATAAAAAGAAAATTGATATGGCAGGTACCTGTGTACTAAGCATTTTTTAATTACCTATGTACATATGTATGTACTGCATACAAGGGTAAATGTTTTATGGAAGTATAACCCCTTCCATTCATAAAACTTTATGATTCTCTTTTCCTTGGAACGTGTCCCTTATCCAATCTGATAATGTTCCAGGAAATCGAACTTACCAGCTTACCATTCGTCCCAATTCATCCCCATTAGTAAAAAAGGCATTCGTTATACTTTTCTATCATAATTTATATAAATATAGTTATTTATTTCGTTGTTTTTCGCTCGTTTTTATATTGCTTCACAATAATTGACTAGAGTAAACAGCTTAGGATTATGTGGATCTCTGGGTGACACGCCCCTTAGTTTGGATGTGATCAACCCCCTAGGTTTCCCTCGTTTTACTTGCAATGAGATCGCAGCAAAGTGACTAGAATGAGGGGCGGAGGCCCGGTTCTCTAAGTTAGGCGTGCAGTAGGCCATCGCTCTGGCCGACAAGCTTTCCGAGAAGCGTCTGGTACAGCGGCGATTCGGTGGGGATGCCTTCGCTCTGCAGGAACAGGAGTGTCTCACGGGCACACATGGCGAAACCAAGAGCCTCGGCCTGGCTGCGCTGTCCAGGAGTTGGTGGTGGTGGTGCAAATTGGGCAGCCACCTCAGCGTCCAGGTTGTCATCTTCTAAGCTCTCTTCTTCCGTGTCATCCTCCGCCTGCTCAGCCATCGCCGCTTGGTAGCCATCGCGCTCATCCAGGTCCTGCTCGAAGGCATCCAGCTCCGACTGCAGCTCCATGATTTTCTGCAGGGCCTCGAGCAGAATGCTGTTGGTCGAATCTTCCTCGGATCCTTCGGCTGGCTGCTCGGCAGGTGGGGTCAGGGGTCGATGGCGCTTCTCCGGCGCTCCTTGCTCCTCTCCCTCTTCCTGCTGTGGTAGATGCTGTTGCTGTTGTGGGTGCTCCTCCGGCTGCTGCTCCTGCTGGCTCCTGCTCTGCTGATCCGCGCGCTTGCGCTTCATAATCAGCTTACCCGACATGGCTGGCGTAGAATTAGATAGATATTCTGGCTACGATCTGGGATGGATGGGATGGGATGCGACTGTCCGCGGCACAACCTTCGTTCACCTGGCGATCGCAACGACTGACAACTGCTCCGATCCGAATGCACCCCGGCAACCAACTGGCAGCCAGTAAGGGGCAATGGCAACTCCAACCCCAAGTGCCACAGGAACCAGAGATAGCATAGCGGAGTGGAAGGGCGGCGCGGTGGCATTAGGGGATGTGCCGACGACCCAAAGAAATTAAAAGCAAAGTCCAACAACAACAGGACGAAAAAATTGTTGCAGCTGTTTGAATTGCTGCTGCTGCTGCTGCCACTGCCACTGCCGCTGCGGCAGCTGAAGCGGGAAGGCAACAGGATACAGGCAAGGAGCAGCGTCTGGAGCAGGAGCAGGATATTGCAACAACCCCTGGCAAGCTGCTGCTCTCTGGCTGCAGCCGCCACAGCAGACGCAGCAGCAGCGGCAGTGGCAACAGCCTGGCTCTCGCTTCCTCTTCTACCACCACCGTTCGTTGTCGTAGGGCACTACCCTGCCGCGCCACAGTCCCCCTCCCTTTCCGTTGCCCTTTCCCTTTCCGTTTTGTTGTTGTCTCGTGGATGTTCATCCCGAATCGAACAGATCTTTTCGGTTCGGCTAGAAGGACTGCTGTCTACGCTTTAGGGAAATCCCAGCTTCATATACTCTCGCACACACGTACAATTTCCAGCTTTTCCAGGAGGACTTTCCTACAAATATATGCATATGCATATTTGCATAAATATGATACAATATGATACCCATTGCATAAACTCTTTTTTAAATTATTTTATTGTCGTAGGGTATTCCCCGGTTCGGGTATGTCTGGTCGGTTTTGGCATTTGCAGCTGGCACGCTTCACATTCATCTCTTCGATTTTCGTTGCCCCCGAGGACTGTGCCGATGTCGACGATTCGTGAGTTTGACCTGCCATTGCAATGATAAGTGCACACCTATACCTACACTGAGAGAAATTAGGGGTGACAGCCCCTAGGGGTAGGATAGGATTTTCAGTTGCCATGGAAATCAAATATCAATCAAATCTTGTTTACTTCTGTCAACGAACGAAACTTTTACTTGATTGCTGTTTCATGAGCATTATGTTTATTTTAATAGGGGTATAAGTATTTATTGAAAAAAAAACAATTTAAAGACACAAAATATAGTGGGTTTATGTTATATGTTATATTTTCAGCCCGTATTTCCTCCTTCAATCATTTCGAATTTATGGCAAATGAAATATGTAGATTGATTTGTGGCATATTTTTTTTTTTTTTATCAAATTGAGTCGCTTATCTGAAAGCTCTTGAATTTATTTGTTGTCTATCATTTCGTAGGAGATTTTCCTATGCCAACAACAATGGCAATACTGATGCGATAATAATTCAATCTTATGTTCGTACAATTTCGTAAAATATAATATTTATAAGGGAATTTCAATGAATTGTTACATGTATTGTTTGATCCTGGTATATACACGTAATTGTCGGGTAGGTGTAGTCCGTAACATCTCAACATAAATTCTATCTTATTTATTAAATTAGTCGATGACTCACTATATAATATATAATTTACTTGATAATCAATATCTTCATAGCCATGTGTACGTACATATGCATGCATTGTGTCAACCACAATAGTCTCCATATAATATTTTATCTCTTTATCATCTCTCACTTGATATTGTGTAATATTTCATGTTGTTTTTCTTTCTTTTTTTTTTGCTCTGCTTCGACACTCTCGATTACGTGGTAAACTTTACTAAGCATTTTTTGTGTATTTTCGAACAAAACCCAATTAGTTTTGTTTAGTTCTCTCTTCTCTCTCGTGTATATTTAAACGACAACGAGGGCAGGAAAGTGGTACGAGTACCTACATACTATTCCCCAAAGTAATTTAGGCCCATCCAGCTCTGTACGAGTGCCACCCAACCACAGAGACTAAATACATCATCCACGGGCACAGCTGTTCACTGACTGAGGGCTGAGATGTGGGGGCACACATACATATTTACACGTATTATATGTGGGCATATGTGATTGAACAGTTTGAAAGATCGCGCGGCAAGTGGCAGCAGATAATTGAGGTAAGATCGAATGTGAGTGTGTGAGTGCACTCACTCGTGTCCAATTGAATGATCATCACATAAGCGCAAAAAAAACGAAGCAATTATAATCATTTCAATCGGCCTCCTACTGCAAGCCATTTTCTGTCAGCAGACGAATAAATCGTTCAAATTTTTACTTTGAAGTTATCTATCATATTTTTGGTTTACCATGCCACCCGAATGGATCGTAAATCAGCGGAGAACCAGAACAAGGAGCAGCTTTGTTATCAATGGAGCTGGTTTTTAATTCACCAAAAATGCCACACTGTGTACGAGTATACATAATATTCGGTTGCCATGGAATTCGATCTTCTTATGCAAAGTTTTGCTGATCAAGCGGGAATTTTCGTTCTAATTACGAGTATCTAGTTGCATTGTACGGAATTTTCGTTCTAATTACGAGTATCTAGTTGCATTGTACGGACAGCTATTACTGGATAGTGCAGTGCACACCCAAATATAGTCTCCTTCAGTGCAAAGTTCTGTGTGAATCCCGCCGATCCCGTGGGAATACCAAGATCTGTTTTGGCAATTGCAATTGCTTTGGGTATTTAGCGACCAAGCACTTGCCCGCTGTGTGATTGGCATTGACTCAGTTGGTACTCGTATATACAGATACAGATATAAAGCATAGTACGAGTATAGGCTGTATAGACTGTCTATTAGTCGCCACATTTGCAGATAATTATCACTCAACACCAACCCATCCGATTAGACTCTGAAGAAGCGGGAGATAAGCGCTATTCTCTAACACCTCCTCCCAAAATAAACAAAAACCCGAATATAATACTGCATGGAAAAAAAACGTTAATAACAAATAAATACTGACGTTTCACTCGCTCCGCTCCCAGAGCTACAGACAGACACAGAGCCAGAGGCAGAGTCAGAGCCAGTGCCGAAACGTTATTATCGCAATCTGTCCACTCCGCCCGCTCAGCGAAACAGTAAATTTTGGTTGTCGTTTCTCCGTACTCTGTTCGGCTATAACGGTTGTGCGCTGTGTCGCTGTTTTAGCCAATTTAGGGTCAGTTAGCCCGTGGATCGTGTGACGAGTGCATGTAAGTAGCGTTCAACGGTACTCTGCCTCTGCCCTACCTGAATTCACGGCCAAATCGCGTAGTGTCTCATTTTCAATTTAAGTTGTCTTTTAGATTTCGTTCAAATGTCTCATTAGCCAGTCATTAGGCAGCCATTAGCCAGGCATTAGTCGCACAGAGATCCAAAGAGCGCTTCGAGCTTAATTTCAAGCGTAACTTTTGCTCCGTTTCCAATTCAGAATCGTGCATTGCCATAACCATTCACAGCTGTAAAAGAAACCAGTTAATTGAGTGGATTTCGAATGGCCAGCACGGCCGAACGGCCGCACGGTCAGTCACAAAAAATTTGTCGATCGCTTGGGATTGGGGGGGTGGATGTGAATCGGTGAATGGAGGTGGTGGGGCTTGTTCTGCGTGTATTTGCACACGGAGAGCTTGATAAGCTGCCGATTAGATTTAAGGCACTGCCATAAACCATACTATTAAATGATTCGAATTGCGATTTTGGCGGTGCTCGTGATTGATAAATATTTGCTAATAAGTACTGCCAGTGATAACACATCAAATTAGTTGGTTAGCCGAGCGGAAGGGCTTGGAACTGCTCAGATATCGAACCCTTCAAATGTTATCTTTCGGTATTTGATTTACGGTACTTGATTATTTCTATCTCTATTTATATATGTACATACATATCTCTCTAATCACGCGGATAACCTTTGCCATTCCAGTGCGAAAATGCCACCTGCCCAGACCATCTTCATTGCCGCCTGTACGCTTCTGACCGTGCTGGCCCCGACAGCCCGATCCATACCGATTGAGCCCAAAATTGGCGATGTGGCCACGGAGCTCATTATCCTGCACAACAATGATATGCACGCCCGGTTCGAGCAGACGAACGTGAACAGCGGCACTTGCTCCCAGGAGGATGCCAATACGGACAAGTGCTATGGAGGATTCGCCCGTGTGGCCTATGAGTCAGTAGAGAGAGCCTACCTGTGGAAGAATCAGCGCTAATATGTATAATCCGTTTCCATTAGGGTTCGCAAGTACCGCAAAGAAGCTGAGAACGGTGGACCTGCCGTCCTTTATCTGAATGCTGGCGACACCTACACGGGAACTGCCTGGTTCACCATCTTCAAGGATGCGATTGCCAGCGCTTTCCTCAACAAACTGCAGCCCGATGCTATCGTAAGTGCTGGCGGGGCCGAGCACCACTTTTGCCGAACAAGATTAAATCGCCACTTCTTTTGCAGTCGCTGGGTAACCACGAATTCGATCAGAATGTCGTGGGTCTGGTGCCGTTCCTGAATGCCGTGGAGTTTCCCGTGCTGGCCTGCAACCTCAACCTGACCAATGAGCCAGACTTGGCTGCCACCAAGCAGTTGGCCAACTCCACGATCCTCGAGGCAAACGGAACTAGAATCGGTGTGATTGGCTACCTCACGCCGGACACCAAAATTCTGTCCTTCAAGAACAACGTGGAATACGTAGATGAGATAGTGGCCATTAAGTGAGTTTATTCTTTTATACATATGTATGTCCGAAAAGAAGATGTAGAGATTCTTTTATTCCACTTGAGTGCTGAGGCAGCGAGGCTTAAGGCGGACGGCATCAAGATCATCATTGCCTTGGGCCATTCGGGCTACCTTAGGGACCAGGAGATAGCTAGGAACTGCCCGGAGGTGGATATTGTTATTGGCGGACACTCGCACTCCTTCCTTGACTCCAGCCAGCCCGTGGCTGATCCCACGGACTCTAATCAGGAGGCCGTGCGTGGCCCCTACCCTACCACAGTGCTGCAGGATAACGGCAAGAAGGTGCCTGTGGTGCAGGCCTATGCCTACACCAAATATCTGGGCAAGATCCATGTGCAGGTGGGTGCCACAAAGATGCTGTTCTGTAGCTATTGATAAACGATATGTGAATCTATGTACTTCCAGTTCGATGCGGAGGGAAATCTGATTGAGTTCGATGGGGCGCCCATACTGCTGAATGCCTCGGTGGCTCAGGAACAGGATCTGCTGGACCTGCTGGAGGTGTACCGACCCAACGTGACTGCTATGGAGAACTCTATTGTTGGCTACACCAAGGTGTATCTGGAGGGCGGCGGCGTCTGTCGGATGAGGGAGTGCAACTTGGGCAATCTGATCACCGATGCCATGATTTTCGCGCGCGTCTTGGAGGATCAGGGCGGCGAATACTGGACAGATGCACCCATTGCCCTGATGCAGGGAGGAGGTTGGTCAATCACAATGCAAAACCCCATGCCGATTGCCGACTTTAACACTGATTTCTCTGCAGGTATTCGAGCACCGATTGAAAAGGATGCGGACGGAAATATTACGGGTAGCGATCTTCTTGCCGTCCTGCCCTTCCAGAACGATCTCTTCGTCACCAGGATCCAGGGTAAGACCTTGCTGACGGCTCTGGAGCACTCGGCTACTGTGAGGACCTACGATTCAAACGGCGGCTTCCTGCAGATGTCGGGCCTTCAGGTGGAGTACAACTATGACAATGATGAGGGACAGCGCTTGGTCTCCGCGAAAGCGCTCTGCGCCGACTGCATCGTGCCCTATTACAGCAGGGTCAACGAGAGTGCCATCTACTCTGTGATCGTGTCACAGTTCATTTTGGAAGGCGGCGACGGCTACATCCTAGCCGAGGAGAGCGACCCCCTCATTCGCTTGAAGCGGAACGATATAGAGACAGTCATCGATTACCTGAAACAGCGGCAATTCGTCTATCCCGAGATCCAGGATCGCATAATCATCCACGAGAAGAGCGACAACGATTCGGGGGCCAACGTTGTGGCATCCATCGCCCTCATCCTGATCTCGTCACTGGCCACAAGATTCGTTAACTAAAATCTGTATATAGCACGACGATTCGTTTCCTCACTCCATATCGCACAACAAAATGTGCTGCGAAAATATGCAAACGGTTGCCACTAGTTCAATTTATAGTCATTTGGTGACGTATGCATGCTCTTTCGCTCTCCTAATTCTTCTTTTATGGTTTAACCAAGGCATAGTATGTACTATCTTAGCATAATTGCAAATAAATGTTGTGCAAAATCGTTACTTAAATTCAAAACATTTCTGATTTCCATTGGGTTTAATATGTAGTAGAACCTCTTCTACTGCCCATCGCTAGACTTTTTGTTTTATTTGCGTGACAGATATGGCAGCTAGTATTAATGAGAATATTTTATATGCTATGATCTACTATAATAATCACTCGGCAATGTTCGCCTTGGCACTTGTTTCGCGAATGATAAGATACGACAGCTTCCATTCTGTGACATCGTGTTGTTTGATAATGCAAGAAAGTTTGGCTCGATACCATTGTATTCACTTCCAACGCGTACTATAATTTTGCCAACTAGTGTCAAAACAATATTATCCAAAGAAAATACAACAACCGCACAACAAGTAGCCATAGAAATGATCGATTTGAGAGTGTATCAAAAGCTTCGGCACACCCGTAGTCTTCTTTCTCATTTAAAATTAGCTTCGGGTTGTGGTCACCTTACTCTTACTTTCCATATGCCAGCATTTGAGTGACAGAGATGGAATGAGAGCTACACGGCACTCTCGCTCTCTCATTGCGTAGTGAGTGAGTGATCGCGAGTGATAAGAAGCTTCCCTTCGGATCGTTGATCTGCAAGAGAGTGAGAGAAAGTTCTTTCGTATGCTCTGCTCGCTCTCCATTAATTGCCGTTACAGGCGTGAACAAGCAAATTTCGATAAAAGTCACAGCAAACCAGGCCGGCGCGGCGATCCGCAAATGCTGCAATAATAATGGCACGGACAGTAGCAGCGCCCGGCATCGGTCGGTCGCTCAGTGCGATTATAGACACGGGTGGCAAAGGTTGTATTAATTTTGATCGCGTATAAACAAGCAATTATTGTTAATTTAATGGGACAGCAATCAACGTTCATCATTCCTGACAAACCGTTTACCCAACTTGGTAGAAGTTAATAGCCCATTTGAGGGCGGTGCAAATCGCGTAGATCAAAAGTTATATCAAAGAATTACAGATTTACATATTTTGTGTGCACTAATTTAGAAAATGAACCAAATGGAATTCTGCAGGTGCAAACTGCAAATAAACATTCTCGTAATTTGGTGGAAATGGGAAAAGTCTATACCCCCATATCTTTAAAATAGTGGATACCCAGGATTCATCGGAGGCCATGTTGGATAATTTTTTGTTTCCTTTGTGTATTGAGTCTTCAAAATCATAGGCCAGATCACTGAAAAAATTATCACCCGCTTTTACATAATCTAATACATAATAAGTTATTGCTGAAGATCAGATGGAAAAAATCCCCTACTTAGCCGCAAGCTGGAAAATTTTCAGCTTTGATTGATGCCGCCTGTATCTGCATCTGTGTCTGTCAAAAGTCTATAAGTATGCATGTTAGCGTGCTCGTATAGTAACAGCAAGTGAGATTATGTTAAGTGATGGCATTAAGTGATCTATATATGTATTTATATATTTATATGGGCATTGAAGTTAAATTCTTTTGTCGCGCCTGCACCCAGCAGATGACATAATTTCAGTTTCTTATTAAATTCACAGCCCAGGCTGGTTTCCGTCTCAAGCTTTGCACCCAGCTTGTGCTTATCAGTGTTTATCAAAAGGAAATATATACATATTTTTGTATGCATTCAGTTCTGTATAAAAATACATATATATAAATTTTTTTGCAAATGAATGGGGCATGTGTGAAGGTTTTGTTTCTGCGAAATTCTCAAAAGATTTATGATTTTTTTTTGTATTTTTATTTACATTGCGAATACTCGTCTGAATTAATATTGAAATATGGTTTGTTTTCCGTTTCCCAATTTATTAATGCCCATCTTTTGTTTATATTCATGAAAGCATGTGGCATGAGCCTCAAACTAATTGAAAAATATTTTACTGAGGATTGATCAAGGAGATGAGATCTCAGATAGTTTTTGAATTGCCTGACCGCAATATTTTGGCGGCCACTGTCCAGGGAATTCAAAAGATTCATTGGCACTCACTCTCCAAATGATTTTTTGCTGAACAAACAAATTAATTATTAAGTTTAAAGTGGCGTTGCGGAGCAGCGACTCATCATTTGAATTCATTTAATTTTTTTTCGCACATTTGCCAACATGCTTGGGGCTTGGCTTTGGTTTTGAATTTCGGTTTTTGTTTTGATATGATACATGAAATGGTACATGGGCAGAGAGAACAGATCAGTTGGCCCAGCGAACGATAAACAAGCCGTAAATGGGGATCCCATATACTCGTATGTTTATCACTCGAGTGGCTGCGACAAAAAGATACATATAACTATAATTAGCCGCTCGCAAATAGTCTGCTCTTAGAGCAACTAGAAGAGGAACATGGAGTGTCATTTGTCACTTAAATAATTGATAGTGCCTGTATAAACAACGTACGGACAGTGAACGCTCTCCCAGACGGACATACAGTACGAAATACCCGCGAAACCTGTAGATAATAGCTATCAAAAGTTATACCATGTGGCCATAGCTTGGTACCTATGTATAAGCACGAAACTGTTGATAAAACAAAGATGAATAAGCCCATAAAGATATAAGGAACAATTATCAAATGTTTATGGAGACGTTACAATAATAAAACTCTCAACTATCATTCCCCTGTAGCTCAAAGATGTTCCTACACTGGGTTTACTGCATCCTAGTAATTCTGCTGGCCCACCACGCTCAGGGAAATCCCATTGAACGCAAGGCAAAAGTGGCCACTGAGTTCATAATTCTGCACAACAATGATATGCACGCCCGGTTCGAGCAGACGAACGTTAACAGCGGCCCATGCTCCCAGGAGGATGCCAATACGGACAAGTGCTATGGAGGATTCGCCCGAGTGGCCTATGAGTGAGTAGAGAGAGTCCATCTCTATCTTTAACTCTGAAAGAGGCAGCTTATATAATTCGTTTCCAAAAGGGTGCGCAAGTACCGCCAGGAGGCGGCGAATGGAGGAACTCCCGTGTTTTACCTGAATGCTGGCGACACTTACACTGGAACCGCTTGGTTTACCATCTTCAAGGACAAGATCGCCAGCGCATTCCTTAACAAACTTCAACCAGATGCTATTGTAAGTGGAGAGCACGAGATCTGCTTCTGAATTCTTAATCTCAATCTTTTATTTGTCCAGTCGCTGGGTAACCACGAGTTCGATGAGAAAGTCGAGGGGCTAATACCATTCCTTAACGAGGTCAACTTTCCGGTGGTGACCTGCAATCTCGATATGAGGAATGTGCCCGAGTTGGCTGCCACAAAACATTTGGTGCCCTCCACGATCCTGGAGACCCAGGGCGCCAGGATAGGTGTGATTGGCTATTTGACGCCAGATACTAAGAAGCTTACCCTCCAGAGTGAGGTGGAGTTCTACGAGGAAGTGGTTTCCATCAAGTGAGCGTGATTCTTGGCTTCATTTTGGATATTTGTGATCTCCAATCGTGTCCCTCTCTTGACAGTGCTGAGGCGAAGAAGCTGAAGGCGCAGGGCATCAAGATTATCATTGCCTTGGGCCATTCTGGCTATCTGAAGGATCAGGAGATAGCCAAGAGCTGCCCGGAGGTTGATATCGTGATTGGCGGCCACACAAACACTTTCCTCTACAACGGAGCCCAGCCCGATGCAGAACACATCGACGGTCCCTACCCCACGCTGATTAAGCAGAAGAGCGGCAAGGAGGTGCCTGTGGTGCAGGCCTATGCCTACACCAAATATCTGGGCAAGATCCATGTGCAGGTGGGTGCCACAACGATGCTGTTCTGTAGCTTTTGTTAACCGATATGTGAATCTATTTACTTCCAGTTCGATGCGGAGGGAAATCTGATTGAGTTCGATGGGGCGCCCATACTGCTGAATGCCTCGGTGGCCCAGGAACAGGATCTGCTGGACCTGCTGGAGGTGTACCGACCCAGTGTGATACATCTGGAGAAGTCGGTGATGGGGCACACAAAAGTCTACCTAGAGGGACGTAAGCAGGTGTGCCGCGACAGGGAGTGCAACCTGGGGAACATGATCACCGACGCGATGGTCTTCAGTCGGGTGCGGGAGGAGCAGGGTGGTGACTACTGGACCGATGCTGCAATCGCTGTTATGTCGGCAGGCGGTTCGTATGATCTTCTAGTGCTCCATGTGATCCATTTATTATACTTGAGTTCTTTCGACCTGCAGGCATACGCAGCTCAATCGAGAAAAGGTCAGACGGCTCGATCACCGACAGCGACATACTGTCCGTCCTGCCCTGGGGCAATAAGCTCTTTATGACAAGAGTATCTGGAAAGACGCTACGCAATGCCCTTGAGCACGGGGCGGCTGCCCGTGGCAAGGACTCGGACGGTCCCTTCCTGCAGGTCTCCGGAATCCACGTGGTCTACAACCCCAGCAAACCCGAGGGCCAGCGCGTCGTCTCGGTGCAGGTTCGGTGTGCTGCCTGCCGCATTCCCACCTACAGTGACCTCGACGACGCGGCCTTCTACAATGTGATTGTGAATGAGTTTATGTTCGATGGAGGCGATGGGCACGTCATCCATGAGGCCCACAACCCACAGCACCAGCGCCTGCAGCACAAGGACAGTGAGTCAGTGCGACAGTATCTACGGGATCGCAACTACATCTATCCGGAGGTTGAAGGTCGCATTATATTTACGAGTGCTGCGGGTGGCCTCTTTGCCTCCGCGGCCCTGCTTCTGGTCTCCTTCTTGGTGATGCGTGTCCTTAGTTAAGCTTCTGTTGCACTTTGAATATTAAACTTTTAGTGTGTGTGTGTGTCCTTTTAAACATTTCTCACCCATGAAATCAGCATAAAATTAAAAATTAATAATGATCTTTATTTCATATGTAGTATTTCCGATTTTGGGATTTCACGACTTATGAAAGAGTTCCAAAGACCTTAAAGACAGCTCGCTCGATGTCATCAATAAACCAATGGGATTCCACGAGGTAGTCACCTTCCGGAAAGGGCAATACAGCTGTTGCATGGTGATTAATGATGTTGCTGGTCACCTTATCCACAATAATATCTTCCTGCGAGCGAATTGTGTTTAAATATATAGAATCAGATCAAGCTGAAGGCAGCAATCACTTACATGATAGGGACATGAATGGTTCAAATTGGACAACGTCTTAAAAAATCCGAAAAAGTAATTGGCAACTGGATTATACTTACGATTTTTTAATAGTTTACAGCCGTCGACAGTGATATTATAGAGAAATGGCTTGTATCCACTGAAGCGTTTGTACATTGCAAAATTAACCTAAATAATAACACTAGAAAATCGCTTTCAATTCATTAATTATAGAGTCATCGCACCTTAGCATTGGTAATGGGAGGTTGTAGCAAGTGCACTTTTACGGACAGATACTTGTAGCTCCGATTTACCGACTTCAGATAACAATAGTCCATAGCACAGAATTTTTCATCAACACAGTTGCATATTATGTTGGTAAACTCAAATTTAGATGTGATCTTTGAAATATTTGCAGCTATTATCGAATCAATTTGATATATTAAGTAGCTGGATACTTACCTCTGGCATAAAATACAGGATCACAATGAGCTGAATCAATTTCTGGTTAGTGTGCGTGTACATGCCCATGTTTTGAGGGTCGAACGAAAACTAATACAATTTCGAACGATTTTTGGTCAACGGATGAAGTCTGATCTGATCATTAACTGCCGTTGGAAAGTGAGCAATTAAAAAGACAATATGCTATTAATCTATGCAATTAAGCGGCTAATTCATTCAAGCATGAATAGCTAAAATACAGGATCATCATGAGCTGATCTTCTGAGCACAAATGATAAGGTTTCAAATTTTAATTCAAATTCTGCACATGTCATTAATTGTTTCGCCAGTGTGAGTTCCCTGGGGAATTTTGAATTAAAATCGCGCCGCGCTGTGTATCAGCCCTGGTATCAGCAACCAGTCCAGCCCTGGTTTTTTCTCTCTCAATCATAAACGGTCACTCTGTTTTCCGACACAGTAATATTATTCAGCACTGGTAAAATAGTTATCGAAGTACACTCGTTAAGATTTTTGTGCTGGCAGTACTGTTGCTGTTGAGCGCGAAAAACTGTGACAAATTTAAAATTAAATTTATAGTTTTTTTTTTATTATATAAATCAGTTACCGCTTAGACTAATTCCTCAACTAAACATATGTACCGTCTGTAATATTTCATTTGTTTTTTTATTTGCTTGTTAATTAAATCTAAACCTTGTTGTTTGTTTGCCTGCTTTATTGTTACGATTAGAATTTACACATGTTTAAATATGCGGCTGCTGCTACTAGTTCTATGGGCAGAGCAATGTTTGCAAAATGCCGGTCAAATATGCTCAAAAAGTACAAAACACTTCTGTCCCAGCTGGCCATTAAATTGTGGCTCTGCTTATATAAACTATGGCCCATCATCAAAAACAATTGCTGATGTGTTACATATTTCTTCCATGAGGCATTAGATTTGTGAATATTAGGAAAATGTATATGTGTATCTATCTCTCTATCTGAATGCGTATAGGTAAAAAAATAGGCTAAAGTGTTTTCGTTTTTGTTTTGTTTTAAATTACTTATATTGGCAACTCTCATTACATTTCATTTGTTTATGCATATATATGTAGTTATGTAGTCAAATAATGCTCAATTAATGCTGCAATTATTTCGATTCTGTATCGTCGGCCAATGATGACAAAAAAAGGCTTACACAGGATTCAACCCATTTTATAAATACAATAGTTTTATGTAATAATTTATAGCACAATGTAATATAGCAAGCAGTTTCAAACTTTTTACACATGTCACACATTTTTCGCTTGCATTTTCATAATTGATTTAAACATATAATCGAGTTGGTGGTCTGGTCGAGAAAAACACAGGTAGCGGGCGACCAAAATCAAAACAAATTATCGACAATTTTTCAATTTGGAAATGAGGGGGACACAAAATTTGACACAATTTTGAGTTATAAAGCCGCGAGAAGTGCATGGTGTGCTGCCGGTGGCTTATAATATCGTTCGATTTGCATTATGAATGTATATACGATCGTGTGTATGTGTGTTATGTGTATCGTATATATATATAGTAACCAGCGATGCAAAAATTAATTTAATTTACTTGGTAATCATTTACGATAATATATAATATAAATTTTGTTTTAATTGTCTTCAGTTTTGTTGAGACATTTAGGCAAAAGTTTTGTTTGTTTTCATAGTGAATTTGTTTTCTTTTTTCTCTATAAATTTGTTAAGCAATAGTTTGGGTTTGTTGTTGGTAATTTGTTATCATAATTAATTTAAAGTGGTTTGCTCTTCCGCCTCCACGCTCGAGCATCGAATAAACTAAGGAGCTACACACTCGCTGCGAAGCACAGGACACAAATATTCATCTCTATCGATCTTAAGTTACATATATGTATATAGTATATTTATATCAAAAATCGGTTCGTTTACAATAATAATAGTGCCATCGTCATGTTCGTGTTGTTATTCTACAAATAAATATATATATTCGTATGTGCATATCTTTGCGGTCCAGGTGTTGGCACTCCACTCCACTTTCTCCTTAACAAGGAAACTCTCTAGTTATTAGGGGTTTGGGTCTGGTCTGGGACTTTAAACTAACGTCTGTCTTATGCTCTCTCATCTTGACCGCAGCTCTATATACACACATATATATATATATATTTGGTTTTAAATGTAGTAAGTGGATGCTTCGGATACATACTACTATTTCTCTGTGTGTTCTGTGTGTGGTGTTTTCTTTTCTCTTTTGCTTGTATGTAGTATCAAAAAACGTCAAAATGTAAAAAATGCATTCGGCTTATATGTATGCTTAGAGTGTCGTATACTCGTATGTATATACGCGATCTACGAGTTCCATCCATCTTATTTCTTGTATATAAATATTTAAAAATTTGTGTTTAGTTATTTGTTGTTGTTGTGGTTGTTGTTGCTGTTGCTCCTGTTTTGCTTCTTCTATGTTTGTATTTGAGTGTGGGCGTGTGTGTGTGGGGAGTAGGGTGTGGTTTTTGTGTTTGTGTGTGGCGGTGTGTTCTTTAGATATTTATCTTATTATGAATGATATGGCGTCACATAAGTGGCTGGGAAGATTCCTTTCCTATTGCCAATCTCGCCGTTCCACCAGTTTTCGTCGGAACGGTCTGTCACGGTGATGACATCGCCGCGTCTGAAGTCCAGTTCCCCGGATTCCTGTGGCACAAAGTCGTACAGCGCCTGCACGAGCATCTGCAACATAAAATATAATATAACTTTTGTTTCTTTTCTTTGCATCATTATTTTGTTTATAGTTTCTTTTTTTGGCGGGTATAACTGTGGGGCAGTGGTCGGCGGGCAAAAGCATGACCTCAATGTGTTGTGCGTAATATTTATTTTTAAAACAAATCTGTCTGCCTATCCCACTACCCACCGCCCACCACGCCACATGTCCGATGAGGAATGGTGAAGTGAATGATGAATATACGGCACACCCTTCCTTACCTCTTCAGGTATCATGTCTCGCAATTTGACATCCTGTGATCGTGAGACGCTCGCCGTCCGATGGTATTCTACCAGTTCGTTGAGGGAGTTGAATTTTACCACCCAGAGGAAGAACTTGCTTTGGGCATCGCGCAGAACTTTAAAATGTTGCACACCATCGGGACATCTAAAAAAGGGAATCACAATCACATTCAATCACAAGTAAAACACTGCAAAGGTGCTCAATCAACTCACTTGACTGATAGGGAGAAATCGCCGGGACTGGATTCGCTGATCCGTATCAAGAATGCACCTTCATGTTTATTCGATAGCAGCTTCTCGGCATCGGCGCGTGTGATGCGTCCATAGTACCAACTGTTGGATAAATTATACATTATCAGATCGGAGCATAGAGCAGTGTTGGTGCTGGTTAAATACTTACTCGTGATTTTTCATTTCTATGTAATTGCTTGGTATGAGACCTTCTTTTCCATCCAATTCGGCACGATACCAATTTGAATCGTCTTCCATGTTTAATATCTACAAAAAGAATATATAATTTTTAGTTGAAATGCGATGATAACCAACCGCACCCCCTAAATGTTAACTAACAATATAGATAGTATTCCATTCTCTTCTTTATCACCCATAGAATGGAAAACCACTGAAAAATTGCTTTGAGTTGCGAAAGATAGGACACTGTTCCCAATTAACTGAAGCTGGAGGTTGTTTTTCGATAAATAATTTTCAATTGTTCGTTCATTGAGCCGCGACAACTGTGTCACTGTGTAATCGGGCAACAGCAGCAGCAGGGCAGGCATTGAAGATGGGCTTATTGACCAGAGATACATTCGTATTATCTGTTATTCTCATATCTCGACTCGGGTTTCGGGCGCTAAAAATAAGCCCACAAAATGGTTGACATGTGATAAGAATGTTAAGTGAAACGCACCAAGTGTGCCGCAGCGGCGCGAGTACGTGAATTTCACTTTTATGCCTCCTAATAGATACATTTTGTGGCCACACAGTCAGCCATCCAGCTAGTAGTTTTTCGTTGTCGTCGTTTGCCCATTTCGCATGCCAATGACACAACACAACAGCTCCCAGGGCAGCAGCCAACGTAATCGCCTCTCAGCCGTCACCTCTTAAGATTCCATTCAATTGCCAAGCAAATTTTGGGGAATTCCAATAAGTTTCAAGGCGCTGGCTGATGCTGGGCCCCAGCTTTTACCATGAATGAAGCACCTGTACCTGTAGACAGTCAGTCAGTCTGTGATCTGATATATGGGCTCTGCGGATATCATTTCTAACTAATACTGGGTACATTGAGAATCATATAACTGGTTGCCATTCAGATATTCGATTTTCAAAACAGATTTCCTCTTATGCTATGGCAGGTGGCATTCGGTGGAGTTGCATTAATGAAATGGCTTTCATGTGACTCATACCAGAGCCCCCCTCTGGCAGTCTTTACACCCCACCAATGGACTCTGGGCACAGAGTGCTCTGTGCTCATGCAGGGAGCACAGAAAACTGGGTAGAGGGATTTTTATTTGCACCTCAAATAGTGAGACGGCGCCTACGGGAGTATTCCACAGGGTTATGTAAGTCCTCATTTATTGTTTTATTTGTTTGTTTGTTTTTGCTTTGAGAATGGCAGTGGCAGAGCTGTTGCTCGCTCAGCTGGATCCGTTCTCACTAATTGGCATACATCTCGCTCTCTCCCCCTCTCCCTCTCGCTACCAATGGTTCTAGTCGCCCTGGCCCTCGGATCCAACCCTCCGAAACCCTCCTCTATAACCAGGCCCGCCCGCATCTGTCACCCCAGACATTGTTTATCGTATATTTATTTTTATTTTTAGCCAATTTTCATTCATTGAACAACATCGACAGCGGCAACGAGAAATTCGTATTCGTATTCGAATCGGAGGCAAACAGTTCCACGGATTCCGTTGCGTTGTCGTCCAAGGAATGTACCCCAGTCCCCAGTGCCCCCGTCGACAATAAATAAATATGGTACAGCGATCTCGGAGAGCTGGCACGTACTAGTAGTAACACCCACCCCCCCAGCGATTGGCATTATCAATTTGTTCATAACTTGTATGTAATTACTGGAAAAAAAGGCATGAGAATTTGTGTGTTGTATTGTGTGGATGTGTGGCATTTGTGGGGATACGAACGATACTGTCACACGCCAAAACGAACGTCCGTCAAGCGAAAGTTGAGTGTAGAATAGCATTTCGTGCTATTGTCATGATAAAAGTAGAGTTTCACAATATTTTGTGGCTATATATTAAGCAAATTGTTGGATATCTGTTGGAATAGGTGTCTGAGAGATGCAGTAGCACTTTCCATCAAGAAACCAGTTTCAGTGCTTTTCTGGAATATGAATGAATCATGGGTTTCGAAGAGCATGAGCATGAGCAAGTGTGTGTACATACATACACACATATGTATATAGGGATCTTTGCTTTGTCTAGATAAGGCGGCCCCTCCGTATGACTAAGCAGAGGCAAATGTTCGAACTCATATCTGCCCAATCCAACAGAACACACTCTCCGTGGATCAGTATTAGCTGCCCCAGCCCTAGTCCTAGGCCCTAGCCCAGCCAGTATCAGTTGTTTACCGACTGATAAGCAAACGGGGAACCAATGAAATAGAAAGAGCAATGCACACACTTGACCTTCTTGCGATTGATAAGCAGTGGAGGAGCCTTTGCATTCGCCTTCTTCCCGAGTCATTGACATCATCAATCAGCGGGAACATTGTGCGGGCAAATGCAAAAGAGAGAAAAACCTGCCTGTTCTGTGTCCCTGCTGTGACTAACCTACGACAAGGTAGACACAGCACAGCAGCAGCAAAAACAGAGCTTGCAACAAGCGGCCTGCCCTGCCCTGGCAACAAGAAACCGGAAAATTCAGCCAGTCAGCCAGCCAGGCCAAAACAAAGGGTCTAGCACGGAGCACGGCAAACACCTGGAAGGGAACAGCGAGTAAGAGAGAGAGCGAAATGAGAAAGAAACCAGGCTCGTACGAGTATAGACGGAATTTGGCTGGTTTTCACAGCCAAACTTGGCGCGCGGGTGAGACGATTTATATATGTGCTACACTCGGAACGGAATCAGGGAATATTTGCTGGTTTATGCATCGCAAACTAGTTGCGAGGCTACACACACACACACACACATCGTTTAAGCTTCGATGGAGTCACATTTTAGAGTCCCTTCTTGTTGCACAAAACATTTGACCTCCTGGCTGGGGATTTGGTTACAGAATCTGTCTGGGGGCTTAGGATGTGGGTTAAGGCGACGAACGACCTGTGCTGAAGCAGATGCAATGCAATCCCTGCTAGACTCCTCACTCACTCACCTTTAGGATTTGAGTTTTGCGAAAACTGAGCTCATCGTCGGCCGTCGCGGAGAAATCGTGTTTGGCAACTGCTTCCATTTTTTGTATTTTTGTTGCTCCCCGTGCGTAATGGATAGCGCGTAGTTTTGTGTTTGTCGCCGTTTAGTTAGTCACTTGCTCTGTTTTATTTTTTGTGTTGTTTTATCAGCCAACCTAGCCTTGAATGCACCACACACACACACACGCACAGCATACATACATATGTACGAGAGGGTTTCGTATTTATATGCCTTATTTTTCAGCTCTGTTGAGATTAAAATAGTGCTGTGATTACTTTGATTTCCATTTTATTACATAAACAATAACTCATAGATTTGAATGCGCCTTGTTGTTCTCCTCTCCTTTCTTTAATATTCTTGGGCGAGAAAAGCGATTAAAAATACACCGACAACCGACAAGGCAGAGCGAGAATTGACAGGCGGCGGCGGCGACACCGACACCGACAGAGAGTGGAGTGTGTGCGTGCGTGAGCGAGCAGCGTTGCCAGCAGCATTCATTTAGCTAACTTAACCGATGACATCGGAAATTCACGGAAAAGCAGGTAGGACAAAAGCAATAAAGCACTGGCTTGCCGTGGGGCTGTTTCAGGGCAAATCTTGGCGTTTGAAGCCGACTGAATGTGTGTGATTTTAACAGGAATTTAATTTGACAAAGTAGGGCGTGTGTTCTTGCTGCTGGCAATGCTGTTCCTGTGACGTTGTTGTTTGTTTTAGTTTTTTTAACCCACACACACGAACACACACACTTGTATTTATATGCAAGGTTTTCGGCGAATTTTGTAGAGTCTCCACTGTAATTATTAGTCTATTCCAGGCGGTGTCGCAGCTCTCTAAATAATACAATTTTCCGACACTTTATCACACACTTTATATTAATAAATGCTTATTATAATTCACTTTTATTTTCATACGTGCAACGATAAAACTATCTATATCTAAACTATCGATTCGTCTGCCACTATCGATAGCCCTATTGCCCTATTGATAGTTTCATTGTTTTTTCATTGATACCGATAGCTGCGTTTCATTATTTCATTGATAGTTTCATTGTTTTTTCATTGATACCGATAACTGCGTTTCATTATTTCATTGATAGTTTCATTATTACATTGATACCGATAACTGCGTTTCATTATTTCATTGATAGTTTCATTTTTTCCCGATATCAGCGTATGGACTATCGATCGTCGTCCAGCTCTAGTACAAAGCGGCGCCATTTAAAAGTAGCGTCTGTCCAGAAAAATTCCAATTTCTTTTAAACTGTCAAATTAACATTGCTCGCCATCGAGATGCAGCGCTACAAGGACTTATACAAACAGCAATCCCTTGCTCTGAGCCCTCGCAACTTCAATGAGCAGAACCGGGAGCTCCAGAAAGCGGTGCGTGCCAAACAACGCGAAGATCGTTTTCAAAGCAACCGCATTATTAGCGTAAGTCCAACTCCCGTGAAGCCTGCGGCACGTAGCCTACGGCTTTCGGAGGAGGCCGAGCCACGCCTTACATATGTCGCTCCGCCGAAGGAGAACCAAAAACCAGAGCTGGCTCCACAGCAAAAGAAACCCACCCGGCAAGATCTTTACATGAAGCGCTTTCTCGACTGGAAGGCTTCCAAGAAGGAACAAACAAAGGATGAGCAAAACACTCGTCGCGGCCAACCGTTGCAATCGGCGCCTTTACAGAATTCTAGATTCACTCATAAAACCGGAACATTTAAACCTCCGTCGAACCTCCAGCAAGAGCAGGAGAACGCTCCATCATTTGTGCCGCCTAAAAGGCATTCTTTGTACGTGGTTGTAAATAAAGTGCATCCCACGAGCACGAAAAATCCTAGTTCAACGACATCGCGTCCTCAGCCAACCATATCACGTCCTCAAACCACAACGCGCGCCCAGCCTGCGGCAACCACAGTAAAACTTCATCCAACTACAACGCGCGCCCAGCCTGCGGCAAACACAGTAAAACTTCATACAACTACAACGCGCGCCCAGCCTGCGGCAACCACGGTAAAGCCTAATCCAACGACATCGCGCTCTCAGCCTAAGACAACTACAACGCGCTCCCCGCCGGTTGCTGTGAAGACGCAAACAAGGAATCTGCAGCCAACCACAGTAAAGCCTGCACCGTCACATGCATTGCCCATGAAGCCTACACCAGCACCAAAGCCCAAGGCAGCATGTGTGGGCGTTGGATCATCTGCAAATGGTGTTGTACACTTGCCAAATGTGAGGACCCAACCATTTGAGAAGCCGGCCGTGAGCAAAGCCAGCATGGCAGCGGGTCGCCGGGCCGAGATTGTGAAACCAAAGCCAATTCGTGGCGGCGGCGGAGCTGCTGGCAAGTTTAAGCCAGCCGCACAGACACAAGGGCCTGCTGTAAAAGACAAGCCTGCCAGTCAGTTTTCGATGAGAATGAAGGCCAAGAGCAACACCAGCAAGTACGTGAATCTTCAAAAGAATGTTCGTAACCGACCGGAGCTCAGGATGGAGTTGATTGAGGCTGCGACCACTGAACTGCCTCCCAATACGCCGCTGGATGAAAGAATTAGTTGCCCTGCCCTGGCGACGTCCACGCAGTGCAAGTCCAATAATTGCAGTGATCATATGTTGGAAGTCTTTGGTGACATCACAAGTCTAAGTCCAGTTGCTCCGCCAAGCAGCATCAGAGAAGCTGATGCAAAGGATGACGTCCCTGAGAAGTCGAAAGCGAAGCGAAAATTTGATTTTTCCCGATACTCTGTGGTCGAGTCGAAAGCCGAAGAGAGTTTGATCTTGGATCCATTTCTGGCTAAGGGTGAGTACAGAGTACGGCAGTAATAAAATCGATTAGCATTTAATATTATTGTTTTCCAGTTACAGACGAGCTAGATCCAGAAGAAGTGACTCTGAAGCCAGCTGAGGAGAATACACCTCCTCGCAGGATTTCCGATGGAAAGCCGAACTACTTGAGTCCGTTTGTGAGCGTTTCGCGCGGTAAAGTTAACTCTCGCTGTGAGCGGGAGAAGCGAAATAGCATGTATTTGCCCGGTGACGAGACTCCTGTGGCCATACGGCGAGCTATCGAGTCGGTGCTCTACTTTCGCATACAGCTGGAGAACGAGATTGGGCGACTGCGTGCCATCTGCAGCGAGTGGGAAGTCTATAGCAAGGAGAATGAGGCGCATCTGCTTGATACGGGTGGCATGGATATGATCAATGTGGCCATTGGACAGACAAATCTGCTCGCTACCAAGAAAATGTTACAGTTTAGCGGTCTGATTGACCGCTGTGAGGCGGGAGCTACGGGCAAGAACCATCGACCCTACGATGGCAGCGAGGCGACGAAGCCCGTGCAGGCAGAGGATCTGGAGGGATGGTGGGACATGCTGAGACTCCAGAGTGAAAATGTAGACAAACGCATTGACAACTTAAAGAGATGGAAACTGAACAATTGGCAGGATCCCGATGCAGTCGAAGACACGAAAATACCAGCCAAGATGGTGGCCAAACCAAAGGCAAAGCTGGGCAACAATTTGAAGGCAAAGCCCAAGGGCAAGGCTAGCAGTAGCTTGAAGCAATTCCTCCGGAAGGCCCATGCCGATATGAAAAAGATCAAGACCGATGTGACTTCTGCGGACAATTCTCCTCCCACTCCATCTCGCAGCAGCAACCAGCGTGTGATTGTAGTACGCGATCGTCGCTCCTTCTCTCCCGCTCGCACCGTCCTGCGCATGTCTGTCGGCGAGTGCCGTCCTTCCATTGGGGGCAATGCCTTGCTCAAGACTGCCATATTGGCGGCAGCCGAACAAAACGCTCTGAATCACACTCCCCCTCCGAATAAGGCACGCCAGTCGATTCTGAAGACGCCAGGGACCAACAAGCGTGAAAGCCGTGGCGTTATTTTCAGTACAAAGAAAAATGTACGTCGTTTCAAATTCACCTTCGATGAAGGCACTATCAGCGATGATGAGGCCGTCGGGGGCGATAAGCTAGAGGATTGCGAGGAGGACATGTCGCTGGAGGCTTCAGGGGAAAGACGTTCCCTAGACCAATGGCCAGCTGGAAATCAGCAGCAATCTGAGAATGGCAACACTTCGCGCACGTACACACTTCGCAATCGCAGGGTGCGTCTTAGGCCCTCCACTGAGTTTATGTAGTTTGTGTTTTATTTATTGTTTACAGTTTTAAAAATTTTTGTTAATATATGGTTATGTGTAAAATATTTGATTTCGATGTACTATGTAATTCCAAATGTCAAAGCTTAGATTTTAGTATCATTTCGAAGAAATCAATCAAATAAAGAATATAAATAGCGCAGTAGTTCTAGCTCAAAGCTCTCCATGGGACAATAACTTTGTTTACTCCTCGCCACAATCCAATGGTTTCGATACGGAAGATAAGGATTACAGCCTGAGGCTGAACACTGAGGATGGAGCAACACAACTGAGTCGACAGTTTATGATCAAAAGGATTGATCTCAATCCTCGCCATTAATATTCACGTAATTAATATTTTTATTTAAGATGTAAACTCCGCAATCGGTTCATCGACATCTTCAAATGCAACCATGTTTCTGCAGCGCTTCACAGCACTAGAGTCATCGCACTTTCTCGATAGTTCGCTAGTACAATTTAGATAAAATTCACATCAACTGCAGCAGAAATAGCAATTTAAATTGAATTTTGAATTTGCTGTTGCATTCGGAATGTAAATACGGTCCCATATAAAGTGCATATATAAGTGGTGCTGTGGAATACATTTATAAGGCGATTTTCGTGTGTGGTATTTTAGCAAGTGACCGGGACCGCAGAGTTCATAGTCGTTTGTCAGCAAGGCATAGATTTTCTTTTTGTTTTGCTTAGCATCGACCGCGCACACTGCAAATATTCAAAACAAACATAAAAAACTACCCGATAAGGACATACAATTTAAACGGGACAATGGATACCAGTTGTACTAATATTGGTAAGTTGTCTAGTGCCTAAGTCGAACTTTCGTATTTCAAATTGAATTTTCAACCTCTGGCCAGTACAGCGTGTACCCTGGCATGGCAGTTGGCTAGCGCTCATGTGTGTGACTGCTGGCGCGCAAATTATCAAACCGGCCAGCCGCCCATGCGGCGAGCATGGAAATCATTGCAGCATGCCCCATATGTGGCTGCATTATTCTGTCGCCCATTTTGAATGGCATATGTGATGATGTCGGCCGTAGTTTGCTTATTTTTGATAATTCGACCTCTGAGTGACGAAACGAAAATGTACCAAGTGCTTTTAACGAAGTGGGAACATCCCAACCAACAATTTCCCAACGCGGACCTTGCCAGACAGTTCAATACACGTATACGGTTGTGTGGCTGTGTGAGTGCTTTGTGGGGTACAGTCTTGGGGCAGTTTTGGGCGCCTGCTGGCTGCTAATACCAAGTATTTGCATGCGAAACAGCTAGTTAAAAATGCCATCAACTCCCGACTTGGTTGGAGTGCATTGGCGTTAGATTATTTGTGTGAGTGACAGCATATTTACTTTATTATGAAAAAATCGCGCAAAAATAATTTCCCTCCATAACGTAAACAAGAACTGCCAACTAGCTTAAATTGAACCAAATCAAACATCAATCAAAATCAACTTAATTAATATCTATGAAAGTAAAATATATATATTTATTATCTACATAATTTAATTTAAGCAAAGCGGGAACATAATTATATAATAAATGCAGTGGGTATCGAATGTACAATACTGATATGATATGATATCGATATATTGTACCGAGTTGACAGTTCGGCAGCACAGCACATTTTGTACGGTTTACGCAATTGACAATTTTCCCCTAAAATTGTAAAAAGGCTTATTTGCTCCCTTTAAGGACAAAGCAATATTGTTGTAAGTGCAGGAAAGTGCGACGAGGCTAGTACGACACAGCGCAACTCAAGTTTCTTTCAGTTTGTGGCCATAGAGAAAGCGCACGGAACCTTTGAATCATGTCACATGCATTTGCTGCTGCCGTATGCCGGTCGGCTGCCCCCCTGGCCATTCGTTGCACCCGCCGGGCCATGAGCTCATCCCGAATGCTGCGACTGGCCTGCGCCACCGGGTCGACCACTGTCAACCGGGACTGGAAGGGGAATAGTCTACTGCTCACTGGTACGACCGGCAACGTTCAGCAATATCTTCGACAATACGCCAATGAAAAGAAGGTCTTCGAGCGCACCAAGCCGCATTGCAATGTGGGCACCATTGGCCATGTTGATCATGGCAAGACCACGCTGACTGCAGCAATCACCAAAGTACTGGCGGACAAGCAGCTGGCCGAGAGCAAAAAGTACAATGAGATTGACAACGCGCCGGAGGAGAAGGCCAGGGGCATTACGATCAATGTGGCCCACGTCGAGTACCAGACAGAGTCGCGTCATTATGGTCACACGGATTGTCCGGGACATGCCGATTACATCAAGAACATGATCACGGGCACAGCCCAAATGGATGGTGCCATTCTAGTGGTGGCTGCAACGGACGGCGCTATGCCCCAGACCCGGGAGCACATGCTGCTGGCCAAACAGATTGGCATTGATCATATTGTGGTATTTATCAACAAAGTGGATGCCGCCGATCAGGAGATGGTTGACCTGGTGGAAATGGAAATACGCGAGCTGCTCACCGAGATGGGTTATGATGGGGATAGTATTCCTGTCGTAAAGGGCTCAGCTCTGTGCGCACTGGAGGATAAAAACCCCGAAATCGGCTCGGAGGCCGTTTTAAAGCTGCTGAAGGAAGTGGACAGCTTTATACCGACTCCAGTGCGTGAGCTGGACAAGCCCTTCCTGCTGCCAGTGGAGAATGTGTACTCTATTCCCGGACGTGGCACTGTTGTCACTGGTCGCCTGGAGCGCGGTGTGGTCAAGAAGGGTATGGAGTGTGAATTTGTCGGCTATAACAAGGTGCTCAAGTCGACGGTGACGGGCGTGGAGATGTTCCATCAGATTTTGGAGGAGGCCCAGGCCGGAGATCAACTGGGAGCCTTGGTGCGTGGCGTTAAGCGAGATGACATCAAGCGCGGCATGGTTATGTGCAAGCCGGGCAGTGTCAAGGCCATGGATCAGCTGGAGGCGCAGGTTTACATACTGTCCAAGGAAGAGGGTGGTCGCCCCAAGCCCTTCATGTCCTACATTCAACTGCAAATGTTCTCGCGCACCTGGGACTGTGCTGTCCAGGTGCAAATACCCGACAAGGACATGGTCATGCCTGGCGAGGACACCAAACTGATACTGCGCCTTATCCGACCCATGGTCATGGAACAGGGACAACGTTTCACTCTGCGCGACGGAAATCTGACTCTGGGCACGGGTGTGGTTACCAAGACCATGTCGGCTCTGACTGAGACGCAACGCTCCGAGCTAACTGAGGGCAAGAAGGCGCGCGAGAAGAAGGAGGCTGCCAAGAAGTAATAAAAAATGTGTCGGCTATTTAATAAAATCATATATTTAAGCACTTTGTATGCGTATTCTGTAAGTTGTTGGCAATTAATTGCAGTCGAGAAATAAACGAAACAAAAATAAACTAAAACCTGCAGAAAAACTATTTTTAAATTTCGTTCTTGTTTTGAATGGAGTGTTTTTTTTATATCGATTATATATTTATTTATATCGAGTAAAGTGTAATACTTTTCAACACTAACCCCCAGTGCTGGAAAGCGAAGTATCGCAACCGCCTTGAACGCAGCTGATGATAAAGAAAATTTTGAAATTGAATTGAAAATAATTGCAATTATGTACTCTCATCGGTGGCAACGGTCATCGGGTATAAACAAGAACGTCAAAGCCAATTGACCAACTATTAATTGCAACCTTTTTCGCACACAGAATCTTTGGACGACAGCACGCCATTACCCGAACTCAGTTTCGAAGACTTTTTGGAGCCAACGCAAGAAGAAACTGCCACACAGCACCACATGGAAATCGATGCACTCGATTCGGATGAAGATGGCGGTTCTGGGAATGAGCACTCATTTTCCATAAACGAGTCATTGAACACTCCGCAATTCAAAAGATCCGTTGTCACCATACTGGAGGACAAACGTTTGAGGACGCCTGGACCCGCTGTTTTGAAATCGCACGCTATCAAAGTGGTTACAGCAGGGTCGGGAGCAGTCGCACCAGTCAAGCCACAAATAACTGACATAAAGATTCTAAACAATTTTAAGCCTGTTTCAAGCAATACTCTGAAGATTGGCAATACAACTGTTGCAGCAACATCGTCTTCGGGTGGAACACCCAAGGGAACACCCTTAAACAGCCTGACCATGACACAGATCAAGACGCCGGATGGAAAAATTCTCTACCTTCAAAAGTCAACGCCAGCGGGAGCCTCTGCGAAAACAACTGTGGCCGCTTCGACACCTACCATCTCCAAGGGAGCAGTCAATGTATCATCCGCAGGAGTTGTACATCATCTAGTCGCCCCAACGGGCCTTCAAAAAGCAATCGTCTCCAAGGCCGTGAACGTTGGCAGTTCTGGACTTGTCAAGGCAGCCGTGCCAGGGAAAGGAGGTACCACGCCCGTAACCATCAAGGGCATAACTCCACTGGGCGCAAAGAGTGCATCGTCTGCCAACTCACCCACATCAACTCCGGCAGCCAAATTTCAGGTGGTCCGGACATCGGATGGAAAGATAATCAAGATTAATCAGGCCAGCCCGTCCATGATTATCAACGCCAAAGCAACCACGACCAGCACACCGGCGACTGGAGTCAATGCAGCAACATCTGCCCATAAACTGTCACCGTCAACTGGTAATGTGGGGCTCCGGAAGTCGATTGGGCAAGTTGTTATCAAGGCAGCTCCACCCAAACAAGGACCAGACGTAAGCAACAGTTCCACGTTGATAACGACTACCACCGGCACATCTGTCACAACATCGGTCCCTCCAGGAAAAATGTTGGTGCAAAGTACGGGCAAGCAAATTGTGGTGTCCAGCAAGAACATCATAAAGCTGTCACCCAAAGCAGGTGCCACCAGCAGCACAACGAACATCAGCGGAGCCCCAGGAAACTCGCCTACGAAAGGCATACATGCTGTACAAATTCCCGGCAAGGGCGGTGTCGTGCAGTATGTTCGTGTCCTCTCAAACACTAAGGAGGTGGGCAGTAGCAGCAGCACATCAGCAGTCGCCAAGCCGAATTCCGCGGCAAAGGTAACCCTTGTGCGTTCTATCATGCCCATGGCTGGATCCTCAAACAGCCCATCCACCCCAACAGCAGGAACTAAAACTCCTTCTGTGGGCAACACAAACAAGATTTTAATGAAGACAACGGGTGGAAGCATTGTTCCGCTTCCCTCTATGCAAACGTTGATTTCCAAGGTGAGTTCCAAAACCATACTACATATACATATATGTAAATACTATCCTTGGTAAACGGATAGCTAACATTGAATGAACCTTTGCAGCGTGCGCTGGGCGTCACCAACACCAAGTCGCCTGCCAGCAATAGCGGCAATCCGGAATCGCCCCGCAAACACAGGCTAAACGATCTCAATATTCAGCACTTGGCTGCTGGGGACGATGCCAGCGATAGCAGCGAAGCTGGTCCAGAGACCAAGAAGCCACGCTTCGTTATATCAGTAGCGCAACCCTCTCAGCTGCAGCAGCAGCAGCAGCAGCACAAGCAGATTGTGACACGTCCTTCGTCCATACAGCGCGTCACGGTGCAGGGGGCCAACTCCAACAAAATGACTCCCAATTCTGCGAAGAAAGTCTACAATTTGGTGCAGTCAGCCAATGGAGTAAAGTACATGATTTGCAATTCTGGTGTTCCCCAGTCATCGACCAGTGCCATGCGACGTGGATACACTGGCTATGTGGACAGCAAGACTCGTCGTCCCCTTTCCATAGCAGCACAACAGCATCGCTTGCAAATTACTCCACTGCAACAGGCAAAAAATTTGCAAGCATTGCAGGCCCAGGCCAAGCAGAGGATACGGCAGCAGCAGCTGCAAAATCAACCATCAGCGGTTCAGCTAAAGGCGGCACAGGCCACAGTCCAGCCTCCTCTAGCTAATAATGATGCTAATGCCAATGCCAATCCTCAAAGCGCCAAGATTTTGCCTGGGAAACCGCTCTTCGAGATACTAAAGTCTCCCAAATCCGCCTCACCGCCGGCGACTGACGCACTGGGGGGCGCGCCGGGGCGACGTAAGCATTGTAATTGCAGCAAGTCGCAGTGTTTGAAGCTCTATTGCGATTGCTTTGCCAATGGAGAGTTCTGCCAGGACTGCACCTGTAAGGACTGCTTCAATAATCTGGACAACGAAGTCGAACGAGAGCGAGCGATACGCAGCTGCCTAGACCGCAATCCCAGTGCATTTAAGTACGTGTTGTTTTTTTTTTGATTGCCACTGCCATCCTGTTTGTTTGCTTAAAATTCTTGTTTGGATTTCTTTACAGACCCAAGATTACGGCGCCAAATTCGGGTGACATGCGGCTGCACAACAAGGGGTGCAATTGCAAACGGTCTGGCTGTCTGAAGAACTATTGCGAGTGCTACGAGGCAAAGATACCCTGCTCTAATATGTGCAAATGCGTAGGTTAGTAAAAGACAAAGCACTTTAGGATTTCTGTTCCCTGATCTAACTAAAATTTTTTATTTTTGAAGGCTGTCGGAATATGGAAGATCGTCCAGATGTGGATATGGACTCTATAGACAGTCTAGTGGATGGCGAAGACTCGAACAAGGCCAGAGACGCGAACGACAAACAGTCGCAGGATGATTCGGATCGGTATTTGTCTGACGATGTGGTAGAGGCGACCATCATGTGCATGATATCTCGTATTGTGATGCACGAGAAGCAGAATACGGCTATAGAGGATACCGAGCGTGAGGTGATGGAGGAGTTGGGCGAAAGCCTGAATCAGATTATTTCTTTTGGCAAGGAGAAGGGCGACACAAATGAGCTGGCAGACTCCATGGAATTAGTTTCTTGATATTTGAACGTAACATGAATTAGTTTGTAAGATCAAAGCGTACTTGACCTTTTCCCCCCTAACTTGTACTCTTTTCATGGGCTTTATAAAAGTTGACCTTAAAGTAATGTGTAAAGTTTCAAATGTATATATGGATATATATCAATATCAAATCAATCATGCATTAACTCGTACATTAGCTAATACCAGATTTAAGATAACATTTACTTCGTATTACCATTGAGGGTTTTTCACCGCGGACTTTAATATTGTTTATTTGTGAGAACTCTTCCGCAACCTTGATGTAAATAATTGTAACTACATATATAAAATAAATGTTTAGTTGGAAAAAAAATAACAGAGTCTTTCCTTTGGCAAGTGGTTTCCTAAGAGACATTTCATTGAGTAAAAAATCATCGTTTGTTCTCGAGTGTAGCTTGTTTATTCACCAACAACTTCAGTTACATATTTGTAGTTTGCATTTGCATTTCAATTACAATAGAATTGTTTCCAATGTATAAGATAAGGGCGAGTGCGAGCATTGTAAACTCAACGCAATTTAGTTTATTTATCCCGATATCGTTATAAGTAGTATCTCTATGAAATAAACAATTGTCCAACGACTAGTGCATAGATTATATGTTTATATATAATAGCTATAATATTGTATTCATATCAATTAATAAGCGGATTGTTTGTAGTACATATGTATATTCTACTCGGTCACCATTTGGCTTTATATAGTAAATGTAAGTTTTCTGGTTAGGTTTCTCCCGGCTCTCACCCTAAACATGGCATGGCATGAGTACACATCGTCACATCGTTTTTTAGTGTGTAAGGTGTAAGTGTGATAATTATCTAAGGACTATAATGCATGTTTAGTTTTTATAAATATTTGTCTTGCTATATCATATTGTGTTGTGTTATATTGTGTTGTATTTTGACTAATATGCTCGCGCTAAACTATAGAAACGAATATATAATATTTGGTTTCCCTGCGGTCATTCGCATGTGAACTTGAGAGAGAGTATGTGTGTGTGTGCGATTATTTCATATATTTAAGTATATATGTATATGTATATAGCAAATACATACAGTATGTCGCTAAATATAGTAGTGTAGTGTGTATATTGTAGCATAGCATTTAGTTTATATTTAATACTGTGCACAAAACGCTTTGGTTAATTGTTGTAGCATAATAGCTTTGTTTGACCCCATACCAGCTTTTTGTGTGTGTTTTTAGAATCGTATTTTGCAATCGATAACACACTTTTTTTTTTGGTTGAACATTTAAACATTAAGTTAAATAACAATAACGATTTGAATATGAGTAATTCTAAGAGTATGTATAATTTGTATGTATGTATATTGTTGTTGTTGTTGTTGTTCATTTATAAGCTATATTGTCTAATTCACACGTCTATATTGAATGCTGAGCCCCCCGCCATCCACTATTCTATTCGAACGGGGAGCCAAAGCACAAGGTTATAGCAGTATAACCTTATGAAAACCGAACAAAACCTCTTGCTAAATATCAGATCAGTATAGATACATTTAAATACATGATGTATATATTGAATACAGGTTGCATGCCCTGTTCATAAATATGTATGCATGCCTGCTTTAACGGGTTTTTTTTAATAGTATCAAATCTTTGAATTAGTTAATTTACTATATAGTAAAATGTGTGTGTTTGTGTTTGTGTTTGCATGATTGAATTCGGCAATTCTTCAAAGCGTGAAAAGTTACAACGAACACAAAGTCAAAGTCTATGTGGATAAATATTAGTAGATATTAGATATTAGATCTGTATGTCTATAGTTTAAGTTTCACAACAATGGAACAACGATGATAATCAGCAAGTACTTCAGCTATGCGTATGTACAATTTTTTCAATATAACCTCATTGTATACCTGCGATTTACTACATTTTGTTTGCTATTCAACTTTTGTCGTTTTGCCAGTCTGGCCTACTACTATTACAGAGCTATTTTCCTTTATTTTATTGAATCCTGGTCAATGCGTGCAAAAAATTGTATTCTAAGGTGGCCCATAAATGGTGGCGCGCTGTGTTGCATTATAATTTTATGGATTTTACATGATCCTCTAACGTGATCAAAACACTTAAAGACACTTGCAGCCATTCAAGTGTCTTGCGGCAGTATCCGATTGATCAAAGCTGATCCGAGCAAGTCGGGGAACGAAATCGGTAATACGCATGAGGGAAACATTGAAATTTTGGGTGGGAATACATACGATAGAGCTATAGTTTGAATGAAGGTTCTTGAGGAACTCACTTTAGCGATTTCATTCCCCCACCGTTAAATGGAGTTAAAAACATAAAATGCAAAGAAAAATTGTCACATATTGTGCACGCATTTCACTATATTCGAGCTAAGCCTATTTATGGTATGCTATGGAAACGGATTCCAAGTACGGTTTCTACCACAAGCCTATTAGTAATTCCCTTAATGTGTCAGATAACTTTTGTGTGTGTGTGTGCTATGTGGGCACCAATTTTACAAGAGTGAGTGTATTGCGAATATACCACATAAAGTATAATGTATCAAAGTTTATTTATGGGTGGTTACTGGGATATATATTCAACTAGATTCCGATAACTAACTTTAACAACTTTAAATTTTAAATTGATTTAGTTAAAGAAGGTCGGGTTTGAGTTCGATATCGAGTTCGTTATCGAGTGTCCCGATAAAGCCTGTCAAGAGCCACGCCGTATTGCCTGAAAGTTTTAATGGGACTGGGGAGCCTCGGAACGGACAACATTCTACCTTCCACTGTGATCCGAGAGAACAAGGTTGCCCTGGTTTTTTGGTTTAACATCTATGAAATATTTTTTCTTTATTGTAGAGTTGTTTTAACATAAACAAAAATTAATTTTCATGATTGGAATGCAATATTCCCAATCCATTTGGCAGAACGTCCTCGGAAAGCACAAAATTACAAGCACGAAATGAGTCATGGAATGCGTAAGGCCTCCTCCACGTCTAAGCCGTAACAGTCCATAATAATCTACCAAGATCTTTCACCACAGAGGGACCGCATCTGCATCGCCCTACAAACGACATCTTTCGCGGCGATCCATTCAAAATTCAATCGTACAAATTTCGCTATGCCGATCGACCTGTCTACCCAGTACAGCACTATCAGCGGCCCGAGCCACAGCCGCTGCCCAGCCGACCGCAACAGTTCGAGACATTCTACCGCAATCCCAAGTTTTCCAGCGATCCCGAGCACGCTCCAGCGACGCCGAGCGCCAGTTGGACCCCGCAGAACACCACGCCCTTCGTGGAGAACAGGCGTCGCAAGTTCTTGCGCGACTTCCAGTCCGTTCTCACCGCACCGAGTCGACGAACCTTCTCTGGTGCAGGCCAGCCGGAGGGCGTGCAGCACCAGCGTAGTGTCTCAATGGTCCCCCAGCCACGACGCCCCATAGAAGTGACGAACTCCCCACTGCTGCAGACGTGCTGCAATCGTGACGACTATCAGACGATAGTTCGGGGACAGAGCGCCACGTCCCTGTTGCGGAACTGCAGCACTAATGTGCTGAGGCCTGACGCACCTAGGAGCGCCTCCATGGCTACATTTGACAAGAGGGAAAGGGAGTGGAAACAATCGGTTGTCAACAGAACCAGTTCCAACATCCAGCTGCTGCCCAAGCGAAGCGCCTGCAGTGGCTGCGAAATCAACATCAACATCGGTTCCCTAGACTCGGAATCGGAGGCGGACAACAATTTGAGAATCAAGATTGAGACGGACACCTGTCTGCTGAACAACACGGACAGGGCGAAGCAGACGGAGAGACACCAGCGATCAAGCAGTGCCAGCCGATCCACGCAGACCTTCGGCATAGACAAGCGTTTGTCCAAGTTCTGTGTGGCAGACAACAAGGCCCGGAGAAGCTCGGAGCAGGATGCCCAGCAACGGGAGAGGGAGCTGGAGCTGAAAATGGAGCGAGAACGCGCCAGGCAGCGGGAGAGGGTGCGCGAAAATCTGCGCCAGCAGGAGAGGCAAAGGGATAACGAGCGCCTCCTCGAACTCGAGGTGGAGAGGGAGAAAGACCGCCTCAGAGAGCTGGAAAGAGAGTCCCAGCGACGGAAGGAGTACCACGAGTACCAAGAGTACCAAGTGTACCAAGAATACCAGGAACAGCTGCGATGGGAACAGGAACAGGAACAGCAGAAGAGGCAGGAAGTACCGATGCGTGCCATGCCCATATCCCCCGTGATGATGACCTCTCACTTGTACAGGCGCACCTCCAACGATCGACTGCCCGGCATGGTACACTTCTGTGACCGCCCGCCTGCCGCGGCCAGTAAGCGGGCCAAGCGCCTGCAGAGCTGCTCCAAGAATCTAACCTCGCTGAGGGGCCTAAAGAAGACCACAGCTCCTGTGGAGACTGCGCCTCCTCTCGCGCCTCTCGCCCCAACGTTCACTACAACTCCTCCTACTGTCAGACCTCCAAGGAGTCTAGAGCGGACCAGTTCGGGCACGTCGAATGGCAACGTCTATGTGACGGTGAGCACAAATGGTAGCAGCTCCAGCCTGCGTCGGCCATCGGCCACAGTACTGAGCGAGCAGAAGCAGCTGAATGGCAGCGCCGGAACCCATGCCCCCAATACCCCCATTCTCACAAGGCTCAATAATATACCCATTAGGATAACAACATCGCGTCCCGGAGACAGGGACCTGGAGTTCTCTATGAACCAAGTGCGGCTACGAAATAATTCACCCATGCCGGGTGTGGCTCCAAGGCTGAGCACAAGTCGGATGCGACAGGGGACGACAGACGACTGCTCCTCCGTACACTCCTTGAATGTGAATATCAACGTCTATGCGGACACCACCTCGCGTAGGATGCGTATGTAGAGGTAGAGCTTACACCTAGGTAGGCTCAATATCAGGAAAATTCTGGAACCCTGCCCCTCAGGCAGGTGAATTCGTAACGGGAATGTGTTTCAGAATTGGTCTGATGTTGAACCCACCCATTAGTCTCTCCCAGATGCGGCACTCGTGTTAAGCTGACTTCAAGTTCTCGGACTTTTGTTTTAAATTGGGTATAAAATGCATATAAAATTAATTAAAAAAAGTGTAAGTTGCTACAGAGATTGTGTGTTTGTTATTTCCTACAGTAGATGCTGCCAGTTTAAAGGTATTCCCCCCCCCGTCCATTAAATCAATGCAATTGCAGGCGCCTGCTACCTGACACAGCAATAAAACCTTCTATTCTGGGAGTAGAGTTTTGGTTACAACTCCTAAAAGCTCAGTAAACTTTACATACAGTGGCATCTGTTGGTTTTCGATGCGGTGACTGTACTTTAATTTCGTTTTTCATTAGTTCCAATTATGAATTACAACTTTGGTCACTAAATTGCCTCCGGCATATAGTAGGGCTCTTAAGATTGTTAGAGAAGATCCTCTGATCGTCTTTCGTTTCTATGTAGTACCAAACTAAAAGTTACCCGTCTTCACCGAACATCTTGCCCCTCATATTGAGCTTTCTCTCTCTATTTATAATACATTTTTGCTCTGATTATAATTACTGTATTTAAATTTTTGTGCTGTGCTTGTTTCTAACGTGTGCGACTTATTTTGGTTTGTAGCTGCGGATCTGCTATAGGAGGTGAGGTTAGGTTAGGTTTCTTTTTCGATATGATAGTAGAGGAGAGTTGGTTATTTAACACCATAACATTGAACAATAATAACGATTTCCATTGAAGTTGCATATGATTTGTGTGATATTGTTGGTTGTGTTTCCTTTTTTTGTTTCTTTGTTTTTTTTTTACCCAGTTTTTCATTTTCTTTCATATTTTTTTTTGTATTTTTGGTCACTCTTTTGGCGACATTGCGTAGGAGTTTATTTGTGATCAGAGTAGGATTCGATTCGATTCGTCATTTATTCGTCTTCGTCGTAGTTCTGATAGGTGACATAACGTACCTGTTCCCGATCGCGTCCATAGATCAATGACTGCAATGAATCAAGTTTAGTGGAGGTTATTAATTATATTATATATTAATATTGCTGGTGACAAAAGGCAAATGAAACTCAGACGGCTACAAATAAATACAAATTAAAAGTTTTATTACAATCAAATTAAGATGAACTTAAATCTAAAAATAACAATAACACTGATAATGACTAATAATACAAAAACTAAAAATACTTAGTACAAGTATCGTGTAAGCGATATCGATTGGAAAAGGAATAAACGCGCTTAAAGGGGGCAAAATTTAATTTCTATAAAGGAAGCGAAAACTGTGCTAGAGCCGCTCGCTCTCGTATCCTTCATTCGACTTGCCAAGCTCTGCCGTGCCATGCATAATGGCTGGACAGGATGCAGTCAGCTGGGGAATTGAATTACCGCCACCGGCACTGGCCTCGGCCAGTTCCGCTTCCGCTTTGGCAGCCGCAGCCGCAGCGGCTTCCCTGGCCATACGTACCTTTTTCTCATCGCTGGTCGGTGGATTCTTGAGGAAAGTCAGGAGCGGGGCGTACATGAAGCAGAGCATGGCAATGCCGAACAGCATCCACTCGAAGCCGATGCTCTTCACCAGGGAGCCGGAGAGGGCAGGTCCCACAGCAAAGCCCACGCAGAAGGCCACGTCACCCAAGGCATAGACGCTGCCATAGACGGCCGAATGGCGGATGTCCACCAGATAGCCCAACTCCGGCATCATCGAAGAGTCGACCATGCCAATGGCAAAGCCGAGACCGGCATTGGGAATAATCAGATGTGTGATAGAAGTGGCCATGGGTATCTGCAATGATTTTGAGTGAGCCCAAATCCATTTCAGAATTTTTAAGCAAGACCTACAAAGATCAGGCAAGCTCCAATGATCACCAGGCCGAGGCAGGCGGCAAACCAGCGTCCAATCTTGTGTCCCAGTGGTCCGAAGAGGTTCGTGCCAATCAGATAGCTAATGGAGGCCGGCAGGAAGGCGACGCCCTGCTCCCAGCGCGTAGCTCCCATGTTGTCGACCATCCACAACGGCAGCGAAGGTTCCAGCATGGCAATACCCATATTGGCAAAGGTGATCGCTCCGGCGGCAATCAGAATGTACGGATCACTCACCAGCGACTTCAGGGATGGAGGCTCGGACTCGCATTTCTGCACCGATGGCTGCAGCATGAACAGCTGCAGCAGGCCATCGCCCAGGGCCAAGGCAGCCAGTATCAGGAATGGCGCTGACTTGCCCACAAACTCGTACATGACGCCGCCAAACGGTGGGCCAATGAGCACGCCCAAAGCCAGACCGCCCAACGCAATGCCCATGGCATTGCCGCGCTCCTTGTCGTCCGTGAAGCGATCTGCCAACATACCCATGCCCGACACCGAGGAACAGGACGAGCCGATTCCCTGCAGAGCTCGGGCCACAAACAGCACCAAATAGGAGCGACCAAAAGCGAAGACTACGAAGGAGAGAGTGGGCGAGGTTAAGGGGGATGATGTGTCAACTTTTTCTAGCCAATTATGTGGAACTCACTTATCGTGGAGAGGAACATTATTACGAAGCCAGCGAACATCGGTATGCTATAGCCAATGCTGTGAGAGGGAGAGAGGGAGAGAGGGAGGGACAGTCATCATTGCAGCCCTGCGGGTAGTCGGCAACTCGTTAACTTACCGGTGCGTAAGGGGTCCCACAATCGGATTAACCAGCAGCTGGACGAAGGCTTTCGAGGCGAATAGCAGGCCAACCTCGACAGTCTCTCCGACCAGTTCGTTGTGACGCTCCTCTAGCTCACGGTAGTAGGTCTCGTTCTCTGTGGGATTGGGGTACGGGGCATAAATCACATTTTTAACGCGTTGCCAATTAGACTCACCTTCCGGGCTCATGGTGGAGATCTCAAGGGGAGCCGCCTCGCTGCCATCCTTGTTGCACGGACACGGCGGCGGTGCCGGGGTGTGAAAGGTGAGTGGGGTGCGGGCATAGCTGTCGAGCGGGGCATCCGGATGTCGTATGTCGTACAGGAACTCGGGTATGATGGGCACTGTGTACGATGATGCGGTGCGTTACGGAAGGTGTAATTAAAAGGAAAAAAAAATAAAAAAATCTTCGTACAATTAGCCTAAGCGGCCGCTCGATGGCGCTGTTGCCGAAAGCAAGTCTATGGCATAGCTTGGGCCGCCACGGCCGCTCTTTAATTGCATTTGGTGCTAAAAGTTTTATAATTGCTTTGCCAGTGCCAGAGATTGCCTCGGCCTAATTGAGTTGCAAGCGGCAACCGGCAGCCGGCAACAAAAAACGAAGGCCAACGTGGAAGGCAGGCAGGCAAAAATTGTGCATACGCCAACCCAAGACGACGATGCGTTTAATTGACTCTCCAAAAAGGGGTTCCCCAGTCGGTGTTCAGGTCTCTCGCATAGCATAGTCCATGCTGTAGCGTGTAGCCTCCCCCCTATCCCTCTTCCGGGGCAAATTCAATTTGTTTGTTGCATGTTTCGACTCAGTTTATATTTATTATCAACACCCGTAAAACGACTGCATCACTCAGACGTACCGTACCCCCAGTACTCGTGCTGGTACTCGTACTCGTAGTCGTAATTGCATTTCCTGCCAAAGGCTAGGCCGAGGTCGGACATGGCTGATGGCAATGGGGGCTACTGCTGACTATTCAATTGAGAGTTGCAGGCCCCCCCGTTGCACCCACCGTTGAGTGAGTGCTGAAAGTTGTTTGAAGTACTGTTGAGGTAATTTGTTTGTACGTAGACAGGTATTCGTGGTTATCCCACTGACATCACGAGTGCCAGCATATGGACAGGGGGTTGTGGGTAGGGGCCATTAATTGGGGCCTTTATGTTGTTTATGTTGTTTATGTTGTTTAATGGGGTTAGATACTTAGGCAAACTTTTACTGTTTCGCAAATGCATATATCATAGCCCACCCCACGCCCCTATCTGGCACAGGCTCGTGCTGCCACGTGCCCCGGGGTTTTCCAATGAGTTCAAGCGAAAGGGGAAATCTCGCCTGACCTGGAACCGACTTGGCTTTAGACTTATGATGCCTCGTGTCAACCGCATTCCACCTGTCACATATGTTGGCCATGTAAGCCGACATGCCATTTGGCAGCTTTGCTTTGCCAAAAAAGAGGCCCCCGTTCGGAAGGGAAACCCTTTGGGGGTGCCCATGCCATGACATGCAAGCGGAAATGTATGCAAATTTCCTCACGACTCCTTTAATTGGGGCTAACCACTTGGAATGCCACAACATCCAAACGATTAGCCAACCTGTTTTATGCGACAAAAGGAGAATTGTTGCCTAGTAATTTGTAGGTATCAAGTCGCCTCCGGCAACTCATTAAACGGTCTCAAAGCTTTTGACACACAAACAAAAAAAATAAACATTCTGGGAAAAGCACGTGCAGCACATCGAAGCAAGGGATGGCAATGGGTTTGGATTTGTTGGCATCGTGGTGGTGGTGGTGGAGCAGAAATTACCCCAGTCGCTGCTCCGGTTGCATTTCGCGTGCCGAAGACACTTAAACCGCAAAGCCAAAAGGAAAGCGACTCTGGCAGTCTGGCAGCCATGCAGCCAGACAAACAAACAAACAGTGACTGGAGCTGGCCAGGGCTACGAGACTTGGTAATCTTGGTAGCCGAATCACTTTGACTGTGACTGTATGGATACGGATACTGTATGTTAAATGTAGCCAGAGGCAGAATGGAAGTAATTCCCGTTGGTGGTTTATAAAGCCAAAGAAATGAGCAAGCCTATTAATCCGCATAAGTATCCTTCGATGCTTTAACAGATGACAGAATTTATGGCACGACCAAGAGAAGAACCAATAAGAAGAAGCTTATGCTCATGTCCTTGAAGTTAATTCAAACTTTGCTGCCTGTAGTCAAACATAGTCCGCAACAGCTCGATCCAAATAATCAACTTTATAAGTGACGAACTGCAGCGACACTTGCCCATCCCTGTGGCCCCTCCACATGGTCACAGATACATCGATATGCAGGGCGACATTCGCTGCGCTGGCGATGATGGTGGCGGCGGCGTTGGCGGCGTCGTCAAGCCAAACAGCGGCGGCAGTGAGGCAACAACTGGCGAGGCAGCCAGTCATCGACAGGCAACAAGGAAGTCGCCAGAACCACAGTTGTGCGACAAAAAGTATGCGCCCTGAGTTCGTTTTGTTGGATCCATTAATATGCAAATCATTTAATTACTCAGAGAGGGGGAGGCGGAGACTGAGACGACTGAGCAGGAAATGCGTCCCATTTGGGAGTCGGCCAGCAGGCCGCTGTTTGTGCGCTCCGTGTGGCAGGAGGCGATAGGCAGGCGCCACTTCATTCTCGACTACGAGCCACGCCAGAGGCAGCGCTGGAAGCGCCAGAAGACGCGACCCAAAGGTAAGTCGAAGAAGCATCCGTCCCCAAGCGGGCAGTTAGTGATGGACTACCGCATCCCACAGGGAACTATCAGCAGACCCAGTCCTGCGAGGAGTACGAGCAGTCGGCGGAGGAAAGTATCGATCTTCTGGACGAGTATCTGCTGCTGGATGCCACCAAGCTGACCCTGCAGCAGCAGCAACAGTCCTTCCCTACTTTGGGCGGAAGAATGAGTGCCACTTCAGGCTCGGCCACGGCGCTGGGCAGCAGGGAACAAAGGCAGAACAGTCGTCAGGCCAAGAGGCGTGCCTGGCTGCTGAGCAGGGGCAAAACCTACAACTTGGACCACCATCTGGCGGAGCATCAGTCGCGACGCAGCTCACTGCAGGATCCCAGCACAGCCCCCATGACGGCGAACAATCCCGAGGAGCGGCTGGCCGAGCGAGTGCTCCACTGGCTGGACCTGGCTGGGAGGAAGGACATCGTGAAAGAGGCTGCCATCCAGCCAGTGACCAGCAGCGCACAGGTGGCCAGGGCCAACCAGAGGAGTCAGCGCATCCACCACCGTGCAGTGAGCCTCAAACGAATGGTGACGGCGGCCGGGTGCGCGAGCCAACAGCGCTCGATGGTTAGAAAGTCCAGCACCAAACCGCAGCAGACCTCCAACCACACAGTGGTCAGCTGCTCCTCCGCTTCCGCTTCCGCCTCAGCCAATGCCAATGCCAATGCTAAGCCCATTACTATCATCTTCAACAAGGAGGGCATCCCCGTTCGTCTCAATCGACCGGCACGCAACATTGATCTCTGTGCGTTGAGCAGCAGTGCCAGTGCCACGAGACGTCTGGCCGGACAGTTGGCATCTGCCCGACTGTACAGTGGAGCAGCCGCCTCTCCCCCACACTCCGAGGAGACGCGCACCCCGCCGCACAGCAGTCGGTCGGGACTGGCCGCCACCGGTTTGGGTTCCTCTGTCAGCCTGGACAGCCGGAAGCAGCTGCACATCTTCATGCCCAGCCTGCCCAAGAAGGGGCTGCTGGCCACGCCTGCTGCAGGGGCAGCTGCTGGCTCTGGCGAGGATGCACTGAGCGTCAGTTTTAGTGAGTTGTGCCAGCTTTAGCTTTAGCTGGGAAATCGTAACCCATTAAATCAGTTCAGCGTTGTAATTAATAAAGTCACACACCATTACCATATTCCACAAAAATGCCTTCGAGATCTGTGGTCCAGGGCCATTGCCAAGTGATCGTTTGGCTGAGCTTAGCGGAGGTTTCCCTACCATTTAGCTGTCCAAGTTCATTGGCACTCGAGTGGTAGCCTAAACTCAAGGTACGTCCCATACCACATCGGAAACTTTGCTGAATGTTTCCGCACGTGTTTGCCACGGGAGATAGCAAGCGTTATATTTATGGGGCCACAGAAATGCCACGCCTCAAAGCTAGAGCAGGGGTATCCACCTGTACCAACCTTTTTTCTTGTCCTATTAACATGCCAAACCGCTACGAATGGCTTAACTTTTATATATCTACATAGAGGCAAAGGAACTGCGGATAACCTAACTGCTAATTCCTTGGAAAACTTTAATTGCTTTCTCTGGTCTTGGTGATTATTTTGGTAAAGGCTTCTTAATAATCTGTGTACCCGCATTTGATGTAGGGTATGTACTACATTTATAGCATTATCTCTTGTACTTATTAATATCGTAAAACCTTTTTGTGGATTTTATTGATTTCCGTTTTTTTGTTTCGTTGCCATTGAAATTTTTTTTTTGTTTCTTTTGTTATACATTTGGTTTGGCTTTTGTTTATTTTTGGATTAGTAGGCGCCCAGGGCCACGCCCACTTTCTTTTGTTTTGATTTTTGGTTCCGACTTCATTGTTGATTTTGACTTTCTTATGTGGTTTCAGGGGCCCGATCCGCGGGTGTATATATGGCGCGTAATCAGTGGTAATTGTGCAAATGTTGCATGGTAAATTAAAAATAAATAAAGTTTTGCGTAAAGTTTTTCTTTGAATGAAAATGGCATATCAGAATTTTCCCTTATGGCATGTCTCATGGTAGAATAAAGTTTTGTGGAATTATTTATAGAAAATATAAACGATTCGCCATTCGAAAAACCTGACATTTGGATTTATTGCTATAAAGATTAACCTTGAAATACGCTTAACCATCTTCAATGTAATCTTCAATGTGTCCACTATCCACTCCACTATCTATTAAATTTATTTATATTATTCCGATCATTTTATTGTTAGCTCAGAAAGATATAAATTAAGAATTTTCCCGGTGCCTTCCCCCGCCCATTTGTGCCACTATTTGTGCTGGATTCGCTGCATACAGCCCCTAAATCGTCCTAAACTAATTATAAACGCTACTTATCCATCAAACGAACGGGTAATAGGGCATCAACTGTCAGCCTTTCGCTTTGGTATCTGTCGAGCGAGCCCCATGACAGTGCGACACCTGCAACTGGCTGAATGCCACACGTGGCAAGTTGTCGTTGTCGTCGTCATCGTTGGTTTTATGACTGACGCGTCAGTATTCCGATTCGCTTCCAATATCGAAAGGGGGTGAATGGGGGCTGAGCATTTTGCCCAATGAGTCATTGCGTCTGGCCTGAAGGCGAACGACAGCGAGAAAGCCGCACGATTGTGACCTTTGCCTCCAGTCCTGGCTTGCGGAATTCGTGGGTTGCGAGGAGCCCCAGCCCCCGTCCCCGCCCCCGCTCAAAGCCAAAGCCAAAAGGCCAAAAAGAAAAGTTCTTTCCCTTCAAGGCGAACCAAAGACAAAGGGAACCGAGAGCTGGCTGGCTGCGCTCGCAGCAATTACTTTGCAGGCAAGTCGCAACTTTGGAACTTTGCAGCCCCGCCCGTCGCGACGGTTGACTTTTCCCCCCGTGTGGCAAAGAGAAAATGCGCAACAATATATGGATTACACACATAACAAGGCAACTTATAGACTTATAGACGGACCCAATGCCTGCCGTGACTTATTCGCGTTTCTGCAGCGAGCGCGGCAGGTGCTCAACGGGAGAGTCCTGCGAGTCCATTGCTAACAAGCAAAGTTTTCTGCGGCGCATTTTAATTTTCCGGCTATTAGTGGCAGGCATGTCCGTGTCCGATGAGGACTCGTCCGTGGGCAGCCCCTTCAAGGCGGCCACCCCCACGCCCGGCGGCCAGGAGCGAACCAAAGGCGTTCGACCTGGACCCGAGAACCTGCGCCACCAGCACAGCTTCGAGGCCCGCTACAGCAGCATCATCCAGAAGCAGATCTGGGAGACGAGCATCAACAAGGACGTACTGGAGCGGCAGCTGAACGCCTATCTGCCCTTCTCCCGCAGCGCGTCCCTCACCAAAGACGGCTCCGGCGGCTTCGCCCAACTGTCCCCCGGGGACTCTGCGAAGGCCCGTTCCCTGAGCACCACGCCCACGCGACGACCGGGTCCCTGCCTGGAGAAGCTGGAGGCTGTGGACGTAGACGAGCATGAGGCGGTGGGGAAAGCGAAGCCATGAAGGGCCTTCAGGGGCTTACAGCGAATACACCTGAGGTCCGCCCAAGAGACATTTCACTGCAGTTTTGTCGTGAGATTTGACATTTTGACTAGGAGCTGCTTCAACATACATATGTATGTACGTGTATGCATCTCTAAGTTATTTTTTCATAAGTATTACTAACATTTAAGGCTAAAATTAAAGAATAAGTCCTAAATCCTTTGGCAACTATACTAAACTCTCTCACAGCAACGAACTTTTTAGTATTTGAATAACTTACTTAACTAATTTTGTAATTTCATTTTATTGCTCTACCCAATGACCCCCCACTGGGAACCTAATGCTATCAAATCTACCCCCATTTAAACCCTCATTCTTCCACTAAGTATTCAATCTCTTTCAATAAAACAAAAACCTTATTGCATATTCAATTTGGAATCATTCGGAGGTCAAAGGAATACGTACGGATAAGGGATAAGGGACCGAGACAACAGCGCATCTATGACCCATATAAATCTCCACATGCTCCTAGGCTAAATCTAATTTATGAGAATATTATGCGATACAGACGATACAGGCGACTGCTGACTGTGACTGCTGACAGGGTGGATAAAGGAGGATGCAAAAGAATAGAGGGGGTGGCAAGTACAGAGATCAAATGAATCAAATAATCAAAAGTATTCGCAGCTATTTTCGCTTCAACACCTTGAACGGAGCGCCAAGAGGGAGAAAGCACTTAAGTGAAAATGCCTCGAGTCGAAAGCTAAAAGCCCTCTCCCCAGAATATTCTCTTTCCTTTCCTTTCCTTTCCTCTCCTCCCAACACATCCCATAACTCCATTCCATCCATCAGTCACTGGCTGGAGAGGAAACGAGAAAAAAAGTTCGGGCTGGAGCTAATAGTTTTGCTTCAGCTCTTTCATTTTCCTTTGACTTTCACTTCCGTTCCCTCAACAAGTTGCTCGAGTGGTTTTCCTCTTTGGTTCTCGGCTGTTTACCCATCGCTACGTGTATTTGTCTTCGGCTGGCTGGCCCCAACTTGTTGATTTAAATTCATGAACGTTTAGCACAAAGAAAATGCCCCCTCCTTGTACGTTGAATTTTTTTTTGGATTTATTTTTTGTGTCCTGTTGTATTTGTCAGCCACAGCCACAAGCTGGAGCACCGCCGGACAACTGCGTTCCCACTCAATGTCCATGTGTTTGTCCAGACACTTGACACAAGCACTTGCACCGGACACATCCCATCCCCCCCCCACTGCTGCCACTCGGTCGGACGAAAGCTTCCCCCTGGTTGGTTGGGTTTTAGTGTCAAACGCAGGACGGTTTTCAGTTCCAACGCAGCGCTCCCTGTGCGTGTCTATTTAATTGACTGTCGACCACTTGGAGCTGCCCCGTTCAGCTATTGTCCGATCCGGTACGGTACGTTCGGCTTGGCTCGGTCCATTGGTCATTGGCTATGGGGTTTTTGTTAATGACGAAGGATTGGTACTTCAACCTTGATTAGTTGTCGACAGGGTTGGGCATGACACTCTAGTTGGGTCTGGCTCCTGGCTCTAGCTATGCTTTGATTTCCCTGCGGTGTTTTCAACGAAAAATTAGCAAAAATTCGAGAGTACACTAGGATTTGATTTGGTGAAAGATCAGAGGCTTAATTGACTCCCAATGGTAGGCATCCAAATCTTAGAAATCTCTCCCATCAGCACTCAATGACAGTTGAATTGATGAACCGACAAGAGGACGAGCATTGACAGCTTCTGTTCAGCAGGAAAACCTTCATTAGCTTAAGTGGTGCTCTGTGGTAATTTAATGGTGCCCCTCCACTTCCACTTCCTGCTCCTTCTCCTCTACCCACGCCCCATCCCCATCCCCATCACTTTGGAGGAATGGACAATTTCCAAGCGATTGCCTTCCATTGCAAAGATAACCAGCCACAGGAGATAAATGGTCATGAAATGCTAATGGACCTCGGGGAAAAGATTTATTCATGTATATCAAAACCACCCACACCGAAACAGTTATCCCCTCAGGTACACTTACCCACTGTGGTCAGCAGCATGTTGTCGAGGAGCAGGGCTATGGCAACGATGACAAGTACAAGACGGTTGGAGCCGCGCCAGCTGACCATCCAGGACTTGGCGGCGGACCAGGACCCGGCAGCGCGTGGATTCTCCTGGCGATACTGATCCGGCGGCGGTTGGCGGCCCGTATGCGTCTGCGACTGATACGTGGGCGGTGGCGGGGCCGGGGGCTGTCTGCCAACGCCGAGAATGCCGCATTCCGTGTCCATATTGCCATTCTGCTGATTGCTGTCCAACTGTTGCTTGAAGGGATTCTTGCTGGGTGTGCTGCTCCCACCAGGATGCTGTTGCTGAGGTTGCGGATGATTGTTGGCGTTTATGGTGAAGGAGGTGGTCTCACTGCCGCTCGCTGCTCCTGCGCTAATCTCCGACTGTTGCTGCTGCTGCTGCTGCTTCTGTGCTGTGCTCTGTGAGAGTTTTCTTGGTCCACCATTGCCCGCATCAGTCGATGATTGCATTGCGTCGCTAGCCGCTAGTTGCTAAGGGTCGGACAGGGAACAACTGTGATTAGATCTAAGCGGATTGCCTTTTAAAATGCAATCAAATTATAAGCGGCTTTGCCTGCTCCTTCTCAGTCAGCGGCAGCCCCGTGCCCATTCCTATTCCCAACCCCCAAACCCAATCCCATTCCCAATGCTACGCTCGCGCTTTATGCCTCAATGATTTTCGCTAATTAAAAATAAATTATATATCTTGGAATTTGAATTAAAAAGTTTATTTCACACGAGAACTCGCATTTAATAGAATCATACACAATTTAAATATTTATTTAATTGCCTTCTCCAACCATACAACCACACACACACACACGCATGCACACACATACACACAGCAGTAGAACGTGGCGTATGCGCGACATTTGTCATTGAAACATCTTTCGTTGCCTATCGCAGGGCGCAAATTGAATTTGAATCCATAATTCGTTTAGAGAGCGACACAAAAGAGCCCTCCTTCTGGTTCGACTTCTTTAAGTTTTCGACTCGAAATAGAATTACCCAACAATTAGTGCCAAAAAGGTTTTCTAATTGAGGGTGAAATGAATGTAAGGATCCGATCCGAGACTAAATGGATGCAATCAAAGTTGAAGCAACTTATCAGCCATTCATGGAATATTTTTCTTAATTTGCTTTTGCAATTGAGAATTCAATTTATTTATGGGACCTGTCCAAGTTCCTCAATTGATGTCTTATGACGTCCTCTTCAGAGCGAATGACAAGTTTGTCATTGGATACCATATGTTTCAATTCGGAAAACGATTGCAAGTGTCTGATAGGAAAAACATATCACTCAATAAAAGCGAACGAGAACTACTGGGACTACTGGGACTGTGTCACGTTTGGAGGCGTGACGAGCGGTACTAAATTTTGTAAATTTAATTGATTCAATCTGTCCAAATTAAATATGAACAGCAAAGCTGACGCATTACTTCTAACTACTAACAAATGCAATCATTTGCTTAAATAATTGGAATATGTGACTGACAGTTTGGCACGTAACTGTAGGATCTGTAAATGCTGTTAGCTCTTACCTGTCCGCGTATATGTTTTTGCAAGAGTATCAAAGTATAAGTTTAAGAGTCCTCTGCTCTCGATACTGGAGTATAACTTGCACAATGGGACTGAGCCACCACACGGCCTTGAGTATTTATGGACCCTCCTACTGTTACAATTGAACTGCTTTTTGATCTTCGTTACGCGCACAGAAATATCAATTAAGGGGAGGGTTCTCTGGTCCAATGAATCAAATGTCAAGGCAGTTCTCTGTCGAGATGCAACCAGGAAGTTCTGATCTGATCGAATCAGCTTAATTGCACTTTCACTTTCAGCTCACGCTACGACTCTCGATTCGTTGATATTCTTCGGGTTGATGGTGGATCGTTTCTGCCGCGGACTCTACCGACATGTCGGCGGTTTCAGCTCAAACTAAAAACTTTGGCGTGCTGCCTGAAGCTTATTAAACGAAATCATTTTTGCACAAGCGAAAAGATTTGCTGCTGTTGCCATTAGTTAGTTTATCGCTCGTGTTCGTCATTTGCCGTACACAGAATTGTCTGAGCATTCGCTTTTTCTGTGTGTGTTTTCTGTTCAGGAATCTTTGTATTTGAAATGAATGCACAATGAAAAGTGTGTAAAACACATTTTAATAATCATTAATTAGCAATTGGCGTGCAATTTCGGTTTTTACGGCTGTGGGAAAATCAAATGAAGACAAAGGGAAAAAACTTAAAAAACAAAACAAAAAAATTATGCAAATTCCGCTGCCTCACAACTCGAAATTCGATTTTACATTCTCATTGAAGAAAGAGCTGGCAGTTTGACTTGTGCATCCAGAGCTTGACTGTTTCGCATTTTGCATTTCGATCTGATTAGAATTAAATTCCATTCAATTCAATTTCAACGATGCTTATCACATTATGGATACATACGAGTATGTCGCGTGTTAACCGTTTCTGTTCTTTGTAATAAAAATACAATACTAAAATAAAACAAGATTCAAACTCAAAAATATTTGGTACACTTTGAAACGATAGAAAAATATTTCTGTTTATAATATAATAAAACAATTACCAAAAAAATTAATAAATAAATCAGAATCGATTTGCTTGGCTGTTCTCATGACAACTGATCTGTAATACTATTTAAAATATGTTTAAACACCGGTATCATTTCCAGCAGCTAAATTCCAGGTCTAGTTTGTAGAGCATACAGAATGCAGCGATGGTGAAGCAGCCTCCGCTTGCACGTGCGATGCGATCCGATCCAATCCGATGCAGTGCGATTGTTTCGTTCATTATTTTATGCTCTCTCAGTCTCAGTTGTTTCTTTTGATTGCTGTTGTCGCTGCTTTTATTCTAATAATTGTTGCTGTGGGCTGTGGGTTGGATGGAGCTTCTGTTTAATTGCACAATATTCATTCTCAACTGCCGACGGTCAAAATTTAGCGGCTACTTGCCACACGCCTTCTCCACTAGCTTTGTCACGCAACTTTATTTAAATTGTGCTCATTTTTCAGATTCTTATTAATTAACACTAAGCTCAGTTGCGAGCGTGAGCATGGACTTGAGCTTGACATTGGAGCAAAACATATACGAGCTCTTTGTGTGCTTTATTCCGCTTGAAACCTTAGCATGGGTTACTACTCAATATTCTCTCGATTCAACCTGTTATCAAAGGCTGCAAGCTGTTTTTATTTGCATTTAATTTCCCGCATATTACCCCTATAAGTCTTATTGTTCTGTAATTGCAATTTTAATTGCAAAACAGTAGCGGCTCCGCTCCATCCAAGTAAATGGCAGAGCCGTGTAAATGAGCCCCTCTAAACTAATTAGTTCAGATCGATGCCAACTGGCAATCATTTTTGCCGCCTACGTGTCTAAGTGGGGAACTGAGAGCTGACATAGAAAACTATGACAGGGAATTGAATTTAAATATCCTTTAAGAAGATGTCCCATCGCAAACTCTAACTCTTCATCCGGCTTCATTGTTAATAATATTGTGTAGAAAAGACTCACCTGAGCTATTTTTATGTACGGCTTTTGGCTTCTCCTCTTTCTCCCCTGGGGACTGCTGTTGCTGATTTGTTTGCCTCGCTTCAGCTTCGGGACGGATGGGAGGTACTTATGTCTGTCCTGTTTCTGGTTCTATTGCAGGGGAAACTTGTGGATGTTGCTATGATGATTGCTGGTGTGCTTGTGTTGGTCTGGCCGGTCTTTTGGCGGGTGAAGTTTTGCGTTGTTGGAGTATTCCTGTGGGTGAATCATAAAGTGAATCAAGAAATTTAAAATAAGTTGTGTAAATAAAGAAGCCGAAAGCTTGGCCACTCCTTTGGCTCCTTTGGCATGCAATGGCTGGTGGCCACTTGTGGAATACTTAGGAGGAGGTTGAGCGGCTTTGGTATTTGGTTTTCTCAATAGTGAGTACTTTGGCCAAACGAGAAGCTTACACAGAGAACAAAGATTTATTTCTTTCAAAGTGAACATTTTCAAACACTCTATCGAAAAGCTTTATCATAGTTTGTGGCTTCTGTTGCACAGATTTCTCTATCGCTCAATTATATATTAATAATAATAATATTTATCCCAAATATTCACAAACACAAACGATTTTTAAAAGGTAAATAAGGTCAACAAAAATCGGATTCCATCCCCACAAATTACTCAATGAGACTGCGGCTATTTGTTCCAGGCAAACAAAGATAAATATGTATTATTTGTCTTTGATTTTTTCCCATGTTTGCCAACAAGCCAGGCAAATAATATTGTGTGCCCAGCAGGCTCGATTCAAATCGATTGATAAATACTCTCCACATTGCATACATACTCGCATATGTATATTTATCAGCGTTTGTTGCCGCTTAAAAATGCTAATTTCAATTTCGATTTTGATGGATTTACCAGGGGATATGGACGAATCTCAAGATATGCTAATGAAACCAGTTTGAATAATTAATTAGTTAATCAAATACCGAATTCACATGTGGAACTTGGAGTCTCTGCTTCAACTAGAACTTTCACTATTATTGCATATTGCGATGAAGGACCCCAAACTCTTACAAAATTATATAATTGTTTGTGAAGGTCGTCGTCGTTTCTCTTTAAACTGCAACTTACACCCTTTTCCCTTGCGAGTTTTCACATATTTTTTGATGTTGTTGTGGGCGTTGGTTTCCGCTTTTAGGGGCTTGGTTGCGCACAATCTTAGTCACACATTTGTTTGAATTTAATTGATGTTTAAACTGAAACTTTAAACCACATTTTACGTGGCAATCAAACACAAAATGATAAGGCAAGTTCCACAAGTGTCAGTATCAATTTGTGGCGCTGGCGCTGCCGCTGGTGCTGCACTGGAAACGTGGGAATCGAGCACGTCCATCAGCCACGAGATCTCATCTCGCACTGAAAGACAGCGCGAGCGCCAGCGGCGCACGAGGCGACGGCGATACCGACAACGACAGGGAACGACTACGTTCAGGATGCGGCTGTGGATGCGAGGACTATGCGAAAAAGCAGCAACAGCACAAGCAGCAACAGCAGAGGCACAGGCAGAGACAGAGGCAAAAGCAGCGCAGTCGGCAGCCGCTGCCACTTGTTGTCTGCCGCTGCCTGTTGCAGTCCATCCCCGTTATCCGTTTGGCCCTCCCTTCCCAGTCTCTCTCATTATCGCTCTCCCTGCCATCACTCCCACCCACTCCGAGTATTGATGAAAACTGCCAGCGGCAATGCTTCTGCTCAATTGCCTTCATTGTGTGTGGGTCTGCATGTATGCGTGCATGTGTGTGTGTATTTATGTATTTCTGGGTATCCGTGTTTGTGTGTGAGCATCCGTTTTCACTGTCAATTGCGTTACGCCTGGAAGTATGCAGCGCGTTTTGGGGGCTGCCAGAGAGTACACATAGTCACATACACATGCACATCTGTATGTACACACGTACGCATTATGCCTAATTGATTTTCGCGTTAAGTGGCAACGCGTTTGAACAGGGGGGTGTTTGGGCAGGATGGGACAGGGGCGGACAGACGTAAGGCAACTTTTTTGGAAAATACTTGACTCCAAAGCCAATGCCAGCTTAAAGATCAATAATAAATTGACACTTTTGGGAGAATTATTAATACTTCTGAATTGAATTTAATTGATTAAAGCAAACTAATATGTTTGAATAAGTTTCGGCACCTTCCGCACATTTTTTTTTGCATTACTTGCTTTTATTTAAAATGTATGTAGGTCTCAGATAGGTCTTCACTTACAATATTAACAGATTCCGAATTTGGTGTGATCGTTTTAGCATAATAAGGTTAACAATTTATGCTCCCTTGTTATTTTATTGCGAAGAGTAACAGGTGTGTGGCATACTTTTAGGGCATCGGGCCCGCAGGCTAAAGCCTGAACGCGAACGTGTTGTTGCCTTGATTCCGCCAATATGCGGGCGGGAGAACCTTTTACCAACAGCAAGCAAGGCGTACATATGTACATATCGCAGACACCTGATGGACAACCGAGATGAATTTCAATCAATCAACTTACTCATGAGCTCGATAATTATACCGTTACAGGTGCTGTCAATTAATGCAGCTAGCCGGATCAGAAGCTTGAGATTGGGATTGACACTGGGGACAGAGATAGGGAGCACACCGGACCGGACCGCAGCGATTGGAAAACGACACGCGACTGACTTGGACACCGCGGCCGAACCAGACCACAAAGGCAGAGGACGGCCTCGGTTATATTTATAGTCATTGATGATGATTGTGGGGCTGAGTCGAATTCTGCGATCACGTCTAGGGCTCGAATTTGCATATAGAAGTCGATATATAAAACTTGGAATCCACAGCAGAAGCCAACGGCCAAGCGAAACAAGGCAAGAAAGAGTCAATGGCAATGAAAATATACTTACATACATATAAACAGGTCGGCCTGTTGAACAGAAACTGAACTGGTCAAATGGGATGTGGGGGAGAAACCTTGATGAAAACCATCTTCAAAAAGCTCAAAATCGCTTTGGATATTCGCTCAAGTTAAACGAAATTATATTATGGAAATGTATGCAGATTAAATTGTTTTGAGCTACTTTGTAATTTTTTAATATATAAAAAGAAGGAGCTTTTTAATTACCATTTTATTGGATGTGTCAGCTATGTAAGGTATTTATTTCCCAGCCCATGAGGCCTTAATTGAAGGATAATTCAACAGGCAATACGTGAATCGTCTTTGGTGTTCTTTCGGCGAACACAAAACTCCAATATTAATGGGGAAGAACTCGCTCATAAAATCGATATCCCAACACTTTCTATTGTATGGAACTTTTGCGAGGAAAAAAAGCATCAACAATAGAGCCAGGAAAAGGTGGAGAGTTCCATTGAAGTGTTAAAGTGGCGTCGCCCAAATAACTTCAAAGTTAATGGACTAGAAATCGACCAGGACTAATGGCATTAAATAATACAGTAAATACAGGAATGTAATGCGTTTTGGGCCGTGGAGAGGACTTAAAATTGAGCAGAGGCAAAGGAGCAGCTGGTCAGGGCTAAAAGCCTCAAGTCTCTTACAATGTTGGGCCTGACAAATTGAATTTGCCACATATGACAGCTTAACTCGGCTTCGCTGGGGGCTAAGACGATGAAAAATGTGGCTAGTAGGACAATACAACATATGCGGGTCATTCAGATGACAATCTCTGGCTTGCGGTCAAGTTTTATCACCAAACCAAAAAAGCTGAAAAGCAGAATGAATCAGATAGAAAACGGGGAAAATTCATTCGACCGCAAATGTTTAATTTCCTTTTGTTTGAAAGGCAGAGCAGGAGCAACCTACCCCTGGACAGGCTGAAGCTGTCATTAGCATTTGCGAAATCTATTTAAATTTACGAGTGTGTCCCCAGTCAACGTTCAAATGTCACCCATGCATGGCATGAGAGGGAAATATTTTTCATTTTTATGCAGAGGGATGGGACTGCGATGAGATGACGATAAGTTGTTGTATTCTGTGCGTGTGGGTGTATGGAGTGCCGCATATTTGGTGGCATTCAATTGGAATATCAACACGTGCCACACCATCTTCATCTTCAGCTCCTGCTTCGACTTCGGCCGCTGCTTTGGCATAGTTGGGTTGGCCTTTCCCCTTGGCTTGTGTCTTAGCCCAAGCATGAGCACGACTTCATTAAGAAATTCCGCAAATATTTTGAAATATTATTGCGGCTAAATGAAAAAGGCTCTGACAATGCTGTCAATGGAAGGACGAAAAAGGGGTCTTCGGTGCTGGCTGCCAGTGAAAGTAAAGCTGTGAATCGATTGATTAAAGGCTCAGAATTTAATTCAAGGTGTTGCGATTGTTAAGTGATTCTCTTTAATTTAATTTAATTCTCTTGGGGGATCTTTAGCCGTTTTCAACTTTTTACAGCTCAAATCCGCAACTATGAAGCTTTAAATTTGACCCGATTAGGTGGGATTACAGAGGATAAAGAATGTGAATAAAAGAAAAATTAATTTAACATATAGTTGATGCTTTATGCCATTTATTTCGCTTGTCAGACAAGGACCCCCATCATTATGCACGAGCCGGAAGACGAGTCCTGCGCAAGGATACACGGGGCGTGGCCGAAGTCAACCAATCGGATGGGTCGGATAATACGCAATGCGTTTATCCGCCAGTCAGATGAATGGGGCACGAAGCGGATGGATGCTGAGGTCCTCGCTCGGCTCTACTTGTTGCACGCCAATTGTGGCGGGGAACGGGAAAGAGCTGCTGTACGAGCGTGAAAATTGATAATGAACGTACTGGGCACGTACACACGCATCCGGAAAGCTGGAGAGAGGGTGAAAGAGAGAGAGGGAGGCAATGGCAGCGAGCATAGAACACTTCTAGCCACATTTATGGCAGTTGGCTTTTATTTTATGCTTTTGATTTATGGCGCGGCTCTGGCACTTAAACAATTGTCGCATAGGGTTTTGCGGCCTGTAGCATAGGCAGGGGCAGGGACAAATCGGCCATAATCATATTAAAATCATTTACAATCCGAGCTCCAAAATGTACCAGAAGTGATAATTTTTGTATCGCTGTACCTCTGGAACAGTTTGCAATAGTAACAGTACATATGGTATGGCATATATCCGAGTAAAAATATTCTTTACCTTGGCCAGATAACTCCACATAGGCAAAAGAACAAAGTGTTTTTAACGATACATCTTATAAAATTGAAGACATTTCAAGGAGCAGTGAAAAAGAGGATGTAGAATACTCAATTAAAAGGCTTGTGATTCTATCGAAAGAACACATCAATTCAAAATTATGACCCCTTGAACAATTTTCCTACCAAAAGGAATGTGAACGATACAATTCTTAAGGGTGAAGGAGTGAAGGAGGAAGGAGTGCCTCTGGTCCATTCATCCATCATCCAGAGACTGGTCGTTTCGAAGCCCCTGGTCGGACTCTTTAAGTGCCTTTTCACGACAAGTGTCCGTGTCGATTGACTCCGTTTTGGTTTTATCCATTGCTCATCTAATTAATTGGAATTTCATTGTGCTGTTGCTTCAGAGAGTAAACAATTGCAGAGGAATGGATTTTGTGGCGCTTTCAGTAAATAATACAATTTTTATTACATTCATCGAATTGTACAGATATTTTGATTCTGCTTAAGTTCGGAGTACTCTTACCATCGCCGATTAAAGAGTTATAATAAAAACTTAATAGCTATGCCTAAGCGGATTTTTTCACATGCAACAACAAAAATTTGTCTAGCTTAAACAAACATTGCAATCATTTTCCATTAACATTTAATATTTCAACTCAACCAGGTGACTTATGTATTTGTATATATACATATTACAATAGAGTATTTTCGCTACATTTCTTAGCCTACACAATTGCACACAGCAAACCCTATAAACTAGCTCTAGAACTAAGCTAATTGGCCACACTAACATCCAGAGAAGAGCGTCTACGCATCGTAGATCTTCAGATTGTCAAACTCGTCGAGAGTATCCTCTGATCCGGAGGCCGTGAGGTCCGACAACTCATCGAGGCACTTCTGGCGCTTGCGCACATTCCAATGGAGACCCTCAGCAAGGGAGTCGAACCAATCAGAGATCTGATCCTGAGAACAAATGCTGGGAACGGGATAGATGGAGGTGGTCACCCGCAGGCTATCTCCATGGTTCAGTTCCTGGTCGTTGCGTCCATCAAAGGAGACGCGCGAGGTGTTGCGGCTGTCCGGCGATATGGATATCTAGGGTAAGCAAATAAAGCGATATTACACGATCGAAAAGTGGATTTAGTTAGGACTCACCCTCAGCTCCACTCCAGCCGGCACCACAATGGGCCTGAAGCTCAGCGAGTGCGGACAGATGGGTGTCACCAATATGGCCGGCACGGAGGGATGGATCATGGAGGCACCAGCTGCTGCCGCATAAGCTGTGCTACCGGTCGGAGTCGACACAATCAGGCCATCGCCCTGCACGGAGGTGATGTACTTGCCATCCAAGAATATATCGATGTTGCTAAGATATGGCGACGGGCCACGATTGATCACCACCTCGTTGAGCACCAGAATGCTGTTGTTCGATGACATGTGCGGGTTGCAGTAATTGTTATTGCCACCAGTGAATTGTCCATTGTTGAGCTCTACATAGTTGAGGTGGCGATGCTGACTTGGCTTCAGTAGGTTGCTGCCAGCTGGCTGAAGGAGCGACTCCTTGCGTCGCTCGCCCTTACGGTGGATGGAGCAGCGTAGGCGGCTGCGCAGGGTGAGGGCAGCGTGACCTTCCAGCACATTGGTCACCTGCTCCTGAAAGTTATCACACTGGAAGGGCGTAAGAAAGCCCAGTGAGCCAAGATAGAAGGCCATCACGGGCGGCACCGACTGCTGGAACAGCTGGGAGGCGTACAGCAAGGTTCCGTCCCCTCCGAGGCAGACAATAAAGTCGATGCGATCGGTTAGATCATCGCGACCATCCCTGTAAGAGAAAAACCAGTTAGAATTGAGCACCAGCTGGGGGTCAATTAAGTTTCGGACTTACTTGAAGGTCACCAGTTTCTCGCGCAGGGCCAGAAAGCGCTCACGCACGCCACAGTAGTCTCCGTGCACCTGCCGGAACTTGGCGCTCTCGTTCTCCAGCTTGACATCGTCACGCAGCAACTTATCCTCCAGCACGGCGGACTCCACCCACACAACCATGTGCTTTTCCTGCACCAGCCACTCCACCAGCTGTACAAATGGCAGAAGCACCTGAGAGTCCTTCTTCTTGATCACCAGCACAGTGAGCGGTGGCTTGTACCAGGTCAGGCGCTGGCTGGCCGGATCTTGAATCTGCATCACCATGGCGGAGTTTTTCATAATGCGTCCACATGGTCCGAACTGCTGGAAGGGCGACGGGGCATTCAAGCTCCGGGTGCGCCTGAAAGGATATTGAGAGAATACAGATATTTAGTGCCAGTTGGAGAGGAGATTCAGAGCTGGGGCCGGGACCTCAGAATCCGCGGGTCGGGAGCCACTTGGTACACTTGTTGCATTTGGTCTTCGGCCGCCTCATCGGCTACTGCTGCACTCAGAGAACTCTGACGTTGCAAGGTCGCCGCGAGTCGCAGCTTTTGATGCTGCATTTGGTGTAAGTATCGCTAGAGGGGCCAATATTTGGATGGTCACGCCCTATTCCTCTCAACTATGAGTAGTTTTCGATCTTTTTTGTACGATTCCACACAAAGAAAACGCGAAACGATGGAAACGGAGAAAAAACTTGCTGGAATTTGTGCTTCGGTCGACGTTGTGGCTCGTGCGAAGGTTACAAAATCACTGGCCGGCCGATTTTTGTGTTCGAAAACAACAAAATAAAGGTATACAACGTATTTTTATTATATTTGTTTTCGTTACAACAACACCAGCAGCGTCAGTGGCAGTGGCAAGACCAAGGCGGGGGAGACCCCACCGCAAATAAACTTGTTGAATCTCTCAGACGCAAACAAACAGGAATTGCACATGCTAACCGAGAGTGTTCGGGAGAGAGATAGTACCAAGAGAGCCAGCCCAAGATGTATTAATATAAAGTGAGGCATTTCCCAGAGAACGCTCCTCTGGAATCCATGGAGCTGGCCCTCTAAAAGAGCAGTGCCCTGTCATCTTTTCCATAAACCGCCCAATGCATCTTCGCACGTGACATTTATGAGAATTGCATGCATTCCTAGTCTATGGGGTGATAGTGTCTCCGAGAGAGCGAGAGAGAGCGGCAAAGAGTACAGGAAACTAAAAGAGCGGGTATGTTCGTTTGTATGCCTCACCCAATGTTAACACACCTTGCTCATGCTGAACTTTAAACGTTTCGTTTGACTCTTGAGTGGTGTGTGTCTGTTTGTGCTCGTGTGTGTGTGTGTGTGTGCGTGTGTGTGTGTAGGTGGGTGGACCCTCAAAGCATCGAATAATAACGGGTTGGGTTTGATTGATGTGCTAATGCGATCTGAGACATGTTTGCGCTGACTCATCCAAAGATGAGCGAATCGAGAAGAGCCAGACGAGACAGAGAGAGAGAGAGAGAACATCGATATGAGCCATAAGCTAGGCTATGCTGAATTGCAGCAGCATAAGTCGCACAGTGGGACAGATAAGTCCAGTTATCCTTAGATTTCAAAATGGTTATATACACTATACACTACTACACATACTACACTTTATTAAATTAATTTTTAAAAAATAGTAGTAGAATTTTATTTAAGGGAATGAGTAATATTTTAAGGTTTTATCCACTTTTTCCCTTTGTATCTGTGTTCAACCGCAGCCAAGGCTGAACAATACCCAAGTGGTTGTAAGGAGATGTAATCCAGTGACGCACAATTTCTGATAAATTGCAGAACAAATCATGATCTTGTTTCCCACATTCACGCCGTACGATAATTATTTCACAGGAAATTCACATTCATCCACCGGCTTCCCAGTTGGACAATACTTACGCGACATTTTTGACAATGAACGCTCCTTAACTGCACTTGCTCGACCGCCGCTTGATTGGAACTAAACTAAAGGCCAAGTACGAATCACAACCAAGTGCCCAATATAATAGATATTGTAGGTACACATGTACTATGTACTCGTACAGGAAAGAACTTCAACGACGACGCCAGCATGACAAAACTTAAATGCACAGCCATCGTTTATTTGTTGTAAAAGGGGTTTACGAACACCTCAAATTCGTTCTCTACTTCCCTCTGGCATTAACGAGTCTATAGGTAGTATAATCGAATCCGAACCAGACAGGCCATGCAAATGGGGCTTGAACTGCCTGACCTGGCCGATGCAAACCTTTGGAATACGGCCCGCCGAAGTGGTCACGAACCGCGTCAGTCACTAATTTTTTGTTTTTCTGAATATATGTATTTTAATTTATTAATTTGTTGTTGTTTCATGAATCGCGCCAAGCACAAACTGGCACCGATTCCAAAAAGTTTAACTGGCACTCAGCCACGGCGTCGCGTCAGTGTCTCAGGTTCTTCAAAACAAATCGTTCAGAAATGGTAGCTGAAGAGAAAACCTACACACATATCAGATAACCATAAATTAACGGACGGCGCCAATAGAGAAGGTGTTAAAAACGTGTTTTTTTTTTTTATATTTGTCCAAAATAAACTATAGATAAAAATAAAAAACGCGCTGCAAGCACTCAACTATGCAAAAAGGTCAAGGACTTCTAAAACACTTTTTCGATTTGAGAACAGGCCACTATAGTGGTGTACTAAGATCTTTGCATACGCATTTTTGGTGTTCATCATGCTGACATGTGAAAATTCAATAATAAATTTTCTGATTATGCATTCGTACTATCTACTAAAATAAGCTATTACTTTGTCATCTGAGTAAACAATTGATAAGCCAAGCGCCTGAATGCATACAACGCCGTTTACGCCTTATTCGACGCGATAAGGGCAAACAGCAAGGTAACACTTGATTGGGGAGTCAGACAGCCGCCCCTCCTATCAGAGCATGCCCCAAACAAATGTCCGATGTCCTGATAACATTGCCACATTTGTTATTTGGGTTGTGTTGTTGTCAGACGTTCAGGGGTTATCGAATCGCTTGGGCTGGGGTGGGTTCGAGCAGCGAAGTACTTACGGCCAGGTACCACTACGCCTGCGTCGGGTCGATGAATCGAAGTAGCCATCGTCATGCTCGTCCTCGGACTTGGTCAGCTGGCTATCCTGATTACTGGCCGTGTTTGTTGTGGTTTCGCCTTGTTCCCTTGGCTTGGTACTGGTAGCCTTGTTTGCCTTGTGCTGGATGATTCTATGCCGCTTCAGGGAGGCATTGTGCCGCACCAGTAGATCATTGTATTGGGTCTGCTGATGGGCCGTGCCGCTCCAGGCCAGCTTATAACTGAAGCGCTCCTCCAGACGATGCTGGTGCAGGGTGGCCAGATCAATGTCCGAAAGGCACGTCATATTTATAAGCTTCAGATTTTCTTTATATCACTTTACGATTCACAGAGATTTCTCAATCAAGCAATCAACGTTTCTTTCTAGCACATTTTTCTTTGGTTCAATAAACTGACAAAAAAAAAACTGAAATATAAGCTCCCATTTCACTTGGCATTTCTGGGTCCCCCTACTCGTTCAAAAAGTCCCTGAGCTGGCCAAAAACGGTAAACAACATCGACCTTGCTCCCCTTATTGTAAAGGCGTTAACAGTTTTGGTTAGCCAAATAGCCAGAAAGCAAACACAAACACAAGAATGTACCACGAATTTTTAATGATATCGGGTGATATCGGTGGTCTTCAGCGTTTGGCGCGTGGTAAAAGTTGATAAACAAAAAAATAAACGATCCGATATTAAATGTGTCTGGATTTAAGTATATCTAACCGGTTTTTGGTTTCTGTTGAAATTCGTGCAAAATAAATTTGTTATTGGCCATAAAATAGTTGTTTATTCATTAATTTTTTTGGTCAACCTAACGGACTTTGGCGTAGTTCCGGCTTTGATGTCAACAAAGAGCCATCAAAAAGAGAGCCAGAGAGAGAAAGAGAGAGAGGGTTGTAGAGTGGGAAAGATGAAAGAGCCAAGGCTTAATGCGTCGTTAGCCAGCTTCCGCTGAAGCAGAAGGGAGCTGCCAGAAGCGGACTTGGCCAACATTTATAGCTGGGCTAAGCCCAAAAAGCATGTCAAGTATAAATCAATTTGCAGTCCGTACGTTGCACAAGCTAAAGTATAAAAACAACTACAAAATTTAGTTACTTAAATGTACATATAATTAAACAGATTTAAAGCTCTCTTTTTTTGATCATGGGGTTGGTCAACAACCTTTTAATTAGAAAAACATTCACTTAACCCACAATTAAACTGTTAAAAAGCTCAGAGCACACTTGGGCATAACAGTATCGCTGGCCATTAGTCTTGAAATCGTGACCCGTGGTGTACAATACTTTCAGAGTGCCTCATTAACAGTTCATTAACAGAGGTCAATTCTCTTGAGGGGACATTGAAGCTAAGAAGGTAGGAAGGCCACCATCGTTTAATGTGTTAAGCTTGTCTTTAAAAACAATATGGTTTGACTATAACTGATTTTGATTTATTTGAACGAATCCAACTTTCATTTGATAGTACTTGATCACGGAAAAGATTGCATAACAAGAATCAAATCATTACAAATATAACATGCCACTTAATAAGTGGCTCGCGTGATCTATAGTTCCCTTTGTCTTCTAATTGTACTGCCACCAGGAAGCAACAAGTAAATTATTACAAATCATTGAAATTGTTGGAGTAAAATAAACAAAGGAGACTAAGACAAGGCACACCCCCTCCTTAGACCCGACAAAATACATATGTACATTGACGAGTGCATAAAGCGAATTTTAAGTGATTTATTGCACAAAGAAAAACGAAATTAATTAATCAATTTAAAGTGCCAAGCAAGCAACCAAATGCGCAGTACTAGTAACTAAGATTATCATTGACAAGATCGAACATGGAGAAGGGAACCCGTAGAGAATTCCCTTCCCCCCCATTAGATGCAACGTGCCGGGAACGTATTGGGGTATAGGTACACGTGAACGGGAACCACAATGCGAAGATAGTGTCGATTGTTCTGGTGGGAGATTGATTTAGAAACCGAAAGTGGGACGGAACTGCGACTGAGCCAAACAAATGCCAAGTCAAGTTTTGGGGCTAGACAACAAAAAAATAACTCTAATTACACGTTATATAATTGTTATATTTTCTTCTTAGCACAAAATGAGACGCGAATTGGAGCCGAAGAGACAGGGGCAGGCAGCTTGAAAGCTGACCAGCGCCACCAGGTAAACGACCGAAACGAAAGAGATCGCTGGACGTTCAAGTTGCGCGAGATCCGAGGGTGATCGTGCCAACGAGATCGGGAGAGAGAGAGCGCGAACACAACCGTGCTGTCCAGTCAATATGCGAAACTGAACTGAGACGCTAAAAGGTGATTAAATTGTAAATTTTTCGTGCGATTCCGATTTGAAAATAAAAGTATAAAGTATATGATCGCTGGGGCAACAGCTGAGCGTTGTGCCACGCGACCGATCGAGTGCCTGATCCATGGTCTATTCGTAAGGTGAGGCCATGTCCAGTCAGTACTCTATCATCTATAATAAGACTCCTCACCCTAAATAAATAAACCTTTGACTGAGAGACAACTAAATGGGTGCGCTCTGTAGACTTACTGTTATGTAAAATCATTAATGAGCAGTCCCCCGTTTAAATACTATGTTCGATTTAATGCATCAATTGATTGACTTATAGCCTCAATGTGCTGAAAGTCATAAACTCATTGACAAGGCAATAACAGTACCAGAGACAGACAGTTTACAGTCGCTTAACAGAGGCTTTGTGTGTGCCGAGTAGACCACTCCACTCCACTCCACTTTAAAACGAAAACATTTTCCGGCAAACACACTAATTGATTAACAGGTAAATGGCAAGTGCACTACAGTGGAGTACCAAAATTATAGGTCCACTTACCACCACCAGCGCATTTCCGCATCGCTGCCAGCCCCCCCATTGGTGAGGCCTGGGCCTGGCGCGGAGGAGGCCGCGGCACTGCTGAGACGCCCACTGTTCACATGCAGCAGGTGATTCTCGTGCTCATCGTAGTAGGAGCCGCCGCCGCCATTGGAATTGCCTGACCCAACTCCCCCCGATGCTGTGGAATTGGCCTTTGGCACAGTTTGAGCTGGCGAGGCGGCGGCGGACATCATAATGTTGTACGAGGACGTCATGTTGTTCAAATCACTTGTTCCGTCCTGCGCATGTATGTATGCGTGTGAATGCGTATCTATGTGAAGGTTTGACCTACAAACGCGCAGCACCTGCTCTGCTCACCTCCTGCCTTTGGTTTTAAACTTTGAACTGGCCCGCCTACACTGCTGCTCTTTTCGGAGTGATTTGCTGCAGCTTTTCCGCACTGCCTTTGTTATTGTTCCACTAAATTATTCATATTTTTGTTTTGTTTTATCATTGTGACCGCACCGATAACGATAAAAAATACCATCCGGCCAAAATCCGGTGATCAATCGAGACTTAACCCACTTAATACCCCTCTATTTAAAAAGTTGAGCACCCTTTTATAAACCGCAGAAAATAATATTGTTTGTAAATGCTCCTTGTAGCTCCATCCTCCTCTTTACTTACAAAACAAAAATGACTACCGACATCTTTCACCTGTAATGCGTAAAATATGTTAGAGTTACATACATTTCGTGGAAATATTAAATACCCCCCTGGTCGACAATGGGCTAACGTTCTATTTTATTGATTGAAATCGTATTCCATGATTTTGATATTCAGTTTAATATTATTAGCTAGTGAGCCCTTTCAGCCCTAAACAAATAATTTTATCCGATAGATACATCAATTTTATACAAGATTGGCTAGTTTTCAAAAGTCCTTTTTATTGCATTGTTTACATAAAAAGGTTCAAACAAAAACGGCCAAAGCATAAAACGTAAATGTTGACTAACTGTGACGTCATTGTTGCTGGGCAACCAAGTTTCTTCTATGCGTATGGACTTTTGTGTACCTTATTTCCTTTAATTGATGTTAAATGTGTTGTTCCAAGCTCCATTGAAACATTAATATTGCATTTTTCTACATTGTTCTACATTAATTGGAGCACGAAATTACAAACAATATCTCAAGTCCATAATATCAATTTTCCCAAGGTATTCAGATCTGTTGCTCATTTCTTGCCAAAGTTGCAGAACAATGCTGCCTATTCATTTCCCCATGTTGCTAAAATTTTTCCCATACAAATCAAATGTATCTTACGGGAACGCGTAATGGAATGACGCAACAATGAATCTTCATTTCATACGCGTTCCCGTTAAGAACAGGTGCCTCACACCACGAAAAGTTAGGGAATTCACCGCTCTCTTCACCTCGGAAAAGAGAGCAAATTTTGAAAAACCACAACGATTTGAGAGCGAAAAATGTCGGTATTTTTTGTGCGCTAAATGGAGTTTGGCGGTCATTTGAAAATGGTATTTTGATGTCAAAGTCGATGTTTCACATGGTATCTACACGCTTACTATTTGCAACTATTAACTACATATTTATGTACATTTCGACGGAGATACTGACAAATCTCAATTGGCAACTTTTGTAATAAATTAATTAATTATTAACAAAGCTTCCATTATTTTTCCCATAAGATACATGTGGCTCACACCACGGAAAAGAGTGAATGTCACCACGAAAAATATGCCGATATACCAAAAATCAAGAGGGATCAGGGAATATGTAAAGAAACTGATTGATATAGCACTAGCAGTTACTGTTTGAAAACAGAAAAAGAAAACTGCTTGCTAAAGAGAGCTTAAGTCAAACTATACTATATGGTTTGTGTGTGTATATATATAAGACGGACCAAAGCATAATCTGAGAGTTTAATACTCTGCATCTATGGAGCAAATACAAGATTTTGGGCTTTATTTCCATTTATAGGTGCCAGCTTGAATTAACAGACTGCTTAGAAGCATGTCAAGAAGCTCATTGATTTAGCACTAGCAGTTATTATTTGAAAGCGGAGAATAACTGCTTGTTCAAGGACATTCTGGGAGTGTGGGCTCATTTTCTTACCGAAACTGGGTACGCTTGTCCAGCAAATTAGCAGCCAGCGTCCTTCTCAACGGCACAGGGGAGCCTAGGGGCTGTGTCGCCTCCACGTTGACCATTTGTCGGGCTCGGTGTATATCTTCTGGATTCATTTTCTCCAATTCTCACTGCAAACTAACTCACAACCGCACGATGGAAACGCTCAGAGTCGACTATAGCTAGATTTCGTGAATCTCATATGACTAGATAAGCACGCACCGCACACCTGCCGCACGCACACGCGAACAGATTCGCACACCTTGAATTCAGCTCACAAAAAAGGCAAAAACACAACATCGAACACAACACATCGCACAACACGAACAATGGCAAAAAATCTTTGCCGGGTAATGCCTAGCTTGTACGGCCTGAGGGCGCGTCTGGCTAACAGTCGTCTTACTGACGCGACGGCGGAGTCACTTTCAATTCACATTTTCTATGCAAATAAGCGCAAACAAATTTTTTTGACAGCCCCAAGTGCGTATCAGTGGTGCCAGCAACTAAAGCAAGGTACGGCACGGCCGGCAGCCGCAGAGACAGACACGAGGTGAGCAAGATGCAACAAGTGGCCAGACGCCAGACATACGGGGCACAAAACGAGTCTATATACGAAATATCTATCGAGTACAAAGCTAAACTACAGAATTTACTCATACATTCAGTTGATTGGAAAAAGGCAAGGCAACGCTCGTTGCGGGCGTGTAGCTATAACAATTAAATCGGTATTCCACTCTATAAAATCTTGGCAGAGTATTTGTGTTTCTCTTGCAAAACGAACATCAGTGCACGTACCATCTACAAAACGCAGCCATAAGCCTTAATATACCTTTGAGAAAAGTTGGCCAAATAATTGGCTCATAATATATTGTAAATACGAGTATAATCGGCAAATATGCTAATTCTACGACATTACAGACTATGAAACGACTTTACAGATATTCGAATTACATTGAAGCGATTGCAAGGCTCGACTAAAACTAAAAGCCAGTCGTGGAGCTTAGCCCACGGATACGATTGCCAACAGAGACTTACGTACTAAATATCATACAATTTCATATTTTCCATCTCGTCCAGCGTGTCCTCGGAGCCGGATGCCGTCAGGTCTGACAGCTCGTCGAGGCACTTCTGACGCTTGCGCACATTCCAATGGAGGCCATCGGCGAGGGATGCAAACCAATCGGAGATCTGATCCTGAGCACATATACAGGGCACAGGATAGATGGAGGTGGTCACACGCAGGCTGTCGCCATGGAACAGTTCCTGACGGTTGCGCCCGTCAAAGCTGACCCACGAAGTGTTGCGACTTTCAGGCGAAACGGACACCTACGGGGAATAGTCGATGAAATAGAATTGGTACAATGGAAAAGTAACCATTTACTCACCTTCAGTTCCACACCCGCAGGCACCACAATGGGCCTGAAGCTTAGCGAATGCGGGCAAATGGGAGTTACCATAATGGCTGGCACGGAGGGGTGGATCATGGAGGCACCAGCTGCTGCCGCATACGCTGTGCTTCCAGTCGGAGTCGACACAATCAGGCCATCGCCCTGCACGGAGGTAATGTACTTGCCATCGAGGAACAAATCAATATTGCTGAGATATGGCGACGGTCCGCGATCAATGACCACCTCGTTTAGCACGAGGATGCTGTTGGCAGCAGGTCTTGCATCTGCGTTGGCCTCCATTTTGGCCTCCTGCCTTTTGTCACCCTTTCGATGCATCACGCAGCGAAGGCGGCTGCGCAGTGTCAGTGCAGCATGACCCTCCAAGACGCTGGTAAGTTGCTCTTCAAAATTGTCGAATCGAAAGGGTGTGAGAAAGCCCAGTGAGCCCAAGTGGAATGCCATCACAGGCGGCACCGATTGCTGGAACAGCTGGGAGGCGTACAGCAAGGTGCCGTCCCCTCCGAGGCAGACAATAAAATCAATGCGATCGGTCAGGTCATCGCGACCATCCCTGTCGGGCAGAGAATAGCAATTAGAATGGATTAATCTCGATGCATAAGCCATGTATACTCACTTGAACGTGACCAACTTATCCCTAATGGCCTTGAACTTGGCATCCTCATTGAGGTGGGCATCCTCCAGCACCGCCGATTCCACCCACACCACCATGTTCTTCTCCTGCAGCAGCCAGTCCACCAGCTGGACGAACGGCGCCAGCACCGAGGCATCGCTGACTTTCTTGATCACCAGCACTGTGAGCGGTGGCTTGTACCAGGTCAGGCGCTGGCTGGCCGGGTCCTGGATCTGCATCACCATGGCGGAGTTTTTCATGATGCGTCCACATGGTCCGAATTGCTGGAAGGGCGATGGGGCATTCAAGCTCCGGGTGCGCCTGAAATGGTAAGATAAAATTAATTATTATTCTGCTATAATAATAATTAAATATATAAATCGAAGGGCAGACCGAAGAATGCGATGCGCTCTTAGCACCTTTTCCCTTGGATCTCCCCGAATGCAGTTGTTGTTGCAATCACTGACTTGCTCCCAGACCAAATTATTAAACTCCTCAATGCTCAAGGAGCTATGCTGGGGAAACAATGACCCTGAATTCGTAGACTGATCGGCTCTAATTGGAAACATGCTTTAGTGTGTGTAATATTATGTATTGTTAAATAAATTCACTTTTTTACGGGTTCTCTATGCTACGCTATGCAAGACAATTACTAATCTTCTACGACGGTAAATGCACTTGAATGCAAATGGAGGCCCTAAAGAAGGCAGAGAGAGAAAGAGAAGAGCGAGAGAGTGAAAATTATGTCAGAGAGTGCTTTCTTGTGCAATGTTAACGAACAAGAGTTAAGCTTTCATGGTAGAATATGACCATTCACAGACCAGACCTTTCTTAATGTAAAATTCTACGAAAATCGAAGAACTACAATTACATTGTAGTAGGTGACTGTAGGTGATCCGATCGAATAAAGTTTGGGTGCAGCTCTAGCACTGAGTCATATTACATATTCTAGTTCACTCTTCTTATCAACTAGAAAATGTGTGCTGGACTTACGGCCATGTGCCGGAGCGTCGCCGTTGCATACCTGAGGCAAAGCAGTTGTTGCCCAGATCAGATTTATCAGCGCCGCCGCCAGACGAGGCAAATGCATTTAGGCTATTGCCATTCAAATCACTGTTCATTTTTCTCGGGTCAGTGTTTTGTTTATGCAGACTACGCTCCAGGCAAAGTCGCGTCATGGCACTGAACCCGTCCTGGTGATAGTGATGATCATGATGATAGTTGGAATGATTCGCGAGGCCATAGTGCCAGCGCTGCTCTAGCCGATGCTCATGCAGGGTGGCCAAATCAATGTCCGAAAGACAGGCCATATCTGACGACGAACGGCAGTTCCGTTTGTACGAGTATTTTGGAATGCAGTCAGACCACCTGGAGTTCTTTAAAAGGGCCCAAGGTTAAATTTGTTTTCAATATGGACCTCGTTATATCACACCCACGCAGACAAACAAAAGTATTCACGTGAAGTCTGAGATTGATGAGACACCAAAATATTGTATGACCAGAAGTGTGTCAACGTGTGTACACTACGGAGCAGCGATAATGTGTAATGTTAAACGGCAAAAGAGAAAGTGTTTTATCAGCGTTGAAAAAACGGGTAATCAGAAATGCATTTAGGCGGCGATTCAAAAAGCAATTCGCTTGCTTGCTCTTTTGTTTTTCGTTGTCACGGTGACAGTTTTCTTGCGAGTTTTCTCTCGACTTGATTACTTCACACAGCTGGCCGGAAAAATTGACGCAATAACCACTAGAGCAGAGGCAAGAGGCAACACCGGGCGATCGCGTTGTCGAGCGACAACTGAAAAACTGCTGCACAGGGTTTGTGTTTGGTTTGTTTGTCGCATGGAATGCCATGCCAGGGCGGCGCTCGAAACAGCTGATGGCAGGGCAGTGTTCGTGTGCGTGTGCCTTTGGCCATGCGCATGCGTGGAAGCGGCCTTGGCTAGCAATTAATCATAATCAATTGATAACACAGACCAGCCGCTTCCATACGAATCAATTGCCAAATTTAGACCGCGTTGATCGAACGATGTCTAGAAATATCAAATCAATAAAATATAACTAAACACTTTCCAATTTGAAGGGGAATTGAATAAACAGATCCATTAGGGGAGGAGTCTCGGGAGTTCAAGACAGCACGTTCAACCTAGATAAGAACCGTGTGGAGATGCATGCAAATGCAGGCAGATGATAAGACCTTACCACCACCAGCTGCTGGTCATATGCCCATGCCCCCCACCCAGGCCGGGCGCCGAAGAAGCCGCCTCCGGTGTCGCTGCGACCGAGTCTGTGGCATGCAACAGATGAGCCTCGCACTCCCCATCCACAGCGTCCGGAATGGGGCATGGCAGTGTCTGCTTCGGACTGTCCCCCGCCGCTGCTGGCGTCGGTGGGGCGGACATCTTCTTTGGCAGCAAGCAATTCGAGACGAATTTAGAGCCACATTTGTGCTCGCGCACAGCAGTTATCACAGTTGTTTTAACACAAAAACACAAATATAAAAGACGTAACGTGACCGGCGCGATAACGATACATCCGGCCAAAATCCGGCGATGAAACGAGACTTAACCCACTTAACACCCCTCTATTTAAAAAGTTGAGCACCCTTTGTTAAACCGCGGAAAATAATATTGTTTGTAAAGGCTCCTTGTAGCTCCATCCTCCTCTTTACTTACAAAACAAAAATGACTACCGACATCTTTCACCTGTAATGCGTAAAATATGTTAGAGTTACATACATTTCGTGGAAATATTAAATACCCCCCTGGTCGACAATGGGATAACGTTCTATTTTATTGATTGAAATCGTATTCCATGATTTTGATATTCAGTTTAATATTACTAGCTAGCTAAGATTCTTAGCACTGAATATGTAATTTTATTCGAAAGATGCATCGATTGGCTACAATCCAGCTTGTTTTATGGACTCCCTTTTTATTGGATTTTCAATAAAAAAAGTTTTGAACGAATTCTAAGAAGCATAAAACGTACGTGTTTACTCAGTGCTGGATAACGTTGGAGAAGGCGCGCTTTTTAAACTCGAAATAAATTATTCTATATGCATGTATGTATGTACATACAAGATATTTTGGAAATTACTCCATTGACAAAAGGGGTTTCCATTCAGTTTTGGAAAATTAAAATAAGCTGCGGATATGCAAATTTAAGGAGGCACGTGAATGCGTTGTTTATTTTTAGCCCAAAAGAAATGTATTAGCATCTTTCTTGTGCTTATGTTTATTTATAGCCACTGCTATTGTGCACAAACTAACACACTCACCGAAACTGCTTACGCCTCTCACTCAGGTCTAAGACGCGTCTCCTCAAGGGTTGCGGTGAATTCCCTGGCGATGTTGCCGCCGCTGCTGTCGCCCCTTCATCATCGTCGTCCTCCACGGACGTGGATGGGGAAATTAAATTGGCCACCATTTTGCGGGCCAGCTCCAAATCCTCCTCACGCATTTCAAGCTCAAGCCGTGTTCACTAAACCAACCAAGTATGTGGACAACCGCTCTGATTCGGTGCCGAAATGAAACTAAATGCCTTCTCATACCTGGCTTTCCAAAATATACATATACAATGCATGCGCATATGTAATAATGTTTGTACATATTCGAGAGTAGAAGTTGAATAAGATGCTGAGTCCGCCCCACTCGTACTTGAATTCATTAAGTGCCCTGGGCAACAGCCGAAAGTGCCGGGAGCTGGGGCAATTTGCATATTTAGAGCAACTTTTACAAAACAAGCTATATTTTGGCGGCCTCCTGGGCGTGTCCAGGCTAAAAGATGTATAAACAATGCGTACATTAATTGCTCTCCGCCGCCGAAGGCGTGCCGACTCTAAATAATAGATTCCTAAAGGCAACGCTAATCAAAAAAAAAAAATCATTGCATGATTTAAAACGGTTCGCAATTTGAATATTTTACACACTGGCGCCATCTGTGACCACAGTTTGGCCACACTTCGAACCACTGCCAGTTTTTACATTCAAGAAGTTGGTCACTTTAAAAAGCAGGCCGATTGTTCCGGCTCCGACTCAACTAGTTCCGGTGGAAAGTAATTCAAGTTTTTTTTAAAATACACTAATAAAAAACACAAAATACACTCAAAATGACATCGAGAGCCGGATTATCCATGCTTGTCTTTGGCCGCAGCTTGAGCCAATTCAAGGCCGTGGCCAGTGCACGCAATTCAAGGTAAGTTTGCCGCATTCTTCCTCTTTTTTGTGACGTAATGAACGCACGTTCGTCGGCAATAACATCTTATCGCGATTTGGCCCGTTTGCTATAGCTGCTTGCGTCAGGCCACCACAGCCCTGGCCCATGGACGCCTCTACAGCACCGAGAAGCAGCCGGAGGAGGCGGCTGCCGCTGGTGCAGATCAAAAAGCAGTCTCCCCGGACGTTGAACGTCTTACAAAAGAGTTGGCCGACAGCAAGGAGCAGAAAGCTGAACTGATGGACAAGTATAAGCGCGCCCTGGCTGAGAGCGAGAACATGCGCACGCGTCTGAACAAGCAGATCAGTGATGCGAAGATTTTCGGCATCCAGAGCTTCTGCAAGGATCTGCTGGAGGTCGCCGACACGCTCGGCCACGCCACACAGGCAGTGCCCAAGGACAAGGTATGCCGTGTGCCGCCGTATGGCATCGTAAAGTAATCGAGTCTAACATGCGCCTTCATTTACAGCTTGCTGCCAATGCCGATCTGAAGAGCCTTTATGAGGGTCTCTCCATGACGCGCGCCTCGTTGCTGCAGGTGTTCAAGCGTCACGGTCTGGAAGCTGTGGACCCAATCAACCAGAAGTTTGATCCCAATCTGCACGAGGCTCTGTTCCAGAAGGAGGACAAGACCGTTGAGGCCAACACCGTGGTGGAGGTTACCAAATTGGGCTACAAACTGCACGAGCGTTGCATACGCCCTGCCCTAGTGGGTGTATCGAAGTGTTGATAGCTAGTTTTCCCACCCATGTCCATATTTTGTGCATCCCCCGCCCCCAAAGCAAGAAGCGTTTACATACATAGTCTCCATTGTTTGCAATTTGTTTTATCCTGCAAAATTCCTGTACGTAAATCGCTTGAGAATTTAGAATTCCTCCTAGTGGCTAAGCTAAGTGATCGATGACTGGACTTGATGGCTACAGATTTTTACCACACACGTAGCCATCGAGTGTTCCAATTTAAGGTTTAATTACGATAATAAAAACATGTTTTAGTTGAAAGAATCCGAGATTTGCTTGATGCGGGTATTCCCAACCAACTATCTTCTTTCTTTGGTTTTTCTGATTTTCTCAAACTCTCCTAGAACAGAAACCCAACCCGAATCGAAACCATCTTGAAAACCATTTCTTTTGTAAATATTGCAGGTAGAACAAGTAACAAACAAAAGCAAACGCATTCCTTCGCGTCGCGTAGGTGGAAAATTCAATGGAAATGTGAGATTTTCTATGGCACAGCAGGTAGATTCAGCACGTTCTCGAGAATTCATGGAAACCCTTGAAGAGACTTCCATGAAATTAAACAAGATTTGTTTAATGGTTCAAAGTCTACTTCGAAATGTCTTATGAGCAGATCTGTGTTAGTTGTCCTTTGACCTTTGAAGTGAGCAGAATGTTTGGTCTGCTGGTGCGTTTCCTCTGGCCTCTGGCCCTGCTGCAGTGCATCAATGCCCGAGTGGCCCTGATGCCAAAGTTCTATGGCCAGGATAGTGCAGTCATAGTGGATGCGGGAAGAAAGTTGCCCTCGAAACTGGACTCCAAGCTGCAGAATGCTTTGTACTACAATTTCCCTGTCTACAAGCTGATCAAGCCAGGTGTTCAAGCCACATCGACCACAACGTTTGCTCCTGTTCCAACCAATACAGAGTACCCGAGTGATTTGCTCGAGATTGCCCGAACTAAGCTGGGCCTGAAGGTGCTGCCGAGCATAAGCGAGCTCGGACAGTTGATTGGCACGCGCAGCAACAGTGAAACCATCGACTACATCCGTTCGCTGACCTCCAATGAAGGGGGTATTGCCTTGATGAAGGAGTACCTGGAGACGCTGGACTATGAGCTATCCGAAGATGTGCCGGACAGTGTGGATGATGATGACGACGCAGGCGATGATGACAACGCCATGGACAATGCAGATGTCGAAGCAGACTTTGATGAGCGGCCAAGGCTGGAGACGTCGAGCAGTGCCACCACAACCACCAAAACACCCGAGATGCAGGGCAGCCTTCTCCAACGCTTCGGCGACTTTATGAAGCAGTACAGCCTCTGGTCGGAGACCACCACCACGACCACAAGGAAACCCATGCCTGCTGCCATGTCGTTCAAGCCCGTGTTTGTGGCGCCAACAGGCGTGGCCCGTATGCGTCCGCTTCTTGTGCGTCAGCCCCTACCCTATCACTATCCCATTCCACTGCGACCTGTGATGCTGCCTGCGAAGCCAACTGAAGTGACCAGCACGACGGCGGCACCCAGGCCAGACAAGGTGCCGCACTTGAACACGCCCAAGCACATAGAGGCCGAGATGCAATCTCCTCCTGTGGCCCCACATGTGCAGCAACTGGCTGAAATGGCGAACATCTCCCCCCAGGTCCTGGATCGCTTCCTGCAGCAACAGCCCAAACTTGCGCAGTTGGCCAAGCGGGTGAGCTCGCTGGGCCTTAGTCAGGACCAGACGCGAGCAATGGACTCCCAGATCTTCATGGCCGTCAAGCGGGCCCTGTCCCAAAACGAGGAGCTGAAGCGCCTGCTCGAATCGGCCCAGACATTAAAATAGGGCTCACGTGTACATTAGTTTAAGGCTATCATTAAAGAAAATAAAATCTTCTACATAACCCCACTCAAGTTAATGGAGTCACGTTGTGGCGAACACCTCAAAATGCAGGGGCTTGGAGTCATTGGGAACCAATACATTATTAAATGCTGCCTACTATTATATTGGCGATGCGAGCATAACTATGGCCTGAGTGTAGATCAGGCCACAGTTTCACTGTTTTCGGGCGCCACGCGGTTCGGGGTTACATAAATCATTCGTGTCCGACAATTTAATATAAGTGTAAAGCCGAAATAACAAGGCTGACACTTTTGGTAATTTTGTCGTTTGGTTTTCTCTTTGTCCTTTAAAATAGCACTCGTTAGCTCTGGGTTTGAGCAAACGAGCGTGCATAGGACAGCACGTGTTTCTTTATATAAAATATACAATGCTTAAGCAATGCAAAAAATGAACCGAACGCAGACGCTTTTTGAATTTAAGTGAAAATTATATTTCAAACGTGGATGATAGAGGGCACTATCGATAGTATCGATATTTTACTGATGGCCTCTACTATCGACGGTTTTGAGACTATCATGATAGTATCGAGCTACAGTCGTTGCGCTTTTGATATGTTTGGATTGGCTGCTATAAAATACGAAGAAAAATTTGTAAAAAAATCGACAGGTGGCATCTAATTTTTACAATGGACAAGTTCCTAAAAGGTTTCAATGGTTTTTTAATAATTATTTCAGCCCGATACTATCACGATAGTATCGATTGTTTTTTCAAAACATTCGACGTTGATATTCCTCGATATTGATATTCCGTTTAATATTACCAGCTAGCTGGGACTCTCAGCCCTAAACAAATAATTTTATCCGATAGATACATAAATTTTTTAAGAGATTGGCAAGTTTTCAGAAGTCCTTTTTATTGGATTATTTACATATTAAGGTTCAAACAAAAACAGCATAAAACGAATTTGTCGTCGTTTTGTGGCGTTGCCAGACTCGTGCAATTCGTAGTTGCTGCGGGCTGCCATACCGTGATATTTTGTGATATGTAATTCGTCAATTTTGATATTCAGTTTAATATTACTAGATAGTTGGCCCTCTCAGCCGTAAACAAATAATTTTATCCGATAGATACATAAATTTTGTTCAGGATTGGTTAGTTTTTAGAACTCTTTTTCATTGTGTTGTTTACATATTAAGGTTCAAACAAAAACGGCCAAAGCATAAAACTTAAATTTTGACTAAATGTTACGTCAGTGTTGCTGGTCAACCAAGTATCTTCTATGCGTATGTACTTTTGTATACCTTATTTCTTTTAATTGGTGTTAAATGTTTTGTTCCAAGCTCCATTGAAACATTATTTATGATTTTATCCTAGATTGACATGTTTTTTACATATTAATGCACATGTTTGTGTGTTATAAATACATATATCCCGGTTCTGATACCTATTATTGGTAGTCGTAAGCTGAAAAACTTTGTTAAAATCTTAAGAACAGAGACTGAGTAGTTTTTGCATTAATTAGAGCCTGAAAATTCAAACAATATCTCAAGTCCATAATATCCATTTTCCCAAGGTATGCAGATTGTTGCTCATTCCGTGCCAAAGTTGCACAACAATGCTGCTACTTCATTTCCCCATGTTGCTGAAATTTTTCCCATACAAATCAAATGTATCATACGGGAACGCGTATGGAATGACGCAACAATGAATCTTTATTCCATACGCGTTCCCGTAAGATACATTTGATTTTGTATGGGAAAAATTTCAGCAACATGCTGCCACACCACGAAAATGAGGGGAAAGTCTCCACAAAAACACTCTATTCTCCACTGAAAAGAGAGCACTCTCCACGAATTGAGAGCGAGTTTTGCAAACTCTCCACGAATTGAGAGCGAAAAATGTCAGTATTTTTGGTGCGCTAAAAGCCCTGATCGCAGCCCTGGCGCTGCGCATCGTTTCAGTGTGACCGTATTTGAGACCGCTGCGCCATCTTTTGTTCACAGAATTGTTTGGCGCGATTTTGTTATATTTTCAAAAAAATCCATTAAATTAAATAAAGCAAAAGTACATAAATTATTAGCTTTATCAGCTATAGTTTAAATAGTCGTTAATAATGGCTCAGTGTATGCCCTCCAGCGGCGTGTAGGTCTTGTACTGATATAGTTCCGGTCCTCCGTAGCCGTATAGCAGTTTTCCCCGTCCATGCTCATCGTAGTAGGGATAACGGTATTTGGGTCTGAAAAGGGCGTTCCTTGATATATGACAGGCTCCTTGGAAGGATCACGGCTGCACCACTCACCTTTCAAAGTACTGGAAATTTGGGGCCTTTGGCTGAACTGAGGCAGTCGATGTGTGTACTAGGAGGGCCACGACGCACACAACCAGCTGAAAAAGACATAAACATTGTAATCTCCATTAAATCAACTGCCCATTAGTTCAGTGTGTCAGGCAGCACATAAAAGTGGCAGCGAATGCACAGACAATTGGTTCGGGCCTTCGCCGGAGTGGTTTTTCGTCGGTTAAAGCAAACAACAGCCAAAGCAAAGCAACGGTTACTGACGCTGGTTATGCAAGTCGGTAACAACATGGCCGCACACTTGCTGTTGCTCCGGGATTATGACACATTTTGTTTGGGTTTCAACCTGGCCATCCAGCCTCAGCACCGCAAGAGCGCGGGCAGACGTTTCAAGGTCTCTTAAGTGGCAGCAGACCCAACATTTTGGCACACATATACGAATTAGTTTCGAAATATGTCAAACGAAATGCTCATTGGAAATTCAAGTCACTATTTTCGAGGCGGTTTTCTTTCGGGTGCCACTTTCGCGCAGGCGCAGCGGAAATTGTGTCAGCCAGAACGTGCGCGACTTTCGGTCTGGCCGGGCCGTGTTAATTGGAGAAGCCAATACTCGATAGTTGTACTCCCATTGGAGGGAAAATCAAACGATCTAGACTTACGGCCAGCAGCAGAGCATTCATCTTTGCCATGGTTTCTGTTTCTCCTCGAATCCAACAATCTTCGGTTTTGTAACGGTAGTCCCAGAGCAGGCCCAAAGCGGATTCCAGGCAAGGCGGAGTTGGTTCGGGCTGCGATCGCGTTTGAATGAATTGCATGGCCCATCGCCAGTTGGCGCAGAGCCCCACAGCAGCTGCGAGAAGAGCGCCAGAGAGAAAGCTTAGCGGAGAGAGAGGCAGAGCTTCGTTGCGTGAGCTCCGCCACGGTGTGTTTGTATAGGGTGAGGTGGGGGCACATTTCAGCGCAAGTTATCTGGCGATGAGAGCGCTGTGTAGGCATACCTCACCTTAATTTTAGGTGCTTTCTCGCTCTTTGGGCTGCTGGAACTTGTGGATTTTCCTTGCGATCTAATGAAGCTTAAGATTTGGCTCTCAAGGAAAGTGAAAGTCCTGCAAAATACGCTTACTGAAAGCTTTTTCCGCATGGATTTAGGCTGCCGGAAATCTGTGTACAATTTACACTGTAAATAATAATTGAAGCAGACATGAAGCCGCTCACGTAGCCCCTTTTGATCAAAGAGAGAGAGAGAGAGAGCGCCAAACAGCAGAGAGTGTCCCACTCCCGAGATAGATAGAGAGAGAGAGTAAGCTCCACAGAGACAGCTGTTCGAGTGGGCAAAAACGGAATTGAGGCCGAGTGACCAAAGTGGTTTTGGAGCGACTGTCTGCCTCCGGCTCCGATCGAGATGACGATGGACCATTATGTAATTTCTGCAAACACAGAGAGGCAGTCCCACATTGGACAACCTGCTGCTGCTGTCTTCCTTCTTTACGCCTTTCTTCCATTCCACTGTGCCATTTCTATCGTGCACTTTCTTTGCCATGCATTTGCATTTACCTTGGCGCGTTTTGCCTCTGTGTTTGCTTCGGCCCAAAGCCGTTTCTCGGCAGATGTGAGTAACCTTTAGCAAATACGCGCACTTAGTTCCGTCTGCCTTCAAGACCCATTTGGGCGGTCATAAAATTATAAACGAAAACAAAAACTAGCAAGAAATTTTGGTCGAAAAGTACCGAAACTTTTGATACCCTTGCTGGTTGATGGTTTATATGGCATACAACCTCTCGGCTTCGACTTCTACACATTACTTTTGAGAATATCAAGGCTTTGTGACTTTATTTATTTCTACATAAATCCATGACCAAATCGTGAATCCCCTTTGCAAGGGTAGAACTATATTTCCATAAAACGTATCAAATATTATGGCAAAGGCAAGTACTTTATCGCCATCACCTGAAGGTCGCATCCCAAAGCACAGATCGGAGATCATCTTACGTTAAAAAGCTCCATATGGATTTAAGTAGCAACAGCTTTTAAATCTGTAAAACATTTGTAACCGAAACATTATTTCTCATCTCTATCTCTTTTGTCTGTCTCTCCTTCTCCTTCGGTTTCTCACTCTCTGCTTTGCCTTGTTGCTTCTCAAAGTCTCTTTGCTTTGCCATATTTGGTTGTTGTTTTTCTTGTTGCGGGTTATTTTCAATAATTTTTGAGTTGACGCTTGGCTGAGTTTTATGCAACACCACGATTTTGGTGGTATTCAGTGATCAATGCTCCAGTGACTCGCACGGGCCCCACCGCTTCAACGTCAACCACATCGATACAATGTTACACCTGAGATTTGTCTGCATGGTAGCTGTAAGTGAACTAAAATGCGTTTAAAGTGGAATAAATAAGCCATGAACAAGTGGCTGGATGTACGGGGAAGACGGAGATTCGCTGATAGTGAATGGCAGTGTGTTGTGTGTGGCGTATGCGCAATATTTAGGACACAATCCACGCCCAAATGAGATCCGTACTCATAAGAACTGACAACAGTTTCCAGTTTTCTGATTAACGTCCGAAAGCAAAAAAAACAGAGATAGAAAACAATTGTACGAGTATTTTTGTATATTTTTCATCCGCTCGTTGTGCAATTTTGTGTGTGTCTCAACAATTGTGGAATCTTTGAATATTCAGTAGCTTTTATTGATAACTTTAAGCTCAGTTTTGTCATCAAAGGCGGAATACTTAATACCAAATGTTCGTCATACAACAAAATACTCAACTAATTAATTAATTAGCGGTAAATGGTGGATTTAATGCATAAGTTTGCATAAACGTTTGTGTATTTATTTTCGAACTCAACTCTTATCGATCTTCATTTCAGTTCGCTCTGCTGTTGGGGCTGCTGCAGATCAGCCAACCCGCAGATGGTTTCATTCTCCGCTTAATCGCAGAGACCCTGCAGAACAATGTGGCCGGTGAGCCCATCACACACGAGAACACCGAATGGGACTTTGATCCGGACTCGGGAAAGAAGGCGCGTGCCCTTTATTTTGAGGTGAGACTCTGCCTCTTGATCCTTTTACACTAGAGTAACTGTAACTGTGCATGTCCATGTCCATGTCATTCGCAGAAAAACGGATTCCGTTCAGCCAAGTTAATCGAGCGACTGGGCGCGGGCACGGATGGCTGGCACGAGGAGAGACGAGTGGAGCAGGCTCTTCGCGATATAGGTCGCCTCAATGGCGAGCACAATCAGAATTATCCGCCTCCACCAGTTTAGCCATAAATAATTATCATTTACATCATTTAACTCTTATTTCATTTGCCAAGCCAAATCCCAACGAGTGGCTGAGAGGCTGAGTCGGGAGTGGGGGGGGCGTGGAGCGTGGGCTGGAAATATCCCCTAGGCAGATCCAGCACATTGTCATCATTTTAATTTGCAGCGATTAATTGTCATTGTGCGCATTAATGTGCTTCACAAGGATTTGCATAATTTGCACAACGTTGCCATATGAGATTCTATATAATCACCTCTTTGCCTCTCTCTCTCTCTCTCTTTTTGAAAAATCCCCCTCTTATCGGCTTATGGTTGCACCCAGCAAACGTATAGTGATAGGGTATATGCAGAATTTATGTTCGGAGAAAATTGGAAAAACTTTGGAGCTTCCAAAGATCATTTTTACTCTCAGGTTTCTTGTTGTTCCCTCTTTGCAAAAGTGTAAAAAAGTATAAGTATGTATACCTGAGTACCCGGTATCTGGTGGGCGACTGCATCGTTCATACTTGTTAAGGACTGCTGCAGCTCAGGAGGAGGGGTTGGGACAGGAGCCAACCGCCAGTATGTTGTTGTGGTTTTAATAAACGTTATTAGCCGGCTCGACTGCCAGTCGCAACTGCAAATTGCCGCAATTACATTTGGCTGAAGCGAAAAGCGAACAGAAGCGGCAGCTACTTACTTTCGTAATTTTTGTAATTTCATAATTCTGTCGCATAATTGAAGCCAATTTCGCTGCGAGCAGAATCAGGACAATGCTGGCTGTTCCCAGAAGGTGGAGCTGAGTGGTTGCCATTTTGCAGTTGATGTATGGATAAATGGATGGATGGATGTGATTCTGGGATGGCATACTTTTGGCAGCCAAAGGTATTTTAATCGTTAAAGTAAAGTAAAGTAAAATAAAGTAAAGTAAAGTAAAGAGTTTCAAAAAGGAAGATTTGGATATGGAAGGATGGGATAATGCCTTTTCCTCATTATGTATAAATAATTTTTGAGCAAATTCGTGAAAGCCGACAATCAATGGGATTAACTCCAACAATGGCATCCACAGTGGCTGCAACAACAACAACAACAACAAGTGTTCTGTGCACCGGAAATGAACTGCCACGCCACTGGGCAGCGCATGGGACGCACTGAATGCAATGATGGATGCACGGCAAACTGCTGCGTTAAATAAATAAAATTACGCACAATTGTTGGCTCTTTTGGGTCAGCAGCCAGCGGAAATTCACAACGGAAATTACATTACAGCTGGAAAGCCCAAACCAGAAACAGAGATGGGGGCGCAGTTCAACGCTTCGCATACGTAATATGGATTTGGCGCGCGATAACACCATAAAATTGTTTAACAAATTGTTAATACAGCATTGTAAATAATTCATTGATAAGTCCCGAACGAATCCCATCCCAATGGAGCCCGTGCGAACCGGTGCAGTTGTTCCGTTTATGACACTAATTTAATATGAAATCAAACAGTCATCGCCAGCTTGATAAGACATGCTGGGTTGACTTTTATTAAAGCCAAATGTAAATAGAATCATAATGATATTTTAGCGGGTACCAGTCCCAGTACAGGTCCCAGTGCCGATGCCCTGAACCAGCACCAGTCTCGATTCTAGTCAAGGATGAGGCATGCATTCATTAGCCTTATCACTATTCACTCAACATCAAATAAAATGTTTAATAATACTCGTAGTACGTCGCGGAAGGGGAAGGGGATGGGGACATTGACAGAGGACAAACTCGATAATAATGATGGGATATCGCATCAGGTGGAATCAATTGTCGCGTTGTTGGGTATTAACTTTCATTTTGTGACGATTTCCCCCTGACATCAATTGCTGTGAAAGCGGATTACTTGTCATAAAAGTGTGCACAAAAAAAGGTACATTTGAGTAAATATGTGGAAGGGAAAGAGGCAGGGCCAAGGGCAATGCGGGCACACCACAATGTGTGTGTGTGTGTGTGTGTGTGGTGTGAATAGGTGCTAAATGTTTTTTGATATTATTAATAGACAGGTTGGGCTTTGATTGACTGCCGCCAGATCGATGAGTTTCGGAGGAAAGGCTCTTCCAGCTAATTGGTGTTACACACATTCAGCATAGAACCATTCAGGATTGCATACGAGTATTTAGTCAATGTTCCATTTGGTTTACGAATTAGTTTTTATTCGAAACTCCATTGCCTAGACATTGCATTAGCCATTTCAAAAATGCTCCTCGCCGACCACTTATGGTCGCAGTCGCAGTTTCAGTCCTCTTCCCCGTGCCACTCCTCGAACGATATTTCCCAGTTTGCTGATTATTGGTTCAATGCACCTGAAGGGCATGTCCCCTATGTGCCCTGGGGAGGGGGTGTTCCAGGGCAGAATGAATTTCTTAATGCATATCCGTTGCGCAATTGAAGTCAAACTGAAGGGAAGGACTCTGACGGAGACGAAGACGAAGACCCAGGCGATGGCTAATGCATGGGGCCACAACAACAATAAATGTCAACTTGTGTTGCATGCAAGTGAAGTGTAGCGAGCGGGGGTGTGGTCGTGGGGAAGTCTGCCATGGAAAGTGGCTCAGTGAGAGAGAGAAAGGGAGAGAGAGGAGGGAGAGAGAAGAGCGAATGGCAAATCAGCTTTGCTTGCGCACGAAATGTAATTTATAAAATGTAATATAATATCAACAGCACACAGAAAGAGATGGACAGCGGGGTAGGAATAGGTAGGAATATGGTGGGGGGGTCATCCTATAACAATGGCATAATGTCAACTGCCTTTTGTCCTTGTGGCTGGAGGATGCTGGCGACCCGCTGCTGCTTATGGGAGGAGGAAAGAGAGAGGATTTATTTTATTTCATTAAATTGATGTTGCACGATACATTTCTACTGTCGCATATTTCTGGCTGTAAATTTTGCTACTTACACTACTCTAATTGATTCCATAATGAAAGCCCAGTCGGATTTTATTTTCCCCTGAACTCATAGCACAAAAAGTACAAAAAAATCCAAATTAAAAACTGTTTAAGGACCTTTTTGTTCTTTTATTATATTAAATTTCACTTCGGTATGAAGCAAAGGTCAAATATATTGTCCCGTCAGTATCTGTCGAGTAGCGTCGGTGAAAAACGTATCGTATAGGAGCAATCTTCTGCTTAAAAGCAGGCAGAAACTGCCTGTCTTCTGTCTTTTCTGTCTCCTCTACCTCGCAGCAGGAGGTACTTTTAGCATATCCTTGTGCCGGTTTTTTATTTGAGGGTAATTGCAATGCTAGCTGGGCAATTTTAAATTTTATCATTGCGCCCGCATCTGTCGCTGACAGATTAGTTAGTGCTTCTCCTCCTCCTTCTCCTTCTCTCTTTTGCTTTTCTCCACTGCTTTTTCTGGATCTCTGCTCATTGTCTTGCTCCCATAATTTTGTCAAGCAATTATGAACCAAAACAGGCTGACAGTACAATTTATCACCATTTAATAATAATAATAGTTTAAGCAGGAAGATTGGATGATCCGAAGCTCTGATTTCTGATTGACTTTATAGCATATTTCAATTTCGATTATTAATATGTACTTACTGGAAATTATTATTGAACTGTAAGATTTTGTATGTATGTATACATGTATATTATATATAAAGTATGTAAATATGTATGTATGTACATATTTCATATGTGCACTTATAATATTCATTCAATAAGTTTACCAAAGGATTTCTTTTCTTTGTTTGCAAATGCAAATCCATTATGCCACAACGTCCTCGACTAATGCACTGAGAAAACTGCACACCAGCATCGATCGGCTCAGAATCAGCCAGCTCCCTTGATGTTATGATGGTGGGAGGCCGATTGCTTGGCATTGTTGTAGGCATTAGAAAAGGGTGTTCACATAAATACCAAAACCGCTATAAATACATACATATATATGGTACGTCTGAAGGTTTATCAATGTCTTTAAGTTTTAGATAAGCCATCTATAATGCATCAAGGATATACCAATGCTACGCACTCATTTGCTGTTACCTGGTAGTTTAGGTGGCCAGGCTTATAAGTGAATTTTCTTATAATTAAACATGTTCCGTTTCACTTGCTCACCTCAATATTAGTCCAGAAATAGCCCCTCCAGGCAGGTTGACTGAAATCTAATAAACAATCTTATGAAAATTATAGTCATCAGTTGACGAGGCAAATTTAACATTTCCTGGTCTCCCCCTGGAGCTATTCTTGTCAGCTTCCATTTCCCTTTGCCTTTAGCTTCTGTCACTTTTTGTCCTTTGCCACTCGAATTCACTTGATTACAAAGTAATTTATTGGCAAAACGAAAAGCCACAGAGCCAGCAGCAGAAGCAGCAGCAGCAACAACAAGATACTCGTAGATAAATAGAGATTTGTCTCAATGGCAGTCCCCAAATTCCCTCAATAAACCCTCCTCTGTCCTATCTATTCCGCTGTGCATACGAAATGCGGTAAATCCCAAAAATCAACAAACAAATGAAAAGAAAATTCAATAAAATACGAAACGAAGCGCACAAGGAACTTTTTCTCTTCTTTTCTCGTATTTCGGTTTGGAGGGGAAAAACTAATTACATAGAAAAGCTGGAAAAGCGTCTGCCAAGTGGGCGTTGCGAGCTGCTGGTGAACGCCCCTCCTCCCCACACCACCCGTTTTAACAGGTTTTTTCCTTTAACTTTTGATTTCTTTCCCTCTCTGGCAGTCCTTCGTTTTTTTCGCACATTGCGTAAGGCGCATTTAATTACGTATGCCAGGCAGGAGCCAGGATCTTACTCATCCAAAGTGTCCCACTCGTGTGGGACAGTGCGTCACATGGTTGCATACCTCGTAGAATAGTCCATGTATCAAATTAATGTTTTAAATATATGTATAACTGACAATCCAATCGCTGAATCAATTGAAGAGATGAAACTCCTGAAATGTATTTTATCTAAACTTTGAACACTAACTCCCTGAGGTATAATAGGTATATCCATTTCATGCAATGTATAATGATATCACCCGTTATCTGAAATCACTCTGTCCTATAGCACTGAACCGAAGTGTACCTAATATGACCAAAAAAAAACTCGAATAAAATTAATTATTTTGTCAGTTGATATGGCGAGGCTAACTGCTGTTGGCTCCTCCCCAACAATCCTCATCCCCAACCATGGATTTGTTTAACTGCGACTTTTCCGTCTATCCCCTTTGGTGGCTGCTCTTGTGACACCCTCAAAGCCGCAGGACACGACGCGGCTGCCATCCGCCACCTGCCACGAAGAAAATTGGCATGTTGTGTCAATATAG